TGCAAATGGTCCATGCGGAAAATGCGGGGAGGCTCGGTTAGCAGAGAATTTCCATGGGATGGGAGAATGTACCCTTGCCCTAAGACGGCTACCATATGATTACACAAAGATGATCTTGGTTATCATACTACACATCGCCCTATGGTACGGAATACCTCTATCGCACGTGTCCCTCGGCATCCACCTCTTCCTAGAGATGAGCAAGTCGATCGCCTTTAATTCTCCCTCCTTGTTGGCTCTTCTTCCCGACACTATGGGGTAGACTAGTGTCCATCGGGAATACAGTCCCAGCACCCTGCATCTTCTGCCGTTCGCTCGCTTCCTGCCGTGGAAATGAGATGCAAATAAACTAATTAAATGGACAACGTGCTCCCAAAGTTACACTTGGACCTCCTATATGCCGCTGCAGAATCAATCTACCAGAGTTTACGGAGTATACCTACAAAAATTGCTAACGCAGAGACAAGAGAGTTCCGGCAAGATCCACCCTATCTATCTCTACGACGGAGGAAACGGAGCCTTTTTCCTATACTAATACTAGTTCGACCCTTAGCTCCCCTCGGTCGAAGCCAAATTGGCTAATGGAAGATTCTCGAGTTCGATCTTCACAAGCACCCGCGGTCCCAAGGTTTGCTGGACGTCGCACACAAGTTCTTTTTGGCAAAAGCTTCGCGGGTCCAATGAGGACTAGCAAGGTCCTCTCTTTCAAGCTACTCCATCGTATCGGTGTAGTATACGGAGTATAGCTTCCCCACTAGAATCCACAAGTCCACAAGTCCACACCATGATCGGCTACGGCCGCAAATCTGTCTTGCGATCGCAAGATCCCAGGGCCCCAAAAATGCGGAGAGCAGTAGGTCGTGTATGGATGCACTCCGTCTGTACGGAGTAACCACTTTTAATGTCTCTAATCAGGAACTGAACTTTGTTTCTTCCCGACTCTGCATTAGGGCCGACTCACCATCCAACGAGATTGTCTGTTTGGTCCCTAAAAATCCGGTGCTGGGTCACCACCACGGATTTACCTCCGCAATGGGAATGAAATGGTGCAATCAAACCCAGACAGACACAGTCTCCTTAGTCCCCAGTTTCCAGTTTCCAGTTCCTGGGACACGAACCCCCCCCAGTACAATCATGCGAACCATTTCCGTGGGTTTGACTCAGGTACCCGGCTAAGAGCTAATCATACCCAATCACATCGCCTTCCTCCATGACTCCAATGAGGACCGCAGTGGAACAGCTCGGCTGAGACAGGGAAAAAAATGTGCAATCGCCCACACCTTTCCTCGGCAGCTATTGGATTGTTTTACGGAAGCCCGCTTCGTCTCCGTCCGCCCACCACGGGTCCCCTCTTCTTTCTCCCCGGTGATGCAATTCGCCTGCGATGCGATTCCCACAGCCGAAACCCTATCTTCCCGATCGAGATCGCGTTCCAATGGTTCCGGTGCCATCGCGTGTTTCAGCTTCGATAATGCATAAAGATAAAAGTATAACTGCGCCATACACAGCTCACCGGAGGATTACCGAATCCACCCCAATCTGTCCCATACAGATCCGTATCTACACTATGGAGTATCTCGTCGGGAAGCAGGAAAATCCTTCGAGGGCCAAGGACCAAGAAGACAACTTTCCTCCCCGAGAGCCCACCCACACATAGAGTATGTACTCCGTACCGATCAGATCATTTCTCAATATCGGCAGAACCCAGCGATCGTCGCTCTCTAAGCAGAGAAGACCAGCGAAAGCGGCAAAGCCAAGCCAGATTATCCAACTATAAACTCCATTATTTGTAAATCTCCCGGCTCACGACCAGTCCATTCCCCCCCTCCAGCGCTCTCCACCAAGCCGCAATTGAACACGAGCACGTCACTGGCCCGTGGTCCCTGGGAATTAACCTCCGAAGCCGGTCCGCGCTGTGTTTCCCTCGAAGCAGAGCTGAGCCGTGCCCATCTTCCCTTTTTGCGCGATCGCGATCGACTGGAATGGAGTACAGAGTACGGAGAAGTATTCCCCATTTCCTATCCTATCCAAGGTTCCTCTTATCAGATAGCCTTTCTTGCCACACGGCTTGTGCCAAGGAAGTGGCTCTTTATCACCCAATCCAGTCCCATGAATGGAGGACATAGTACCACCATACATACACACTTGGGTTGGGGTCACTTTGTGGCTTGTGGGCTGGCACGAGTGTTCGTCGCCCGTAATGGCGATCGACCCCGTGCAGATCGAGCACGCAAGTTTATGGATTTTCATCTGATAGGATCGCCCCTCAGGCCAAGTTTCAGCTCAGCTTGAGAAGTGCTCAGATACATATGTACAATACACAATATGTAGACTGGGCTGAGCTGAATTGAGCTGGCATGACGAAACTGGATAGACCGATATGCACCACACTGCACTGTGCTGCACAATCGCCTCGTGAAGAAAAGTTAATATCCACAAGAACCAGCTACGCCTCATTTAGGAACTACTAAAATATCAAGACGCGACTAAAGCAAGACTACCCAAGCACTTGCCCTCGGACCTCGTCTGGTCTAACACTACGTAGATAAAAAAGAAGGACCTCCGCGAATGGCGCCTGCATGAACGACTCTTGAAGGTTTTGTGGGCATAATTTCTTCTGGAAGACGCCACATTGCGACTAGGGCGTCGACTATGAGATTCCCAACGTTCCAACACCCACCTTCAATTTTTTCTGCTTTTGTTCTGGGTTGCGCATACGTATGTTCGTCGCACCACGTGCTTGCTTTTGCTCTCCCCTTCCCATTCTATCCTTTTCTTTTCTTCGCCGTACAAACTCCAGTGCCACTGGCTGTGGGTACGCGGCGGACAAAATACTACGGATTATGTCCAGACTCCGAACCGCGTGCACCGCTCCAGCTCCCACACTGGCTCACTCACACGTCTCCTCCAGCACTGGCCAACACCGTGACCTCGTGTCGGGGCGGGCGAAGCGGGTCTACACTGTCAAAGTGGGCAAAAGAGAAAAATGCAACAAAACCAAAATGAAGACAGGAAAAGAAAAAAAAACCTGGCACGGCGTGCCATAATCTTCCCCAACCCTTGGATCGGACAATAAAATAGGTCCCGCAGTCGCACGGGTTTCCGAACAGAGTATGTACCAATCTGTCTAACCACCCAAGCCGAGCCGCGAGGTATCATTTTCAAACCGTATCCATTCCCCACGTCCAAAAAGGAACAGTGGAGTGGTACCAGTGGGTGCGGTCTACAACCAAGCTAGTCTCGGTCTCCATCTAAGAAATATTTGGTCCAGTCCAGACTCTCACAAACGGGGATATTTTCTCGATAACATACTAGTATCCATGAGTCCTTACGAAGTATGGAGTACGACTTCATACTAACATAGTAACATGGAATGGGCACGATCACGCCACGCCCCATCCAGACTTACTGAATACGGCGAATCGCACGACCAAGCGGAGCGCTGTCTCATTCCTATCGAATGGTCTCCAGCAACTAGTCGGCTAAATACTAGTACCGCAACGCGCCGGTGATCATGATCATCGGGTGAGACCACAGTCGGCCCGCGATCGAAGATGCGAGGATCCATCCCGGCCCTAGCAGAGCAGAGCCTTAAAGCTCACTTCTCGCCTCTGCGTCCATTTCCAGCGGCTGTTTCTGCATCATACGATGGGCGTCAGAAGCGAGATGTGGGACGTTCGCTTGAAGATATCCCATTCGGCCGTGTTTTGTTCGGCCTTGCTCGGCGCGGCGTCTGCTTCACTTCACTTTGCGTTGTATGGCTTGGCTTGGCGCGACAAGGCTCGGCTCGACTTCGCTTGGTTTGGGATGTATTTGTCCCTTGGTCTCCGCTAAGACGGCATGAACTCCATCGCTAGGGCGATTAGGTGCCCACCATTTGGAAGGATGTGCAGATGGATTAAGCATTTAGCCTGGAGCTATTTGTTCAGATTCAGATTCAGCCTTGTGGGCGGTTGACGGAAAATTCTGCAGCCTGGGAGTCTACTAGTGAGGTCTGCAGGGTACTCGGGACGCTGGAGTGAGTGACAGCGAAACGTCTTAGGGTACCTGAAGGTACTTTCAGGTAACCTTCAAGGACGATCTTATCTGATCAAGGTAAAAGCGTGAATGCCCGAGCAGCACAAACGAAAACTTGAATAAAACATGGCTAAAACTTCCACTTGAATTCAATCTAATCCAAAGCAAACAATCACGTAGCACAATATCAAATGGCCTCAGGGATGGTTCAGTTAAGATCAAGCTCCCAATGGGAGTCAGTCTCTTCCTATCATAAAATTTCCATTATCCTCATCAACGGCCGAATATATGAAGAAGAGCAACAGAGCGACCGAAAGAAAAAAGGATAATCCCGTGCTGACTCATCGCTGACTCATCCACTTCTGACTGACTAATCAGGCACCCAGGCACCAACCGTCACCAAGCTAAACGCTCGGAAAAAGAGAAACTCCGCTCGCTTGCCCGTGCTCGCCTTTAAATTCGTCGCGCACCAATCCGGCTTCCTCTTCTTTTTTTCTTCTTCGTGCGGCGGCGCAACTTCGATAACCCGTGTTGCCTGGTCATCCACGGGCCTCAAATACCCTTCAGTGATGTACCCCAGGTGTCAGTTGTGCCACAGACGAACGGAATTGCACCCTGATTCTACTTTATTAGTCTTACTGATATCCTAAGGATGAGACTATTTGGTTTGGGATCGGACATACCATCTTTACTTTTCAGTTTGGATTTAGTTAGCCATAAAGATAGAACAGAGTATCATAGTTCATCTGAACGAATTGAAAGAATTGAATCGATTGCACATGATTTTCATATTGGCTTAGACCTGCGTAGTGCACCCACCCCGTAGGCGTTATGTCATTCCCCGACTCATTGCTCTATCATAAGGCATCTGTCTGATCTATCAGACTTGGTCGACATAGTGAACGCTGTACTCCGCACGTCCAACTCTTCATAGCTGAAAGAAAAGCTCATCTAGCTAAACTGCCCAAGACTTTCACTCCCATTTACTCGCCCGGCTCATCGCCAATCTTCTCCAGCTTACCCATAGCCCTCTTCTCACCCGCATCGCCAATAACGCGAACCCGATCGACGCGCAACTTCTCCGACTCCCCATCCCCATCCGAAAAGAACATCACCAGCGAAGTAACACTCTGAAACTTAACATAGCGCAGCGGCACATTCGCCGTACCTGTCTTCTCATCCCAATCCTCAGCCTTAATCTCCACAGTCTGCACGGCAGGAATATCCTCCGCCTCATCAAAGCCAAGCACATGCGACCGATTCGTGTACAGCGAAATCGTCCTAGGCCGCATAGGAACCTCGTCCTCGTCCCGCCCCTCGTCCTCGCCGACACCCGCAAACGACGTAATCTGCAACGAGTGCACCTTCAGCGTAGACTGGAACGGGATGTAGAGCATAAGCTGTTCGTCCGTATCGCTCTCCACCCAGTCCTTGTCCGCGGTCTTGCCCAGCGCGGACGGCTTGCTGGGAGAGAAGAGGACTCGCGGTTCGCCGAACTGGTTGTCGCGGTTCAGTAGTTCCAGGCCCTTTGCGTCTGCTTGGTCGGTTACGTCGGTGTATCCTTTTGCTACGGTCGCGCCGAGCCAGATTGCTCCGTTGCTGCTGCTGCCTTCGGCACCATCGGACTTTGTGGCTTCTGTTGCGAGCTTTTGGATTACTTCGTTCAGTTTTTGTGGGTTGGCGCCGGCGACGGTTTGTGTTTTGCGCCCGTTCTCGAAGACGATGAAGGTGGGGTATCTGTTGTTTTTGGGGGGTTAGCCTGTGTTTGCTTGGGGTGGTAGCTGTGGGTGGGAGTGTGATGATTCGTGCTGGAGCTGGAGCTAGAGCTAAAGATGTAGATGTAGCTCTAGCTGGTTGGTTGATGGGGGAAGACGTACGCCCGCACGCTATATGTCTGCGCCAGTTCTTTCTGCTCGTCACCGTTGATCTTGGTGAATGTGATCTGGTTCGGACGCGAGAGCTGGCGGGCCAGCGAGTCGTAGACAGGGGCGATGGCTTTGCATGGTCCGCACCAGTCGGCGTAGACTAAAGTTGAAAGTTAGACAGGCTGGTTCTGGCTCTGGCTGTTGTTGTTGTCTTTGTGAAGTGGGGGAGGGGAGGGAGGGGAACGTCCCCGGGGAACTGGTCTGTGACTTGAGTTTTTTGGAAGACTTACAGTCGGCAATGACAATGCGGGAGGAGTTCAGCAGAGAGCCGAATTGCTCCGGGGAGGATATGGTGACGACAGACATGGTGGTGGGTTGATGTGGTGAGGAGGCGAGGTTCCAGTTGGAGTTGGAGTTTGTTTGGCCCCAGCTTATCCGCCCCTCTCTTCAAGTTACCCTGCCTACCTAGGTAAACAGTCTTACTCCCCCATCGCGTACAGCAGAGGGTTACTGAAAGGCTTGCTCATTTTGCTGTGCATTGTGTACTCTGCTTACTTGGGATGAAAAATATTTGATCATCTTTGACAATCAGTGAGGAGTTTGGCCCAGGAACCCCAAGGTTGGAAGCCTGAAATATATAATCAAACAGTGGAAGCCCTGGAGTACTAGTATGCCCACACTACTGCTCTAGAATAAAGGCACTACCTAGGTACGATTATCTGCCCACCTGCCCACCTGGGCAGGTGTGCACCCTAGAACCTCAGTCAAGTTCAAATTGGAAACCTTCAAGCCCTTAAGAAGCTGGCATCGGTGCCAGCAGTAGTCAATAGACTCATTGACTTCCAAGGTTTCTATACTTCCACTATTCCCTTTAAGAACATGTTTTCATTCTAAGATCGACACCGATGCAAAAACACACATCTGGCAGTAATAACCTAAACCAAAACAGTGGACCAGACTAATTTGAAAGTTCCAGATCAAGAAGATTCGATCTAGCCCATTCAACCCGTGTAACAAAGTCAATGACCAAGAACGGGGACCTCCGTCCAACACGCGGACTGCCAGTATATACCGGCGGCCTGAGCAGCTTCAACGGGACAGAACAGACTCCGATGATCTGCAGAACTGACTAAGTGGCTTGTTTCAGTTTTCTGTGAGGGGGCCATCCTGTAAATGCCCAAAGCTTCTACCAGTACTAGTCATAGATGCCGAAGTAAAGTGCTGACGGTGGGACACAGGCTTCAGGGCCTGTAACTTGCAAGTGTGTGCCTGATACAACTCAACTCAAATCACAAAATGCTATATTTTATTCTTAGTTATCACCCCTTCTAGTTTATCCAACCTGATCATCTTACCTAGGTAAGCAAGCGTGGGACAATGATGTACAAGCAATTGTGTTCTTGTCACCTGGTTCAGAGTGCCTACGCAATGCTGATGACCTTTCGAAGACCAATCCCAATCCATTACATTGTCGGGCATCCGGACTCGGTGGATGATAATGCAGTACCATATGCTAACCCATCCTATCGTGGATCCTGCCTTGATGCTGCACCCCGCTGCAAAGAAATCAGATCGCGCAGCTCTGCCCTTAAAGAATTCGAGACTGGAACAGCAGAGGGATTCGTTCGTCTCACTTCACGCAATACGAGGATTCATATGCGTAGCGCTGATATATCTTGCAGCCCTCGATAGAAGACTTGATGTGTTCCAACTTGAAGAATCACAACAAGAGTTTCATCCTAGTTGCTTCTCAACGCGACATCCTGCAGTGATGTTTTGTTGCCATCAAGCTCGAAGGAACTAGTGAAGACACTCGAACTCTCTTTCCGTTCTTGAAGTAGAGGTTCCAAGTGCCCTGTTCAATCGATGCAAGATCCTTGAGCATCCTTGAACCAAAGACCGGGAAACAAGCTGGAAGAAGCCTTCCACGGGCGATAACCAGATCATGGCCCGCGAGACTTGCATCCAGCGACCCGTCCCATGCGAGATATCATCCCGCAAGACAGACGCAAAGCAGCGAGGGAGCTCCATCACATCCAACCCTTCCAGCAAAGCAGAAGAAAGTCTCAGACAAGCCGAGAAATTTCCATTTCTCCCAGAAACAATCAATCACCCATCATCACCAACCGCAAAAAGCACCTTCAACCAAAGACTACACCCCCGACAACCAACAACAATCTCCCCATGCTCAACCTCCTCCTCAAGCTCACCCTCCGAAACAAGAAACCCGCGCTCATCACCACACCGACACGAGCGGAACCAAATAGTTTCCCCCCGCCCTCGTCACAGCCCAGATCTTCCAGATCAACGACCTCTAGCCCTGTGTGGAAGACGTCGCCGGTTTTCTCGCGCTCGGCGCCCTTCACGCGGTCGAGTCGGAGGATGCGGTCGTATTCGGCGCGGAGGGTCGGGTCTGTGAGGGTTTTGTAGGCGGTGGTTATTTCGTCGATTGTGAATTTGTCCCCTTGCGATAGGTATGGGCGCGGGGTTGTGTCTTGGGTTGGGCCGGTCTTGTCGGGGTGGTGGCGGAGGAGAGCTTTGTGGTAGGCGAGTTTGAGTTGTTGTTTTGTTAGGCTGGTTGATGGGCCGAAGGGGAGGTTTAGAATTTGGTAGTAGTCCATGAAGGGCGTGGGTTTTGTCATTTTGAGGGCGTTTGTAGGACTTGTGTCACTCTTTGAATTGGTGAGTGTCGTGGTGGGGTTACTTTTTGTGACTGTATTCTTGTGTGCGCTGGTCGTTCGGTTTCGGTCTTGGTTGTGGTTTGCGGGCGCTGGTCAGAGCGTTTACCCCAGGTTTTGGACGTAGTGATAGTTAGCGGCGAGGCTTGACCGCATGCATTGAGGATGCTGGTATGACGTGGTTGAGGGGTGGAAGATTTAAAAGTGCGTGCGGCCCGCGGAGTTCGAGTTGGACTTTCCAAGGTTGACTCGAGACGCGCCACTTCGGATTGTCGGGTCTTTCTCCCCTTGACTCGTGGTTGATCTTTTTATCTTCTACCACATCTTTTCTCTTCTCTCTTTGATCTACTACATAAATCTCGAAATCATGATGATCTCGCTTTTACACGACTCGGGATGTCTCATAGGCCTACAGGTCGCGTCACTGCTCAACTCAAGAAAATGTCAAATGAAATGATCTAGATCTATCTAAACATTTCGGATATCAAATCGCGAAACAACATAAAGTCTATACAGACCAAAGGAATCTACCTTTATAATAACCAAGCGAACACTCTAACCAACGACAACAATATCAACAAAGACCCGCTTACTCAGAGGTCTTGAAGACAAAGCGGTCCTCAGGCTTGCTCTGGAAGGGAACACCCAGCTCGAGAAGCTTGACAAAAACATCCGAGAACTCCTGGAAGAAGACACCGCTGTCCTTGGCATAGCGCTCGACGTGTGGCTTGAAACCCTTATCCTTGATCAGAGCAATGTCGGTGGGCAGCATCATCAGAGTGGAGGTAGTCTTGTCAGTGAACTGAGCAGGACCGTTCCACTTGCGCTGGTTCCACTTCTCCTCAACGAGCAGGCGGAAGAACTCATTGGTGAAGACGGTAGGGCTGAAGTCCCAAGGACCGTCGAAGCCAGAGCGGTCGGCGTGAGCGCGGCCCAGAGCGTGGGCTCCGGACAGAGCGACCATCTCGCGGTCATCGAAGCCCATGCGGCCGAAAATGTCGCGAATGTGGCGGGGGCCTTGAGTCGCGTCGGGAAGACGACCGTCAGGAGTGCAGGCGACAATCTCCTTATCCTGACGACCAGGTCTCCAGGGGATGACGGGTCCTCCCAGCTCTTGGATGGCGGCGGAGCCGGCCAGAGTCCACAGGTCGGAGTAGGTGATCCAGGGGAATAGGGCCTTGATGGGCTCGAGGAAGTCACGGGCGACCTTCAGACCGGCGTTGGCACCGTGGCCAGACTCCGGAGCGAAACGCATAGTGGCGCCGTTGCTGCCACCGGTGCCGGTCTCCTTGTCATAGGTACCACTGGCATGCCAGGCGAGGCGGACGAGGACCTGATAACGATGGTAATGTTAGCTGCTGAATCTTGGATACTCAATTGTTTTTGTTGTACTTACGGGGCCATAGCTGCCGTCATCATAGTCGGTCTCATCGGTCAGCTTGCGGGCAATCGCGTCGTACACCTTCTGATAGTCGGCCTGACCAGGGACGAAGGGCTTCTCCTCGCCGTTCAGGTAGAAGTAGGCACCAGCACCACCGGCGACGGCCAAGGCCAGACCAGCCCAGATACCACCGGAGGAGGAAGACTTGCCGCCAGCCTCAGAGGAGTATCCACGACGAGCAGTGGTGCGGAAGCCCTGCGCGGGGACAAAGCGGGCAGAGCGCAGCGCCGGCCGGAACGAGGAGGCCGGGGAAGAGCGCAGAACAGCGCGGGAAGCGGATCGAGCAGCGGATGCCATTGTGTGAGGGTGATAGAGAGGGAAGATGAGGAAAAAGGAAAGGAGCGTGAAGAGGGAAGGAAGAAAGAGAGAAGAGAACCGGAAGGAAGAAGTCGGAAAAGGAACCGCAATGCTAAGTAACCCCTGTGTATCTGGGCTCTCCCTGTGTACTCTGGAAGCCGCGCATTACCTCGGTCTTTTTGACTCAGCACTCCGCATTGTATCCGCGGGTTCGAAGGGGGTCGAACGTTCCAATGGAAGGCCGGCTTTCAGTGGCGTGGAGCTTGGTGCAAATGGCGTGTTTGATACCTGAGATACATACTTGAGGACCTGGTCCTTCTCGGAATTTGGATAAAGGGTTGGTTCAAGCCATTGCCTCTGCCCTGTTCTCTTGCAGTCACTTTTTTGACAACCTCGATGCTGTTAACGAGTCTGTACATTCTCTCCCCACCTACCGAGCGGGTCTGTAATTTGTAACGAGTATGCGTTGTTTGGCCGGACGACCAATTCGGCTCCACCTTGTGGGTCGTTGCACGGCCTCCTCCGACCGCTGACTAACACTTCGGTCTGGATTCATCGATGTATAATCTTGAACTATCGAATGTATGTAATCAATAGATTCTAGATCAATTTTCAATTTACCATTTTGAGAGGATTTGACAATCTGATACAGCGGAGTAAAAACCTTGGAATAGTAAAGGAATGTCTGACTGTCCATACCTAGCAGTTGGCTCATCAATTGGATATGGAGCGTATCTATACTGGTGGTACCATTTATACTATTTTCTCCTTCTAATCAAATACAATGGCTGCTTTGACTACTTTCTTTCTCGCTCAAAGCAGCCCTATGATGACTTCGCAGGTCGCTGCGAATTTTACGGGACACTATGAGGCGCCCCAAGTATGATTAAACACAGGAAACATCAATTTCGACTACAAGGAGCCAAATGATAAGTGCTTGAATGACCTACGCCTGACCAACCCCCGCGACGATAAGGAGCGGATCAAGGACACCAAGGGCAGCTTACTGGAAGGCTCGTACAACTGGATTCTTGACCAATCCGATTTCCAACGATGGCGCAATGATGACCAGAGCCGGCTGCTTTGATCCGGGCAAGGGAAAGACCATGCTGCTGATTGGCATTGTCGATGAACTGGAGCAGCAGCTTGCTCGGCTTAGGCAGGAGAAACAGTCGCCTGCTCCCACTGTTCTCACATACTTCATCTGCCAGGGCATGGACTCGAATATGAACAATGCTGCGGCCGTTCTAAGAGGTCTAATCTACCTCCTCGCCGTCCAATACCCGCCGCTTGCCTCGAATCTACGCGAGGAGTATGAACACTCTGGCAGCAAGATCTTCGAGGATACCAACGCGCTCGTTGCTCTGTTCAAGATTCTCACGGGCATGCTGCGAGATCCTACTCTTGCAAGGGCATTTATCATAATCGATGTATTGGATGAGTGCGAGACTGGCCTGCAGCAGCTTTTGAGGCTCGTCGTTGAGAACACGTCTACTTCCCGTGTCAAGTGGATTGTCTCCAGCCACAACAGGCATGAAATTGAGCAGCAGCTGAAGCTCAACGACTGGCAAATGAAGCTGAGCCTCGAACTAAAAGCTAACGCGGACTATGTGTCACATGCCGTCAACGTTTATATTGACGATCGGGTGTCGCAACTCGAGTCACTAAAAGATGACGACGCACCTCGAGATCAAGTGCGACGCATCTTGAGACAAAAGGCCGCAGACACTTTCCTTTGGGTAGCCCTCGTCGTGGAAGGGCTCAAAACGGTTGCAAGCTGGGATGTTTTGGACGTGCTTGAGGAGATGCCGAGCGGCTTGGAAGAACTCTATGCTCGAATGATGAAGCAAATCCAACAATTAGAGAGGAGAAATCCAGAGCTTTGTCGGCTCATGCTTGCGACGGCCATACTGGCATATCGTCCACTTCATATACTTGAGATAGGACTACTCGCCGGGCTGCCGGAAACTATTTCCAACAAGGCGCACCAGGTTCGGATGCTTGTAAGTATGTGCGGCTCATTCCTCACTGTGCGAGACGATCGAGTCTATATTATCCACCAGTCGGCCAAGGACTACTTAATGAGCGACAAAGCAAACGCCGACATCGTTCCCCCTGGAAGTACCGAGACCCACCGCGAAATATTCCTACGATCGCTACAGGCTATGGAAAAGACGCTGCGGCGGGACATTCACAACCTGAATGATCCCGGATTTTCTATAGACGATCTCAACATGCCAGATCCTGATCCATTGGTATCCGTACGATACTCTTGTATCTACTGGGTTGACTACCTTGACCAGGCACGGGAACGAATTGACCTGGTCGATAGCGGCCCAGTCCACAAATTTCTTGAAGTTTACCTTCTTTACTGGGTCGAGACTTCAAGTCTATTAGGGGCGCTACCTGATGCATTACTTGCTGTAGGAAACCTGGAAAGGCTCTTGAAGGTGAGACTTGTACCCTATACTGATAGTACAAAACATTCAACTAACGTACCTTTACTATAGACCATGTTCAGCTCAGAGGCTAGCCTACTACTCTCCCTTACAGTAGACACGAATCGGTTTCTTCTTCACAACGGATTGATAATCAAGAACGCTCCGCTTCAAACTTATGTATCGGCGTTTCTCTTTAGCCCGTCTGGAAGTCCAATGCGCGATCTGTTCAAGAAAGAGGAGCCAAAATGGCTTTTTATGGGACACGCTGTAAATAAGCAGTGGAGCCCGTTGGTTCGAACGCTCAAGGGCCACCGAGATACGGTTTTATCGGTCGCATTTTCGCCTGATGGGAAGCTCATAGCGTCAGGATCAAGTGATAAGACCATTAGGGTCTGGGATGCAGTAATGGGCGAGAATAAGCACACGCTTGATGGCCACGGCTATACGGCCTTGTCGGTCATATTCTCATCCGATGGGAAGCTTATACTGTCAGCATCACACGACAAGATAGTCAAAGTCTGGGATACAGTGACCGGTAAAGTCAAATACACACTCAAGGGCCACAGCGATATAGTCTTGACAATAGCATTCTCACCCGACGGGAAGCTCATAGCGTCGGGATCGCGCGACAAGACCCTCAAGGTCTGGGACGCGTCAATGTGCGAATTGAAGCAAACGCTCCAGGGCCACCGCCGCACTAGCGATTCCGTTTCGTTCGACACTTCTGAAGAATACCAGTTCACCAAGATCACCTATCCAAAAGTAGATGCTCACCTCCATAATGTCACTGAAGTTCAAATTCAGTCTCCCGGTCAAAAAGTTCGACAATGTGGGTATAACCTGAGTCCGGACAAGGCCTGGATTACATGGAATGGACACAGGGTGCTGTGGCTGCCGTCCAGATACCGACCTTCAGAACGCCCAAGGTCAGTCATTTGGCTGTTCGCGCCCCCGCCGAACTTGGCGAGAGTTGCCATCGACTGCGACTCGGGAAGAGTTGTTGTCATCAGCTTCTCGAAACCGCCGTCTGGTGTTCCGTCATCCAGTGATTAATAAATGCCAAACCTTACATTCCCGAGGCCCTTTTGTTTCTTCGTTCTCTTCTTAACTCTTCTAAATTGGAGGGGAGCAAGATATTGCGATATCTATTGGCTGATTTGCGGAGCCTCCAAAACGTGGCCAAGGGTCCTGTTTGCACAATACTACTTGGATGAGGAGATGCATGGGTGATGTGCGTAATTTAAATGACGATCTGTATTTGTATTGTTAGATATACGAAATCGGAATTTTGACACTTCCAAGGTTCTATTGGACGCATTTCGGTAATGTGATGCAGGTGAGGTACATCTGACCAATATAGGCTTGGGTCGTGGACTAGCGTAAAAGCTGAATATAGTTAGTCCACATGTGTACGGAGTGGTTTCTTTGATCAAAGCAAAAACCTCGACTTCGAACTCGAGCTGAAGTATTATTGGTACGCATACCCTCCAGTCAGAATCCTTTAAATGTGAATTGTGATCTATTTGTCTGTATGTTAGAAGGAATGGCAATACATGATCTTCATTTAAGACTACGAAGATTATTCGTACATGCTCCTCTACCTAGGTACATTTCGATAACTCGTTCAATGTAACGCTGAATACTAGTATCGTTCTGTACCAAGTCAATAATTTAGACTCGCCTAGAAAGTCAATTCCGAGTCCCTGATTGACATACTGTGATTTGGCTCGGGCTTCTGAAAATTGCTTATAGTGTGGTCGATTTGGTTTACTACAAAGATCTTTTGTGTTCCAAGCCAAGGGGAGCTCCAAGTGTAGTATGATTTATGGTCAATAATTTGCCTGAGATCTCATCGGATCGATACTACTAGTAGTACTAGTAGTATGATATTGTATCCCATTAGGGTGGTTAAGAGAGGAAGTATGTTCAGGCGGCTGCCTCTAGGGTGAGAGTCACAATTGGCTGACAGCAGGTCACTTTCGGAGATATAACATTTCGGATGGATTGACAGGCCACTGAGAATCTCTAGATATGGCCGCACGTCGTGGCTGTTTCCAATTGATCGGGACAGAGTGGTTCGATAAATTTGGCGGGCCCAAAGAAGGCGGCGATGTCATGCGGTGGGTCCAAGCATGTGATAGGCAGCGCCCGGCCGCGTGGAGAACAACACATCCGGCCGCATCCAACTGCAACCTCCGTCCATTTGACTCGCAAAAACGCAGAACTTCGTGTGCGCAGACCGTGTGCACTTCGATTGATATCCTATTTGATTCTCTGATTTCCACTCCTTGCTCCCTCACCTCTCCCCGGCATGCTACACCCCTCGTCCTAGGAATGGCGCTATGAGTTCTTCGCGGGGCCACGACGAAGAGGTGATCGTTCGCAGCATTACACCTGTCTCTTCCGATCAAATCACCGATAATTTGCGACAATTCACTCGCTCTCCACATCCGTATCATCGCAGCAGAAACCCCATATCGCGAACCCCCTCCGAACAGGGCGACCTGCTCCGGCCCCCATCTTACTCCAAATCATCACGAACGCCAAGCGACAGCGGTACAGAGGCGGACGATGAGAGCACCGGTATATTAAGAGGTCTACCAGCGCCACCACCCCGGCCTCGAAAGGGCCTGCGCTCTGGCGTGAACGGCGTTCTCGATGGTGACGCGTGGTTGCCTCATCTCCAACCATGGCCGTCAATTGTACGGCAAGTCTCGCGCGGCTCGCGGAGGAGTTCCGAGGAGGACGCCGAGGAAGAGGCGCTCGAGACCCAACGGTTGAAACAGCAAAGGCGGGTTGAGGTGTTGCGGCGACTGATGGAGACCGTACTGCTCTTATCGGTGGGGGTGGTTGTCCTGTTGCCAAAAGATACACGTTCACTAGCCTGGGCGTGGAAGAAAGGTACTTGAAGATACTCGCGATGAATCGCAGTGCAGATTTGTACGACTGGCTAACTTTTCCCTTTAGAACTATTCACCTATTTTCTTCTAATAATAGCCCTGTACGGGTCTTATCCTTCCCTCCTCCGCATCTCGACTCGCAGACGATGGCACGCATGGTCTTCGAAACGCGCTTTCTTTTCTATACCAACGAGCTTCGACCCCGCGCCACTACTATACCCACCCCTCATCCCGATATTTGTTGCACTGTCCCTCACAAACCACCGTCCAGCGCTGGTCATGCCGAATATCATCCTCGGACTCGCATCTCTCCCAGCACCAGTGATACCATTGCACGGCTGGAGCAATGGTCTCAGCATACCTCACTGGATAGTCGCTGTGATACCAGTTCTCGTCTCCGAACACTTCTCTCTCGACAACACCACCCCCAAACCGCTCATCCTCCGTGGACATGAAGCGGAAATGTTGCTTCTTCTATTTCCTTTGCATCAAGCGTTGATACCCACATTAGACTTTTTGTTGACGACAAGCCTTCTTCCCGCCGAGCTGCAGCTTTTAACGACAGCTCTCATCAATTTATATTTGTTCGCGGCCTCGCCTCAGGCAGAGATCCTGAAGGCTCTATTATGGCTCGGTGGGATGTGTATATTCGTGTCATGCCGACACATCCTGCGCTGGGAGATTATTTTGGCTCGGATCCCCAGCTGGAAGTTCCGCCGCTCGCTCAGGGACTCGCAATCACCACGGAAATTGCTCAATCTAATGGACCACCGACTTTGTCAGAGACTCAGCGGGACCGGGTTCTCTGATGAACCCTCATCAGACAGCGACGGGCCTGGCAGTGTACGCAGACTACGGAAAGTGAAGACGACACGAGACGCTCGAGAACCAACTTCGCCACTACGAGTACCCAGCTCAGCGATCGATAACATCAGTGTGGAAGAGGCCTTTGAGCGGCACGGTCGCACGGGGCGTGCACGTCGCCATACGATCTCGACGTTTGAAGACGTGATTCAAGAAGAGCGGGTTCGCACTACTCCGGGCGGCCGACGCAAGAAGCTTATGGGCCCCGGTCTTACCTCATTCTTATCATTGACTGCAGCCCAGGCGCAGGTCCGCAAGTGGCTTTACGCCAGTTATGTCTACGTTATCTCAATGGCCATCATCATGGGACCTATTCGAAAATACGTGGCCGAGCGAGCTCTACAGGGGCAAGATCCATTCGGATGGGCGATCGGTTACTTGCTGGGTAATATATCCAACGTCCGTTTCTGGGTACTCATGTTGAACTTGGAATACTGGATCCAGCTGCCACCTCGCCCTGAAGCCACGATGGAAACAGCCTCCTGCTGGCTTGGATGGGTTGAGCATCTTCGACAGACGACATTTGGCCCTGCCAACACTCGCCTTCTCCTTATGGCATACTGCTTATGTGTGATTGTGCTTGGACTGGCGGTGGTTTTCCAACTCAGCGCTGTGGCCGAAGTCGACACGCGACGAAAAGTCTTCCACGGGATGATGGTGCTGATGTTTTTGCCTACGGTGTTTGTGGACCCAGCCTTCTGTGCCCTGGCTCTGGTGCTGGTTCTATCAATCTTTCTTTTACTGGATCTATTCCGAGCATCCCAATTGCCTCCCATCTCTCGGCCATTGACTTATTTCCTCGCTCCGTACGTGGACGGTCGGGATCACCGCGGTCCAGTCATCGTCTCGCATGTTTTCCTTCTCATCGGATGTTCAATTCCGCTGTGGCTGTCGTTGGCTGATCTCACGAGGGCAGGAGAAGGCGTCTGGGTGGGGTGGGAAGTACCGACGCGAGACGTCAGCATGGTCAGCGGGGTGATCTGCGTGGGGATGGGCGACGCGGCAGCGTCACTGGTGGGTCGCCGGTACGGGCGGCTAAAATGGTTCTGGGGAGGTGGCAAGTCGCTGGAAGGCAGTGTTGCATTTGCAGTAGCGGTATCGGGGGGGGGCTGCTGGCGGTTCGTGCCTGGCTGATGGTGGGCGGTTGGCCGATGGCGGGGGCCGAATCAGGCTCGGGGTCGGCGTCCACGGGCTTGTCTTGCGCAGAGTGGGCATGGATAGGCTGCAAGGCAGTGTTGGCGGCTTGCGGAACTAGTGCGACCGAGGCGATCCTCACTGGCTGTAATGATAACGTGGTGGTGCCGGTGGTGCTGTGGCTGTTGGTGCGGGGATTGAGGGTGTGAGCCTGGGAGGCAGAGATGTATGATATGGCTTCTGCCTGTGCAGTATGCTAGTCGGTATAGTATGTATATAGTAAAATTGATATCCACGATCATCAGTACTTCCTATAATATAATAATAAATGGTACATGGTATTTTATAACTATATCGTAAGTATACTCAGTACCTAAGGTACCCTTTTAGGCAGTGCCCCGATAAACTCTCCGATCGGCCTTATCTAATCAGCCTTATCTAATCACCCAGTCGCTCCTTCCCCTTCTGCCCACCCAATTTGGTAGTTGCTGCAGCTCTCACGGGGTTCTCCTTTCCCTTTCCTCTCCTTCTCTTCTCTATTCTTCTTCTCATCTTCTTTGTTCCCTTCTCCATCTCCTTCACTCCATCACAACCCATCTAAGTTATCCCTTTTTCATTCCATTCTTCCTTCCCTGATCCCAAGGTACTCTTCGTCATCTCCCCGCCCTCCTGACCGCCTGTCACTCGTTATCAGGTCACGCCCCCCCCTCTGCCCCATCCTCAGGTCGTCCCTTGGTCCAGTCGAAGCATCACATCATCGCCCTCCCCCATTAGGTCTTCTTCACTTCTCCCCAGTTTGCCTCCATAACCCCAAACTTTGGTTCTGCTTCTATAATACTCGCTACTACTTGCTCCCCTGTTGGTTATATCTTCTCGTACTTCTCGTACTTCTCTTATACATCATCACTTTCCTCACCGCTTTGTGATTCATCGGTGTTTTGACAAGACCCATCTTTGATCGATCTACATTATCGGTCCTACATCATCCACTTTCATCGACCTTGGGCTGTTGCGGAAGTCACCGGTTTCATTCCACGGCACTCCCCTTACTCTCTTGCCATCTTTCCACTCCTTCTCCCCCGACGGTTCCTTGTTCTTCCCAAGTTGCCGCCAGCTGCAATCAATCACTCTGCCTTGACACCTTAACGGCTCCCCTGATGGGCCTCATTCTGCATCGACTGTCTCTATCTCTGCTGCGGTAGCTGTGGTTGTCGGGGCTTGGTTTGGAATTCGATCTGTTCCCCTCCGCGGGAAGTGCAAGCAGTCTGAACTGCCTTGACAGCCATGGCCACTCAACATTCTCGGAGGTCACGAGATGCCTCACACCCGAGGATGACGATCGGTCGCTATACTCGTCTTGAGGAGATCGGTCGTGGGAGTTTCGCGACGGTCTATCAGGGTATGCATAATGTGAGTCATGCATGTTTCTCGCCTTTCCCGGTTTGCCTTTGTACTGGTTTCTTTGTACAGGACGTTTGAGCTAACGGGTTCCCTCATCTATCAGAGAACAAAGACCTTCGTCGCCATCAAGTCCGTCAACCTCGCGAAGCTCAACAAGAAGTTGAAGGACAACCTTTCCTCCGAAATCGATATTCTCAAGGGTCTCCAGCATCCACACATTGTCGCCCTGATCGACTGCCATGAATCCACACAACACATCCATCTGATCATGGAATACTGCGCACTGGGGGATCTATCGCAGTTCATCAAGAAACGAGAAAGTCTCTTTGATCACTCATATACTCGGGAAATGATCAAGAAATATCCAAATGCACCAAGCGGAGCCTTGAACGAAGTCGTGGTTCGGCATTTCCTGAAACAACTCGCCAGTGCCCTCAAGTTCTTGCGTGATCGAAACCTCATTCATCGAGATATCAAGCCACAGAATCTCCTCCTTTGCCCGGCTCCTGTCTCTTACCGGGAAGGATCCGCAAACATCGTTCCATACAAGGGCAGTGATAACTCCTACGATCCGACGACGGGGCTGGAGACATTGCCGATGCTGAAGATTGCGGATTTCGGCTTTGCTCGATCACTTCCCGCGACATCTCTGGCAGAGACCCTGTGTGGCTCACCACTTTACATGGCACCAGAGATTCTACGATATGAGAAGTATGATGCCAAGGCTGATCTCTGGTCCGTCGGTACTGTGCTATATGAAATGGTAGTAGGACGACCCCCGTTCCGAGCGACGAACCACGTCGAATTACTACGCAAGATTGAAAAGGGAGAAGACCGAATTCGCTTCCCAGAAGATAGTACGGCTACAGATGATATCAAGAGTTTGATTCGCGGTCTTTTGAAACGAAACCCGGTTGAAAGATTGAACTTCCCCGAGTTTTTCATCAACAGGGTGATCACAGAGCCAATCCCAGGCCTTTTGCCTGATGACTTGCCTCGACGACCATCTGTAAATCCCGCCCATGTCCCAGGGCCCTCACGAGCCAATTCACGAACAGACCTACCCGCCCCTCTCGAAACAAGACTGACAGACTCCCCTTACCCTAATGAGCCAGAGGAAACATTTACCTATCCGACATCACAAAGACAAACCTCTTCGCGACAGAAATCCGATACTCCACCCAGTGCTTCGCCTATGCGCCGAATGGGAAGCGCAGATCGACCCGTTTCAGGTTCTCCACGAGACCAAACCCGAGGTACACCACCGCATCGACCGAATCCTGTCTCTCATGTCACCGCCCCGGGTCGACAAGAGCTAGTGGATCGCAATGCCGCGGCAATCATGGAGCGACAACGATCTCGAAACACATATTCCGCCCCATCGAAGACAGTTGAAGATGCCCGGACAGCCGAGGAACGTGACCGGGCAGCCCAGGAAGTGGCATTTGAACGGGACTACGTTGTGGTAGAAAAGCGTGCAGTAGAGGTCAATGCCTTCGCAGATGAGCTGGCTCATAGCCCCCGAATCCAAGGAGCGTTCCCTCGGGGCCAAAGTGGCAATATCTCTCGGCGCGCAACAACACAGGGCTTGCAAACTCTGACATCGACATCTCCTCATAATGCCAACTCCAAAGCTATGCAGATTGTTTCTGGACGAGCTCGAGCAGATTCAACACATCAGCGCCAGCACTCCTATGAGCGACGATATGGACAGAGCCCATCTTCGGCGACATCGGCTATCTCCAAAGCCCTCAACATGGCTAGCGGCCGCTTGTTTGGCATGGGTTTCTCTCCTCCATTGGCTACCACCAAGGGAGGAAGGTCACCACCGTTGGCCTATAATCCTTTCCCGGCCTATCCGGCTGGACAGCCAAACTTGATGATCATGGGTGAAGGGGCCAAGCCAAACGCGGCGCTCGACGAGGACTACAAGACAGTCCAGGTCATCGAGGAATGTGCCACGCGCAGTGACGTCGTCTACGGATTTGCCGAAGTCAAGTACAAGCAACTTATCCCATTGGCCCCCTCAGCACATGGCGACCCATCCGCAAACACTGACCTGAACGATGCCGGCGACGATGGATTGACTGTCGATGCTATCGTGACTCTTTCTGAAGAGGCGTTGGTTCTCTACGTTAAGGCTTTGTCGCTACTCGCTAAATCGATGGATATTGCGGGCTCTTGGTGGGCACGCAAGAACCGGGAGGAAACGTACGGGGATTCCGGCAATCGTGGCGACGGAAACAGTGCACTTGCTGGCACTCGCATTAACAATGTGGTTCAGTGGGTACGCAGCCGATTCAACGAGGTCTTGGAAAAGGCTGAGTTTGTTCGCTTGAGGCTCATCGAGGGTCAGAAGAGGTTACCTCTAGACCACCCTGGCCATCCCAACAACCACTCAATTGGGTCTACTGCTACCTCAAGTGGATCAGCCGACGTTGTTGTCAGTCCCGGCGTCACGGCAGAGAAGCTTATGTATGATCGTGCATTGGAGATGAGCCGAGCCGCCGCCATCAACGAGTTGACAAGTGAAGACCTCGCAGGCTGCGAGATCGCCTACGTCACTGCCATTCGAATGTTGGAGGCTGTCCTTGAGGACGATGGACTCCGATCTTCCAGCGGAAGCTCATTCCAAGGCAGTGAAAAGTCATCACTGGATGCATTGCAAGGGGAGGATCGGCAAGTCGTGGTGAAGAGTGAGTTTTCCGTTCTTCTATTACCAACGTTCGAACCAATCACTAACACAAGACTAGTGGTGTCAAGCATGCGCACTCGCCTGGGTGCTCTCCGCAAGAAGCTGGCTATCTTGTCAAAGCGTGCATCGGCACCAACTCCCACGATGGCCAGTACCGGCCGAATGCCTCCATCCAACCTAGTCCCCGTTTCACAACACACTCTACCCCGTTAAGCCTGCTGTAAATTTCTTCTTACCTAGGTGCTATCAACGAGAAATTCCCGGCGAATTAGGAAGCTACGACCTCCCTCCGTCTCACTGATGTCCTAGCCATTCTACTTTGCGCTTCGCAGCGCAACATTTGATTCATGCCATATAAGCCTTTCTGATTCCTTGGTCCTTTTTTTGGTCCAATTTTGACACCTTTTCATCTCTCATTGGCTAGAGATGCTATTAATCTTCATGTTCATGATGCTATCCGTTCAAATCTCGTTCGTCCGCCATATATCCCACTGCACGAGGGGACAAGGAGTTTTTTTCTTTTTTCTTTTTTTTTTTTAGTTTTTTTAGTTTTTTTCTTTCTTGGATTTCTGATTTTCTTTTTTCATTTCGCGTTTCTGCTAACTGGCGTTTTTCTTGGGAGGTTATACAGACTGGCACTTTTTGTTGTTTTTTGATTTTTTTTTCTCTAAACATTTTGTTCTTTACAATGTGGAATTAATCCCTTGAATACCGGCTAGAAGCTTATTTCTAGCCAGTCCCTTCAAGGTCTTTCCAATGATACCCACGCCATCACTGGAGTCTCATCCAGATGGTCTTCATGAATCACTATCACTTCTTAGATGTTGATCTGATGGATGGCAGTTTCTATCTGCGCCACCTGTCTTCGAAGCCACAGCATGTGTCCGTTGGGTCAGCTGGCTCGGGTTTGATTGGAACAGGGACTGCTACTGGTACTGGTACTGGTACTGGTAGTTCTTATATGCATATACTAGTATGTACCTAGATGAGATTGGTTTTCTGAAGCTTGCAGTTCTTCGCACCTATAGTACTACTAAATTTCCCTCGAACTTGATCACTTCCACCTGGGCAATCAACCAGTTACCAGTAGTTCCAGGTTACTAGTAGAGCAATACCGAAACCGAAAATTGAAATCCGAACAGATTCAAGCCTGGAGTCCAAGACCGCGCCAATTCACTACCTAGGTAGCAAACTACTACTAATAGCACTCAGTCACACCACATCCCATGCGGTGGAGCAACCGGTTTCACAGAAAGCCTCGGAAATGGGTGCACCTGGGGTACCGGCGAAAACCCGACATCTTTCTTTGCAGGCTAGTTCGGCGTCCTGAAGACGTTTGTTGTGTACTCTTAGCATGCGCTAAACGAGTATCATATTATATTAGGAGGCATGGTGACTCACGCAGTCACATCCTTTTTCAAGACCTGGTTCTCCAGTAATGTCGGTAGCAGGGCTAGGGGTAGGCGAAGCGATGGCGAAGGAGGCAATTGTCAGGATTGTCAGAGAGAGAAAATTCATTTTGAATCGTGGAATTGGATGTCTTGGACTTTGCGGAATTGAGACTGTTGGAAGATTGAGATTTCTTGGTTTTCCGAGCTATGCTTTTGTTTCTTTTGTTCTCTTGGTGGGATATTCCGAGCGTCTTTTATAGCCCTTTCGATTCCCAAAAGGGCCAAGGCTTCTTGCTTATGGTGTATACTCATGGATACACATGTATATTGAACACGACATAGTTACTCACAAAAGCATGGTGACTTGTGAGTAAGGTTGGAGAAATTTCAACCAGGTCATTGAGTGTAGTACTAGTGCTTAGGTTGATGAAACGCTTACTGCGTGGAGTCGGGGGCCGTGATACTCAAAACCCGGGATTTCCTGGATATTGGATAGAATTAGAACTTGAAAGCAGTGGAATATTGGGTATAATGTTAGTCAGGAAGCCTGACCCTTTCTCAAGATTGTATTTCGAAATAACAATTCCATTCTTCTCTCTATACTTCAAGGAAGTTGACTCGAGCAAAACTCTTACCTGCTCGATTTATCAACCCATATGGATATCGCTAAGAACTTGAAAATTATTTAGGCAGACCTAAACCATGAACAGAAGCCGTCGTAAAAAATACAATAAACCCTCTCAATAAATTATCTCAGCAAAACTAACCCAAGAAGTCGCCTTCAGCGCCCTCTTTTTTTATCGATCCGCGTGAACACGCTGCGTGACCATCCATCCGCATCTACTATTGTCTCTTTGACAAGGACATATCCTCCCCAGCGGGGCAATAGAACCGCCCAAACAAGATAATAAATAGCACCTAAAGCAAAAATACCCAAGGCGACAACACAGTGCAAGAAGTATGGCAGCTCTTCGTACACACTTTGTCCATCACTTGGGGGGATGTAAGGCGCAATAACCAAGTAAACATTAGACAATGTGAAGAATATCGCAACAGGAAGCGTTGCTTTGATTCCTGGTGACCAGGTCGGAAAATTCTTTTCCTTGGTCAGGTAAATGTAGACTAAACCACCACCGACGAAGACGTTGATGATCGACAAAGGGTACGAAATGAGGCTATGAATTTGTTAGCTGCCGCTTTCGAGTCGGGTATTGATGTGAGCTTACTTGAGCAAGAAATTATATGCGTCTCCGGGGGGAGGTGCAAGCATGATGATGGCGGAAACGACCCAATGCTCAAAGAGGCCAGCGGCAGGGGAATTCAACGGCCAGTTGCTAGCCCATATCTTCGAGAATGGCAATGCGCCTTCGCGACCTAGCTCTTGGACAACTAGAAGCATATTTTTTTAGCAATGACTTGGATTACATAAGGCAAATAGAAGACTTACTGCGCCCCTGTGAGAAAATAACAGAAAGTACGTTTCCGAAGGCAGATAAAGCCACGAGGACTGACATCGCCCTTTCGGCCTGCTTCCCAAACATATTTCCGAAAAATGCCGCAGCAACTAAAGTTCCAGAATCGAGCATCTGCTCCTTTGGAACTGCAGCAAAGTAGGCAATATTGACGAACATGTACAGTATGCCAACTGAGATAATAGCCACTGGAGCAGCTATTTTTAAAGTACGAACGGGGTTCTTCGTCTCACTCAGGACCTAAAACATATCAGCACCATTCACAGAATTGCGGGTTTTTTCTGTACGACTCACATAATTGGCATTGGAGTAACCAATGAATGACCAGATAATGTTGTACAGCGCCATCACGATGCTGTATCCACTCCCCTTCGTCCCTTCAAAGGCGTTTCTGAAATTATGCGGCGGTTCAATCTTAGTATGACCGGCTAAAGCGACCCACCCGCTGACGACAATGAATAACATGATGATCAACTTGATCACCCCGAGAAAGTTGGTTAGACGAATACCCCATTTCAAAGCAAACGCGTGGATGAGAAAAGCTGTCGTCAAACAGGCTAATCCAACCCCACGCTGATTCCAGCGGCCGACCTCGACTTCTGCGGCATTGAGGATATACTCGCCAAAGACAACACTATTGCTGGCGGCCCATCCCAACAGAAAGGCGTAGGCGGCGAACATCGCCGTGGCTAGGAACTTGGGTTTTTTGTAGACGTATTCGAGGTAGTTTTTCTCGCCTCCGTTTCTAGACGTGGAAAATACTAGTTAGCTTTGGAATTTCGCTTGAGGAATTAGATATAGGCGGATGTAATTCTTACCTCGGAATCGCGGTTCCCCATTCCAAGTACACTGCCGTTCCAGCCAGGGCAATGATAGTGCCGATCACCCACATGAACAGTGCGAGGCCAACACTTCCAGATAGACTCAAGATTGTACTAGGAGTTGCGAAAATGCCAGTTCCGACTACTCGGTTAAAGATCAGCGCAATCGCACTGAACACGCCGATCTGTCGCCGACTGTCTGGGGTCGTTTCGAACACATTTCCCTCATCTGGATCCGAATAGTCAGCTTTGGAGATGATATTTGTAATTCTAAAGAAGAAGGAGAAAGCCATACATAGACCAGTGATTCCATCTGCCGGTTGAGCACCTTCGGTAGTTTTTGTTTCCGTGAAAGGCGACTTATTTACGGCGCCTGTCTCCAGAGAGGGTCCAGCTGGATCAGCCATCGTGATCAGCAAACACTGCGATACTAGTTTATTTGACACGAAGGATTTTTGAACTCAAAGCCACTTTCTGTATATATATGGAAACTTTGAATCTGGGCACGGTTAGCAACGGTTTATAAATGACGTGCTGGCACTAAACGTGATGCAATAGGGACGGGGCTGACTTGGATGCTACCTCGTGCCACCAGACAAAAAAGTCGAATGTTGCCGCACAGATCCTGATCAGCCTAGAAATCCTTCTAGAACACGATTCTCCGGGCGGATAGACTAAATTGGCAGGTTGTTGTTGATAGCGCGGGCGGACGGCTTTTTAGCTGGACAAACTAGTCATTTGCGAAGCGGTATGCCGAGAATTTTTGAAAATGGGAGAAATAGTGGCAGAAAAAGAAATCCGAATAAAACGAGAGAAGAAAATCTCTTTTCTTCTATGGTAGTATATGATCGCGTCGGCCTCTGAGTGTAGACAGCAAGTTTGAAAGCTCGGTAACTTCAGTCAAACCGGGGAAGCTGCCAACCGAAGCCGGTGCGGCCGAGGAGAATCGGGAAAAGCGCCATAAAATAGACATTCAGGGTCCGGCCTCTCTTGGCTGAGATGGCTCCATTTTAGGCAAATCAAAAAAAAGTTCCCTGACCCCCTTCCACTGGTTCATTTCAAGGACCGGAGTTCTCCGTACTTTACTATTTGCCCTTTGTTACTAGTGATAGGTCGCCATAACAGATCTCGACATATTACGCCATATTGTAGCTAATCAGGATATCCTGGGCTCAAGTGACCTTTACGAGGTTCCAAGACTCGCCGAGAGCCGCCCAGGAAGAGAATCTTCGGTCGCCAAGAAAGGAAATAAAGCACGCCATCACGCCCCGTGGTACTGCAAAGTGTATATTTGACTATTCCTAGTTTGAACATCAAGATACAGAGTCTACTTGAATATACTATTAATCAAAAGGAAAAATTTGGACTATATGTAGCTTGAGTCAAGTTCGCTGCTAATATTAATGAAAATAGGAATACCTAAACATCGTAGGATTATACATTACTAGTGCATCTAAAGAGAGAAACACGAGGCCTTCTTTGGCACGCAAACCCTGCAATTTGAAAACACGAGAAAAAGTAGTCTGAGTGGTAATTAAAAAGTTCAAGGTGATGCTATGTATTGTTGAATCTGACATTCAAGTTTTGGTATCATCTATATTGCCCAACACCTGGGCACTAGCACTATTGCCCAGATGGGATCGATTGGTTGTGATAATATCCCAAGGTTCCAAAGTAAAAGGCATGAATTCCAAGACTCCCGGGGGCCGATACTAGCATACACTAGGAAAGAACTTGAATGTTGATATGAGGTAGAGATCTGTCATTTTTCAATGATCCTGTCCACTGGGAGTGGTTTCGGGGTTGATCTGCATGGATCACCTTCAAGTACCTCTGGGCTGATTCCAGCCAGCATCTGTAACCCTGAGCGTTTTTAGATAGATAGAAAATCTGTACCACCGGTGCTATCGAGTCTACTCCGACATCCTCAGTTGGTAATCTACCAAAGATGTGTAAGTATAGGAACGGTGATTATAGCGGTAATGGAATGCAGCGGTTTGGATCGCCTGCTGGTTTTCGACTTGATGGCCGTGACGAGTTGCTAGTGCCATCTCTATGGCATACTAAGTATAGCTTGTAGATCAAGCGACAATGGGACCCACTCACTACACGTGGGATAGTACGTGTGAAGGAGAAGACATAACGATGAGATGTATGGTTGTAAAGAAGTGGATATGAAACCATGGAGAACATGCTGACAAACCCCCAGAGTGAAATTCATACAAGAGAGAATATTGGGTTCCTAGATAGGGTCCAAGGGCGTAACAATATGGGCAGTGTGGAAATGAATCTACCCAGAGCCCGCAGTGTTGGCAGTTCCCGGCGTCGAGATATCTGCCGACTTTTGTGCCTTTAATAATGGCTTAAGATGTGCCTGTAAAAATGGCCCAACATGTGCCCAACGCTCCTGCGCACGTGCCTGGAGACTTTCCAGGTATTCCAGTCCGAGAACCCTACCGAGATTCTCCCTGTCCCTAACTGCCTGAGCGATAGCAGCAGACCAAAAGTCCACTAGCTTTGCCTCATTCCGGCCATGTGCATAGACTTTGCTAAGCCCAGACTGTGCTTTGGCATCTTTAACTGTCCGTGATGACCGCCACACTGAGCGCACAACCTCATAGCGCCCTTCCATGTAGGTGAAAAGAGGGTATAGGCAAAACCGCAGCGGCATGGCATATATACTTTCCCGGAAATGACTGTACCAGTGGGGCGAATAGACCTTGAGCGATGTGTTCAAGACACGGCATGAGGTCACGAACTCCACCTTGAAGTTCATTGAGCGTAAATACCAAATGGCCTCAGCCAGTAGAGCATCTTGATCGAATCCCTCCAACTTCCGTTCCAACGTGAATGTTTTACCTGCAGCAGGATCACGACAAAACCGTTCACACCAGGCCATAAGAGAAGAGGCCGCTTCTTTCGAGCCGTTCTCGCTCACCTGTAAAAGCCTTTGACCTTCCAGCTTGCTATACCCGTTTTCTAAATCCTTCTCTGTGCGAAGCCGTCCAAAGTGGAAGCCGTGTTCCCATTTCAGAGAGGTGGTCCAACCGCCGCGATAAGCCTCTACTCCATCCCCATCACGAACAACCTTAAGCTCGTTCCATTTGCCATCATTGAAATCAAGTTGAAGTAGCGTAGATGTTAAATCAAAGCTAAAGTTGAAAGTTTGGACCCTGAATGCCGTCGAATAACGTGTTTCACCACCGAACCGCCACCACCACCGAGCCGCCACCCCACCTACATTACAACGATATATATTGAATATTACACAACCACCATATAATATATTGCAAAAACTAAGCACTATTCACAACCGGGCACCTATTCCGCTTGTGCCCTGGCTCTCTGCAATTAGTACAGCGCTGTACAGGCCTCCTAATCGTCGTCTCTGTAGCTGCCGGAGCACGCCGTGGCACCGGGGGTATTGCCATTTGGTGCTCATGCTCAATTTGTAGACGTAATTGCATCTCTTCGGCAGTCATTCCACCTTCGTATACCAATTGCTTATTAGGTAAGGCCTTTTTTCGCTGCTTTCGTCCATTCTCTGCCATTACACGCTCATATGTAGTCGTCAGCATTACAAGCTGATTAGCAAGTAATTGTGCACCTTTGGTAGTCTGCTCCAATTGCTGATATATATCGCTATTGGGTGAAATATCTCGATATTCTAGTAATCGCTTGATTGATGCTGCCTGGCGTCGGAAATTGATAGCTTTTGATGGTGTATGAGGTATAAATTCATGACTACTAGCACTACCACGTGATGGTGGTAGTGTAGGTGACGGGGGATGAACCTCAAGTTTTGAAAGTACTACCTCAGGCGCATATGGAATGATACCTGATGCCATAAAACTGCTAGCAATTGTAGAGGTTGTGTATGTTGCTGCACGTGTTGTAGGGTACAGATGAAGGAAATCGAGCTTTTTAATATCTGTAGAGCCTATGCGGGCAAGATCTTGCACAGCCTGACCATAGAAGTGCTTCAATACACCAAAACAACCTACATCAAGAGGTTGTAATAGATGCGATGAATGAGATGGCATGCAGATTGGCACAATATTGTTTTCCATGCATAGAGTATCAAATTGAGGGGTAAGATGACTCCCATGGCCATCCATGACTAGGAGAGACCAGGCACCATGTTGACGCTTCTTAACGTATGGGATGAAAGAATTTTCGAGCCATGAAATACCAATTTGATCAGTAGTCCATCCATTATTACTGACCTCGAAGCGCCAGTTGTCTGGGACAATACTGCACCAAGCAGATATAAAAACCTTAGCTTTAAAAATGATCGTTGGAGGTAGAACACCATCCAAATGGATACACTCAATTGCAGTAACCCACTCCCGGTTACCAGGCTGCACGACTTTTCTTTTTCCCTGCCACTCCCGACTAGTGATCACTTTTGAAGTACTAGTGATCCCCATTGCGAAGCCAGTTTCATCAAAGTTATAGATGTCGTTGTCAAGGATGCCATATTCAGCAATGATGTTGCGATACTGATCGAACCACTCGCGAATAAGCTCCGGATCTTCACATAATGCACGCTGAGCGGCGTAACGACGTGAAAACCGGGTTTTTAGCTTCTCACGGCGTGCAACAAACCGAGATATCCAGTTTTTGCCGAGTGGTAAGGGAGGGGTATTGACAGAGCGCTGAGCAAGTAGAATATTGGCCATCTCTTTTGCCATAGCTAAGGTAGGGGCCTTGCCACGCATATCTAGATCCAATATCCATCGCTCAAGCGAATCCTCTTCGATTTTATCCAATTTTGAGCAATTTGCGCGAGTGGTGTTACGATAACCGATCCCCTTGACGCGGTCGCGTAATGTTGTACGAGGTACCTCGTAAACACGCGCAGCTTCAGTAATAGAAGCTATTTTCTTGTTTCTTAGCGCCTGTATAGCAAGTTCGATCCTGCCTTCTTGCTCAATGAGTTTGCGCGTTCGTCCGGTACGAATTGGTGGCATAGTGGTGGTTTAAAGATGGGGGTGCTACACGCGACGCGATTTTTTTGAGGTGGTGGCGGCTCGGTGGTGGTGGCGGTTCGGTGGTGAAACACGTTAGCCGGTGATATGAAGCAACACCCGCGGTGGGAGCCGAGCCTGCTCGCAAATAAGATCATATAGGGCCTGTGGCTCACCGGCAACAGTCTTATCGACGTAAACGGGAGGGTATGCATTCGTATTGCTTTGGTGTCCGCCAGGAAGCGAAGTTTCGAGTGGGCTGGGGGATGGATTATTGTTCACATCGCCGTACAGCGGGAGTTCATCGCCACGGTCGTTTGACCCGAGCGAAATTTTAGAGTCCGAAGTCTGATCCATCGGAGAAGGAATGTATTCAAGTTGTGTGATCGAACGCGAGATAACCGCGAGAAGTCTTGGTGTACTTGATGAGGGCTATGAAAGTCGATTGTTGGGGATGTAGGAGTCAAATCCAGGATCTAGTAAACGAGAACTTGGACTCAACTCATTTGGCCCCCGGGGCCATGAATTGAAAGGCCCCCAAATCCAGAAATTACAGTACATCCATGGATCTATACTGGCCAAACAGAAGTCTATATGACCGCGATCCAGATACAGTATCGTATAATGATACTACTAGTAATATCTTGGCGCCGCATGAGGCACTTAGCAAGGCATTTTCAATGTTTCAGGCTCAATTCCAATAAGCTGTCCTGCTAAAATTTCTCCACTAGTACGAATTGGTCGAATAATGGTCTTTAAATAGTTGTAATATTCAATGTGGAACTGAGCCGATAGAGCGGTGACATGTAATGTATTGGCGCATTCCGTGTTTATTTCTAAGAAATAACTTGTCCTTCGAGCGTGGAGGTGAAGCTGAATTAAAAAAAAAGAGTGTACCTGGATTAAACCCTGAAACTGCAAGGAGAAGAGGAACAAATGTTTGTCCCAGACATCTTATGGAAGACCATTCATGAGAGCAGCAAAGCTGTCTGTCATGGACCCCTCAAACTAGCTGGTTGTTTGTCTTGCAAGAGGAGCGGTTGAAAAACCACTCCCCAGTCGGCTGCCGTAGAGTCTAGGCATCGCTGGGAGCGACTTGCGTGAGGTGAAGAAGAAGAAGAAAAAAGAAGCCGAAAAAGGGAGGAAAAGAAGTTCTCTTCTGCCGCGACAAAAAGGGAAGGCGGTACCACCCACAGGTCCAGTGACTAAATGGCGGTGAGTGCTCCGATGGCGGTGAGATCTTTCTGCCAGCATCAATTCTCTGCTGGCGATTGTCTCCGCCGATTGTTCATTGTTGTTCTTGATTCACTCCATTATCATTGTAATTATATTTCTAATTGGGTTGCATTGCATTGCCCCGCTTCTTCTTCTTTCTTTGAGCTTCTTTTTGGTTTCGTTGCCCCTCCGAATTGGGGTTGTTGCACCGCCGATGCGCCGATTCTCCACGCGTGCATTGCTTCAAGCAAGACCGCCGCTGCTCTCCGCCAGATTGGCTTCTCCCCTCCCCTCTTTCTATCCGCCCCTCGTTCTACTTCTACGCCTGCTCCGAGACCACCTCGTCGTCCTCGCTCTCCTCTCTCTCAAACTTCTAAGCGCTATTGTTCCTACCGCAGAATGTGCAGCTCTCGACGCGGCGAGGTCTCCGGCTCGACCAATGTTCAAGGCCGTGAGGTCCTGCCCACCAACGTTAAGCCGGTGCACTATGATCTCACCCTCGAGCCTAACTTTGAGAAGTTCACTTATGAGGGATCTGTCACCATTGAGTATGCTTGTTCCTCCACCTTTCCCATTTCCCATCCTCCGCATAGTCCATTGGTTTACTGACAGGTGACCTTGCTCTCTTTAGTCTCCATGTGAACGAGGATACCGACTTTGTTTCTCTCAACTCCAACCAGATTGATATTCACAGTGCCGTTATTTCTTCTCAAGGCTCCGTTATTGAATCCAAGCCTGAAATCTCCGTCAACGAAGATACCCAGACCGCCACAATCAAGTTCAGCCAGGCTCTCGCCGCGGGGTCTGATGCCCAGCTCAAGCTTACCTTCACTGGTATCCTAAACGACAACATGGCCGGTTTCTATCGCTCGTCATACAAGGAGAATGGAGAGACCAAGTATATTGCTTCCACCCAGATGGAGCCCACCGATGCCCGCCGGGCGTTCCCTTGCTTCGATGAACCTGCGCTCAAGGCTAAGTTCACGGTGACCCTTGTCGCGGACAAGAGCATGACTTGTCTGAGTAACATGGATGTTGCCAGTGAGACCGACGTTCAAGGTAGCTCCAAGAAGGCTGTTAAATTCAACACTACCCCCGATATGTCCACTTACCTCGTTGCTTTCATTGTTGGACATCTCAACTATGTCGAGACCAAGGCTTTCCGCGTCCCCGTTCGCGTGTATGCTACACCCGACCAGGACATCGAACACGGTCGTTTCTCTCTGGAGCTCGCTGCCAAGACTTTGGCTTTCTACGAGAAGGCCTTTGACAGCGACTTCCCGTTGCCGAAGATGGACATGGTGGCAGTGCCCGACTTCAGCGCAGGAGCCATGGAGAACTGGGGTCTGATCACTTACCGAATCGTCGATGTGCTGCTGGATGAGAAGACCAGCGGTGCTTCGCGCAAGGAGCGTATCGCCGAGACCGTTCAGCACGAACTGGCTCACCAGTGGTTTGGTAACCTGGTGACCATGGACTTCTGGGATGGACTGTGGCTCAACGAGGGTTTCGCAACCTGGATGTCTTGGTATTCTTGCAATGTTTTCTACCCCGAGTGGAAAGTCTGGCAGACCTATGTTATCGACAACCTGCAGGGTGCCCTCTCTCTGGACTCCCTTCGCTCCAGCCACCCCATCGAGGTTCCTGTCAAGCGCGCCGATGAAATCAACCAGATTTTCGATGCTATCTCCTACTCCAAGGGTTCTTCTGTGCTGCGAATGATCTCCAAGTATCTCGGCGAGGATGTCTTCCTGCAGGGTGTCCGCAACTACATCAAGAAACATGCCTATGGCAACACTGAGACTGGAGATCTGTGGTCCGCTCTTGCCGACGCAAGTGGCAAGCCCGTGAAGTCTGTCATGGATATCTGGACCAAGAACGTTGGATTTCCCGTCATCGGTGTGACTGAGAACCCAGGTTCCTCCTCTATCACCCTGAAGCAGAACCGCTTCCTGCGCACTGGTGATGTAAAGCCGGAGGAGGACAAGGTTCTTTTCCCGTGCATGCTGGGCCTGCGCACTAAGGATGGAGTCAACGAGAGCACCATGCTGACCGAGCGTGAGGCTGAGTTCAAGGTTCCCGACCTGGACTTTTTCAAGCTCAATGCCGATCACTCTGGTATCTACCGCACCTCCTACACCCCCGAGCGCCTCACCAAGCTCGGTAAGGCCGCGCGTGATGGCCTGCTTTCCGTTGAGGATCGCGCTGGTATGATTGCTGACTCCGGTGCTCTGGCTGCTTCTGGTTACCAGAAGACCTCCGGTATGCTGTCGCTGCTTCAGGGTCTTGACACTGAGTCTGAGTTCGTTGTTTGGAATGAGATCCTTACCCGTATCGGTACTCTCCGCGCCGCCTGGATGTTTGAGGACAGCAAGACCAAGGATGCCCTCAAGGCTTTCCAACGCTCGCTCGTCTCCTCCAAGGCCCACGAGCTTGGCTGGGACTTCTCTGAGAAGGATGACCACATTCTGCAGCAGTTCAAGGCCCTCATGTTCGGCTCTGCCGGTATGGCCGAGGATCCCGTTGTGATCAAGGCTGCTCAGGATATGTTCGCTCGCTTTGCTGCCGGTGACCTCTCCGCTATCCACCCCAACATCCGCGGTAGCGTCTTCACGATTGTGCTGAAGCACGGCGGTGTCAAGGAGTACGATGTTGTCCTGGACCGCTTCCACAACGCCGCGACCTCGGACGAGAAGACCACTGCTCTGCGCTGCCTGGGTACCGCTTCCGACTCTGCGCTCATCAAGCGCACCCTCGATCTCGCCATGGGCGATGAGGTTAAGAACCAGGATATCTACATGCCTCTGAGCGGTCTCCGCAACCACCAGGCCGGTATCGAGGCTCGCTGGGCCTGGCTGAAGGAGAACTGGGACGGCATCTACAAGCGTCTTCCTCCCTCCCTCGGCATGCTGGGAACTGTCGTCCAGCTCACTACTTCCAGCTTCAGCACTGAGGCCCAGCTTAAGGATGTTAAGGCATTCTTCGATGCCAAGGACACCAAGGTCAGTTTCTTACCAACATATTGTTCATCTTCCAGAGATTATTTTTTCGTTAACATATTTTCCTTCTAGGGCTACGACCGTGCCGTCGAGCAAAGCCTGGACGCCATCCGCGCCAAGGTCAACTGGATCGGCCGTGACCGTGATGACGTCGAAGCCTGGTTGAGCAAGAACCAAAGCAAGCTGTAGACGAATCGTCACAACAATGCTTTACCAATAATCATTTATTAAATATGTACCACCCTTGAGAAGACGGGTTTTCTTTTGGTGGCTTTTCTCTTTGACCCTAAGATATGGTTGTCGCAGTCGCACGCGGGTTGTGTCTCTGTTGAACAAGATCAAAATCACACTCAACTCATCGTCATAGACCTAGTTCCTTTGAAATGAAATTCAATGCCGGCTAGATTTATTAATGGGATTAGAATGTGAGCGTAGCATGTTAATACCTCATAGTTACTAGTTAGTACTCGACCAAAAGTGCGGTATTGCTTGCATACCATGTTCAAAATTTACTGAGGGCTGACTACATGAGACCCAGGGCAATCCTGGATTTCCATTGATTAGTTAGTGCTTGATCGATCACTGCACCAATAGGACTGGGGCTATGAGGAACGTACTGCACACCTAATCTCGTAGTCCAACTAAGCCTAAATGAGTAACCTGATCGGGTTTATTTGGGGGCCAGGATCCACTACCCTTCAAGTTGTTCATCGGGATTGTCCATCGTGCTATTCTGTACTGATTTTAATATAGGAATTGACTTTGCCTCTAGAATGCTTAGTGAATACCGAAATAGGTGTACAGTGCGACCGGTGATCCCTACTAGTATCTACTATGAGCAAGGCGGAGTCGAAATGCCTCTTGTAACTTTGACCCCATCAAAGGATATAAAATAGACCGAAATCCTCAGTTTATTATTATTTTATACAGATTCACAGAAAGCAAGCCCTGGAGATCTTTGCTTTATTCTAACAGCGAAAGCAACGAGAAATCTCAAGAAGGACCTCTGTACTCATCGATTTCGACGCTATGCGCTTTCTCGCTTTCGCCCTCTTGGGCTGCCAGCTCTCCATGCCATCGGTAATTTCCCACAAGCAAAACCCCCTGAAATCGACTCGGAAGTCTCTTTCAAGTTCTAATGTCCTGCTTTATTGTTAGTTTGCCCAAGTTGATAACTACCCAAATGCCATATACCAGCTGAGCAATAACACGGAGTTCGCATTCGTGCTTGAGACCGTCCTGGCACTCAGTAACGCCGGCGGCGCATCAACAGGCGAGGTATTACGAGCTGCCAGTCAAATAACCCCCGGAGACTTTGAAAGCTGGTACAAAGAGTTCATGTACCTTGGCGATGGAATCCACGCCAAAGCAACATCCATCAACGCATCACGCTTCCCCGTCTCAGCCCGCGAGGCCTACTTCCGCTCATCATCCTACTATCGAGTCGCACCCTTCTTCCTCCACGCAAATCAAAGCGATCCCCGAATCAACAAGGTCGGAGCACGCTCTGTATCAGATTTCAACAAAGCAGCCGCACTCCTCTCGATCCCTCCCGTGAACCTGAACCTACCAGCCTCAAGCCCCAATGTCCCGAACGGGAAATTCTCCGTCCCAGCCCGATTCTTCAAGGCACAGCGCGGTCACGAAAGAGTACCCACCATCATCATCGGAACTGGCTACGACGGCTCACAAGAGGATTTATACCACGAGATGGGCATCGAAGTCCTGGCCCGTGGCTGGAATGTAATTACCTACGAGGGACCCGGTCAACCCACAGTTCTGCGGACGCAGAAAATCGGCTTCATACCAGACTGGTGGAACGTGATTTCTCCAATTGTAGATTACCTCGAAACACGCGATGACGTCGATCTAGACCGCGTTGCGCTCGTGGGTATCTCCTTTGGCGGTCAATTGGCACCGCTGGCTGCTACGAGGGAACATCGACTGAAAGCCGTGTTGGCGATTGATGGGATGAACGATCTATACGGACACTTCAAGGATGAAATGCCGGATAGTCTCACCGATCTTTATGACCAAGGCCATTATGAGAAATTCGATGAGGAGTTCTCAGAGGTTGAGTCATCTGGAGCTACCTATCTGCGCTGGGCTATTGCTCAGTCGCTTTTCAGCTTCAACACGACAAGTGCGTCTGAGTGGTGGGGGCGTTTGCCGGAATTCACGCTCAATTCTACCATGTTGAAAAACATCTCTTGCCCTGTTTTTATTGGGGAAGGGGAGAATGATAGTTCTGCGCCAGGACAGCCGGAGTTCATGGCTAAGGCTATTGGAAAGAAGGCTACTTATAATCTTTTCAAGAATGATCTTGGCGCTGGTGAGCATTGTCAACTTGGGGCGGAGTTTCAGTTGGCTCAGGTTACACTAGATTGGCTGGGTGAGACTTGGGATCACGTTTCGATGCCGAGGAACCTTACCAATGTTGTCTATTGATCTGGAGAAGCTGGAATTGGGCTTGGGAAAGTAGTGAAAATATTCATATATTGATTTATTGTGTCTATAAGTGTCCACGGAAAAGGAGGATCCCCTGATAGAGTACTAGCCATTTCAACAACCTGACCAGCCAGGTACTAGCAATGGAATTCTATTTAAGCTTTAGTTATCAACTGACATACCCATGGCCTAATCTGCATTTTTCTCTCCGGGGCTCTCAAAGTCTGAAAATCACAAGCTCACCAACAAGCCACGGGTTTCTTCCAAGATCCCAAAACTCACCTCCAGTCTTTCTCAATTTCCACTGTATCCAAGACCCACAGAATGCAGCTGCGCGAGGAAAAGCTCAGCTTAGAGTGGGGAAACTTCCCCGACAAGGCTGAGCCAAGCTGAACTCCCGGACTACGTATGCACAGTTTTTGGCCCCCACAAAGCTTAGGTCGAGTTAATCTTCCCCTGAAGAGTCCCCCACTATCTTCTATTATAATCATCCTTTCATCCGCATCCTTCATTTCTATGTTTCCACATCCATTCTACTAGTCATGGTCTACAGAGGAAAGCCGGGACTGGGGTGCGACTTGTGCCGAAAGCGACGCCTCACGGTAAGTAACTAGAAGCTACTAACAATACTGGTGGTTTACAACTTAAACTGACCAGACAGTGCGATCGCCAACGACCATCATGCTCTCAGTGCATAAGGATCCACCAGAAATGCACAGGGTATCGAGATCCAAACATGTTGAGAGTCTTTGACCAGACTGAAGAAGTCTCGCAAAAGGTCGAGGCCCGACGCAGGGCCTCGCGCAAAAACTCGCCCACTTCATCACAGGGGTCAATTACCCCGGCAAGATTATCCCCTCCGCCGCTTTCCATTGATGATCATGCTATGTCCCACCTTTTTACCTTCTGGGTTGGCTCTGGCCAAAGCCAAGGCATATTATGGTATGTGCCGGAATTACTCTGCAAAGAGTCTTCTGTTGCACTGCAGGCTGCTTCCAGGGCGTTGGGACTGGCTAGCATGTCAGGCATGCAGGAGACGTCTAACTTAGGACGGTCGGCAGCAGAGTCATATGGTATGGCACTCTGTGCTACCAATGATGCCCTTAGAGACCCTGCCTTGGCAACAACTGACTCCACCCTGACCGCTGTCATGATGCTGAGTACCTATGAGGTAAGATGTTCTCCTTTAATCAACAAAAGAACAGATTTTAATATCTCTCAAAGATGATAATGGGAAAAATGGGAAGACATGAGATGCACGGATGGATGAACCACATTCTAGGAGCCACCAGAATGCTTGAGCTTCGAGGTGAAGCGCAAATGGATTCCGAGCTAGGGCGATTTCTTTTTGAAACCGTGACATTGTTGAATGTCAGTTTGACTTGGCTTATAAAATTCCCAAACTATACTGACACGAACATCGTTAGGCTATAAGCGGTGTTTTATTCCGGTACTCAAAGCATAATTCGCAGAGGATCTGGGAGCTATCAGAACTTGCGGAAACAAAAGACAATCAAGATGCTGGACCCCGCGAAAGATTCTATCGAATCATTGTCCGCTTGAACGACTTATCAATAAAAGTCGACAGGGCCGAAAAATCCGCTGAAAACCTCGGATCCTTGTTGAGCGAAGCTCTCGTACTCGAGGCAGAACTTGAAGCATGGTGCATGTCTTTGGACGATACCTGGAGCTATGCTATTGTGAAGAGAGCGCATGCTTCGACTCACGAGCACTTTTGCTCTGCAACTGGTAGAAAGACATATCATACGTACAACAGCCTCGCCATAGCTGGGATGTGGAATTTCTACCGGCAAATGCGAATTATTCTCAATGAAATGATCCGATCGATTGCTGATTATCTTCTGGGTTTCCAATGGACATATGAAGGTGAGCAGATAGTGTTCCAATCTATTTCCGCCATGGACCAGTTGGCGGATGATATTTGTGCCAGCATCGACTACTACTTCATTTACGGAGCACCGGGAGTCGGAGGTGTGCTCCGCTTGCAATTGCCGTTGTTCGTTGCGGCGCTTTGCACGGACAAATATTCGGAAAGATACACTTGGATATTGCAAATGTTGGACATGCTTGCTACTCTCACTGGTTTCGAACAAACGAATAGTTTATCGCAGCGTCTCAGGAACAGCTCGAACCGCGGTATTCTTCCAAGTATAATGAATTGATTAGATATTTACACATACGCGAATATAGGAAGCACTCTTTCAAACGGCAAAATCGTCATTTTATCGCATATTATAGGCGGTGCTTTCGCCTGGAGCTTAGGAATAGGGCTTGCTATTAGCATAGCACTGAACCTCCTGCTCACGGGGTAGAATCCCATTAAGAATATAGTCCTTTGCTAGACGGTCTGTACAATCGGAAGGATCTCGCCTTGAACTGTGTCCATAGGCATTATGAACAATCAATCTTGCGTTTTGTCCCATCTCTTTCAAAAGTCGTCTGCCATTACGCAAGGGCGTCGCAGGATCATATGGGGAAGCGATGAGAAGAGCAGGAGTTTTGAGAGTATGGTTCAGATCGCCGCGGTAAACCTCGGATGGTGGATCCCAGTATGTATTGAAATGTCGGCAAGGCATGACTGCGAAAAAGCGCGAGTTGCCTGCAATCCAGCTCTGGGTGGTCATATTTGCCCACAACTCAGCCCACCATTCCAGTCCATCTGGAAGGGGCGCGTCGTATGCATCGGAGCAGATTACAAGCAGTTCAAGCTCGCTGGAAGATGGGTTGCCGGGGAAGACGGGCTTGTCGGAATTGTCGCTCCATGATGAATCTAGCTGGTTCGCTGCTAGTGTTGCGTTTCCTGCCTCGAGCTCGTAGAGCATGTGTGCGACTCTCGGCCATTCCGTAGGTCTATACATAACCGGATACAGCACCCTCTCCACAAGCGCCGAGTAGGTGATCAGAGATGGACCGCCTAGCTCTGTATATGCTGATTGCGGGCGAGCTCGAAGAGACTCGAGAAGTCCGGCCATGCGGTCCTGGAGTTGTTTGAGTGTGACTGGTCCATCGCCTGGAATTGGCTTTGCTAATGCGCATGCCTCTGGACCAGACTTGACACACTCGCCCAAGAACCCATCATTCCAAGCATCAGTCGTATTGTCGAGAGCAGTCCATCCAAATCCGCCCAAGAGACGGTGGTCCCGAACATATTCGGTCCCATCAAGAATCAAACGACCCGCTCGGTTGGGAAACATGTTAACGTATGTTTGTCCAATCCCAGTGCCATAACTGACAAAGTACCCTGAAACCTCCTCTTCACCTAGCGCCTTTCGAATCTCATCAAGGTCGCGAGCCACCGATGCTGTACTCACGAATCGACCAAAATCCCCTAGCCGTTGCTGGCATGCGAAGAATGTTGCATTATTCATGGCGTCAAGTACCTCCAATTGTGAAATTGGAGCTTCTTCACGATAATTGAGTGACAAGAGAGACCATCGGTCGCGGTGGGAATTTTGAGGATAACATGCTCCGGAGGGAAGGGAGAGATTGACACCGCGTGGATCCCAAGCCAGGACATCATATTGACCGTCACTAAATCGATTGGTCATTTCTTCTGCAGTCTCCCAGAGGAATGTGTTTCCACTTCCTCCCGGGCCACCTGGCTCGATGATGAGAGTGCGTTCACTCTTGTACTCATTGCGAGCGGTTGAAAGTTCGGTGTCATTCTTCAGGGGTAGACCAGCGACCTGGAATTTTGTCACCGCAATGCGAACAATGCGGTGGTCTGTGGAATTATGATAGTCAAGTGGAAGGTCCAAGTAGCCACAAAGATAGATGCCCTGGCCTGTGCTACCCCAGCTCCAGTGCTTGGGATCGGCATCGAAGAGGGCAGCCCACGATTGCTGAGGGGTCGTGTCCTCCAGGGGCGGCGGAAGACTGGCATCAGTGCAGGGTATAAACTGGAATGGGTCACCTTTCTGTGGGAATATCCCATAGGGCGAGGTGTGCACCGGAACTTCGATATTCTCATGGACTTTGGAGCCTGGGAAGACCCAGTGATGTGCGCGGGGAGGAAATCCACCCAGCCCCATCAGGCCGATCGTCCCAGCGCCCGCAACAAGCCATATCAAACTCTTCCTGAATCGTTTCCCAGGCTGAGCTGGATAAGCGGGCTTTCGCTTTTCCATGGCTGAATTTTTCGAGGGGGGTGGGAAAAGCAATGGTGCCCCCGAGCTTGCGCTTTAAAGGGCTATGGCGCGAGCCTTGAGGATTTGGCGCTATTCTGCAGGCAAAGCTGATTGGACATCGGAGTTGAGATACGACCCTACGCAAGCTCCGAACTCCGCATTTATCTATCAGAGCGGTGTTTAAGAAAGAACTTGATTGGACTGTTAATCGAAATTGCGACCTCCGATTGCTATTTGAAGATTGAGTATACCTGCAGGGCTCTTCACTCCTTGGTTAAAGAATGTTTACCCGCTCCAAAATTGCAAGTAGTAAAAATCAACCTCTAATTCAGACAACCAGTTACTGAAAAGGTCTCTCATTTAATTTTATGAACAAGAAATTGCTTGAGTGGCGAACCTCGAGTAATAATACTTTTAGTAACTACTAGATGGTTTCGGGACACCTAGGCGGGGAATAGAAAAGATATACCGAAGCCTGTTGCTGTTGCCTTGAGTAGTATTGGATGATAGTATTGCATTATGAGCTTTTGAGAAGTAAGACGAATATAGATTCAACGGATATAAATAACTACAGGAAAATTCGACTGAGAAATGAAAAGCGAGAAGATTGAAGCTCCAAGCTCCTGTCATAGCGATAATGAACCGGAAATTTCCAACGATGTTGTTCAAGAGTGGACCATTCGAAAATGTGTCCGATATCGATCCCTTCGATTGAAGCTTTTGTTACAGTGTTGGCACCTGTATCTATTTGGCGACACATGCATGGTTTCAATATGCCGCATCAATGTCCCTTCGCTTGCAAAATGACCAGAGTATTGGCAGTCTCTCCATTCACAACGAAGCGATGAACTAGAGGAAGGTTAGAAGCGACTGGAAACCGGATCCCGGCTGAGACTTACGTATTGTTGCCATGGCTTTTCTCTGGGCTGTGGCCATTCGGTTGATGAAATCGTGAGGAAATAGGATTAAAATCAAGAACATCACGATGACCCAAACCAAAGGACTCGGAGTGATTGATATCAAAATTTTCATTCAATATGACATCGTTCTCATCTGAAAGCAAAGGAATCAAGCTCTGTTGTTGAGTTTGACTAGTGTTGATATTGAAGGAATCAATTGCCTGCTGGGCACATGTGAGACCAGAATTAGGTGAGAGGGCTTTGGAAACTGAACCAGAGGGCCCAGTGGGGGAGAACGGGCCGGGGCCTTCGTAGAGTCTTGGAGGTTGGAAGAGCTGGAGTCGGCCATCATTGTCATAGTATCCAAGAAATGGAACCACTCGCTTGTTGCCAGGCATCTCCAAATACGAATTAGTACTACCAGTAATGCCTAGGTACTAGTAGTACTTGATCGCTTAAAAGGCTTGTGATAAAAATCGGAAAACTTTAGAGGATAGTTAATAGTTAATCGTTCCAGTGGTCGTCTTTATATACCTGGGCCTCCATACCTACTAGTTAGTACCGGACAACTTCTTCCAAGGTTGTCTCTCCCGACAAAGGTGGCCGGAAGAGCAAGATTGCGCAGCAGCCCCAGAGCTGCAGTTGATGGCGCTTGTCCCGAGGTCACTGGGTTGGCGGAAGCCATCATCGGAAAGGTGAAAATTCATTGGTGCTACTCCCTTCACGGCACAGCTTAGATGCGTGTCCCGGATCTTCCTGCATGATCTGGCTTCTAGGAGTCTTCCCCTCGTAAAGTGTCATGCGGCTCTGCCCCCGCCGATTGGCTGCAGACCTGGTGATTTAATAAAGTTATGATAGGCAGTCTTGCTCTTTCGGAACCTGACTGCCTAGCGCCAGGGTCTGTAGCTCCATTGTCATAAACGAAAGAGCCTATCAAAGACAAAGACCTGAAACGAAAAGGCTTGGGCATGTTTTGGTTTCCTGAACCCCGTACGCCAGCCCTGAAGAGTATTCCTATTCGTCATTATCATATGCACCATGATGCACAATACGCATCATGTACTTATCACCTCTTTCCCTCTTTCCCATTTACCCTCCCCCTTCCGATCTCGGCCCCCTCGATGGCCTCAGCTGATGTGGCACTGACACAGTTTCTCGAGTTCTCTTGTTGCCTTTCCCAGACAAGGCAAGACTAACCCGAATAGAGTTCACCAAACACTACTACATCTTAGTCTAACGAACAAGTCCCGATCTCTGGAGCTCCCAACTCCAAATTTAGGGCACCCCGAGATTTCCACAGGGCTGAGCCACATGTTTTTCTGGACTTGTCAGGCCGTGTGACTCAGTTATTCTCAGTCTTTCACCCTGGTTACTGGCGGGCCACAACAATTATTTTGCACATCGGCCCGTATGAAGTGCTCGTCTCCTCCCCTATTTTCGCCGATGACTGTACCCGAACCACACCGCTATCATTTCTGAAGTTAATAGATACCATAGGTGCATCGAAGAGAAGCCTCACCCCCAAGGGTGAAAAGGCACACATATTGTACAGTAAACTGGGATCCATCGTACAAATTACGGGGGAATCGGCCGACGAGGCTAAATGAATTCTCCAAGAGACAGTATTGTTCAAGCTCCTGTGTAAAGTTTTAACAACAGTTTTCCTATCAGCATCAGTGGCATTTTATTTCATTATCATCGCCAGGTGAAATAGAGATTAAGCTAAAAGCTTGAGTAGATTAAAAAATTCGGTCTAAGTCGTGATAGTGTGACAGCAAGCGTGAATTGAATCATGTAGAGAATAATTAGCTTCCGACCCGCTGATATCCATTTTTTGTGGTCGGAGAGTGACCTTCCCCAATTTGCTGCCTCTCCTCGCTGGTGGCTTCATCTTGACGAACAGGGTTAAGAAGATAGTTTCCATTGCTGGATTCCTCATCCTTCTGGACCGAGAGACCATCTGCAGGCGGAGGCGGGGGCACTCCATGCTTAGCCACATGAGTCTCGAAGTCATAATATTCCTTCCCTTTAGTAACCAGCTCTACAACAGCAATTCCCAATAGTAGAACTGCTGTTGTTTGGCCAAAGTCCCATTCATTCTCGTTATTTGTTTCGCCTTCGAACTTTCCATGATTTGCCTGTCGAAGAGCAATCGCCATGTAAAGATGCAAGGGGAAGTGGAGTGCGCATAGAATCAGAATCGCACGTCTCTTACCAACTCCAGCAAAAACGCTAGATAGAACGACAAGCATGAGCCAAGCACTGGTGAAAGCCACATAGATCTTATCTGCGGCTGGGTGCGAGGCTGATGGGCTCGTCACCAGGTGCGAATGATAGCAGCGACCGGGCTCCTTGTTCGGAGCCCATTCATCCAGGCGAAGCTCGAGCCATATTGTCAGGGCAAGGTATAATGCGAGGAAAATATAAGCAGCTCGATATCGGCGGTCAAACCATGATACACGTTCGCGGAGGCCACGGCTCTTAGCATCAGGTTCGCTGATTTTAGCACGACAGTATCTCCAACAGACCAGCGCAGCCGTATTTGATACTCCGACAAAGCTAGAGATGTCGAAAACGAGGTGGAGGTGGTAGGTATCCATTATCATGCCCTGGTGGGAAAGTAATGACATGTCAGCGATACCGAAAAACTTCATGGGGAAGGGGATAGTAAGGACTCGTACTTGTGCGAAGGTAGTGATCATATACGCGATTCCCAGCGTCGTTTGAAAGTCCGATCCAACCATCAAAATATCCATCACAAACTCCATGCGCTTGCGTTCAACCACACGCCCGATCGAGCCTTCTGGGTGCGTAATGTCCATATTCCCATGCTTCGTTAGGAAGAAAACCCAAGCCGACAAGCACAAGGATAGGAGGGCTTGGCCAGCAAATCCCACCAGAATCTGTTCATAATCAGCAAGACTATTCTATTGCCATGTTTCGGGTAGATGTATACAAACCCCATTGCCCACCAATGTGGCCATTTCCTCCCCGACTAGCTCACATTCTCCTCCACCGGCTTCTTCCCTTTTCCAAAAATCCATCGCGGTGTATTATAAGCCACTGGCCGCTGTGAGGAGGTGAAGAGAAAAACCCGCGTCGCAAGCCGGGGCAGGCTTCGTTTAGTCTTTATCAGATTTCCGCCCCAACGCTATTTCGAGATGGACTTGGCTTTCAGCTGCCAAGGACAGCCAAAACTCTTGGCGCGAACAAGGCCTTCTGGCACGTTGGCAGCATGATTGCGATCCAGATGCCTAAAGGTAGGGTGATCCGCAACAATTACTCCAAATTTGATCGCGTTGATTGGTGCTGCATCTCTTTTTCCTAGATTGGTCTAGTCGTTTATGCCTGAACACGCTGTCTGCGGGGCGTGAAAGGGGTTCTGATTTGCTGCTGCGTCTGGCTTTCTGGCCCCCACGATGATCGCTACCCCGTAGACCGGCATTTGTCATACCAGCAGTTGCAGCTATGTGAGCTTGGTATTTTTTTATTTGTCAAATCTCAGTGTTCGATGTGGACGCCTTGAAAAGCTTAGTACACAGGCAAAGCCGCAACGAATAGGCAAGGCCACGATTTATAAATACTCATCCATTGAAACTCCCTGAAAAGTAGCACAAATGCTCCACGTTTGGCTGACTCGGAGATCAGAAGTACTTGATAGTACACCCTCGAGGTGAACCACCGTTGACCACGGTTCGCAACCAAGTTGCACGTGGCAGATTGTCATGAATACTCTTTAGATGTGACGGAGGATGGAAACCAGGAAATGGTGCGTGCATGCGGATATCTAGGAGGGAGAGAGAGGGGGTGCGAGGCTGGGAAGGCGAGATGTGAGTGTCTGGGGTGGTGCCCGAGGCCTACGCCCAACAAGAATCATGTAGCAGATATGGACGACCGGCTTAATTCTTTGAAACCACCATCCACACCTTGAAACTAATCCACCCAATTTGGGCGAATGCAGCCCTGGAGAAAGAATATCACGTCGAGGCGTGAATGCCTCAGGTACCAAGACCGCCATAGTTAACTAACTAACTAACTACTGTGTCTTCGCGCTCTCTCATCCAATCACCACCTTCAATCCTCCAATATTATATCTAGTGAAAGATGGGAATGCTCGCTGGCTGTCTGCGTGAGCAGACGGGTCGATCGCAGAGGGACAAAACCACCACACACGCAGTGTGCAGGAGAGTAGGCAAGGCGATGGCCACTAAGATATAACCTCCTAAGGCATCCGAGCCTTCATGAGCAGTACACCGATACCGCTACCGCCGCAGGAACTGAAAAGACTGAATCATGACACTTGACAGGTGTGTGTATTCCTAGAATACTATCGCGCGAACTAAATATCTCCCTGTAAGCAGACACCTTGTTGCTAAGGCTCTAGTCACATAACTCCGATGTTGAGAGCAGAATCCCCATTACACTAGGTATTTCCCCGCCCTGCATCGCCCAGTCACAGTTGGTCCAGAGGTGTATCTAGCAATTTAATCGATGACTTTTTATTTCTTTTTTCCATGCTCATCCGCAGCAGAAAGTCGCAAAGAAGTCTTATCATACTATTTGAAGTAGGTGAGGAAAAGTTCTGACAGCAAAATTGACGCGTAGATCTGATCTCTCATCCATCTCCATATTGTCAATTTTGCATTTGGCTTTGTCAACAACCAATGGCTTTGAGCTGAGAATATTACTAAGAAGCAGGCCAGCTAGTACTACTAGTAGTCTATCGACCTTTTGACCAATGTAAGTATGCAAAGCCTGGAGCCCCAGTATTTTATTTCACATCTAGTAGTAAAACTATCTTATAGTATACCCGAACGGCTCCCGTATTGTCGTCTCAAAATTCCGGATGCTGCCCCCTTCCGACTTGTCTTCTCTCCCGAGGTCTCTTCAAGTTTTCTTTCGCCCATTCTTTCGATAACTCAAGCAGCATCTCAGATGTCGTTGTTGCCGCCAGATAGACAACTGCTGAAACTTAGGGAAGGACCACAGTAGGCGTTCGATTTGAAGTTTGCCGTGGGGCCGATTTTCAACCATCCATCCCATGTGCCTCCATGGTCCATGCGCAGACATTCAGTACCGCAAAGCTTGTTGCCATTGGTATCATCGAGATACTTCTTGACTGCGCCTGCGATGGTAGCCTGTTGTGCTGTCGTATCGCAATGTCAGCCGGAGGAGTGATAGACCCAGGACATGGACTGGTAGGTTCCACGCATGGTGTCGCAGGAACCTTGATCGGACAATTCCTTGATAGTACTGGCAAGAGATTTTGCCATAGCAATCGCAAAGTTCGTGATCACGACACAGGATGCAGTTGCAGCGAGGATCCGCTCACAAACTCGGACAGGAGTTCGCTCCACAAGGGCATGACCGAAGTCCCTTGTCTGAAGGCTCGATTCGGTTGCAGTCTCGTTCAAGCTAATTTGTAACCATCTGTCTGGTGTTGGCTGCCCATCGATAGATGAAGGCCAGGTAGAGGCCTGCACTGATGTTGAACAGCAATAAATTGCTATCAAGAGGCCTTTGAGAAGACGCATAGTAGGCTAAGCTGTTGAAAATGATAAGACCAGCTAAACAACACAAACGAGCAATATCTGGCAGGCGGTCCAAAAGACTGGCCATCGCTTTAGAATTCTCAGTAAGGATAATTAAGTAGTTCGAAAAGCGCCCGTCCTCTATACGTTTGGTTATGGCCGCCAGAATGTTCTGTGACCTTGTGTGACGAACCTGGCCGCTGTTGCCTGAGTCACCCGATACGTCACGTGCCTAAACACCAGTTCATGTACGATAGTTGCGATGAGAGCTCTCTCTCTCTCTTTTTTTCTCTAGTTTTGTTACTTTTCGTCAAAATACTACAATATTTCAATATTCGAGTCCTCACACCTTGGGTATTGAGTAGTTTGAAGATGAAGATTTTTTTAAGTCATAACAGCTCAGTATCACGCTAAATTCCCCACTAATTCACAGGCGGGGGGGCTTCGCAAGACTCTCGATCAAAGATACATACCTACCTTAAGGTACCCCCAGTTTTATTTTAGTGGTACGATAGAACAGGAAGGGGGTGAATTTGGTGCAGGCAGAAGGGATAGTTCGCTAGTTGTGACAAACTTTCGGAAAGCTAACTTTTGGAAAGCTAACTTTTGGAAAGCTACACAGCAATGTTTGTTCTCAAAGCTATTCTAAAAATTGTCTCGAAATAATATGGATGTCCTAAATAGAGCCTGATAGACCCAAGGATTATTTGGGTACAAAGGAGGGCATGTCATCTTTCTCGCCAGGAGTATCTACAAGTATACTGTTTACCTTATAGCAACTCTGTTTAATTATTATATGCTACATAGTATTCATACAAATCAGGCTAATTAAGCTATTCCACGAAGCTTAATAAAGGTGACAGTGGGGAGTACTAGTGACAGGGGCCAAAAAAGGGTATTTTATGTGATTTTTACTGGGCCAGCTATAGTGGACTCTCGGCTGAAAGAAACCTGTTCAATGAAATATCTGCACTAACATCTTAGTATCGGCGCAAGAAAGAGACTTAAAGTCGCACCGGTGTGTACGGAGTGAGTTATAGTAATTGCCAAGGGAATGTCGAGAATGGCTTAATCAGACGCAAAAGTCTACCAGTGATATCCCAAAGGCTGGCTAATTTGCCACATATCTAGCTATCCTGGCAACTTGGAGGATTTTGAGGAGGCCGACTTGCTTTGTCCATAATCTGGCCCCCACGAAAGGCCGGCCGGCGTAAGATGCGAAAGGGTGCTAAGGAAATTGAAACTAAACTGATTCAAGTTTCGGTCAAGGAAGGAGTCTGAACTATGGAATCTGGTATCTGTACGGAGTACGGTCCTCCAACCGGGGCGAAACCGCCACCGGAATATGCGTTCGTACATAGGTGTTCACGCTCCGATGATTGCTGCAGCCTGGTTTATGCATAGAGAAAAGAGAGGTACGAAATCCGAGTCCCCATCCGAACATTCTTTCAGCGATCTAGCAGAGGCCTTAGATAAACAGAAAGCAATGACAGAGCTTGTTGGACATCATACGAAGATTGAGCTTCCCGGGAATAAGATGACAAAGATCAGAGCTGATGGCAAAGCAGCCACCCGCTGAACTCTCGGCTGACTACCACCCGCATCCATGTCCACCTGAACTTACTACTGGATGTTCCGAGGATTCTCGGAAGCAGGTAACTGCTAATAGTAGCCAGCAATGATTATTTTCCCCACTGTGGTGTCGCCGAATGTAGTACAAAGGAAACACATTAAGGGTATCCGAGTCTAAAGTGAGGTTAAACACTACATCTATATTGATAATGTCATCAAGTGCCCTGGAAGTTGATTGTCGAAATGATAGAACAGAATGGCAATGGCATAATAATGATATTTCTTTACTGTGGTATATCGAACAAGTCTTAATGCATTACGCCCAACCACCCTTACCTCCAAACCCAGAGCTATCCTCAATCTTCTTTGCCTGTCCACGATTCGGCTTAGACTGCGCAGCCTCATGTTTGCGCAATTCCTCCGGAACACGCGAGATAGGTGACTTCATAAGCATTTGCTTGAGATCGTACCTGTGATTTTCATTAGCATACCGAACAAAATATAGACCCAAAAGAGGACTGCAACAAAGTAAAAGGGCAAAACATACATAACATCCGAATCCTCGCCACCCAGGAACGTAATAGCCACACCACTTTTACCCGCACGACCAGTACGACCGATACGGTGAGTGTAGCTCTCGATCGAGGTGGCCATGTTGAAGTTGACGACAAGTGAGACGTCAGGGACATCGATACCACGACCAGCCAGATCGGTAGCGACAAGGACATCGGTCGAACCATTACGGACAGAGGCCAGGGCAGCCTCACGCTGATCTTGCGTCTTGGAACCGTGCAAGGTAACAGACGAGAAGCCCATATGTTTAATTTCGCGAGCAATAGCATCACAGTTTCGCTTGATGTTGACGAAAACGATGATTGGAGGACGGAAGTCTCCCGCAGAAAGAATCTCTGCAAGTCTCTTCTTACGCTTGTCTTCACCGGGGATCATTTCGACTCGCTGTTCGACTGTGTCGACGGCTTCGCCGATAGCACCGATGGTGATGATTGCTGGGCGACGAAGGTATTTGCGCGCGATACGCTCGACGGCTGCGGGCATGGTGGCTGTGTACATCATTGTCTGGCGGTAACGGTCTCGTCCGCTGATGTGTTGGCTCATGGCGCGCGAGTTTTCGGCTTCTTCGGTATCGGGCTTTTCGTTCGATACGGGGAGGGCGTCTAGGATCTTGTTGACGGGTTCTTCGAAACCGAGATCGATCATGCGATCTGCTTCATCCATGATGACGTAGCAACACTGGCTGAGGACGAGCATGCGACGCTCGATGCAGTCGACTAGACGACCTGGGGTAGCGATGATGATTTCTGCACCATCGCGGAGGCTAAAGGCTTGTTCTTCGATTGAGTGACCACCGACAATACTAACGACGTTGAAACCAAGCGGTTGGGTAAACTTCTTGGCTTCAATTTCAATTTGTTGCGCCAATTCACGAGTCGGTGCGAGAACAATGGCGTAGGGACCGTCGTTTTTGCGCCACTCGAACTCGTCTAGTCGTGGCAGCTCTGAGATGTATACCAAAAGTGGCAGTAGGAATGCAGCGGTTTTACCGGAACCGGTGACAGCCACACCGATAAGATCTCGCGACTGCATGGCGATAGGAATAGCGGCACGTTGGATCGCAGTGGGTTCCTTGTATCCAACGCGATCGACCAGCTCCAGCAAGCGCTTCGGCAAGAGACTCTCTTCCCAAGACCGCATCGGATTTGGCACGCTGCCACCCTTGGTAGCGATATTAAAATCTTCTTTGAAGATACGCCAGTCGCGCTCGCGCATGAGCTCCAACTTCTTCTCACTCCAGTGCTTATCGATCTGATGACGCGAGCCTTCCTCACGACGACGGCGTTCCATCTCCATGATCTCCTTCGCGCGAATGCTACCCGACTCCTGGTCCCGAGTTACCAAGGCGTCAGCATACTTGCGCGCCACATCGTCTGCCATGTCTTCTCCAAATCCTGCGAGTCGGCCTCTGCCAAAAAAGTTCGCTTCATGTCGGTGCTGGTATAGGGGATTGTAATCTCCACTTGTATCTTCCTCGATGTTCCACTCGAAATTGAACTTGCGATCTGTGGTGCGCTTGCGTTTCTTCTTGGCGGAAAATGTGGAGGTTTGATCAGCTCCCATATATTGCTTCTTGACGAGCGACGCTTGTGCCTCGGCTTCGTCTTCCTCTGCAAGACGTTTGTCGGCTTTCGCGTTCTTTGATTTCGCTGATTCCTTATCTTGTCCTCGTGATTGTTGTCCGTTTCGGGAGGGTCCAGGTCCAGACTGACGCTCGCTGCGCATGGCACGAGGTCCAGTTGGTACTTGTCCATTCGAATCTCTTTTCTCTGGGTATTTCTGCTCGGGTTTTGATGGGTGTTGCTCAGTTGAGAATCCATTGCGATCAACGCCAGTCGCAGGTGCCTTCTTCGCTTGTCGCTCGGCCTCTACTTCCTTAGCGCGCTTCTCCAGCGCGAGCTTTTCTCGTTGCGCTTTAGATAAGAACTTTGGCTGTAAGAAGAAAACGTATAAATTAGCGATCGTACATCCTTCGCGGTAAGAATGAATGCTGTCGGGTGGTGGAGAGCATACCTTTGCAGAAGCCGCATCCACCTCTTGCTTCTTGCGGATCAGATCCTCTACACTCAAAGGCACTGCAGAGGGCTTTTTCGCACCCCATCCTTGCTTCTTCTTCTTTGTCTCCACGGGCGGGGGAGGAGGAATGTCATCTGGAGGAGGTGGAGGTGCGCCAGCATCTGGTGGTGGCGGCGGGAGCTCCCGAGTCTTCGGGAGGAGGTGGTGGTGGTGTCGGGGGACGTTCGATGGGGTCGAGGGGAGGCCCAGGGGGGGGCATCCGAGCCGTTTGTCATAACAGCATCCATCGCAATGAACTGAGAACAATGTGATGTTGATCCGGTCGGACGATGCGGCGAGATGTCGCATCGAATTTCTACGGCGGAGCGCGATGGACCAGTCACGCGGTCACGTGTCACGTTATATAGATTTCAGGCCATTGGTATATCGACTTGGGGGAAAACTTGGGGGAAAGAATAGGACTGATAGAAAATGATAGACGTGGTCTCGACGGTTTATACTGTTACTAATATTCCATGCGTCCTGGCTTAGGGCTATATGGCACTAATCAGCCAGCTACCTAGGTACTCAATAGCTGGAGAAGACAAACTTGGCAATTTGCATATATTTGCTTGGTTTAGCATCATTCAAAGAGGGGAACTAGAGTACAACGGAACAACTGTTCCTAATCACAAGAGCAGGCCAGACAGATTGCCGAGAGGGCAAGGCCTATCTGGGCATAGCAAAATCGCTAAACAAACCTGTAGAAAGGAGGGGAAAACAAGAACGGTGCCATGGGGGACCGGCACAAAACATGATGCTACATAAGAGAGAAAAACTCACCCGCCCTGGTAGATGAGAAATCGAGTAAGAAAGAAGACACCTCGAAGAAAGGGAATGGCGGCTCAGAGCGACCGATACCACCGCAAACAGAATGTTCATAAGGAGACATGACAAGTATTACGCTGCCTGGCGAGGGCCTTAGGCGACCGGGGCGCCATTCACGGGGCTTTGTTGTTGCTGATAATAGGCATAAGCCTGCGCCGCGGCTGCAGGGTCCTGCGTATCGTGCATCGCAGGTGCGGGAACCGGAGCAGGCACTGCCGGCTGTACTTCTGCGGGGGTTGGTAGCACAGTAATAGCAGTTCCGCCGGTCCTAATGGCAGCGATGGAAGGTGGGCCATTGATCTCACGGTCAAGAGTCATGTACTCCTTAACGGAGTCCTTAGTGCCACGCTCAAGGAGGTAAGCCATGTAGATCTGCACGAGTTCCTTGACGATTTCGGCAGGCAATGTGCTCTTGGATCGAGAGTCGGCAACGACTTGCTTGATACGGTCGTACTGGACGGACTCAGCCTCAGCACTAGTGGGTTGCTCAACCTCAAACATGAGGTAAGAGGTCCAGAACGGACGGCTGTCGAGATAATACTGCTGGTTCTCCTGGAAGACCTTACGGGCATCATCGGGATCACCCTTGATCTTCCACAAGAGACGAGCCCATTGCGCGACGAGAGCAGCCTTGGTCGACATGTCAACCTCGGGCGAATCCAGCTGGGTCTTGTAGACCTCGATCGCGGAATCGAGACCGCCGTGGCGACGGCAGAGGTTTGCGAGTGAGATGACAGTCTCGACGTGACTGGGCAGGTTCATCAGGATAGCATAGTGGATGTCCTTAGCCACATCTGTCCGACCAGACATCTCCTCGAAATAGGCATAGTGGAGGCGGATCGTGGGATTCGCAATGGGCACATAGAGACAGCTAGCGCGTTGATAAACAATACGCGCCTCCTCTTCCTTACCGGACTGAGCAGCCATCCAACGGGCATACCGGAGCCAGAACTCATCGTAGTGAGCACAAGTCACCAGGCAGCGCTCGTACAAGAACTGGATGCGAGAGTAAGAGCCCTCGCTTTCCTCAAAGTCAAGATACTTCGACCAATTTCCGAGTTGGCTTTCGTCCAGTTCAGTAACGTGGAAGTAGGGACGCTTGATTTCCGACTCGTAAGTCCAGCGCTTGGTTGTTTCAGCTTGAGTCTTGGCAAAAACTTCCAGATGGTAGTTATCAATTCGCAATCGCAGATCACGCTCGATCTCAGCCTCGGCCTTTGCACCCGGAGGAACTTGGGACGAAGCGGCCTCCAGTTCTGTTCGGAACTGAGTCATGATTTCTGCAGGGGCGAGCTCCGCCAAGGGTCGGTTTTGTGCTAGCTGGCGATAGCGCTCAAAGTATCGCGCATACTGATGCATGGGGATATGAATGATACGGCCCAAAATGGCGAAAATCTTGTCTTGTGCCTCTACCCGTTCTTCGTATTCAATATACTTGTCCCAGAACGGGTGAGCAAGAAAATCAAGACCGACACAGTTCGCACCACGTTCAAAGAGGCTATTTTAGCTTGGTTAGCACACCGCACATTTCCGATGTTTGGGGGTGGGTTGGGTGGGGGGGGAATGGAGAGGGATGGTAGGAGAAAGTTATGTGTCAACCATGGCTCATGCTGTCATTGAGACAGGTCCAAAACATCAATCAACGGGATGAGCGAGCTGTAGGGGGGGAGGGTAGCCAGGGTTTTCGTGCGCGGGATTAAGAGGGAAGAGCCATTCGAGCGAGACTTTTCCATGGGCTGTCCGGGCAAGAGGCAAATCATGCCTGTCAGGCGGAGAAGGAAAGCAGCCTGGATGAGCCGGTGAGAAGTAAACTCCGCTTGATTCAGGGTGGGAAGGCGATGGTTTTCTCACCCATCATCAATGGAACATCTGAACCACCGCATATCCAAGCCTCAAAGAACATCGGGACAACAAGGGGCTTTCGCAAGCTGCGTCGGTCACGGTCACGGTTACAGGGAGAGGTAAGGGAAGGAAACCACGTATCGACTTACTCTCGGATAATGTCGGCGTCATGAGAGGTCTCGGCCTTGAAACCGCAATAGTTGGTCCAGAGGTCGACGGATGGGGAAATACTGGCAATTCCGCGTTCATAGACCTAAAAATAACACCGGGTTGTCAGACTTGAAGGCCCGAGTGAGAGTGACACGAAAACAACACAATGGGGAGTAGTATATCGTATTTGCGGGGTGGTTGGGAGGTTCCGTACCATCTCTGCGGCTTCGGTGCCGGTTATGGAAAACTCCAGATCGGCATACTTCTTCCAGTAACCAAAAAGGAGGGGAAACTTTGCGAGGAAGCGATCGTAGTTGGTGCGAACGGTGGAGATAGCTTGGGGATTCGAGTTACGATTGATGCCGCCCTCGAGGGCCTCGGCGCCACGGACAACCTTCTCCCAAGTCTCAAAGTTGTCGGGATCATCCAGCTATCAGAATCAACAAAGGTTAGCGACAGAGACAGTAGTAGAACGAGGATGTTGCGATCCAAGCCGGTCGCGCGCAGGAGAGCATCAGTCCGACATACCAACTCAAGTTCCAGCTTTCTCAGCTCCGCATTCTCCTCCTCGGAACCACCGTAGTTGTAGTCCGCCATGACGGGCGCAGTGAGACAGTGAGATGCGCAAGAAGAGAACAAAGTAATACAAGTTGATAAAAGATATGTCGCGAAGAGTTGAAGTTTTGATAACAATAGATGGGTGAAAGGGAGGAGGCTGAAACCAGCCGCTTCTTTCTCTCTTTTCCGCTTTTCACACCGTTACCGCCTTTGGCAGAACTATCTACGGTAGCCGATAACCACTTTGACTGGCAGAAAGAAAGTAGGCCAGTAGTGCAAAAGCATTGCTTCAAACGAGCGATTACTAGTTAATTATTGATTGCCTACTACTACTAGTTCGTGCTCTTTATATACAAAAAATAATACTCAATCACGATGAAAAATAACTTGATACTAATGAGTGCTAGAGCGAGGAAGGCGGTCAATCAATTGCAAACTGATGGTCATTGGCTGCCACAATAATCCCCCAATTGGGACTAGCGTGGGCCGCAACTTTTGTTCCGTCAACATCAAGACTCCCCCGAAAGTCCGCAGTAGCCACCTCCAGCCCTCAATTACACAACCCTCGCCATGGCGTCTATCACAGAGTCAGTGGGCAAGCTGCCCCTGCGTCTACGCAATTTCTTCGCCCGCTATCCACCCCAGGTCTACTCCGCCCTGGTCGCACCGCGCCCGACAGCCCCGGAGGGTGAAGCATCCGCCGAACAGAACCTGCCATCTCCATACACTGCCGACCGTGATGCCAAGGGAGCTCACAAAGAAGATCGCGAAGCCTTTTCTTTCTCTCGTGCTCTCCTGCACAATGACCCCAGCAACCAGAACCCCTTCCTCCCCCGGAAGATCTTCACCACTGGAAAGTGGATCGGACCGCGCTACGGACTGCGACAACAGGCCGACCTCGTGAAACTGGCAATCAAATACAATGTCGAGCCTCTCCTTCCCCCCAGCACCAAGTCGACCGAGTACAAGCAGGCCCGCCTGGCCGAGCGAGGCTTGCGTATCAAGGGTACCGGTATTGGCCAGAAGGTCAAGGGTCACAAGTGGGAGCGTACGATGGAGGCACGTCTCGAGGATCGTCGCAAGGCGATGACCGAGATGCCAGAGATGATTCGTTTGTGGAAGCAGGTACGTTTGTATTTCAGCTCAGCTGAGCAGAAGACCCACGCCCGAGAGCAGGAACATGCGCTAATGCAATCAATAGCGTGGTCACGGTCGTGGCTGGAGACAATGGCCCAAGCGGTAAACCAGATGAACACACTGTGCTCATGTTCATTCTTCGCTCTCGCCTGTCGATTTTCACCTTCGCTGCCAATCTCGTTTTGGCAATCCTCGGCAGACGCATCTGTATGAAATCATTTGCAGGGGTTTGGGATGGAGTTCTCTCTTATTTTCTATTCTTTTCTTCCATTCTTGTTTGATCATATTACCTGTACTATATAAAGCGAATGGGCATGTGGTCCATTATGCTTCCCCTTCCCCGCAGCGGCCTTAGCCCTCGCGGATGATTTCTGTGTGCATATCACCGCAGTAATCTGAATCACAATCCGATATCACAGAGACTATTGAACTGGTGCGGCTGAGAGGGTGCAATGGGACACTCGTGACGACACCAATCCCGCGTCTTCCGTAAATCATACCTGCCCAGGAGTAGTACTTTCATGAAACTGGCATGGTTGACAGCCACGTGTGTGCCTCTATGGATTACTAGTACGGCTATGGTGGCTAAGTAGCCAATAAGAGGGTCTGATATACCCGACTATCGTTTACGGAGTAACTACATAAGCGCTACTGAACAAGGCTTTTGTTGCTGCGACAGTCTGCAGAAATCACACTTTGCTTTTTCCTCCAGGCTTGGCAGCTTCAAGTTGCTTAATAGGATTACTAGTACCTGCCATTTGGACTCTTTGATCTCTCCAGGACTGGTAACCTTGGAATAGAAATTATTGATGCCAAGATTGGACACTGTACTTATCCGTTGCTACTAATACGTAAATATACGCACCCAGAATACAAACCGCCTTCAAGCTTACAGGGTAAGCTGACACGATAAGCCCTGTAAAGTCGGTTAGTCCCCCTGTATCCGGTACAGTTAAGGGATCCACCGAGGCGCTAAGTATCACCTTGAGGGGTTCAAATTGTTACTAGCAGCTACTACTACCTAGGTAGGTAATATGATCATTAGATGATTGTGATATGAGGTGATATTGAAATGGTAACGTGTTTCACCACCGAACCGCCACCACCACCGAGCCGCCACCCCACCTACATTACAACGATATATATTGAATATTACACAACCACCATATAATATATTGCAAAAACTAAGCACTATTCACAACCGGGCACCTATTCCGCTTGTGCCCTGGCTCTCTGCAATTAGTACAGCGCTGTACAGGCCTCCTAATCGTCGTCTCTGTAGCTGCCGGAGCACGCCGTGGCACCGGGGGTATTGCCATTTGGTGCTCATGCTCAATTTGTAGACGTAATTGCATCTCTTCGGCAGTCATTCCACCTTCGTATACCAATTGCTTATTAGGTAAGGCCTTTTTTCGCTGCTTTCGTCCATTCTCTGCCATTACACGCTCATATGTAGTCGTCAGCATTACAAGCTGATTAGCAAGTAATTGTGCACCTTTGGTAGTCTGCTCCAATTGCTGATATATATCGCTATTGGGTGAAATATCTCGATATTCTAGTAATCGCTTGATTGATGCTGCCTGGCGTCGGAAATTGATAGCTTTTGATGGTGTATGAGGTATAAATTCATGACTACTAGCACTACCACGTGATGGTGGTAGTGTAGGTGACGGGGATGAACCTCAAGTTTTGAAAGTACTACCTCAGGCGCATATGGAATGATACCTGATGCCATAAAACTGCTAGCAATTGTAGAGGTTGTGTATGTTGCTGCACGTGTTGTAGGGTACAGATGAAGGAAATCGAGCTTTTTAATATCTGTAGAGCCTATGCGGGCAAGATCTTGCACAGCCTGACCATAGAAGTGCTTCAATACACCAAAACAACCTACATCAAGAGGTTGTAATAGATGCGATGAATGAGATGGCATGCAGATTGGCACAATATTGTTTTCCATGCATAGAGTATCAAATTGAGGGGTAAGATGACTCCCATGGCCATCCATGACTAGGAGAGACCAGGCACCATGTTGACGCTTCTTAACGTATGGGATGAAAGAATTTTCGAGCCATGAAATACCAATTTGATCAGTAGTCCATCCATTATTACTGACCTCGAAGCGCCAGTTGTCTGGGACAATACTGCACCAAGCAGATATAAAAACCTTAGCTTTAAAAATGATCGTTGGAGGTAGAACACCATCCAAATGGATACACTCAATTGCAGTAACCCACTCCCGGTTACCAGGCTGCACGACTTTTCTTTTTCCCTGCCACTCCCGACTAGTGATCACTTTTGAAGTACTAGTGATCCCCATTGCGAAGCCAGTTTCATCAAAGTTATAGATGTCGTTGTCAAGGATGCCATATTCAGCAATGATGTTGCGATACTGATCGAACCACTCGCGAATAAGCTCCGGATCTTCACATAATGCACGCTGAGCGGCGTAACGACGTGAAAACCGGGTTTTTAGCTTCTCACGGCGTGCAACAAACCGAGATATCCAGTTTTTGCCGAGTGGTAAGGGAGGGGTATTGACAGAGCGCTGAGCAAGTAGAATATTGGCCATCTCTTTTGCCATAGCTAAGGTAGGGGCCTTGCCACGCATATCTAGATCCAATATCCATCGCTCAAGCGAATCCTCTTCGATTTTATCCAATTTTGAGCAATTTGCGCGAGTGGTGTTACGATAACCGATCCCCTTGACGCGGTCGCGTAATGTTGTACGAGGTACCTCATAAACACGCGCAGCTTCAGTAATAGAAGCTATTTTCTTGTTTCTTAGCGCCTGTATAGCAAGTTCGATCCTGCCTTCTTGCTCAATGAGTTTGCGCGTTCGTCCGGTACGAATTGGTGGCATAGTGGTGGTTTAAAGATGGGGGTGCTACACGCGACGCGATTTTTTTGAGGTGGTGGCGGCTCGGTGGTGGTGGCGGTTCGGTGGTGAAACACGTTAATGCGTTAGTGTCTGTTAGTGTATGAGAGTGGGGGCGGGCTTTGTCAGGTGGGGGTATATATAGAGAAGACTTGTATCAACGACAGTGGATTCAAGTTCTTGCTCTGAGACATTTCTTGAAACTTGAAGTTACTTCAACAAGTTCTTCCCCAATTGAACCCGTGGACTGGAGTATCAAGGACAACCCCGACAACTTTGGAAACTGGAGAAATCCGCACTCGCCCGCATCCCCGCAAAAAGGGTGTCAGGTGACTTGCCACAGGCCAAACAGCAACAGCAAGACTACTTTCACTTGGCTTTCCTGACTTTCACTTTTTCCTCTTTCATCCGGAATTGATTCTCGGATTCTCGGACTCTGAATTACGAATGCAACAGGAATGTGGTGTACGAATACTAGTATTTGTTACTCACTTGGCGCGGGCAAGATCCACTTCTGGCCCCATTCACTTTCATTCTATCTCTCGGTAAGCTCCGATCCCTTTATACTAGTAGTTGCATACCCACCTTATCAACTTCCCTACCCCTCTCTGTGTCTCTGTGAACCCTTTGATCAGGCCTTATTTTTGCATGTATGACTGGGATCATACACACTGCTTTGCTTGCAACAGATACCAAGCGTGATTGACGCCGTGTGAACAAACTGACACATTTGTTTTGTTAGCAACCAAGTCACTTTTGACTAGAGTGTGCGTGAGCAACTCGACGATCTACCACGTGGCTGTCGACATTCATTCTCCTGGAGAGAGACAGAAACTCTAAGGAATCTGTCCTTACCGCTCGTTCATGCAGGCTGTGCATATCTGACATCCACTTCACAAAATGTCCACTCCCACTCCACTAAGTCGCATCGCATATAGCTCTGGCTATTCGACCGATGTCGACAAGATTCGCGAGCAGGAATATCCCCACCTTGCTAGTAAGTTCATCAGAGTCTTTGAGGTGAACAAGTTGAAGGTGGACAAACCTTATTAATGCTTTTCAATCATCTCAGCGACAACCTACCTCGATCATGCTGGCACGACACTCTATGCCAAGTCTATGATCGACGCCTTCTCCCAAGATATGATGTCCGGTCTCTTTGGAAACCCACATTCCATGTCTCTCTCCTCCCAGCTTTCTACCACCCGAATTGACGACCTTCGACTACGCGTCCTACGTTTCTTTAATGCCGACCCTGATGAATTTGACCTGGTCTTCGTGGCTAATGCAACGGCCGCCATCAAGCTCATCGCCGACACCTTTCGTGACACCGATCACCGAGGCTTTTGGTATGGCTACCACGTCGACGCTCATACCAGTCTCATTGGAGTGCGTGAGCTTGCTGATCTGAACCATCAGTGTTTCATGAGCGATGCCGACGTCGACAAATGGATCCCGGAGATACCCTCAAATCCAACAAAGGCACCTAGACTATTCGCTTTTCCAGGCCAGTCCAATATGAACGGCCGGCGTCTCCCCTCCGCTGGTGCAAGGAAATTCGAGCTGCTGCCAATGGCGGCAATGTCTATACCTTGCTTGATGCGGCCTCGATGGTTTCGACCTCCGCGCTGGACATAAACGCGGTTTCCCCAGACTTTACCGCACTGAGCTTCTACAAGATCTTTGGATTCCCTGACCTGGGCGCACTGATCGTGAAGAAAAGTGCCACTCATCTGTTTGAGCGACGGCGGTTCTTTGGTGGAGGTACTGTGGAAATGGTCCTGGCATCTGGTGGCCAGTGGCATGCGAAGAAGGAGTCTTCTCTTCATGCGCGACTCGAGGATGGTACCCTGCCATTCCACAGCATAATTGCTCTCGATTCTGCCATAAGCACTCATGAGAAACTCTATGGTTCCATGGAAAACATCTCATTCCACACAGCATTCCTGGCGAGACTGCTCTACGATAGACTCTCCGCTCTAAAGCATTGGAACGAGACGCAAGTCTGCCAGATCTACCATGGAAGCTCGGTTTATGGTAACCCAAAGAGCCAAGGCCCTATTATTGCATTCAATCTTCGCAATAGTCAAGGACAATGGGTCCCAAAATCCGAGGTGGAAAAACTGGCTTCAGTCCAAAATATCCAGATGCGAACCGGAACGGTGTGCAACCCTGGAGGCGCTGCCTGTTCTCTCGGCTGGACATCGTCAGAGATCCGCAATGCCTACTCAAAAGGTCTGCGATGTGGCAATGGTAATGATTTTATAAATGGTCGACCTACTGGTGTCTGCAGAGTCAGCCTTGGCGCAATGACGAACATGACGGACATTGAAACTCTTGCCAACTTGGTCGAAGAATTCTACGTCGAGAAGACCCCCCCCTATTCTCGCACTCGACCCACCGTTGGAAGAGGACGATGTCGTCAACCGTCACTTTTACATCGAAAGTCTTTCTGTGTTCCCAATTAAGAGTTGTGGCGCTTTCAAAATCCCCGAGAATAAGCGTTGGGAAGTTAAGAGAGAGGGTCTGGCATGGGACCGCGAGTGGTGTCTCATTCACCAGGGAACAGGAGCTGCTCTAAATCAGAAAAGATATCCTCGCATGGCTCTCATCCGCCCATCCATTGATCTCGAACGCGGCGTTTTGCGAATAAGCTATGGTACGTCTACCGAGCAAGTGACCCTCGAGATTTCACTTGGCTGGGAAGAAACCAGTCTCATCTCAACTTCGCTATGCCAAAACTCCGGTAATAGAAGGGCAACTATGGTATGTGGCGACCAGATTTCGCTACATGCATACGCATCCCCAGTTGTTTCGGCCTTCTTCTCTGATTTCCTGGGCGTCCCCTGCACGCTTGCACGCTTCCCTTCACAATCTGCCACCAGATTCTCACGCCCACCCCGTCTCTCTGGTGTATGGAAGAGCAAATTCCGGAAGTTGCTTATGCCAGGCTCCTTTCCACCTGACCTCCCACCACCCGTCGTTGAACAGAATCGCCAACAGGGCAAACCCTTGACGCTCTCCAATGAGATGCCAATCCTTGTGGTCTCACGTTCATCTGTGAATCGTCTCAACGAGACAATCAAAGCGAGCTCCAAACAAGGCCCTGGTGCCGCCAAAGCAGTAGCCGCTGATGTTTTCCGCGGAAACATAGTTGTCGCCGAGCGACTTGCTCGCGTGGGTGACGCAGAACAGCCTTATGCCGAAGACCACTGGTCAGGCCTACGAATCGGACCCGATGAACTTCGTATCGATGTTCTTGAAGGATGCCAGCGTTGCCAGATGGTTTCCATCGACCAGTTTACTGGCCTGCGACGCTCTGAGCCATTCTCTACCCTGGCGAAGACCAGAAACATTGATGGAAAGGTCCAATTCGGTCGCTATGCTGCTCTTTCTCGAGCCGAGGTCGACAGACTTGAGTTTGAACCACTAGACCGCCGTACGGTCATGGTGGGTGATGTTGTTACGCCGACTTTTATGTGATACCCTGATTCCCCCGTCCTGGAAGCTTCCCATGGAAGCAGATGAAGTCGATAGGTTTTCGTTTATGTTTGTACGCTACGGAGTGGAGTTGTCTGGGCTCAAAATGCCCTTGTACTCAGGTTCCCCGACATGGTCATGGCTTGTGTTAATGAGTGATGTGTTAATGTGTAACTTTCTGTACTCAGTTTAGGTTTTTTTACTTTCGGTCTTTTCGGGACTCCCCTTCTCGGGTCCCAATGGAATTATCTTTTATCCATGTATTCTTAAAGCCCTAAATGTCACATAATCGAATAATGTGTGGTTGCTTCAAACAAAAATCAAGTTTATTTACAATGATTCACTTCGCAATGCAACTAAACAATCGAGAGTTAGCCACGCTGTATCTCCTGCCGATCAAGAGTGGTCCACTGTATTAACAAGTCCTCCAAACTATCTGGAAGCGATAGTTCTCCGGATATCTTCCCGGGAATATCGTCCTCAACCCGCTCCATCATTGTATTCTCGGTTGAAGGCGTGGTAATTAAAATATCTTGATGCTCGCTAGAGGTATCAGCCAGGCTGAATGAATCATGGCGATCTTCGTCCCTGGCACGTTGCCAGCTTTCTCGTCGTACCATCTCCATACTAGCAGCGGAAATGTCGGACTTATCTTTCATCTCGCTCTCCTGAGAAACGCTTTCTTCCCCTTCCATCTTCTTGAATCGCCATCGATAGACTCTATTGTCTTCTTCCTCCTCTTTCTCCATCTTCTCAAGTCTATTGAGTCGCCTTGCCGCCTCTGACCGACGCCGCGATTCCTCTTCATCTCGGACTCTACTATATTCCTGTCGAACAGGTCGAGCACGTTCATCATCAGTCTTGACCCCATGGTACCATTCTTCCTCCCTCTCTCTAGCAAAACGGGCCTTCAAACGTTCCCTTTGCTCTGCTTCTCTTTCCAGCCGCTGGTCTCTCATCGACGGTACTTCAGCCTCCGATCGGCGCCGCCTTCCCTCTTCATGACGAGACATGCGCTCACGACGCCTTGTCGCTTTCCTTCTTCTATCCATATCGCTCTCCTCCGAGTCCGAATTCCACACCTCTTCATGACGAATCGGTTTTGACTCCCGTTCGTCCGGAGATACGCTGGGTCTCTCGTGGTATTTGGCCAACTTGCGCTCCAACCGCTCAATCTCCTGCTCCTGTTTGCGGAGCTCTGAATTTCGGCCCAGGTCATTTCTTTCTAGCAGGTGTTGGACTTGACGTATATTCTCTTCATCGGAGTCACGTTTAAATGATACGCGCCGCTCCTCTCGAAACAGCCTATTTCTTCGGCTGTTGCCTTTGTGCGTTCTTTCTTGGACAGGGCTGCTTGAGCGTGTCGCATAAAGCGACGTCAGTGGGGGACCTCCATGTGCTGACATCGCGGTGTCCCCTATACTATATGTGCGATTTACTGACTGGACGGACGTTCTAGGGCGTCTGGTCTCGTCACGGCCGGGTTGTAGCTTTCCTTCTCGGGCCTTTGGCGATGGAAGCTGATCGCTGGTATCGTGGCTACTATCAGGAGTCAGTTTGGAAAAGGAATGAAAATTGTACGATTTCAAATTACGTGAAAAGTGATTGATCAACGGGGATGAAATGCCCGTATTCGATTTGGAATCGCATGATTTCTCCAGCGTGAATGTTTAAGATTCCGTCTTTGATTCGCGAGTGCCTGTCACCCTTGAGCTTTTGCTTGCATGACTCGATCTCGACGAGCATAGACCTTATGAGGAGATTGTACTCTTTGACTTCGGCGGATTCTGCCGTCTGTTGAGGTCTTTGACTTGTTTCGTTCACAGGGGCTTTTGGCGAGCTCCTCACACCAGGAGAGCGAGGACGATTTCTTCGAGTTGGCTGATGACAGGGCGTTATACCCCTCTGACCAGGAGAGAAATCGGTGCTGCTATAAAAGGGATCAATCTGGGGTGGCGGTGGTACGAAATATTCCTCGGATTCACCCGTCGAATCCGAGGCTTGCGGTATTTGGCTGTCAGTCTTCTGGCCTTGCAAGAGTGTTTGAATCAGGTCGCGCTGCTCCCGGACTAAGGTTGGGACTCCGTCTCTAAGTGAGGGTCAGATATTCTTCACCAAAATGCAAGGGTTATTGTCAAGGTACCTGCGAATCTGGCCCGCATAAGTGATCACATTTAGTAGAAGTAACATCGTAGCCTTTAACCTCTCTAAGCTGGTCTTTAGTTGATCAAGACTGGACTCGTGATATGCTATCCTCAGCTTGCCCGCAACCTGCTGAAATCGACCTTTGCCCCGCTGGCCATTATCATCGATGACTTTTTGAATTTGTCCAAGTACATCCCGAGACTGATCGAGAACAACATTCAATGTGCGAAAAGCTTCCTTTGAACAGAGTTTCGATGCCTCTTCCTCTTTCAGATTATCCCCTAGCTCGCGTAGAATGGCGCTGACGAGCGCGATCTCGTTCGACAAGAGCTGAACAGAGTCACTGGCATTCTTGACTCGCTGGTAGAAGGAAAATAATTTGACGGATAATTTGGCGCCTAAATCTGCAACTTGAATAATACTGGCCGCTACACCGATGGCCTCAAGGCCAGACATGATAAAGGCGATCTCCGATCCAGGGTCTATGTGTGTGGACTGTCAAGAAACTAGGAGTGGGGGTATTCATCTTAGGTGGGGTTGGCGCTTGGACGTGTCAGCAAGGTCTACACCCTCAAGCTGTCTGCTGTATGTCGTAAGCACATCTGAGTGAGGTCTTGTGTGAGAGTGATGATTCTGTGGTCATCGTTCACCTCAACGCCATATAAGACTTGTCGAATGATAGAGAAGAGCGACGAAACGGCCCCGAAATGTACCGCAAAATGGCCTAGCAATTTCCAAGGTTAACTCGAATGTGCGACGGCTGTTTCATAGTACCGACTACTGAGATGTACTCTGACCTTGAATGACCACAGAGGGTGACCAAACTACCTAGTAGATAGAGGAAAAATGATCTTTCGCGCCTCTATACATAATCTTCATTGCAGTCCGGAATGCATGAACACCCTTGGAATATCATGATACTGAGGCCCCTCAGTGGTGTCTCCCAGCCTGAGGCCATTCAAGGTGCCAAAGTATAGTGATAGTGAGTTTGCTAGTATACTACTGTTAGTAGTAGTTAATTGGATGCATCGGAGTCCGGGTAAACCACTCTTAGGCCATCTGGTGGTTATTCAAAATTAGTCATTCTATGAAGCCCCAGGCTTATAATTCAGTTTTTCCAAGATTTTCCAGGGCCCTTGGCACCTGGGCATCTGGGCTACGAAGGTGGAAGATCGGCACAGCTTATATTTCCACCAATTAGTATCTCGCTTATACTGGCTGAACCTGCCGATCCCTCCGCTTTTCGACAAGCGACATTGAAAACAATCCCGAAACGACTGCCTACCTTGATCAGATGACAATATCAAAAGCCCATGAATGTTAAGCTCTAACACAAACGCCAAATTATCTCTTCTAGCCAAGAATTTTAATTTCTTATAAAAACCATTGAAGTGTCGGCCGCCGAACACGTGGGTACTCGTAGTGGAACTTCTTGAAATCTGAAGCTAAGGCTTTTCGTCTACTGGTAACTTCTACTAGAGATAACAAACCCCTTAATGCACATGAGATAGAGACACGGGTTGAAGTCTCTGAGGTTCCAATCAATCTATGATCAGCTGCCCACGTTTCGGAGCTTTCAACATTCTGGTAACAAGCGTGGCTTGCAGTAGCGTCAAAAGGTGCAGAACTAAGCTTAACCGAAGCCGCTCCATGCCGAATTATTCTCTCCACTTCCTTGATTGACGTACCTGCATACAGCATAAAAGGGCAAAGACCCTTCATGAATCTAAGATAGTACCAGAACCATCTTATCTTTCCTCTCGTGAAAATGAAGAGCTTTATCGCTTCAAGCATACTGCTCGCGGCCAGCGTTCAAGCTGCCACCAGTGGAGAATTTACCGCTCTCAGCTTCAATGTGGCTGGCTTGCCGTCTATTTTGCAGTCTAATGATGTTGAAGGTGATAAGGCTACCAATGCCGGAGAAGTTGGCGCATACTTTGCCAAGTATGGATATGATATCATCAACATGCAAGAGGTACTTTTTCTTTCAATTTGATAGCCTCATCACGGCATTATTGGGAAATGATGAATTCACACTACCGATTAGGATTTCAATTATCATGCCTACATCTATGCAGCCGACGACCATGTTTACCGGACAGCCACATCTGGCGGGGCTGGAATTGGAAGTGGTCTGAATACTATCTCCAACTATGATTGGATTGATTACACTCGCATCAAGTGGAATACTTGCTCTGATGCATCTGGTTCCGATTGTCTGACCCCCAAGGGCGTCACATTCATGAGATGGAACCCAGCCACTGGAGTCTACATTGACTTTTACAATCTCCACGCCGATGCTGGGTAAGACAAGACTGCCTCCAACTGAAAACTATGCTGGGAATTCTTACTGATGAAATATAGAACCGAGGACGGTGACGAAACCGCCCGCAACAGCAACCTCCAGCAGGTCGCTGATTATATTGACACCTGGTCGACCGGAAACGCAGTTGTGGTCATGGGCGACACAAACAGCCGATACACCCGCTCTGCCGACACCGCGATTCGTGTCTTAAAGTCGCAAAATAGCCTGAAGGATGTCTGGGTTGAACTGGAGATGGACAACGTCTATCCCACCGCAGGTGCAGATGCACTTCTATGCGACAACCCATCTACAAACGAGACATGTGAAACTGTCGACAAGGCCTTGTACCGTGCATCGGATCTTGTCACACTATCAGCTGCAGGCTTTCGTTATGATGGCAATAACTTCCTCAACGCGGAGAGTGCCTATCTAGGCGACGTTCTCTCTGATCACAATCCCATTCTGGTCAACTTCACCTGGTCTACATCGAGCTCCCTTCGTCAAAGTCAATTTTCTGGCGGTCCCCATGGCACCTGGTTCAATGATCTGCCCAACGTCCCATCTTCTCCGAGCGCGTCTGTCATCACTTTCCGGGGTGCCAGTCGGCTGGATAGTGTGGCAGTGACGCTGACTGACGGTACCGCATTCAGCCATGGAGGTACGGGTGGGACTGCGGCTTCTCTCACACTTGCGTCGGGTGAGTACTGGATTAAGACTGAGCTTTGTACCGGCACGTACAATAACGAGACTCGGAACTTCTATATTAAGGCTACGACTAGTGCGGGTAACACGTTGGAAGCTGGTACTGCGACAAGTAGTTGTTCGACCTTCACGGCTGATGATGGGTTTGCTGTTGTTGGATTTATGGGTCAGGATGGGGACGAGATTGATCAACTCGCTTTGATTTATGCGGCCTACTAACGAGCAGACCTGGAGTGAAATTCGCAATAGTCTTCTCCAGTATTTCCCAGAGCCTGTGCCGCTCCGTTGAGTACGGGGATACTTCTAGAAACATGTGGAATTTCTCTTTGTACCTGGTTTCTGCTGCATGGCAGTGAAAACTGAATTTGGGATGACTTGAAAGACGTGGAGAGTTAAATGAGTCTATGTAGTCTTCTAGCAACAAATATACTAGTATACATGAATTACTTCCTTTCCAAGGCGCTATTTCTCATACCAGAAGTAGCTCTTGACATGCACATTAATAGGTAGTATTTCCAGAAATATGAAAGAGCAAACGTAATAGATTGGATATAATGAGTGATCACTGCATTGAAGATGAAATTAATAATCGGATGAATTTGGTCACCGATAAGACAAGAGGAGATATGGTATAGCCAGCCTCAATGGAAGATAAAAATCCATAGCAACGCAATCTGTGAGTCCAGATTATTTAGTATGGACCTCAATAGTTTGAGAGCTTTCCTTTTGATACAAGTCACCACCCTCAATTCCCTCAAGGGTATGATTCTTCGTCTCGGGAGTCCACAGTGTCACAAGTGCAGTGAGCAACATGATCCCAGAGAAAAGCCCAAGAACACCATCCAACCCAATAATATCCTCGACCGTCCCGAAAGCAAATGAAGTCAGGATAGCGCCACACTTTCCCGCAGCCGCAGAGATTCCGTGAGCAGTTCCCCGAACGCGGGTTGGAAATGCCTCCGCGGGAAGCAGAAATGTGGTGAGATTGGGCCCCACGGTTAGAAGAAATTGGGAGATTGCAAAGACAATCATCAAGCCCGCCGTTGAAGTGTGTGCAGTCGGTGAGCTAATTCCAGCCCAGATAGCGTACATAACACAGACTCCAACACATGTTAAGAATTGCTGGCGCACGCGACCAATGCGGTCGGGGAGAAAGATACCGACGTAGAATCCTGGCAAATATCCCTAGAAACTGTTAAACCTTTCTAAAAAGCCTTGGTCGCAACTTTGAGAGGAACTCTTACGGCTGACTGTACAATGATGTTTCCGATTGCTGTGTTGTACAAGGTCTCCCAGGGGCTTGCTCCCTTCGCGAAACCGATTCGAGTGAGCACGACACTTTGGTTGAGGTTTACTCCGTAGTAAGCAATGTCGCTGCGGAGGTTAGTTAATATCTCAGGAAGTGGATGGTGGCGCAACATACAAAAGAAACCAAGCCGCGGATGTCGCAAAGAGGACGCGTGCATGTTTCCATTCGCCAAAATACTCCCGAAAGTCCCGCCATTGTTGCTTGAGATCACGCTTCTGTCCGGTAGCCTCATCGCAAACATCTATAAAATATCAGCGTATACAAGTTTGGAACCGAGTGAAAGACTCACATTGCTTGTAGGGCAAAGTCTCTGCAATGGTCAGGCGGGCATAGAGAGTGAAAACAGCCGGAATGATACCGATGCCCAAAAGCAGGCGCCAAACCCATTCCAAGTGTGCTATGTTTGCTGCGATAGATCCTTGAAAAGCCTTGAGAAGGACTAGAAAAACAATGCTGGCTGCCATGTTGCCGAGGCCGATGTTTGAGAAGACCGTCAAGACTTGGGTTGCACGGGTACCAAAAGGTGATTTCTCCGCGGCAAGAGACGATGACAGAGGGTAGTCTATACAATAAGTTAATGTCAACGAGATTTTGGATTTCCACAAGATAATGAATATGTGCATACCAGCTCCAATTCCGACTCCAGTTAAAACACGGAATATGGCCACCCAAGCGGTTATAGATCGTGGATCCATGCCTTTCCAGGGTAGTAGAATTACTAACAAGGTACCGAGAATTGTCAAAAGAAGTTCTTTGCCGTATATGGTGTGTCGACCCCAGACATCACTTAGGACTCCAAAGAGCAGCTGGCCAATGACCATTCCCAAGCTCAAACCACCCTTCATAACGTCACTATCAACTGTTGGAACCTTGCCATCTTGATAATACAGATATCCGAGAATGGGAACGACTATATATGCCGCGTTAGTGTGCAAAATGAAATGAAATTGAAGCACTTCATACCAAGACCAATTGTCAAATTGAGATAACCATCAGCGAAGAACCCAACACCCGCCGTAATAAGGAACCGGAGCTTGGATCCGAGTGAGGCCATTGATAACCGGAAAATGTGAGAAAATAGAGTATCAGATTTTCGAAATGAGGGTTAAGTTAAGATATGATAAATTTTGAAGTTGAGAAGAGATTTCCTGTGTGGGCGGCATTTGAAGCAAGCATACTTGATATTGAACTTCTCTAGTTTTCGACTGGTAATTATATGAACGAACAGTATACTTGAGAAAGAGAAGTGTCATCTCCGGCATCAAGCCCGTGGTAGGCATCTAGGGCTTCAATACCAAGCGACTAAACCCTAAAGAAACGAGCAATGAGCAGCGTGGGTGTTGGCACGAGGGCCCCCACATCGCCAGACACGCCCAAGACTTCTCAAGGGACTCCCCAGTCAGCGGCTCTCTCCGTCCCCACGTGTGCCTGGCCTTTGCCCCGCTCGCCCCGCTCGCCCCGCCCACCGTGTTTCTCTCCATTCCGCCGGGTATAATTTCGGTGCGAAGTCCTGTGGTTTTTTGCATTCTTCACATCTTGCGAGGTCTAGACAATACCTCTGTGCGCAGATCTGTCATGTTAATTGCTGCAGTCTTGGTTGGTCTCTTTACTTGGTGAGATCGACTCGCCAGTTGGCACTCCGAATTATCCCGATACGCAATGGACGACGCACCATTACCCTCCACGCTGGAGGTGAATGCGTTGAGAGACTCATTCGGTGATCGAAAGCCACCAGATATCACTCGAAAGATCACTGCTTGTGTTGCTTGCCGAAAGCAGAAGGTAAGATATGAGGTAGCTTCGGGTCGTACAGTAAAGCTAAAATGAAACTCAATAGGTCAAATGTCATATGCGTGATGGCAAGGTACCATGCTCACGGTGCAAAAAGAGGGGATTGCCATGTGCTGTCAATCGAAGCTTGCAAACTCTACTCGAGCAGGATGTGACGTGAGTACTTTTTTCCACTCTACCCTTATTTTCCACTGTCCGTGCCGGGCTAAGTATAATATTCTTCACAGGTGGAAAGGAGCAGTTGTCCAGAAGATCAAACGGCTTGAAGACGCTATCGCCAAGATAGCTACCAAGGTTGATATCCCTGAACTGGGAACAAAGACACAAAATGAGGATCACTTAGACTCTATGAGTCCACCCGCAGTGGACATGACCAACGCAGACATAGCAAGCCCGACTCCAGAATCCCCAGTCCAGGATGAGCAGCCATCAAATAACACCTGGGGGGGTAGTTATGGATCCTCGGAGTGGTCCAGGATCTATCCCGGCATCGTGCCTTTCCGATAATATCAGACCCGCAATGCGAAGTGGCTTATCAACGACTCGTCGACCGGATCTGATATCTACTGGTTTAATCACAATGCGTCAAGGACTCGCATTATTCGATACCTACCACCTCCGTTTGGATCACTTTTTATATAGGATCCTTGGTGACCACATCAGCTTGGACTCAGTCCGCAGTGCCTCGCCCTTGTTGACAGCGGCGGTTTGCACTGTGGGTGCATTACACTCGCCTTCTCAAGGCCAGCTCTTTGAAACTTGTTACTCGGAATTCAAAGGCTTGGTTTCAAGTCAAATATTTTCGCAACATGCAAACGAAGACGACATTCGAGGGTTATGTATTGGAGCATTTTGGCTGCACGAACTGTCTTGGGCGCTAATTGGGAATGGTAAGTTTACTTCATCCATTCCATTCATAGCACGAAGATTCTAATTTAATTCTAGCTGTGCGGGTTGCATCTGATATAAATCTACATAGCGGAATTTACAAGGCTTTGAAGGGCGACCGAGAAGGTTATACGCAAGCCCGCCTGTACTATCTAGTCTATGTCTGCGACCACCACTTCTCGATCGCATACGGCAGGCCTCCAATGTCGCGCGAGGGGTTCATTATCGACTCCGCAAGTAAATTGCTCGAAACAGAGAATGCGACCGAGGACGATGCCAGACTAGTCAGTCAGGTCAAGGAGTGGGCCATATTGGGTCAAATATTTGACACCTTTGGCGTGGACGTCGACACAGCTATCCATCCTCACATAATTCCGCAGCTCCGCCGGTACTCAATCGCGTTGGATACCTGGTACGCTGACTGGATTGAAAGCTTTCAAGAGAATCGCCGAGTGGGAAATTACCCGGCCAAAGGGGTTGGGTTTCATTTCCACTTCGCAAAGCTCTATCTTTGTTCACATGCATTCCGCGGTGTACCAGCCCTCGAGAATGCGACACAATATTTTTCTCCCGAGTTGGAAGAGATCGCTAATTCTGGTGTCCTTTCCGCCATGTCGATTCTTCGAGTCATTGTCTCGGACCCGGAATTTCGCTCCTTTATGAATGGTCTCCCTCTTTACTTCGACACGATGCTTGCATTCGCGGTGGTCTTTCTGTTGAAGGTGGCTACCAAGTATGCAGCTGTGATCCGGATCGACACGGAAAAAATCATATCCCTTGTTTCTCAGACAGTATCTGCCCTTCGAGAAATAACCCAGCCAATGCATCGGCAGCACTTGCTAGTCACAATCGCAGAAGGTCTGGAGAAACTTCTCTACAAATGCTCAGCTCCAATGCAATCAACCAACGAGGGAATAATGTATCAGCCGTCCCCAGCAATGGACCCACATGCCCAGTTCGATACAGCCTGGATGGAAAATATGGCGAGCTTTGACTTCCAGACCAGTTTTCCCGATCTAGATGAATGGTGGCTTCATTATAATGCGGCAGTAGGGTCTAGTGCACGGGGCATGCCATTGGGCTCATAATTTGGAATATATCAACACAAATTCAGAACAAGGTCGAAAACATCATAGTTCCTCCAACCATTAGCCTTTCCATCTATGCTTCTGATGGGCTTCGACATGAGAAGCGGAATATCCTGTTCGCTCAGACCGCCATGCGAGCGTAGGGGGTGATCCTTGACATTGGAAAGATCATGGTCGGACTTCTTGCTGCCAATGACGGCAAGATCCTTCGATATGACAACAATATCAGCTTCGCGGTCGAGCGGCATCTCGTACTTGCTCGCTGCATCTGGTCCGCCCAATGCCTCTTCGACTTCGGGGATACTCTGGCAGAAGGAAAGTACGGATTGCAACGTCGTGAAATCTTTCAAATAGACCCGCACGAATGAGCCAAGTGCGCCATGATGCCGAACGAAAGGATCCGTTATCGGGCAGATGACTCTTGAGAAACCCGATCCAAATTCAGCATTGATGGCTTCTTCCAAAAACAAGACGTTAGGCTCTCCATCACTGTTCGACTTTTGGCTCATTCCATGATCTCCGGTAACCCCGATGACAGGAGCAAGACCAGCCAGTGTCTGGAGTCGCTCGTCAATCGAGCCTATGAATTCATCTGCCTCTTTGCTTCCAGGCGCATGCTTATGCTGTATATAGTCAGACAGCGTAAGATATAGAAAGTCCGATCGTCCTTCCTGGAGTAATTTGATTCCCGCATCGAGCACGAATAGCGAGAGCTCGCCTGAATATTGACTTGGAGCAGGTTGGCCTAGCCATTCCTCCACATTGTCAATGCCATTCTTTTCAAGCGTACATTCAGCCGCGCGCTCCGCCGAAAAGCAGATCGCACCCTTGTTAAAACCATGTCCAATAATTCTCCGCAACTTATCTTTGGCAGTGATAGCAGCAATACGCACACCACGCTGATGCATCTGCTGGAGAAGAGTGGATCCTCTCAGAAGCGAGTCATCTGTTATCATCTTTTCCTCGCCTGTTTTTCTATCAAGGAAAAAGTTTCCAGCAATTCCGTGGACTGCTGGAGGTGCCCCGGTGATGATAGATACATTGTTCGGGTTGGTGAAGGAGGGCATGCAGCTTTTAGCTGTGGAATGGAATCCGCAATCGACGAATTTCTTGAATGTTGGTAACAAGCCTCTTTCAAAAGCGGACTCGAGATACTTCGGGTCGAATCCATCGATGCATATGACGACGGTGGGTTGAGTTGGGATGCGGTATTCCCTGGAGTGAAGCTTGAACTTTTCTCGGGATTCTGAATCTCATTAGATTTCGCTCTGAATGAGAGGGTGATCACGAACCTAGTAGGCATTGATATGCGATCTCTTCGTAGGCCTCGAGCTCAGGCACAACAATTTCTGGGTCCTTGGCGAGGTCATCCCATCTCCGGACGGCGAGTTTTGCACCAAGCCAAGGGTCCTTTTGAGCTTCAAGTACTTGCTCATTGGTGAAACCGCCACCCTGAAATAATCATTAGCTTCGACTTCACTTGGACTGGCAAGAGCTAATGTACCTGGAACCGGAGAGTTCTCTTGCTTGTCTCACTGAGCCCATCATGATAGGTCTTATCTGTAGAAACAAGATACCGCTTCGCCATGACATGAGCACCGACAAGCTGACAGATCCTTTCACTGAACCCGATCTGACGTAGATAAGACTCGCCAAGAACTTCATGACTTTGTCGACCAATGTATTGACCATCTGGCGTAATCATTTTTCCCATTTTATTAGCGGCAGGAATGAAACGGCCAACATCATGAAGCAATGCGGCAAGAATGACCTCAGGGTCCTGCCCGTATTGTGCAGATTGGACTGCATGATTTGCGCATTGAAGAGAATGAGCCAGTTGGGTGACTCGCTCGCCGAGATAATCGCCCTGGCCTTGAGCGTGGAGGAACTCGAATAATGTTTTGATCGTATCTCTTGTATGTTCTTCGACAGAAGGCAGAATCTGAGTCAACTGAGGAGCAGCCATTTTGAGATTCATATTTTTGGTGAATCCAAGTGCGATGTAGAATGCTTGACTTTGAGTGATATTCAACACGTTATAATAGAATATGTAGAAATTCCAAAGGCAAGAAGACCGGCAACTTTTGAAATGTAGATCCCACGTGCAGAACGCAAGTGTTTGATTCCTCTGTCTTTGAGTTGTAGTCCCCGCGATCCGTGGCGCTACTTCTGATGGTATGCAGGCATCGGTGCGAAGGCCGGCGGTCCGTGCAGTCGGGAAGAGCCTTTCCAAAGTAAAATGGCCGGAGTGGAGCAGTAAAACTGACGATCATTAAAAATATAGCGCGATCCGGACAATTCACTATACTAAAACCAAGGATTAGGGCCGTCGAGACTGGTCGTACAGATCCCGTTGGTTCCGGCGGCTTCAGGTACTTAAGCTGACCCGCAGCCATACTTTACGAAGCATTATTGCTTCAATTTCAACTCCAATTTTCAAGCGTCCACCTGAATTACTATGAGCTCCCTTACACCCGATCAAGTGGCCTTTTACCACAAGAATGGTTATCTCCTTCTACGTGTCGCAGATCACCAACTTGTGGACCCAACTAGCCTCGAAGAGTGGACCAGGGAGATTCAGGCCTGGCCTCGTGTGAAGGGTAAATGGATGCCATACGACGAGATTAACGTCAACGGCGAGCGCCAACTCATGCGAACGGAGCGCTTTGTGGACTTTCATCCTCAGTATAAGAGCCTCGTCTGCGGTGAGAAATTAGCTCAAATTCTCAAAGCCGTGTCTGGTGATGTACGTTCCCTGATATTCTGGGATTGGATCTTGACAAATTTGGCTGATAACCCGTGGTCTAGGACATGCTCCTCTTCAAAGACAAGATCAATTACAAACAGCCAAATGGCAACGGATTCAAGGCACACTTGGATGCCCCGGCATATGATCATATCGGCCGCATTGAACACGTCACTGCCAACATCGCTATTGACCCTGCAACCATTGAAAACGGCTGCCTTGAAGTTGTGCCTGGGTCGCATAAGATGATCGCAGAATTCTCCCACGGTGGTCAAATTACGTCTGAATGGGAATCCGCCCACGAATGGGTCTCCATCCCGTTGCAGCCGGGAGATATGATTATTTTCGGCTCTCATCTCGCGCATCGATCGGCAGAGAATAAGACCGATAAGCCTCGATCCAGTCTTTATGCTACGTTCCATTCTAAAAAGGATGGACTTGACCTCAGAGAACGCTATTACAAGCATCGGATGGAAATGTTCCCTCCTGAACATGGTAAGATTTACACCCATCACTTGAAAGATATCGAGATATCGGGCTAAATATGAACACGAATTTAGAGCGAGAGGAGGGCAAGGATTATTCGCAGGGCTACAAGACTTATGGATTTGCGGCACCTTTCACTACAATCGACCAGGGAAAAATGGCTGCCCCGACTCTAGTAGCAAACTAGTACTTGCTAAATGTTAACATATTCAAAATCCAAGCATGTTTCTACACCTTTCCAAGATTTCCCGTTTCGGTCCTGAAACCCGGATTCGGATATTTTGAACTTCCATCCTTCGGTTTCTCAAATTTGAATGGCCAAATTACCAATATTCACAGAGCCAACTTGAAGGAGTTCTTATCTAGTTCATGCATTAGCGATAGCGGGAATATCCTCGCTTACCCCAAGTTCCCGCGGGTTCAAGGACCCAAGTGGTCCAGGGTGTGGGGAAGTGGAATTCTTTCCCTCATCCGTCACTGCAGTTGATCCTTTCAATGACAAGGTGTTGAGTCATGCAGATACGCTGCTACTGTGATTGGAAGTAAACACCGATGGCGTCCGTTCTAGACTAAGAAGACAATTAAGTTCAAGTTTCTCGCAATGTTTCATTGAATCTTTAGTGTTCGAATTTAGACTATAACTATATGCCGAGGGAACCCCCAAGTAATACTATCAATCCCCGCTTCGGGTCTGGAATCTCCTCGTCTTGAAATTCTACCTAGGCAACAGGTGAAGCTTCACCTGCTCTTGCAACCAGAAACTCAACTTGAACACGTCTAAATTCTTGGGCTTCCATACCACAATTCTTCGATATGACTACGATTGAACTCGCTCCAACAGCAAGTCATTCTCACGCACATTCAGCTGACGGTAGATCAGGCGACCTGGAGCAAGATGGTGTCTCAACAGCAGAAGCCACAGCATTTGATGACATACCACCCAATGGCGGATACGGCTGGATATGCACACTATGCACATTCATGATCATTGTTCATACCTGGGGAATCAACGCAGCCTGGGGTGTGATACTTGCCTATTTCCTCTCACATTCGACCTTTCCCGGAGCAAGCCGCATCGAATACGCATTGATTGGTGGTCTGGCAATATCTCAGGCACTTTTGATGGGACCAATAGTTGCCGAGTCTAGACGAAAGCTAGGCACGACTATAACTTTGCTCATTGGAACGATTGTTGTTTTCGGTTCTTTGATGGCAGCATCATATTCCACGAAGATTTGGCATTTGTTCTTGTCTCAGGGTATTTGCTTCGGTATCGGGATGGGATTTCTCTATCTGACTGCAATGAATATCCTTCCCACTTGGTTTTCGACGCGCCGAAGCTTTGCGACTGGCATTGCTGGTGCGGGATCTGGGATTGGCGGAGTCGTGTATAGTCTCGCAACTGGCCACGCTATTGAAACGCAGGGCGTTCGGGAGGCGTATAGGATATTGGCTTATTGCTCCCTGGCCGCAAACTTGTTATCTTCGCTGCTGCTCAAGTCACGGGATACTCCTCCAAGACTCGGACAGGAACGAAAGCGCAATATCGATTATCGCGATTTGGGAAAACCGGAGGTCCTGCTGGTCATTTTGTGGGGTATAACCACCGACTTGGGTTATATTGCTCTCATTTACTCGCTTCCGAATTATGCTTCTTCGATTGGTCTTTCTCCACAACAGGGCTCGGTGACTGGTGCTATTTTGAACCTGGGCTTGACTTTAGGTAGGCCCTTGACAGGATATCTGAGTGATCGGCTCGGTCGGATCACAGTCCCAATGGTGCTAACGGGACTTTGTGGTCTGCTATGTTTCGCCATCTGGATTCCGGCAAAGTCATACGCCGTGCTGCTTCTATTTGCTTTGACAGCTGGTATGGTTTGCGGGACCTTCTGGGGAACGATCACGCCGGTTCTGGCGGAAGTTGTGGGAATGAGTCGCATGGCGTCGGTCTTCAGCGTCATCTGCCTTGCGTTGGTTGGCCCAACTACAGTCGCTGAGCCCATCGCACTGAGTCTCGTTAGTGGCGGATCAAAGTATCTTCATACACAGGTTTATGTCGGGTGCTTGTTCCTCGTTGGCTCGGTTGGAGCATGGTTTCTGCGCTCTTGGAAATTCTATGAGGTTGAGAAGAAAGCTGCGGATGAACATCAGAGGTTGACCTCGGAGAGTCCCAATTTCCCATCTTTCTTGTACTGGATAAATTTGCAAAGGCTATTTCTCAAAGGTCGAGTTTGAGGGGATGTTCGAATATGCGGGATTCCAGAGTCCTACTAATGTGCGTAACGGATGACCGAGCGAATCTGAAGGATTTCAGCTCCGGCAGTGAGTAGTGTTCAATGATAATCACGAACTTGGCTGATCTATCCGATACAAAGTACGCGCTGGAAGCAGGTATGCCTCATATTCCACTTCCTCTTCATCACCCTGGATGTCGTAATGGTAGTGCCCTCCTTTCGTATTTCCCTCCGCGTCAAAGCAGTGTGTATGTTCCATCCTCAGGCCGAGCCCTTCAGGATCGGAGCTATGAAAGACAGTCAAGCAAACAACAGGAGCCTCGAATTCATGATAAGTCAACCACTGTTTCTCCAATTGTTCTCGATCGCGAAATGGCAGGTCCTCCGTGTTCGGAAAATCGGGCATCACATGGAATTTCGCCTTCCCCTTCTTCAATAAAAACACGCCACCAAGACTAATTGGCATTGAGTCACCAAACGCATCCTTCAATCCGAAACGGATACAATTAGTGAAGTTATGACTCCCGACGCGACCCCTGGCCGTAACCTTGAGTACTGGGCCTGGATCACCGCTGGATCCGTACAAGTTCATCATCAGAGCACAATTTGTACTCTTAATTTTCTCACAGAAGGGCGACTTAGCCTCATCAACCTCAATGACACGGGTATAGTTCTGAACCTCGAGAGTAGACGCATCGCTGAATTCCGGATTGGGATGCTGCGATTTCCAAGAAATATTCGGAGCGAGCTCTGCGTTGTGGCCCAGATCTTGAAATGGAGCCGCTCCAGCGCCGAGGAGAAATCCTCCAGAAGGAGACATTTGCATTTCCTGGGCCAGCTCCAAAAGAGAGTATCTGGCGCCGAAATTCGGACTTGGAAATAGATTAGGCTGGCCTCCAATATCGGCTACACATGAGTTCCCTGATATTCCCGGAGCGGCCAACTTGAAGGGCGGCTGGCTTAGGTCTGGACATTGCTCCACGCTCGCGGAGGCGCTTTTGAAATTAGCTTGAAGATATTTTTCAATCACTGCTGCTATGTCCTCCAGTGGGGGTGGGCTGCGTGGGTGGATGGTGACTCTCATTGCGATTGCAGTTAGCGGAGCGGAATGGTGATTTCAAGTTGGTGTTGAAGAAGATGCGGCTGCGGGGTGCGTGGAATTTCCGAGTGACAACTTGGAGTGGATCTGCCGAGTATTGACCGACAAGCGTAAAAACCGCGGGGTACATTGGGGTATGAATTTCCTGTCATCAAACTTTCAGGTTTACTCCTCGACTGCCGCATATCATTGGAAAGCAAAGGATCACGGCCGAATCAAGGACTAAATGAATGGCCAACGCTCATATAATTATGAGTAGCTTTGACTAGAAATTAAGATGAAAGCTACACACTGTATTGAAGATCTGAGAGAGATAACATTCTGCCACTGGATACTATTGGATGGTAATTCTTAACGATGACGTCGAACAATTGAAACTTGAAGGGTCACCGGGGAGTTGTAATATGCAGTGATGCATTCAAATGCAGGATTAGATGCCGCTTCAAGTTGGCTATGCAGATCGAGCCCCCTGGGCATAATATACTACTACTTTTAGCACTACTAGTAGACGATGCATCCTCACCAACCTATTCCAACCCCGCAATCCCCTTCTGAATACTCTCCTGTATACTTGTAAACCCATCCACTCCATAAAAGCTCCTCAACAACCCCTCCGCCCTCTCCCGCGGTCCAACAATAGTATTATCTCTCGGAATACCCGCCGGAACATCAGGGATAGACTTATTCTCCGGACGCAGCGTGCGAAGCATAGCCACGACATCAGCCCAATGAGTTGACTCGCCAAATGCGAAAATCCGCTCAGATTCTACGCCTGGGTGTAGCAGCGCGATGACGAATAGTCGGGCTGTGTCTTCGACGTCGACGCGCCATTCTAGTTTCGTTAGGTTAGTGTGCCATTGGTGCTATCATGGGCGAGGCCCGGGCTGGTTAAATGTACGTACGCTCTGGTAACATGAATGCAGAAGCATCCCCCTTGAGTAATTGGCAGACGAAGGACATCGTTGAGCCGGCGATTTCGGGATGGAGGTATCTACCGACCTGTTCGAGCAGATTAGGCCCAATGATACTAGTACCCTGGAACGGATACTCTGTTTCCGGATAGCCGGGTCCAAGAGTGAGAGGGGAGACATACATTGAAACAAGGCAGGACAGAGTTGAAGACGAATGAAGGGCGATTCTCCTCAATCCACGCCCAAGCCTGCCGCTCACCTTCTGTCTTGGATGCTGAGTATACGATCATGGCTTTCTTCTGCGGGTCGGTGTTTTCGTCCCATGCTGCGGTGATAGCGGCGTCGTTCCACGTATCTGTATAAATCGTCAGACATACTGTTCTGTTCTGCGCCGAGCCCGCAAACAACAACTTGGCTGAACACTCACTGGCATTGAGGGTTCGCCCATTGGGATCAGGCCAAGTCAGATACGTCGCCGTGGACGAGGAAGCCAAAATAACCCTCTTGATAGAAGACCTGCGAGAGGCGGCTTTCAAGAGATCTTGCGTGGCCTGGACGACCCATGGGATGACGGCGTTGGGATCGTCATTGAACGAGACATCTGAGGCCTAAGATTAAGTGGAATGAATTAATGCACGTTTGTAATTTGATGGAACGATTGCTCACTGGCTCTTCTTACCAAATGAATCAGTCCATCGACTCCCTCGAGCGCACGTTCAATCTCATCTTGATTATCGAAAGATCTTATAAGCGCTGTTTCAAAAGAGTTTGGAGCGTACTTGGTGGCGAAGAACTCGTTTAGCCACGGCTTGTCGGTCCGGAGTGTGCCCCGCACTGTGTAGCCCAGGGCCAATAGTTGGTCCACGACGTGTGCGCCGATGTAGCCATTCGCTCCGGTGACAAGGATTCGAGAGCCTGGGGGGGAGGGCGTAGTTGGAGGGGTCCATTTTTGCGGAATTGAGGAGTTTGAAGAGGGGGATTTTTTTAAGAGCTGTGAGTCGGAGGATTATAACAGCCTGAAGGATCGCTCACCGGACTCGGATAGCATCGGTTGATTTATCTACCTACTGGCAGCTCCGGGTCGGTTTACTAACTAGTTGGGGAAGTGTGGATACAGGACATGACTCGGAGGGAGATGGAAGTGGAGTTCAAGTTTGGGGCGAGGATGGGTTGAGTCTGGACGTGTTAGTGTGGAAGAATGTGGAACTTGAAGTAGATACGCAGAGTGTGGCATCATTGATATTGACGAAGACAAAGCTAGCTAGGATAGAAACTATGGAAAACCCCCACATTCCCCGTAGATATTGATTTCTTTTTCTCTTGACATCTACTCATAATCACGGAGATGTTCCCAGCAACATACCCTCATTAATCCATTCATCGTAAGTCGTAGTCGTAAGTGGTAGTTCCAGAGAGAACCAAAAGAAGAAAAGAAAAGGAAAGGAAAAAGACGAAGGAAATCAAACGAAAACACAAAGCCCGCCCCATTTTTGGGGTCGGAAACAACAAAGAAAACCCAACACCGAATCCTGTACACAATCACATCATCGCCCAGTTAAACCACATAAGCGGGTCGCCGGCTCGAAGAGCGATGACGGTGATGCGATCCACCAGAAGAGTGGCCCCGACGACTGGAGTGACTCCGGCGACGAACATGAGTCTCTTTAACAACGACCTCGCGCGAACGAGTATGGATGAAGAGGGCCCAGAAAGCAGTCCAGCTGAAAAAGACGACCTCCATAATACCCATGGCGAAGCAAGTCTTCAGCATAGCGCAGGTCTTGTTCAGCTTGTATTCCGGGCTATTTATGCGAGCGCCGTATTCGCCAAAGGGGCCCAGCGAGACCCAGACCGAGTTGGTGCCGCCTTCCCAGTGTCCGCAGTCGGAATTGGCGATGAAGCGCAGCTGGTATACGGCTGCGATGAAGGCGCCGAAGAAAAGCATGTCCACGAAAGAGACGAAGATCGCCGAGCGCTTGGTCGAACTGTACCGGATCAGAGTGTCTAGACACCAGAAGACGGCTAGGACGCTGACGATGAACATGACCAGGATGTAGGGCGGAGCGAGGATGTTTGCTTGGAGATAGCCATGGACGAAATAGGCCTGGAGGAGTCGAGGGTTAGCTGTGATTCTAGTTACGGGGGGAGATTTGCGCGGGCGGGCGCAAACGGAGGTCGCAAGTCGCATCTGATCACATACCAGAATGCCGATGATGGGAATCAGAAAGACGATTTCCACCAGGCGGTTAAAGATAAAGAAGAGGCTGCCGAACATGTTTCCGATGGAATAGATCTCCGAGGATCGCGATTGACGGACCGAACCGAGGAATGTGAGAAAAAAGTCTAACACTGGCAGTCCTCTATCCCTGGTAGTATATTTCGAAGAAGGCCAGAAATTGGGAGTACAAAGAAATTGAAGTTGTTGATCTCAAGCTACACCAGCATCACGTGGAGATGGAAAACAATTGGGATCGCAGCGGTGTACAGAGTACCAAAGACTGGATGCGATGCGATGCGATGCGATGTGATGCAGGAGATGCCGGAAGGATGGAGAAGGGAAGAAAGAAGAGGAGGGGATGGGAGTAAAAGAGCGTCATATTGGGCTGACGGCGGGGTGTGCGCAAGAGGAGGCTGGGAACAAAACTAGTTGGATGGGATGGCTGGGTGGCTGGGAACCTGGGCAACCCTCGTTGATTCACCCATTTTAATTAGCCAGACTCCTTCAAGTGTCATTCAGCCCCTCCATTAATTTAATTAATGTCTTGCATGGAGTTTAGGGATCTAGAAGGGCCAGCTGAGAGGATCTGATAGGGCCTGAATGCATTACCTACCTTGTACGGAGTAAAACTAACTGCGGATGCGTTGGAGTGGCAACCAGTGGAGTCGAACTCAATGGCAATGCACATCACTGCACACGGGAAGTTAAGCTCAAAATTCTATGCTATGATGCAATTCACCTTTTTAATTGTTTCACTCCGTTTCACTGAACATCCCATTGTTTCAATACTCTGTTTGAGGTGGATCTCGGGAAATACTTGCTTCTACCATGGTAGGTCCACTTTATACTAGTATCTACTGTTTTTTGGAACATCCATGGATTCACTCAGGTTCTCGGTACAGAGAATTTATCAGGCAGTAAGGCCAACATGGCAGACCCTGATTCTCTCCACTTTTCTCCCCACTTTGTCTACTACCTTAGTGGTGACCTGTGGATTATATCCCGGATCAATGGCCGAGCACGAGTGTACTTGACATAGACACGAAATATCCCGAGCTATTCATAGAAAGTAACTCAATTTGGTGCTTCTCGGGTATATCAACTGACTCCATGGCTTATATCAACACCATTTGAGGTACAAAGTACAATGCATATAATCTGCAGATGCAACCATCGCAGGTGATGAGGGATCTCATTGGCCCTTGGGAAATAGTATGCTACACTTTAGTCCAATTTAGTGCAATTCGGTATAGTTCGTGAGTCATCTCAATACGAACCTAGCTACATTCAACCCATCCTAGCATCCAAGTCTTTCCATCCTCAACAATGAAGAATGGCCTACTACTACTACTACTACTACTACTACTACTACTACTACTACTACTACTACTACTACTACTACTACTACTAGCAGTATCATATCTACAGCTAGTATGACTACAATCGACGTCAGCCACTCGATCTCCTTGAATATTCTTCTTGGAGATCCCCCCCGATTCCGTCTCATCCTTTCACTACTCATATCACAACGGCGATACAATTCAAGGCTCCATCTATATCAAATCGGATCACGACCTCAACTTCGAGTCTCTAGACATCTTCCTTATAGGTAAGCCTAGTCCTCCCCATATCCAGACATTCAATAACCCCCCAAATCCAAAAGTAATTTACTTATCAACGCTCCAGGCGAAGAATCCACCTCGCGACACGACCGGAATCCCCGCCAATTCCACCACGAGCAATATCCAGTCCCTGTCACCGCACTACCAGCAGAGAAAATCATCAAAAAGAACCAGAAATACTTCTTCCGCTTCACATTCCAAGTCCCCGACACAATCTCACCAACATCCTGCACCCACCCCGTGGAAAATGAACTCACTCGACAATTCCACCTCCAAGCCCCTCCAAGTTTCGGCGACCCCGACGTCGCCGGCTTCGGCGGCAAACTACGAAACGACTACGCACCATCAAATTGCAGAATCGTCTACACAATCCAAGCAAGCCTCACCCGTCAAAGTCTAGCCACAGAAAGGAACCAGATGATCCTACAGAAAAGTCTCAAAATACGACTCAAGCCTTCATCCACGGCCCTAATCCAGCCATCTCTTTCACCAATCTCGCCATCACCATCACCGTCGCCGTCGCTGGCACCCCTCACGACATCAGCATCAGCAGATAGCGAGACCCCCCCCACCAACAAACAATCGACATCTACGAACAAATCCCAACCCCAATCTCAAAATCCCTCTCAATATCAAAATCAAAGTCAAGGACAAAAATAGGCCAACTAACAACAACAATCATCGCCCCGCCCCGCTTCGACATCCCCGTCCGCGAAACAGACGCCTCAGTCCGACAAGCAATAAGACTAACCCTGCACTACGAACGAGAACCCAATTCGAATGCGAATGCGAATCCGAATCCAAACTCGAATAATCACAATCAACACGACCCAGCAGGGCTACCAAAACCCCCACAAATCCAATCCCTCCGCGGCACCGTCGTAGCAAATACTTTTTTTACAAAAACACCCCACACCAGCATCCCGCGCAAGAAACGCGACAGACTAGGCACTAAGCTCAACTACGCGGAGAAAGTCCTTACAGAATTCACGCACTCGATTACGTCTTTGTCATGGGCTGCTAGTGAGAATAATAACAATGACAATGACAATGAAAATGACAATGACAGTCTAAGACCGAGTCAATCTGATTCTCAAATTGAACAGAATCAGAATCGGAATCAGAGTCCAACGCGCTTTACTTCAACGCTTCTTGTTCCCGTCAAATTGGCGCACCAGTTTATCATCCCGACATTCCACTCTTGTCGGATATCGCGCACGTACACGCTTGTTTTGCGGTTGAAGGTGCAGGGTGCGGCGACTGTTGAGATTGCAACGCCGATGTTGATGGCGCCGGCGGAGGACTTCGCGGGCGTTGGGACGCAGTTGGGCGGGGGTAGTCCGCCGCCTTATTCTTTCGCGAGGAGTTATACGGCTACTAGTAGTGCTAGTAGTACTTTATTTGATGGGCCGGGCATGGATGTTATTGAGGGGATTGAGGGGCAGGGAAGGAACTTGTAGCATTCAGTAACGAAATGCATGGATATCATATCGAGATGGAAGAAAAGTGGTCACCTTAAGACGTGAAACGAAAACGCTATTCTATAATCATACAACATCCTTCACAGATGTAATGCAATGAAATCATAAAATCAAGGCAGAGTAGATCTACTACACCCGCCCTAAACATCGCGAATGGGGGTATCAGTCAGCGGTCGACCCTGGCCATGCGCAGTGGGAGGTGTACTCGTAGCCATTCCCACGCCAGCGCCGGCACCAGCACCAGCACCGACAGGCACATGAGTCTGCGACTGATACGCCGTACCACCCGCACCCTCATACTGCGGCGGGTAGTATCGATTCACATTCTGCTGCGAGTCATAGCCATGCTGCATCTCGTATCTGCCGACATCCTCCTCGCTAGACGACCAATTCCCGTCCGGATCATGATCATGTCTCCGGCGACGCTGATAAGGTCCCGCGACAAACGGGTTCCCGTCAGCACTATACGCCCCTGGTCCCATCGGCGCAGCCGTCAAATTCGGATTCGGATTTGGATTCAGCGGGGCGCCAGCGTTCAGATTATCGTTCGCGGGACTGAGTCGGTCCGTCTCTGGGTTATGTAACGCTTCCTGGGACGACAGTAATTTCATGTTGAGCGGGTCGTTCGGGTGTGCGGGTTCGGTGCCCCAGGTTCGGATTGGGTAAGCGCGTCCTTTGCGCCAGGACTCGGTTATTGGGGGGGAAGTATTGTCTGTATGCGATCCAGGCGCAGACCGTGCCGAGTAGGGAGCCGGTTATCACGTCGAAGGGGTGGTGACGGGCGTCCATGATGCGGGATACAGCGACTAGGGTTGCGGCGAGGATGGGCGTCATGCAGACGAGGGCTTTCCAGGCTTCACCGCGGTTGTCCATTACGTGGAGTTTGCCGCCGAGCCAGAGGGCGATGTAGAAGAGGCCGGCGAAGGAGGCTGGGTATTGTTAGCATGGGTATCGATGGGAGTGGCAATGGCGATATTGCTTGGAGGGTAGAGGGAGGGTAGTTTCCACGTACAACTACTGTGACCTGCGTTGGTATTAGCTTTGTTCTTCCATTTCTAAGCGGGCAGAGGAGAAGACGGAAACACACCTGATGGCCAGGATCGGAAACCATCCTTGATAAGCTTGGGATCTCCCGTGCAAATAGTCGAATTGGACAGTCCATACACTGTGGGATCAACACTCCCCGCCCTGGGCTGGCAGCGGTCAATGAGATCCGGTCTCGGTTTGCCGCACGCCGTCTTGAGTGCCTGGGTAATGACAAAGGTAACCCCCCTGGGAAAGCAACAGACCCAAGATACCACAGTTCATCTCCCAAAGGCGATCCTTCCAGCGCCAGGGCCCGCGCAGCTTGCGCTTGCCGGAAACGGGATCCTGCGGCTTGCTGTGGGAGAAGATGCCATCGATGAAGAGGGTGTAGATGATGATCAGGACGAGAGGGAAGGCGCCGGAGATGCAGAGGGCATAGTACATCGGAATGCGTTCGTGGACGGCATATGGATATTGCAGGGTGTAGTTTTGTAGGGCGAAGTGTTGGTGGTAGGGTTCAAGGGAGTCGAGGATGGCAAAGCCGATCACGCAGGCACTGGGTGGGTTAGCGGGTCAATGAGTGGAGGTGGTGGAGGTGATATACATGAGGATGACATAGTCGAAGATGTAACTGGAGAGGTGTTAGTCTGACCTGTGATCAAGTTGGAGTACCCAGGTATCAAGTAGTACCTGAAGAGAAGAAAAGCGGAGGGGAAACTTTGAAACTTACGAAATAACCACGCGCGGTCGGAGACGCCGCTTGGAGAAGGGCAATTTGGCCGGGATCTCCATTGTGGAAACCAACACAGTGCCCAGTATAGGAAGAAAGAATAAACCCCCTTGGGAAAGAGAGAGATAAGAAGGAGAAAATGGATCTCAGATTCAAATTAGGCAGACAAGGAGCGGTCGCGTGCCTGAGCGCCAACGAGGCTGGGCGTGATGCTTGGCGGCGATCGATCTATTAATTAGTACTCTTATTATGTACTGGGGGTTAATGGTATATTTATAAACTTGGAATAAGTATACCAATGGCAAAATGGAATCAAGCGCCCTGGTGTGCATATTACTTATTATGAATCTACGGTAGCTGGTCACTATGGAGTAAGGTGGCTGAGTTCTCGCACTCGGAGAAGAGTCTAGACTGATGCCCGCTGATCGTCATTATTGGCCCCAAATGAAATGGGGAAAAGAAGGGACAAAAGGGACAGGACCAGAAGAAGCGTCCGCATAAGGGTAGGCTGCCGAATTTGCAGACAACGTGGCTGGACCTCCAACTGCCATTTGTTTACTCTGTACTCTGTACTGACAGGGTTATTGGAGAATCTGATACCCTCGATCCACTCCCAGGCAGCATCATTAAGCTAGTCCTGTACGAAAGTTAGAAGAATGCTAGTAATCTTAGGGCAAGTGGGCACGAGCCATCACATGGTCCACTTAAATATCAAATTGGATAGTAATACCCCGTACTAATACCCCGAATACACCGACATGCCAACAGTGCACTGTATCAATCACAAAGAGACACGAGACACAGAGCTATAACAGCAACTTGTAAACACCGAAATTACCACTTTGTCCGCTTTTTAACACACAGTGATGAACAGACCCAGCCTGGAAAGAACCGAAATGTTAGCGCCCATCAACATCTCACCACACAGAGGGATTCACGTACGGAGAAGGATTGTAATCCTCGAAGAAATTCAACTCGGTGCGTCCGGCATTCTTCATCTCAAAGGCAACACTTTGATCACCAGGGCAAGCGAATGTCGAAACCACATATGAATTGCCCGGAGAAACTGTAATCACCCCCAGGTCTTCCGCAACAGCTGGGAGGTTGCTCGATGTGGTCGATGGGGTCACTTGACCAGACAGCTTGGAAAAGTCGATCATGCCATCGCCGCTAAAGGTGAATGCTGCGGTCTCCAGATCCTGCTGTTTGGGGAAGAGAAAGACCAGACTGCACGTCTTGCCAGTGTCTGATGCCGGGATGTCGAAGTTGAAAACACTTGAGACTGTCGACGTCACAGTGCCATTGGACCCTGTCCCGGCGGTGTTGCCAGGGGAGGACGAGTCAAGGGTGATGATCAAGTGAGGCTTTTCATGGTTGCCCGAGAGGTCAGTAGGGCAGCTGCCGCTTGAAGAGCCGGTGGAAGATGGAGTGCTGTGGGAAGTAGAGGTGGCCGAGCCGCCACCAGGGGAACCACCAGGGGAACCACCAGGGGAACCACCACCAGGAGAACCACCACCAGGAGAGCCTCCGCCAGGGGAACTGCTACCACCGCCAGGAGAGCCTCCACTAGAAGAGCCTCCTCCTCCACCAGGAGAACTACCTCCAGGGGACCCTCCGCCAGGGGAACCGCTACCACCGCCGGGGGAGCCTCCACCTCCACCAGAGGAGTTACCACCAGGAGAACCACTACCAGGAGAACCACCACCAGGAGAGCCTCCGCCAGGGGAACTGCTCCCACCGCCAGGAGAGCCTCCACTAGAAGAGCCTCCTCCTCCGCCAGGTGAACTGCCTCCGGGGGAACCACCAGCAGACGATCCGCCACCAGGCGCAGGACAACTACAGCCAGTGGCAGTTTGACTTGCGCACTCTCCTCCAGAAGGACCTCCTCCAGGTGAAGTACCGCCTGGCGAAGTACCACCGGGAGAACTGCCACTAGGAGAACTGCCACTAGGAGAACTGCCACTAGGAGAACTACCACTAGTAGGAGAACTGCTGCTAGGAGAACTGCCGCTAGGAGAACTGCCGCTAGGAGAGCTTCCACTAGGGGAACTTCCACCAGGAGAAGTTCCAGGAGATCCGGAGCCACCGCTGGATGAGCCTCCAGGTACTGCTCCGCTAGAAGGTGAGCTTCCACCGGGTGAGGTGCCACCAGGTGAAGTGCCACCTGGGGAACCTCCAGGAACTGCTCCGCCAGAAGGTGAGCTTCCACCAGGGGAGGTGCCACCAGATGAAGTACCGCCAGGTGAGCTTCCACCAGGTGAAGTGCCACCTGGGGAACCTCCAGGAACTGCTCCGCCAGAAGGTGAGCTTCCACCAGGGGAGGTGCCGCCAGGTGAAGTACCGCCAGGTGAAGTGCCACCGGGCGAAGTAACACCGGGAGAAGTACCAGGCGAACCTCCACCTCCACCTCCACCATGGCCAGGGCCAGAGCCAGAGCACGAGTCAGTGTTCAATTGGATACTAGAGCACATAGTGACGGAAGTGCTGTTCGTGGTATAAACATTCCGACCATCATTTTGACCAGTCTGGCAAGCAATAAAGGCTGCGGTATTATTAAACTCCAGCTGTCCGGAAGACGAGATGGAGAAGCCGGGGGTCGGCGTAGCACCCTCGTCGCACTGGAACTGGGTAGTTGGAGCTAGAATGGTATGTGAATTAGTCGATCATCCCACATACTAGTACCTCTCTGCAGGAACGAGTGAGTCAAAGGTGGTAAGTATACTTACGGGTGAGGATGCATCCACGACCAGCAGCGTCGGTGATTCCACCATTGGAATCGATGCAGAAGGATGATTGCGGCAGCGTGTTGTCGCCAATACGCACCTGGCCATCTCCAATCTGGCCGAGGTCTCCGGAAAGATCCCCAGTTGAGGTCAGATGGAAGCAGCAATTATCACTGCGGCCGACGAGAGCGTTTGTGCCGGCGGCGAAAGCCGCCATAGCAACGAAGATTTTCATTGTAGAGGGTTTATCGGGTGAATAGTATATAGCGAATGAATTTTTATAGTTTAGGAAAGAGGAAAGATGGTTAACTTGAAGGTCAGTCCTCCTTCAGATAGAGGGGGAAGAGGGATAGATGGACGAGGATGAACCAGGAGAGACAGGAAATGCCGGGGAACAACACTTATATGCTACAAACGGCGAGAAGAGAAAATACGGGTTACGACTGCCAGTGCATCCGCTCGAGCGAACAGAATAAGGGCTCCGGGCTATACCTCCGAGGGTTAAGACAAATGATGAGCGAGAAGTCGACAGCGGAAGACGGATAGAAACAAGGCTCGACCTCTCAGCGTCGAGAAGCTCTGCATTGATATTCGCTGTAGATTGCGTGGTGAGCCAATTATCACTCCTCTTAACCAGAAGAAAAGATGATTATAGAACCCGAGCCCAGTCGGAGATGTCATCCGCAAAGGACAGGGTAGACGTCATTCTTGAGCAGAGCCCCGATGTTGGAGGCGAGGAGAAGATCCATATGAGATGCTCCACTGCGACGGGATAGCCATTAACCATTACCGGTCTTGTGAATTATTGGGTCAATTGAATGCGAGTAATTTCCGGGGCGGTGCCTGTGCCTGAGTAGATACTCTCGTCGCGGACCGAAGAATCCAGGGCAGCTTGTTTTCAGTGGCGAGACGGGTGTGACCACGGAACATGGCATGGTTGCCCTTCGCAATGGCTGAATTCCCTGGATAATCTGCGGATGGAGCGGATGATTCGTTAGCTTTGATGGGGTTGTGATGCAGTTTTCCTTTACATTGATTCCCGCCCTTTGACGTTGGATGGTTTGCAAGGCACCAAAACAGGTACCCAAGGCCCTGTATCACTTCGTAGAATAAGCAGCCTGTCGGCGATAGAAAAGAACATGCCCACCCGATAAATTGAATGGGATGCCTCCGGCGCCGAGGATCGTTGAGGTATACTTAGTAGTAATATACACCAGAGTATCCATGCCAGGTGATGAGCCGGAATTTATTCATCACGATATAAGACGCTGGTTGCTGGACCCTGGCGTCATGTGAAGACAGCTTAATTTTGGCTCCGCCAACGATCGTTGTGGACTATTTTTGTACCCAGGTACAGGTGAAACTGATAATTGTCTATTCAATACCAGCACCCGCAGATCTTCCTATGCTATAAACTGGAAATTATGAACAATCGCTGAATACAGCGAGGTTCGAAGACACGAATGTGTTGATAACGCTACTAGTATGCTCAAGAAGAACGTTTCAGCCGGTATGTTAACGCAAACAATTGCTCATTTCTCATCGAATGAGATCAGGACGAGCACTATTCAAATTTCCCGCATTTGCTTCGTGTTTGTGGAATGAGGTGCGACTTGACGGCTTGCGGCTCTCTGCAGCCCTCGCGAGTTACACCGAGCTAATGAAGACAGCCCGTTTGCAGACCAAACATCCAATTGAATGAAGGTGCACCAGCTTCAGCTCTGGGACCCATCCCGATATCCTGCCGAATATGGGTGAGGACCTGGGTTGAGCGGGGCAGGGGCAGGGATTCATCAACCAAAATGTAAGGTGATTGGGGGATCGGGTTGTGCTAAATAACGACTTTGGGAGCTGACTAGACCAGGAGGTGCGTCATATACCTGCAAGTAGGCACCTTTGGTCTCAATTCGTGAGAAGACTGTAACTCGTATAATGATTGGCTAGGCGAAACGCTTCGAGCCACTGAGTACTAGTACTACTAGTTAGAGTAGTGCATGGAGTGAAAAGTGTTCTTTATTACAGCTAGTTTGCTACATTGAATATGAGCTCGTGGGTAATTTATCGTTGTATGGGTCATGAAGGGACATGAATCGTTGACTTATTGCTCAAAGTAGAATCCTCGTCCAGATATCACATCGATAGGAATGATCGTTCAAGTCCGGGAAACAACGAATCCCAATCAAGCATATCTGGATCCACATTAGCGCTGAAATCTTCGAAGAAATCATTGAATGATGGAAGTGTGGGGTCCTCTATAAAGAGGCCAGCCCCTTGGTCTGGCAGAATTGTCTGAGGATCTTGAGCTGCAGGAACCGATGATGGATGAAGTGTGGCACTACCTTCCGGTCGGGGCGGTGAATTTGTTCCGGGAGAAATGAATGGGATGTTGTATCGCTTTAGGACACTGTGGAAGGCTCCCAGGATTCTTTCTGCGAATGGGGATTGGCCCTTTGCATCCTCCAGAACGGTGAGTGCGCCGAATATCTCGATGCGGATTTTTCGGTCATCGCCTGTCTGAAAACTTCTGTTCAGGCAAAGGTCCATCAATAGCACTATAATCCCCATGCATACACAGTGTAGAATACCGGAGGATCTGAGTCGTATCAGAGTGAATGGTAAATTCTCGGTCCGGAGTTGGCGCTCGGTTCGAATTACCATTCTGGCCGCCTCGAGGCACGCATCTCTCGAGTAGAGATATTTCGAGTCCTTAGCACCTTTTGTCAAGTATGGCAGATGCATGCGACACCTTTGGGCATTGACCAGGCAGTTGAGGATGTAGCGCTGAGCAGTGATCGGGATTGATCTGCGTGCATCCGAGTCAGGCACCTGGTCTACCTCGAAGTCAATAGAAAAGAACGGCGGTAGACTGTTGATAAACTCAATCATTTTGGCATCAATGTCTAGTATTCTCTGGTAGTTTGTTGGTCCAGATCCAGCATGGCAAAATGATTCGCTATCAGTAAGTTCACGACAGAGCTCAGCGTGACGAAATCTTTGCAGGCAATAGGACATGGAGGTCGGTTGATCGATGGGCTGACCGACTCCTTCCATTCCATCCACGAGATCCTCATCATTCGCATTGATTGGCTTCTTTGTCGCCATGTGGCTAGGGTTAATCAGGTAGGTCCCCCTATGGGCACCTGCAAACTGGGAGAATTGCCTAGGGATGTTGTTAAAATTGTGATGCTCGGATCAATATTGTGATGCATACCAGTCGGTCCCGACCAAGTTCCACCAGACCCGTCGCGCCACCTCCGCTCTGATGGAATCTGGGCGAGGTACATCCAAGTTTCCATTTTGTGGGTGATCAATGCGGTGAAGAGAGAGTTGTATTGCGAGGGATGTAGCAGAAGAAAACCGAAAATGTGCCTGAGATGAGATGCCAACCATGTTGCAAATGACAAAACCGACAATGATGGTTGCTTGAACCTCTTCGATGGTTCCAGATCCGATCCGATGAGACACATCCAGTAGATCAAGGGTTCTATGGAGCCACAGCGAAGCTTTTTCGTGGGCTTCCTCCGCAGAGGTGATCAGGGGTTCCGGTGTATCCCGTTCCGTCCAGAAGAAGAGAGTGCTGGTAATCATCGCTAAGAGAAGACAAACGTCTCCTAGTCGGGGGTCGCTCTTCTGATTCAAACTATAATATATATCGCGAACCAACGAACGGACCGACGGCGCATGAACCACATGATGGAGGTGTGTGATATCAACGAGGTACTTTTCGACAATGTGAATCGATTCTTCATGCAGAGGGAGCCAAGTGTATCGAATGCGTGCGTTTTCTCGACTTATCAGGGACCTCGAAGACATCGCAAGGTTGATAGAGCATGTTTTAAATTCAATCTCGGACGAAAGCAGGCAGTTCTGTCACCATACGGCGCGTCAAAACAAATTGACAACTATGCAACTTTTGGTTGGAGATACATACCGTTGAAGGGGGGTGGGTTATCTCGCCTTCCAGCCAGTCAACATCGCTTGATGGGGAGGTCTCCAAACGTTTGTACCGGTCGAATTTCCGCGCAAACGAACCGGGCGAAGCATGGGAAGGCGGGCTCCCGGCATGCATTGAGGACCCATTGGAGGTCATTGGAGGTGTTCCACCTTGGCCAAGGACGATATTCTCTAGTAAGCGCAGACGCGCCAAGACATTTTCATCGACGCTAGGCGGAATGTCGGTCGAACAGCTTGCTTGGGCTGAAGGCAAGGAATCATCTTGCGGGCAGTCGAGGCCACGGCTGATGCAGTTGGTGCATGGGAAGTTCCGGCTGCATCGGAGCTTGCGCGACCGGCAGAATGTGCAGGAAACTGGACGTGATCGCGAGCTATCTGCTCGGCTTTTTACAACTCGAGCCATAACTAACTAATGCAGCTTTCCGTTGGAGTGGAAAGAAGGCTGACCTCGGCGAGATGCGGACGTGCTCGCGTTTGGTTGAGCGAGGGACTCGTCAGAAAGTTCATCAGAGTCGAAACCGCTGAACTCTTGAGATTCGTGAGGGGACCTAGAGCCTGGAGGCTTAGACACCGAAATTTCTGTAGCGGACGCGAGTATTTGTTGCGTTTTTCTGAAAGGAACAGTTTCGTTGAGTCCCAAACGCGTAATTCTGTGACGACTGTTAAGAGAGTAACAGTCTGTTCCATCCCTCGCACAATACTTGTAGGAGTGGGCACAAGTTCTCGTCGGGTGATGATGCCAACCTGCTGCAACCTACTGTTGAGGAGGAGTTCCAGTTGGAAAGAGAAGGTAGTGCGGCGGCCGATAGCCGCCACAAGAACATCCATATCGCCAAGCTTAACGGGTACCTTAAGGTACTGGTACGGAGAGGGCATGGAGAATAGAGTGGGCAAAGAGGGTGTATATGATTATTTGACCATGAAGACCAAGCCTAGACGTGAAAAAGAGGTCAATTTTCTTTCAATTGTTTTTTTATACATGCTGCTTCTTTCATTACCTTTCAGTGAGGCAAATAATTATACTAGTAGTATTCATGCTGGCCTTCTAGCGGCCATCTTTTGGCTATCTTGGGTTCGACCGGCTAGCTACATCCAGCCAATCAGCGATCGAAGGCCCCGCGGAAGTTCCGCGGACCCAGCAAGCAGGTACTATACACCCAGCTCCAATTTTAACACTACAGATATAAAAGGCAAGAGACAAGGAGTGATGTGAACTATATCATCTTGGTTCAAGTCTTCAAATTTATCAATTGATTTATCCACAATACTCAAAATGGACGCCATCATAACCCAGATTCGTGATTTGGCCAAGTCGGCCGACGGAGCTACTCGACAGGACATCCAGAGAGATCTGCGTCAAGTTCAACGAGATCTTCAGGACCCGAAGGAAGTCCTAATGGACCTTGCAAACTCGGTATATTTCTCTTCTATCCAAACAATTGAATTGGGAGTTAACAAACTTGCACGAGGAAGTTCCTACTCGGCCCCGTCATTCGCATCGGCGTGGACCTGAAGTTATTCCATGCGGTTGCCACGGCCCAGAAGCCATTGACAGTCGATCAACTGGCTGAAATCACTGAGGCATCTTCTGGTCTTCTTGGTAAATCTGGCTTTTCCCGCTACATTATCACTTCGAAATGCTAATTACGGTGACACTAACAGAGAGACTGCTCCGCTATCTGGCCTCTAACAACATAGTGAAGGAAGTAGGGCCCAACGAGTATGCCGCGAGCAATCTTACCTACATTTTCGCTAGCGAAAAAGGAGAGGCGATGATATCCCATGGGTGAGTACTTTTCCCTTTGCGTCATCTTGAGAAAGTCATTGCTAATATTCCAAACCCAGCTTCGACTTCCATGCCCTTCACATGCGAGAAATGCCCGAATACTTCAAGGAGACCGGCTATCAGAATATTACGAGCACCAAGTACACTCCGTTCCACAAGGCATTCAAGACAGATCTCAATTCCTTCGACTGGCTTGCCCAGCACCCCGAACATTTCGTCCCGTTTCAAAAGATGATGACTTCCCTAGAGGGTTCCGAGTGGACCGAGGGCTTTGAGCTTCTCAACTCCGAGGCAAAGCAGATTCCCTCTACCCCCGCCCAGCCATCAGACAAACCCTTCTTAGTGGATGTTGGAGGTGGACATGGCCACCAGGCCATTCAGCTGGGACGCAAATATCCCAACCTTCTCGGACGTCTGATTTTGCAGGACCTTGGCGCAGTCGTTAGGCCTCTGTCTCCAATTGAGGGTGTGAAAATCGAAGAATACAGCTTTTTTGATAAGCAACCTGTGGTGGGTATGTTGAACTCTCCCTTTTTTGTTTCAGATCTTTGTTTCTCGAACAAAACTAACAAAGCTTTGCTAGGTGCGAGATTTTACTACCTCCGCCGCATCATGCACGACTGGCCAGATCAAGATGCTGCAAAGATTCTCCAAAATATTGCAGGGGCAATGTCATCCCACTCGCGCATTCTGATTGATGATGCCGTTCTGCCCGATACTGGGGCTGTTTGGCAGGTCACTATGGCTGACCTGGCTTTGATGAACTGTTGTGGTGGTGTGGAAAGAACAAAGAGGCAGTGGGAATCACTTGCAGATGCTGCGGGTTTGAAAATTGAGCAGATTCATTCTTACATCGCTTCGACCTACACTTCGGTGGTGGTCCTGGCTTTGAAATGATTTTCCAAGGTTCTAGATTCCAAGGTTGAAGATGGAGTCATCGCTGATCGATCAATGTATAAATAGTAGAGCTCCTAGGTAGGTATATTTTAGCCGCTCGTTTGAACAATCTCCTTTCATGAATATCACTTGGGCACCAAATGGAAATTGGAATATCAAGAATTTACACGTTTCCAATGTAACAAAGTCCCTTTATACCTATCTATTTCCAAAATAACTTCCAAAGCCCCGAGAGTGGAGAGTGAAATGCCCAGCGGGCGACGGCGCCAAGACCGACCCAGTTCGCCCTGACGACATTCCCGCCCGCCACTTCATTCTTCAAGTTTCCAACCATCATTTCAATTTTTGGCCAATTCAGCTTCGTCTTCGGTCCATTATTGCAAAAACCCGACGGAAAGTAACAGATAGGCAAGGCAAGTGAGAACTCTTTTCGCTTGGAATTTACCTAGCATCTCGCCTGAGCCACGCATGGCCGGGGTTAGCGCGGAGGCGGCATTTGCCTATCACGAACCGCCAATAGCAACAATCCTCAACCTGACTGGTTTTATCATCCTCTTAAATATCATAAATGTCTGTCTTGACAAACTTCTATATTGTGGCCTGATTGGACAGCTCTTCGTTGGCATCCTTTGGGGCACGCCCGGCGCGAAATGGCTCGATCGCGAGACAGAGACCGTCATCCAGCAACTCGGATATCTCGGTCTTATAATGCTTGTCTATGAGGGTAAGTATGGACCCCACGCGTAATCAGGGAAATCAGTCGCTCACATTATAACAGGTGGTTTGTCGACGTCTATTAAGGCAGTGAGAGCCAACCTCTTTGTTTCTCTTTGTGTCGCCATCACCGGCATCGGTGTGCCTATGGGTCTGTCATTCATTCTCAGAGAGCTGGTTGGTGCGAGCTCCTTGCAAGCATTTGCTGCCGGTGCAGCGCTCAGTGCTACAAGTCTTGGGACTACCTTTACAATCCTCTCGACAACGAATCTGATCGCCACGCGTTTGGGTACTGTGACAACTAGCGCTGCAATGCTCGATGACGTCGTTGGGTTGGTGATGGTCCAAATTATCTCAAACCTGGGCGGAAATGGCTCATCATTCGACGCTTTGACTGTCATTCGACCGGTATTCGTGTCTATCGGATTCGCAGTGGGGCTATTCCTAGTGTGTGCATTTTTGATCGGACCCTGTGTCAAAAAGGCGCTTCGCTCCAAGCTGAAACTGCCTCGATTTATGAAGACGATACAGTTTGCATTTCTCTACCAAACAGTTGTTCTGGTCGGGGTTGTAGCGGGTGCCACTTATGCGGGAACATCCAGTCTCTTTGCTGCTTATCTTGCCGGTGTTATAGTCACCTGGTTTGATGGTACAATTGCGGATTTCAAGATGGCAGAATCTGCTGGCCAAGATGATGCTCACATTTCACACGAATCTGCAAGCCAAGTGGCTGATAGTTGTTCCCCGGGTTCCCCTGAGCAGCATAGCGACCCTTCCACCGATGTTTCAAGTGCTCGATGCGATGAAACACTGACTGGCGAAGTAGTTTACGAGAGATATTACAAACAACCGGTATCTCGACTTTTAACACCCCTGTTTTTCGTGAGTCACGTCGCATTATCATCATCTTCATCATATTTACATTCTATACAGGCATCGATTGGGTTTGCAATTCCAATCACCGAAATGTTTCGGGGAAGTGTCATATGGCGCGGTCTGATCTATTCCCTGCTAATGATGTTTGGAAAGATGGTCACGGGTCTATGGCTAGTTCGGTTCTCCTTCAATCCCGTGTCGAAACTCATCAGTCATATGAAAGATTACATTCCTGGCCCTCGCCTGTTTTGCACTCCGAAGAAACCCCATGAACCGCAAAAGAGGAAAGAAGAGCCTCCTTCAAGTTCCGCCACGGCTACTTCGCACGACCAAATAAACGAAAACACGGAACCACACGCCAAAACCTCAGTCCACAGGTCTCCTTCTAACCGAGAGACTACGAGCCAACCCCAGCTCCAGCAAACTGAGCGCCTAGAGTCGAATCAACGCTCCTCCACTACGTTCCCAGCAAAGCCCAAATCATTGTATCCGCCATCTATCCTCGCCTTGGCTATGGTCGCTCGGGGGGAAGTAGGATATCTGATTGCTTCGCTAGCACAGAGCCAAGGCATGTTTTCAACCGGCCCCTCTAGCGGAATATCAGAGATCTACCTAGTGATCATATGGGCTATCTCCATCTGCACACTTGTGGGGCCAATCTGCGTTGGAACCCTTGTCAAGCGAGTCCAGAAGTTACAAAAAAACAGAGGGAACTCTGGCTCAGACCCACTGGGCGTTTGGGGTATCTGAGTGCGTTCCTAAGTGAAGCTAAGCCCCAAGGCAGCACTTGAGGTGTTAGGCAGCAGGAAGATGAAAGAATGAAGAAAAACCTGCTCGAAGAGTAAAAATGCCGAAATAAATTGGATTGAATGTCGGTATTCAGCCCTCACGTCACGATTTCTCTCAGCGACGTCAGATCTCATTTGCATAGACTTAGCGTGAGAAACTCTAAACTTGAACCGCCACATTGTTATACTTCTATGTCACTTCTCGACTGCCTCTGACAAGAGAATAAGTGGATCCACCACACTGCTAGCAATTTTCCAAAATCCTATTCTTCCCGAGTCAATAAATCTGGGCTTTGCTCAAAAACCGAGAACCCCCGGGGAGGAGGTGAAATGCCAGCAAGCTTATATTGCCAAGGCCGAGTTGGTGCAGTCAGCCCTTTCGCAAATGAGAGTAATAATGACTGCAGCCAGCCAGTCAAATTTCAGAGTCTATCGTGGGAGAGAAGTTTAATTTACTCTGTACTTCAGCTCTTGGCATTTTGAGGCGCCCAATGTGGGACTCAACGTACGATGGTCCGTCTATAATGATGCCAAATGATTGGCCTTCTTCTCCCGATGCTTTATGCACGCAGTACTGGGGGGGCCACAAGGCTGCATACGCTAGCTGGCAAGCGCATCTGCATCTGCATCGGCGGCTTTGAAGGACCCCTGTATGCAATTAAAACCTCGGAAGCGGACTGCACAGCCCCATTCCCTCCAGTCTGCTTAATTAATTAGTCTCACACAACCCTTAGGCTCTTTCCCCCTGTTCAGGATAGTCCCCGCTCTGGCATTCCCATGATACCTCAAGGATCGATCCGAGATGAGCGAAAGCCAAGTGGTTCGTTTTAATGCACGACGGCAAGGCTTGCAAAGAGTCCGTACTGGTTGTGCGACGTGCAAGTATGTTCATCGTCTGATCGGTTGATTCTGATCTTCATGTCCCCGGTCAACATGGAGGCTAAATCTATACCATCACATCAGAATTCGCAGGGTCAAGTGCGACGAAACACACCCTGTCTGTAAACGATGTCAATCCACCGGCCGAAAATGCGATGGATACTATCTCGTGTCTCGAAGCGAACTTTCCCAAATCATCCCCTCGAGAATACCCGATGCGGACGATATTTCTCTTCGCAGTTTGGAATTCTTTCAGCATGTGGTGGCCCCGGTGCTCTCTGGGCCATTGGGCCGATCATTCTGGACCCATCTCGTTGCTCAACTCGCTCATCAGGAACCTGCCGCAAGGCATGCTGTGATCACCATCAGCGCTTTGTACGAACAATTCGATAAAGGGGTGCAGCAGATTCGGTCGCCGTACGATGATGGATACGCAATGCGGCATTATAACAGCGCTATCAGGGACATAATATCTCTCAAAGCACACTATCCCGAACAGGTCGACACGGCCATCATAGTCTCCATTCTCTTTTCTTGTATCGAGTGCATGCGAGGGAATAAGGAGGCCGCAGTCAATCACTCTAGGCATGGGATTCTACTCATGAACTCCTCCCGCCCCAACGCAGAGCTAGCTTCTATCTTCCGACATCTGAGTTTCGTGACCCTGTTCTCCAACGAGTGTCTAGCAGAACTTCCCTTCCTAACAAACGGCGGCTACCCATCCGCACCAACCCCATTCCAGACCTTTGCACAAGCACAAGAAATGATAGACTGGCTAGGATACCACGCGGTAAAACTGGCTCGACTAAGAGACCGACAAAACTCGCCCTCAACGGCGTCGAAATATACCCAATTTTTCTCAAAGGAGATCCGCCGACTAAATATTTACATGGAGACATGGTTTGTCTCATTTACCCCGTTGAAAGAGCAATCCGACACCGATCCACGACACAAGTCTATCGCCCAAATACTGGAGATGCGATGGCTGGCAGCGAAGATATGGACGAATTCTTTCATGGAAAATGATGAGACCGCATATGATGCCTACATTGATGAATTCGAGCGAATCGTCGAGATTGCTGAACAGTCACCGCCGACTGAGGATCCCTTCTGGTCAAGGTCTCCCAAATTCATGTTTGAGATGGGCTTTGCGCCGCAGCTTTACTTCACCGTTATGAAGTGTCGGTATCTTCCACTTCGGCTTAAGGCCCTTTCCTTGATGAAGGAGAAATGCTGCAAGAAAGAGATTTTGTGGGACTCAACGGCGATATATATGAGAGGTAAACGGGTGATTGAAAATGAGCATGCGATGCAGCTTCCTGATGATTTCAGTCTCCAGGTGGTGCGTAAGAGTATTGAAAGTCCTCCTGCTGCTCCGACTGATAGTCATCGAGTTTGCGATTTCACCATCGAGGAGATCGAGGATGAAAACTCCGCCGGAGTTCATGGGTCCGAGTTAGAGATTGGTGGTAACCGGATTTACTTTCATTTTCCAACCTCACTAACTGAGGATATTTCCAGTGGCTGATGTGATGATAAATGATCCATTGATTTAAAAGCAAGATAGATCTAAAGTACTACTAGTTACTCTAGGCACTTCTCATTTGAAAGCTAACCCTGCATTGTTCCAAGGCTGCATATGAATACTCGAGATTTATTGGCGCAATTTCAAGGCCCACCGTGACAGTTTCAAACTGTCTCCAGAGCTTTGCCCAGAAAGTTTGTGCATCCATAGATTCAAGTTTCAAGTTCCCATTAGTAGAACTTGAATACTCCTAGTGATTTCCTAGGTACTTCCACCCGGGTCGCGGGTAAACAACTTGAAAGTAGTAATAACCTTCCATTACAAGTTGACAGCCCATCTGGAACTTGAAAACCTTAAAACCTTGGAACCTTCGAATATAACCTTTTCAACTGGAAACTGCTTCCAAGAATATATTTCACACAACCTCTCTAGGCTCAATACAGATGCGGAGTAACAAAATGCGATAGATAGCTTGAATATTGTACAATGATATGAGGTCCCCACTAGATCTTACCACCAGTGATCTGCTCACCGAGCTTCTTGACTCGGTCCTGGGTGACATCCCAGCGAGCAGTTTCACTCTTCCGTGTCTCATTAACAGTAGACTGAATAGTTGGGGGTGTACCCAGGTTCCACACATTCTCACCAGGCTGGTGGTCATTGCGCCATTCCACGTTTTCGCCATCAGGGAAAGCGCGGTCGATCTCCGCAGACAGCTGTTCCTCCGATGTGATGAAAGTGCGCGCATGCATGTAGAGCGAGTGAAGATCCTCCTCGTGCTGAGCCTTCTTCTGAGCCTGCTTCGCCTCAAGTCGGGCCTTGGAAAAGGCCAATCGTTTTTCGCGGCCGGCGTCGCGCAGGAAAGTGTCGTTGGGGGCAAGCATGGCCGCAACAACGGATGGCCGTGTCAGACGCTCGTCTTCGGGTTCTGGCTGGTTGAAAATGCGTTGACGGCGTTCCTGGGTCATGCGGCTGCGGGTGACCACTGTTTTCTCCGCTGCGACCTTGCGATCGTGAAGGACGCTCAGACTCTCACGGAGATGGCTTCGTCGTCGGTCGGCCATCTTCAATTTAAAAAGTTGCTGTTCACGTTCCAGCTCGTCCGATGCGCGACTCGGTTTCTTTGTTCGAGCGGGCGACACGGCGTCAACATATTGCTGTGACGGCTTGTCGGCACGGCGGACAGGAAAGATCTCGCGAGGAACGGGGAGAGTACCCTTGACCTTGGGTTTGGCGGGATTGGTCGGTTGGATAATGCGAGGAATGTCGAGGTAATGGGGGGGATTCGGGGCCGACTCGAAGGGTGGTAGAGGTCGAAAAACCGCGGGCCTGCACATTGGCAGCCCGGGTGACGCGGAGAGCTGACATTTTGCGGCAGCTCTTTAGACAAGATCAATTATGTATATTTAATTGACACAGTCGCACTCGGTAGAGCCCCGGTCTGTCAATGAGACTAGGTGGAATGGAATGATCTTGCTCTTGTATCGGAAAGGAGGATACGCGGACAAGCCCAGCGGAAGAAAATCCAAGCGGTCTGTGAGTTTTCAGGCAGAAACTAATCGGCTTTCAGGCCAATAAAATCTCACCGACTTGGCAGAATGTCACGTGTGATATATCGACGGCAGAAAACATCGGCGGTGAGGGCGGTCAACCATCGGACCCGTCCTTAGCGCCGCTGAGAAAAAAAAAATAGTCCACCGAAATCTTCCTCCTCTTCTTCCGCGCTCTACCACTCCTCGTGTTTGGTCTTGCCTTTGAATTTTTCTTTCAGGTCATTTCCCTTTTCACCCTCCTATTTCTAAGGACAACCTCATCATGGGTACCGGAAAGAAGGAGGCCGCACGTAAAGTGCGGCAAGGAAAGCCTGACGATGGTATGGCCAATGTCACTACCAAAGGTGAAAACTTCTATCGGTATGTCTAGCCATGGTCTCAGGTTATTAAGTCACCTCTTTCTAACAAGCTGCAGCACTGCGAAGCAGGCGAAGCACCTGAAGATGTTCAAGGATGGTAAAGCTCGGCGCAACGCTGCTGGAGACATCACTGTCGCCGCCTCTTTCCAATCCCGCGATGCCCCCGTTGGTCGCATCGAGCCCAACCGTAAATGGTTCGGCAACTCCCGAGTCATTTCACAGGAGGCACTCACTTCATTCCGTGATGCTGTCGCCGAACGTGCCGCGGATCCTTACCAGGTTCTCCTCAAGACCAACAAGCTGCCCATGAGCTTGATTCGGGACAATGACAACGTGAACGGACTGAAGCAACATCAGGCTAAGATGGAGGTTGAAAACAACCCATTCGCCGATACCTTTGGACCCAAGGCTCAGCGCAAGCGTGTCAAGCTTGGTGTCTCTTCTCTGGAGGACCTTGCTGGCTCGACCGCCGACCTGCAAAAATCATACAATGACAAGAATGACAACGGCACAAACGAAGATGGAACTCCTATCGTCGCAAGTGATATTTCCTCATTCGCAGAGATCAATCTCACTACTGCCCGAGAGTCTGTCTTCTCCAAGGGTCAGAGTAAGCGCATTTGGAACGAGCTTTACAAGGTCATCGATTCTTCCGATGTGATCATTCACGTTTTGGACGCTCGTGATCCCGACGGTACTCGCTGCCGCAGCGTTGAGAAGTACGTCCGCGAGGAGGCTCCTCACAAGCATCTCATCTTTGTCTTGAACAAGTGTGATCTTGTCCCAACCAAGATTGCTGTAAGTCTCAACTCTACCAATTTCCCCACACTTCTTCATACCCCTTGTCTTTTTTATTTGTTCTTGCGTTCCTTGTTTTTTTCTTTTGTTTTTCGTCCGGCATTCACGCCGTTCCATCGCTAAGTCAAGGCTTCTTCCTACGACTCATGTCGTTGCTCTGCTCAATGGAGGTCTGTCTGTTACAGCTTTGGTAGATTGACACTTTCCCGCACCGAATTTCTTTCTGAAGCTAGGTTGACTTGTCTTCGTCTTGAAGGCCTGTCGTAAGGGACAGCCGTGTTTTGTTTTTGAGTAGAGTTCTGCCTCTGCCTTTTCTGGTGGCTTGGTGGCAGAACTCTTAGTAACATCCCACACATTTTTGCCTTCTCACTCATCTTGTGTTTTGATTACAATATACTAATTTGTATCCGACACTAGGCTCAATGGGTTCGTTACCTGTCCAAGGACTACCCAACCCTCGCTATGCACGCCTCGATCAACAACTCTTTCGGCAAGGGTTCTTTGATTACACTGCTTCGTCAGTTTTCATCTCTGCACTCCGACCGCAAGCAGATTTCCGTTGGTCTGATTGGTTACCCCAACACGGGCAAGTCTTCCATTATCAATACTCTTCGCGCCAAGAAGGTGTGCACTGTTGCTCCCATCCCCGGTGAGACCAAGGTGTGGCAGTACGTTACGCTCATGAAGAGAATTTATCTCATCGATTGTCCTGGTGTGGTCCCTCCCAACCAGAATGACAGTGAGACCGATATCTTGCTTCGTGGTGTCTGCCGTGTGGAGAACGTCCACAACCCCGAACAGTACATTCCCGCTGTCATGAGCCGTGTCCAGCCTCAACATCTGGAGCGCACCTATGACATTAAGGCACCAACTGATGCCATTGACTTCCTCAGCCGTCTGGCTCGAAAGGGTGGTCGTCTGCTGAAGGGTGGCGAGCCTGACCTGGATGGTGTGGCCAAGATGGTCATCAATGACTTCCTACGCGGAAAGATCCCCTGGTTCACTCCCCCGCCCAAAGCCGCCGTGCCCGAGGGTGAGGAGGACAAGGAGCCCGTGAAGGATGGCCGTGAAGGTCGTCTGGGTGAGATGGGACGCAAGCGCAAGATCAACGAGAAGACCGACGAGCCCGCAGACGAAGCCGATGCCTCGGATTCTTCCGGCCCCGAGTTTGAAGGCTTCAACGAAGGTGACAACGATAGTGACAACGACTCTATTGCCAACCTGGAAATCAGCGATGTCGAGAGTGGTGAGGAGGACTGAGCGCCTTGTGACACCGCGGGTGCAATCCCAATTCTCTAGTCTTTGGACTTTTGTCACCGCAACATGGCCTGCGACTCTTGAAATACAGAGCATGCATGAATGCCCATCACCCCCACTGCCAGCTGGGCTCGTCTCCATTGTGGAAGGGCCCAGGTTTCTGACATCTGCATGATACCGGGTGGAAACGCCCGATCAGCAGCACATTGTCAACGGCCACGTTCCTGGATTGCCAACCCAATCCGAAATGATCCCAAGATCATCAATGGCCAGAGCTACCCTGGAACAGCCCCAGCCGAGTCCGGTCTGAGTCTGGCATCAAATGACCAGAGCGAGAAGAGCTGGCCCCACATGAGATACCCGATCCTTTTAAGGAATCCAATGAAAAGTTTTCTACCTATAACTATGTTGTGAATTTGCGTATACGTATTCTGTAGTTCTAAAATGGCAATTGATCAACCTTGCCAGCGAGCTGAGATTAGTACAAGTACCTAAGTAGGTACTTTTGCTGCCCTACTAGTAGTATTCAAGCTTATATATACCACTTCGCTCAATATCTATCAGGAGAAAAGGTCAAACCTTTGGAATAGCTAGCTTTGAGCCATCCCAAGTCTAGACTATCACACTACAGGACTCTAAAAGAGTAAGTTCCACGGTTCGCGGATCTTCCGGGGCACACCGCCCGCCTTTCAGTGGGGTCTCCTTAGCACTTCGTCATCTCTCTCTCTGAGCTGCACCGTGCTGGACTTTGTCTTGGCTCTACTGCTCACCGCAATGTTCATGCAGTTATGCCGGACGACATGTCTATGATACCTTACAATGGCGGAAACCTGGATGTTGTGCTGTAGGTCACCATTTTATGGTATGCTCTCTTTCATGGCTGACCGCGAACTAGCCGACACAATGACTCGGTCGTGGTTTTGGACCGTGATTCTCAGCAGTTAGCTTTGCGAAATGCTGCAGACGCCCATGAAGCTGGCAATCTGGAATATGCAGACTGTCCCTGGTGCCACCGCCCCATGCGAGATGGGAGTAGAGGCAGACATCGTGGAACGGAGGATCCAGAGGCGGAGTTCGTGAATCCGAACTACTTCCGCATGCTAAATAATAGCCTGCCAAGCTCAGCGAGTTCCTCACGACCTCCATCGCCTCGCCGCCGCCTCGTTCAGCCCGCTCTCCCACGCGGTATCACTAGTGCTCCCTCGCAAGCGTCACACGTACCCCCGCCTCAGGGTATCTCCTCCGCAGCCTTCAGTCAGGACTACTTCAAACGATTCTTTGTCGAGGAGAAGGAGCTTGGTAAAGGCGGAAAGGGTGTTGTGCTTCTTGTTAAGCACATGCTAGATGGCGTCTCACTCGGTCACTATGCTTGCAAACGTGTCCCTGTCGGCGACGATCACGAGTGGTTGGAAAAAGTACTTGGCGAAGTACAACTACTACAACATCTTTCGCACCAGAACCTAGTCTCATACCGGCATGTATGGCTTGAAAATGCCAAAATCAGCACATTCGGTCCGCCCGTGGCATGCGCTTTCATTTTACAGCAATACTGCAACGCGGGCGATTTACATAATTACATATATGGCTCCGTACAGACATCGACAACTGCACAGCAACTCAAAGATCGACTTCGGCGCAAATCGAGAGGGGAGCCTGAGCCACGGGCTGGATTGGGTGGTCCTCGCATTCTCCAGCTGGATGAGATTTATTCTTTCTTCAGAGATATAACCTCGGGCTTGCGGCATCTGCATATGAATGGGTATATCCATCGCGACTTGAAACCTAACAATTGTCTGCTCCATGACACGAGTGATGGGATCCGGGTGCTTGTGAGTGACTTTGGCGAAGTCCAGCAACAGACTGCGATTCGAAAATCAACTGGCGCAACCGGAACCGTGTCATACTGCGCGCCCGAGGTGCTTCGACAGGACTTCCCTGATGGACCCTTCGGCAACTTTACTTTCAAATCAGACATTTTCTCCCTTGGAATGATCCTCTACTTCCTTTGCTTTGCCGAACTCCCCTACGCCAGCGCGGATATAGTGCACGAGGAAAATGAGGATCTCGATCAGCTTCGGGCGGAAATTACAGGCTGGACCGGTTTCGACAACGCACGCCGTCGCCGACCTGACCTTCCCGAGAAACTTTATACATTCCTCGAACGGCTACTCGCTGTGGACCCTGACCGCAGACCAACAGCGGACGAAGTTCTCAACGGAATCCAAGCCGGCGCCACTGAAAGCTTCCGCTTCAAAAGAAGCAGTTCAGTGAGTCCCGACCTGCCAGGTGGCCCTCGAATTCACCCAGCCGACAGCCCCCAGCCATCAATGGAACGAGCTCTATCGCCAACGAAAAAGCTCCCCGCGCACGGCAGCCAACTAGCATATCGCCGGGACTCAATGTTCGACTCTAGCGGCTCGGGTTCCGGAAGCAGCAGAGCCCCAGAGCAAGACGCTGTTCTCGAAAATCCACCATCTTCAATGAGTCCAGACCGAAACATAATTATTCGCCAACACCGATACTCCACCACATCACCACCAGTCTCGCCAACCAGACTTCCACACGAAGACACTCCGACCCCATCCCGCTCCCACTCCCCCGTCCGGGCCCAACATCTCCTCCCCCCGCCCCCGAGCCGATTTCCACACTTCGACATTCTAACATCTATCTCCTCACCGGGTCTCCAACTCTCCCTCTTCCTGCTCAAAGTCGTCTCGGCCTTCCATCCCTGCTCACCACTAGCGGTAAATGCATGGGTTCTATACCCGCTCGTCCTCCTGGCAGCCGCCACTCTTGGTTTACATGACGTCCGGTTACAAATATCTGCATTGGTCGCTCATATTCTTGTCGTTGGTGTTGGGATGCGCTTTGGTGTTCTTTGCGCGTGGCGGCCGGATTCGGGCGGGGATGTCTCTTCGCATTGGTCGTCGTTTTGAGTGGGGAAATGGAAGGACCAGAAGTTATTCATGTTTCTATCCATGTGTTCAATGACGGGTTATGAGAACGCAATTACGATCGCAAAATTGAATTTGGATTATGGCGTCTAGGAGCTAGTATACTAGTATTATCAATTACAACATAATATTTTTCTTTTGGAATCAGTTACAGGTCTAGTAGGTACCTAGGTAGTAGTCACTACTAAACTTGAACCTACCTAGGTACAGCATACCTAGTGAAATACAACACTGAATATATTGTGAATAAATTAAGAGCTATGAACCTACAACATCTAGAGAATGTCAGGGCGCTTTAATAACCGCGTATCAACCGACTTAGAACCCCCGCCAGCCCCGCGTCCCTACAAAAAATGTCCGTAGGTATCCATGCGGACACCATACACACAAATTCTGCAGTTCGACTGAGCGTACTATAGCAGGGGCTCTGAAGGAGTACTCAGTCAGAGAATTGTCCCAGTTTTTGATCTTGGAATTCGTGATGTGGAGATACCATTGAGGGGTAAGACCAGCTGTCGTGACAAAAGCCATGACGGACGAGATTCCTATTAGCGGGGAGGAGAGGACGAAAGGGGGAGAAGGAGAGGTAAATATAGCAGTAAAGAGAGGACGGGGAGTCCGTTTGTTGGGTTACTTGTACACGCAAACAAAAAACAAACAAACAATCATGTATGATATCGGTTTATATTGGGTATAAATTGTGAGATGCACATGGTGTCGAACCGAAGAGGTCAAAGCCAGGCCGAAAATCAAAGCCAATGAGACATTACTTCATGCGAGCAGCCCTGAACTTACTGATGCGCCTGGGCTCGATTTCACCCTCACGGATCTCGTATTCCGTGTCTTGTTCTTCGTCCATGAAACCGCCTTGCTCCTGGATCTTGCGGTTACGGGCCTTGAAGAACTCAGTGGCGATTTGACCGCGGTGCATTTCCTCGTCCAGCTCATCTAGTTCAGGAGCAGCGGCAGAACCGGAAACGACGTCGCGTTCGACCAGTTTGTCGGCCAGAGTTTTGCCTTCGGGTGGATGGGGACCGGATGGGGTTTCGGTGATGTCCGCGATAGGACCAGAAAATGGCTTTGGTTCCTGTGGTGTGGCGGGGAACAAAGCTGGAGGGGTGGCTGCCGGAACGGCGTTGGCTTGTTTGCGAGTGAAACCGGGTTCGGATGACTGAGACGGTTTCAGGGATGATTCAGCCGCAGTGGAGCTCATTTCATTGGAAGCTGGGGCGGCTACTCGTGCGGTCTTGAATCGTGAGACCTTCTTGGGGCCATTGTTCGTAGATGGTCGGATATCTGGGGTGCGGTCTGTTCGCTCCACGATGGCATCCGAGAGTACAGCGACATCAGCCTGCTTTGCGGGGAGTGTCCTCTTCTCGGCGACGACAGGGTTGGGCTCAGCAGCCGGTGCAATATCAAGATCCTCTGCGAAAGCGACCCGCTTCTTTGGCTTCTTGCCCTTCTCGGAGGAGTCCACGCCATTGGGCTGGAGGTCTTGCACAGACGGGGGGTTCTCGATGTCGTGGCGCATTTCCTCTGGAAGAGAGTCGGTATTTTTGCCGACGTTATACATCCCACGAGCATTCAGTTTGGCTTCCAATTCTCGCATCTGCTGGTGGTACTCTTCAGACAGTACGGTGTGCGAGCGACCGTATTCATCTTCATTTTCTTCTTCACCGGAGTCAAAGGTGTAATCGTCGTCTTCATCGAACGAGAACTCGCTTCCCTCTTCGTCCAGCTCCAGCTCTGCGACGATGGCGCCGACTTCGTCGATTCCGTATTGAAACATCTCTCGGCGTAGCTTCGCCTCTTCGGGTGATTCATCAATGTCGGTGACGGGGGGTTGTTGACGGTCCTCGGGTGTCACGAGGGAAACAGGCCGTTGCAGATCGGGATCGTCCTCTGGCACAATATCATTTGCCTCTGGGGCATGCACAGGGCAGTCCGCCGAGTGGATGTGCGGTGTTTCCTCGGCCTTATCATCTGCTGCAACGCTGGCGGCGGTGGGGTCTGCGTTCTCGGTAGATTGCTCAGCCTCCGGAATATTCTGGAGACCAACCTGCTTCAAGACGTCGAGCAGCTCGGGTGCCTGGTCACCGGGGGTGTTGATCGTGCTTGAGATGACCTCACCATCTTCATCCAGCTCTTCCATGATCTCCCGCATGGGAAAATCGTTGCCACCTTCGATGGGTATTTGGTCCTGCTCATCCAGCGCATGCAACTCATTCTCGGCAGTCTGTAGTCGTTTCTCCATAGTAGCAACATTTTGCTTCACGTAGTCCATACGTCGACCAAGAAGATCGACGACCTGCCCGCGCGATCTGGACACGCCCTGGGAGCCAAGAATCTTCTGCATTTCCTCCTGGTCCACCAATGTGCCTCCAAACTCGCGTCCCACTGCCAAGAAGTCTTCGGTCGAAGCATTGTTGTCGAGAGCTCCAATCTCCTCACGGATTCCATCGTATTCGGCCTCCCAGGTTCTCCAGTGATATAGTGATTGTTGGAGCTGCAAGATGTTGTCTTCAAGAGTGAGGCGGCGCTGTTCGAGCGCGCCGAAGTCGGGGTTGGGGATGCCCATGGTGGGATGAATAGAGGACACTCGTCTATCGGCAGAATATATATACAGAAGTCTCCCGGAGAAGCCGCGTGTATGTGTGAAACGAGAGGAGGAAGATGCAAAAGGGAAAAGAGGGAGAGAGAGGGGAGAGAAGAAAGAAAAAGATTGGGAGGCGCCGGAAAAAAAGCGGGGCCGAGATGGAGTCTTATCTTATCGCCTCAGTAGCTTACATTAACATTGACATCCCATACCTAGGGTAGGACTCAACCTCCCCTCTTCATCACCACATCATATCACACCACCACACTCTATAAGCATGACGTCTAAAGGGATCGACCGCCGAGATGAAGATGGTATGTCTGCTACTGATCTATCGCAATCTATATTCCCCTAGCTAACCTGAACAGAGGTCTGCCCCGTCTGCAAATCCTCGCGGTATCTCAACCCGAACATGCGCTTCCTCATCAATCCAGAATGCTACCACAAAATGTGCGAATCCTGCGTCGACCGCATCTTCTCCTCCGGTCCATCAAACTGTCCTGTCGCCGGTTGCCGCAAGACCCTGCGCAAAAACCGTTTCCGCGCGCAGACCTTTGAAGACATCGGAGTGGAGAGAGAGGTAGACATCCGACGACGGGTGATGCAAATGTACGTCGCTAACACTTTCACTTCCATTCCTTAACTCCATTCTATTCCATCTCGCCGCAATGACCCAATCCCATCTAACACGCCAATCTTCCCTTTGTCTAGTCTCAACCGCCGCGAAGAAGAATTCGACACAAAACGCAACTACGACGATTTCCTCGAACAGCGCGAAGAAATAATAGCCAACCTCGTCAGCCGCACCAACGAAGCAAAAACAAACGCCCAACTAGCAAAATACGCCACAGAAAACGAGCAATCCATCCGCACAAACCTCGCCCTCGAAGAACAAGAAGCAACCTCCTTCCAAGCCCGCATGACCCTAGAACAAGAAGAAGCCCAGCGCCGCCGCCAAATCGCGCGCCAGGAATATGAGAACGAGCGCCGCGAGATTCAGGCCGGACGAGAGGACTTCTTGTCCCGACTTGCGTCCGGCACGACGGCGGACGCAAACACCATCGCGAGGGAGAGTAGTAAAGTACATCTTAAGAAATCATCCGCGCGACGCAGTGAGGAGGACCGCATTCGTCTTAAGCAAGCTGCGCTGCGGGGAAGTGAGACGAAGCGCGGTACGCCGCTGTCTAATTCTGAGATTGCGGGCGGGGCGGATTCCGGGTTGATTAAGGGCTTGAAGAAGATTAAGACGCCTGAGCCGGAGAAACCGTACGATCCGTTTATGGGGCTGGTTCCCGAGCAGAGGGATTACTTTACTCTGCGGGAGTCTTATCCTTCTACGTTCTTGGAGCGGCAGCGCCAGAATGTGCAGGGCTCGGCTGGTGGGTATGATCTGCGTGAATATTACTCGCGTACTATGCTCGAGGCGTTTGCCGGGCTGGGCGTCTTTGTTGAAGAAGAAGTGTCGAAGCGTGAGGCAGAGAAGAGTGCTCTCCCTACGGCCACTGAAGGTGCTGCGATTGCTGCCGTCAGTGAAAAATAAACTTTATATACTTAAACCGCATCATCTATAGCATAGCGGCGGCGTCCTTTTTGTCATACGCAGCAATTTTATTTATTTACTATTATTGACTACTGAATGGAACTTGAATGAAACGAAGCAGTCTTTTTGCATTCACTGGGTCAATTTTATTACACACTATAGACCACGCTTCAATGAGCCGAACGCTAGACAGAATTGACCTAGAAAAAGCAGAATGATGAATATCCACGCCAAAAAACACAGGGGTTATCGAAAAAAAAAAATCGGTTTGAGACTAAGCCCGACCAGTCAGCTCGGCAGTGCTCTCAATGCCTTCCCAGGGAAGTTCGGATTCTCCCTCCACGTCCAAATCCACCGATTTGGTCACATCAATACCGATTGACTCGAGAGTCTGCTCCATCTCTTGCTCTGTAATATGGTGGCCGGTCTTGTGGTCTTCCAAGACGTCGTAGAGGGCGTATATTTGGTCCGATTTCTGATCAATCTCTCTCATCAAGGTCTCGACCTTCTCCATTAGCGACTTGCGCTGGCGCTTGGCCATAGATGCGTCTAGCTTGTTGTATGCACTTTGGTATCCGGCCAATTGCATCTTAAGATGGGAGAGCTCATCCTCCAGAGCCTTCAACACGTTGGCGAGGGCAACGGCTGGTGGCTGGGAGGGCCGAATGGTAGGTTCGGGGTTATGCACGGATGGCTCGGGCATGCGCTCAGAGACCGGAACAGGTTGCGGAACGACAATAGGCTCATTATCGCATTGGCCATCGTTGGGAAGAACATTCTTACAAACTGTGCAGTTCTTGCCGTTGTGCTGCGCGATATCGTCAAGGGCTCGCTGGGCCGACTCGGGGAGGCGGGATGGGTTGGTGGCAGCAAGGTCTGCATGGCTCATTGTAATGTCGGGAAGAATAAAGGCAGATGTCATGTCTTCCTTCGGCGCACGTCTTTTGCGCGATGCCACAGAGGCAATCGAATGGTCGGAGTGGCGGCGATGGCGTTCAACGATAGGAACGATCAGGCTATCATCACCTTCAGTTGTCGCTACTGAGCGGGAAGTGATATCGCCAGTTGCTGAAGCAGGTCGAGGGATGGAGGGCTTGGGCTCGCGAAGGGAAGATTTGCGAGGGGCAGGTGTCTTGAGAATGCTCTGGCGAGTCGAGTTGGCCGTTTCATTTGCTGTCAAGTCCTTCGGAACACTCGGACGGCGCTGCTTGCGCTGCAGTCTCTCTTCCTCAAGCGTTCTCCGGAGTCGAGAGATCTCATTCTCCTAGAAAGTAAACATTAGCAGATATTATCGGAAATTGGTATGAAGTTCAACTCACGTCAATAATGCTCAGCAAGGTCAGCTCATCAACATCGGATGGCGCCCTGCTCTGTTCAGTTGCTTCAATTGGTTCGCTCACGTCTTCAAGGACCACTCGCTTCACTCGTTGCTTGCTGGTATTGGGCTGCTTCCTGGCGCTCTTGGACTCGGACACGCGGGGAGCCTCTGATCGATACTTCTTAGATCCGGATGTGCGTTTGGGGGTTGGCACGTCGATAGAGAAGAGCGCCTCTTCAGCCCGCTCCCTTTCAAGACGGTGAATCTCTTTGTCGACCTGGGTCGAGATCTTCGAACGAGACTCATCCTGGCGCCTGTTCTTGGGGTTAGATCGTGCACTGCGGGATGTCAAGTCGCGAGTACTGCGGCTCATGTCACCACTGCGGTCTGTGTACATTTGGCTATCCTCAACTTCAGATGCACTCGAGACTGCTTCCGAGTCACCGGTATCTTGCTCCCGGGTCTTTCCGGAGGAAAAACGAGAGAGCTGGGACCTGAGATCCATGTTCTCTTGTCGCAGGCCTTCGTTTTCAATCTTGAGTTCGCGGGTCTCTAGGTAGGCAACACCAAGCTGTGAAATAGCCGATTCGCGTTCTTGGTTCATGCGCTTGACGGCAGCTTCCTGCACTTGTGCCTTTCGATCGGCGATATCGAGTTGATTTTGCAACGCCACATTGGCTGCTTCGAGCTCTGGAACCAAGTTAGTAAGATAGTAACTGCAACATATTCCCTTGGGGGACATACTCTGGTTCTCATTGGCAGATGCTCGCTTCGAGCCCTTCTTATGATCGACTTCATCAGTCTCGTATTTGTCAGAGTGTCGGGACCGGCCTGCCTTTAGGGCGGCATTTTCGACACGGTAGTTCTCAAGTCGTTTCTCTGCGTCGGACTTGAACATTGATAATTCGGCAACCTTATCCTGCAAAAGTCGCAAGTTCACGAACAATGCCTTCTCATCATCTGGGATGGGGACAGCGTCAAGAGGCAAGTGCTGACGCGTGAACGAGACATCAGTCTGATCGTGGGGAGGAGACACAAATCGGGTAGAGCGGAGTTTCGATTGGCGAGTGAAGACAGGTGTTCCGTCTTCATAGACGCCAGATACAAGTTCGGAGATGTTGGGGAGGTCGGGAAGGAGGAAAGAGTTGCGAGTCATGGTGTCACCCATAGTGTTGTTCTGATTCTGCTGGGCTTGTGCCGAGGTTGTCTTGCGGGGGGTTCCCGCGTTACTGTGGCCGCTTGATTTCCGCATTTCCTTCGCGTAAGCTTCGCGCGACGCACGCTCTACGGCTTCGGCAATCTCGTGGGAGTGATTAGGGTTGGCAAAACGCGTCGATCGCGAATTGATCTGCGTTTGAACGGGTCGCTCATCGCCCAGGAAGGATCCATCGTATGATTCTCGCACTTTGGCGTGCATGTCTGACAGTGAGCGACGCTGATCGCGTTGTTGCGATTTGGAAGCTGGAGGGTTCATTGCTTCCTTCTGGTTCTGTGCTTGTGTTGCCCGGCGCAATTGGGCGTCTTTGCGTAGGTTTTCACTGACAGCGCGTCGTGTGCTGCTGCGGACAGACTGCTTCTGAGGAGTCGGGTACTCAACACGGACGGCGGGTGAAGAAGATCTAACGCTGTTTTCGAAGCTCATGATGGAGTCGCGCGAGTCGTCCACGCGACGAGGCTTGCCAGCGGCGCGGCCAAGTTCCATGGACAAACTGTGGTCGGAGAATTCGTCCCCTAGTTGGACTTCGTCTTCATCCGAAGGTGATAGTTGAGAGAAATCGGGGAAGGCGCGGTCGATGGTGGAGGTGTTAATGGCGAAGTCGGGCTCTTCGTCTAGGTGGATTTCGCGTGTCGACGCCAGAGCTTCGTGCTCGGGGTCAAAATCCGACATGGTAAGGCTCAAGTCCCGAGGCATGATCGCGACTTTGAACTTAGGAGTGAGGGTGGTGAATGGGAGGGCGAATCGGAAGTTGGGGAGACAACAACTTGAAGTGGCTGGGAGGTTTGTTTTGGCGGAATGTTTGGGGGCGCGCGGGCCAATCATGTCTCGTTTTTGGCCCCACTTCCATACTAGAGCATCCACGGATGGAGTAATACTAGTATGGAGTACATTTAGAGTGTCACCTAGGTAATTAGGTACTGATATAGATTGAAAATAATGTCATTCAGGTACTTCTAGTATTTACAATGGCATTTTAATTGCTCTGTATGTGAATCTCTGGACTTTGGAGTCTTTTGCATATCCAAAGGGCATCTGCTGGGCAGTGGCACGGCACTGAGACACTAGTACCTAGGTATATGTTTCGAAATGAAGTACTTACCCCATACTCACCTGGCATAGTGCACATGCCCCCAATTTGTAGGGTCAATACTTTCCCAACAACTCAGGCTGGGCACTCTATGTTTAAGTTGGAATGGAAGTAGCTAATACAGCCCCTGAAGTACTACTCGTATTATTTGGAAACAAAATATGCCATCAAGTTCTTCAAAATCTATCTCTATCCATTAACTGACATAATCTGAAATACAGCGACTTTGACGGCAATTCGGCAAATGATACATACTAGTTTTCTGCTACCGTTGACGCCACTAGGTCATGCTTCAGGTGATAGTAGGCTTGGAATTAAGACGATATGATACTTGAGATCCCGCATCTTGCCCGGGTAGAGTCGATACAATGAGACGAGTTCTGCTCCGAGACAAAATGTCTTTGTGGACCCAGCTTGCTTTGTTACACAACCCCAGACTGAGATATTGTCATTATCGGGGTCCTGCATGCCTTTGTGACTATCCGAGAAGGTCTCGGATGGACAATAAATCACCGTGTTGTGTCAATGATACGGGTATCATCATTGTTTTGCACAGAGACAGGTCTAAAGCATCGCGCAAGACATCTCGAGCAACTGGAAATATAAAGTAGCCAAATCCTAATTCTTGCAAGGAATCATCTCAAAATCCATATGAATACCTCTCAATCTCCTCAATTGTATGGCCGCATCACCAATTTGGCATTTATACACTCAATCCTTTTGTATTTACATTGAGTCGAACACCATTGCGCTTTTCAGAACCATGACCCCCCTTGTGTTCTGCCTATCTTTATTTCTCCTATTAATAGACTTCGAAGGTACGAGTTGAGTTATGATGTGTAGAAAGCGATAGGAACTCCCATACATTTGATATAAGCTAACATCTAGTCATTGCAGGGCTATTCTCAATAATATTTCTCATCACGTGCATACTATGGCATTTGATTCATCTGGAGAATATCTGGACGCAGACTCGGTCTGCTCAAGATGCCTCCATTCACACACCACTGGCCACCCGTGGCTATACGGTGCCGAATGAGAACGAGGATCTTTTTCTTCGTAGCTTTGACCGGAGTCTTGAGCGATTGAGCAGACAAGCTCCAGCTTATGAGTAGTCAGATCGTTTCATTCTAGTATAGACGATTTCTTGTTTCAATTCGTCAGATTAACAGTGTCCTTACCATTCCACACTGTAGAAAGTAAGAGCCTTTTGTATCAATTAATTCCAAAATAAAGGATCCTTCTGCATAATTTGGGTGGTAATTTCTCAGCTCTTCTGACGCATCAGAAATTTATTAAGAGTTCAGTTATTAGTTGCGTAAATAGAAGTCTCTGTCCAATTAATTTCGTAAGTATTAACAGACGTTGATCTAAGGTGATGTAGTTAGAATGGATCAGCAGTACTATCTATTGATAGAAATCATATGAAACCTCGTGGCAAAAGTCGCATCGGTGCTGACTCGAACATGGCAGCAATTAGAAGTATACAAAAGAAAATAACTAGTATTATCGATAAATACGCCGAATCTTGACCTAAAAATGATTTTTTCTGAACTCGTTTCAATAGAATAGAAGGCTTTTTTGTTTGTCAATTTGTAAACTCTTTTGTACTTAAGATGCCGTTATCTGGCGATTGAGAGCTCCTGAATCAACAAAGACCATTGTTTCAACCGAAAACAAACAGAAAGAAGAAATCACGAGGTATATGAAGACATACTAGTTCCTCGAAATTTATGCCGGTCAACAACTCAACATCCAAAACACGAGTTCAGAGCTTACCTCAACCCTATTACATAGCAGCTTGGACACAGTTTCACCATATTTAGGAGTCTTCATTCTTCATCATGGGCCAGTCTATATCCCAAATCTTTGGGGGCATAGATCCGTGGTACGTACCATCGGAACAATTGGAGGATTTGGGGAGTTGGTACGAAGAGTCATATGATGATCGAACTCTGAGACTTGTTGCGCGTATTAGCCGTATGAGGTGGAGGGCAATGCCAGCTCATCCTAGTCTGGCTATTGTACCACTTGAGTTCCGTGATGCATTGCAAAGATCGCTAGAAAATATTCTCATCGAGTGCAATGATGATAAATACAAGACTGAGTGGTGGATATATCGCTTTTGGAATCTTCTTGAATGGGCCGTTGAGGACAAGGAATACAGAAATGTATCCGCATCCACGTTGGAGCATTTTCAGCGAATGATTGACATGAGAGTCGAAGAGAGACACTCAGACCCTGATATTGCTCTCCGTTTATATGTCGATAGACTGAAAGTTATGGTCAATATGCCGGATTTTGGCCTTTCAGAATGGTTCATCTACTCATTCGCATTCTGGCTTCGCTGCCAGGATTTGCCAGACATGCCAGCACATCTGGAATTGCTGGATCCTCCAGTCGTATGGGCACCGATCAAATATCCCCAAAACTTAATCGAGTGTTCAATTGCTAACCTAACTCGTAGGCCTATTGGAAACCTACTCGAGCCCGAGGAGGTAGGGGTGTGTGGTGTTTGTCGCGAAGAGGTTGAAGACGGAACGGAAGTTACTGTTTTAGAGCCATTCTGTTCTCATTGGTTTCATACCGGATGCATCCATCATGTGTTTCAAATGAGCTCGGGAAGAAAGTTATGCCCGGCTTGCCGTACTCACATTGTTCTTAAGGAATAGTAAGTCATTGTTTGTTTTCTTAGTTCACGGAGAATTCTCTTTTCCAGTTTTCGAAATTACCTTGCCAGTTTTAAATAACAATAAAATCGGATCCATTTATTTTGCTCCTTGCACTTTCCCAATGCCGTAGATCTTATGAAAAATAGTATCTGGAGTGCATTCAATTAAATTACTTATGAGTGAATATCTCTATGTCCCTCAAGCCAGGAAGATGCGCTTTTATGAGAATAAAGAGCCATCGTGTCCGATAGAAAAAGTCAATCTTCCGATTAGTTCAATACTGCTTTCTATAACCACTTCCCTCATGAACCTTTACCGCCCGTTGCTGGAGCTATTTGCACAGCTTTTCAAAGATAAATTAGTATTCGATTCCCCGGAAGAGCAGAACCTCGACAAGATATGTCAGCGCTCAGGTAGACGGCCTAGGTACTGGGATAAACCTTATCCAATTTCCGATAGTCATTCCGTTCAAGATGAGACACGCGAAACTGAGTAAGGAGTTACGTTGATTCTATTGATTTCAAACAAAGAAACATAACCATTATCGGACAAGTTCTCTTTGGAGTTGACACAAGGGCGTTTGTCATAATGATGAAAGATAAAGCGACGGATAGGAATAAAAGTCTTTAATAGTCAATGAATAAATTCAACAAAGCCCAGTATTTTTAAATTCGAGATCATGATTACCCTCGGGGAGAATGTTTCAAATCAAACGCATAGTATAAAGTGCTTGTTTCCGGGCAGCATGAGTCGTAGCATACCTCGGATAATCTGGCACCATGAATTGGGTCATGTTTACTCTCAATAGGCTCCTTGGCCCGGTCGTCACTTTCAAAGAACGAGTGTGTATGGACACATTGTCCATCATGGAGCTGTTGATCGAGTTTTTCCTCGACGTAACTCTACTTTTCTTCGTCGAGTCGAATATCCAGAGATGTCAACTTGAAACTCATCAAATGACACACTCAATCATAGTTAGCATAGCGGTCATGGTGATACCCGTCACAGTTCAAGGTGTCATAATGCCCCACGTCGAACGAGCAAATGAGGCTCTTTTGGATGCAATTTTCAATAGAAGTCCAAGTTTATACAACCTTGATGAGATGACCATAGAGGAATTCGCCGACGTTGTCAGAGCGGTAGTATTGATGGATCGAATGAGACGCAGAATGAACAATTTTAGGACCAGATTGATTCACAGGAAAGTTGAAGAAGTGGCGAGGCTCGATGATGAGTATAGATGTTCGATTTGCTACGGAGAAGTTGAGCCCGGCACGGTCGTCACATGTCTTTATCCTTTCTGCTCACACTGGTTTGATACTAGGTGCCTCCTCATGTGGCTGTTAACCAATTCTGCACCACAGAGCTGTCCAATGTGCAGAGCGGAAGTGGAACTTGATGATAGTTCGATAACAGAACTAATGGAACACTGGGGCCACTACTTTGACGCAGATGATGATGATATTATATATGAGGGTGAATGGCGTGCCGTAAATGGATGGGCTAGTCCATGGGATATTTACTTGAGTCTAGAAAGCTGAAATCATAAAATTTTATGGATGATTTTAGAGTTTTGATACCTCGTAGATTTTAAGACACCCGCTAACGGCTAAAATCTAAGGAAGTAACAGATAGCTCGATTGGTGACAAGCTGCCATGCAGCCGAATTGTATTGCCCACATGGTCATTATTTTGCCAGGTCCATGCAATCTTAGGGTAAATATTGCCTTCTTAAGTTGCCTTTGAAAAGCGCTTTCAATATGCATTGGTTCATACCTGAATAACCCTACTAGACTGGGCGAAAATTGCTTGATATAGTTTGCTAAGTTTGAATCACACTGGGTCCAGTATTTTTGGAGTCATCCATATTCTAAAGGCTGAACTCATCTGCACTCTGCGATAATTTTGGGGATCCGAAGAGAGCGATTGGAAGAATTTTCAATCTCGGGGGGTCACATCCCAAAGCAAGATTTGAATTGGAATCATCAGATTCGATATTCTTACGGCCTGTAATTGAATGCCAATTATGCATTGAAATTAGAGCAGGGAGGAGACGTTTCAAGTCTCAACAATAGGTTTCTTGAGCTTCATAAACCTCATTGTTAATATTTATACTCGACAAAGCATGATTGAACAAAGCTTGGTAGACAAAGAGACACAGGGGACTTTGCTTCTCGAAGCCAAAGAAAATTTCCTTTACATGCAGTCGCTGGTTTTAAAACAAAGGGAAAATTGAGTTGAGACGTGCATATACACCGGATAATGTCTGGCAATTCTTGGCTTTCCCTTTCCGTTTTAGTGCTCGCCGCTTTTACTCCCTGAGTAAAATTGAGCCCGCACGCCCCTGGTCGACCTGAGCTGATCAGTGATCATTATATAATCAAAATGATCACTCACTGAGCCTGCCCTGAGTACCATGATCTGATCACTGACCCTGACCTAATTAATCGTAGGTTGCTTACTAAGTTTTTGCAACTCAGGTGGCCTGAGTAAGCGGGCTCATTAAAACGCGACACGCTAGTTTGGCTGCTGTACAAGAATTAGCTTCGTGAAGTTGCTACTAACTGGCGATGTTTCCCTTTATAAACAGAATGTATTTGATTAATTTCATTTTAACTGAACAGTTGAACCTATTGAGATCTGACGCTTCTAGGAGCACTCTCCGTTCTCCTAACGTATACCTGATTTGGGAGAATTATCTAGGCAGATGTGTAACTAGATAAACTAGGTAAATTATTTTATTCTCATTGGATGTCGATCTGATAACCCGTCAGCGATCATCTCCAACTTGACTAAAACTGTTTCGTTGTCTTTGCATATGCCTTTCTGGCAATATTGAGTGGAACTTAACCCAAAAAAATTAAGATCTTCTATACCGAATTTGCTCCTCCTGGGAGCATCAGCACGTCCCCAGGAATCCATCCTGGGGCCTTATCAATATGTGCCGGCCCTTTAAATTCAATGACATAGTTTGTTTCGGATGGAAGACTCCTCTAGCACTCTAGGAGCTTATCTCTGATTGGTGCCTTTTTATTAACGGAGATATAAATATGAACAGAACTTTCTCGCTAGATAACCTCCAAAACTTGCCTGTTGCACAATACTTATAGAGGCTATTATTTCGACCACTCTAGAAAGAGTTGAACATTGACCTCGACACTAAGTCCCTTTGAAACCATATACCAAACTTGCTCGGATACCAGTTAAAAGCGGTTCGCTACGGAGATCTAAAAAGCACGTCTTTCCGATCAATTCAGAAATTCACCCACCACAACGATTCGGTTCCGAAGCATCTGAGGTTCAAGCGGATAGTTCTGATCGAGCGTAGGGTGCAACGGGCGGCTTCAGTGATCTGTGATTTAGTATATGAATGTGTGTCGTGAGCCATGTCACGAATAATTTAAGCTGCTATACTTCGAGTCTTAGCGCCATTCTTGTTACACTACAGCAGCAGACGGGAACGTGGTTACTGTGGTCTATTGTGCGACACCCACGAGTTTATCTCAGCTACCTAACGATTACTTATATCACGTGCAAGTAGATCTCCTACTACCAATCTACTTCCCCACTAATATCTTTTCTTCTCTCACCCTCCCTATTCAACGCTTACCTGAGCAAGTATCTGAAACCGCTGCGACGCAAACAGGACAAGGCAGCTACCAATAGCTTAAAAAATACATATAGCCAGTAATACCCCAGGGCTTGTGTTTGTACCTAATTGGACGATTACTCCTTGACATTCCAGGCTGGCACTTAGGTGCCACCCCTCTAAGCGAGATACTGAGCAATAACTAGAAGGCTCTATCGGCTTATATTCGAATTCACCTTTAATATACTCGTTTGTCTTTTATATTATCCTACCTTGCAAAGCCAGCTAGATTACAATCTACAATCACAATCCTTTACCTTATATCTCTGTTCACAAATTATAATTCCTATATATCCAAAGATATTCATAAGGAGTCTGAGCTATGATATAAATAGAGTAGGATAGATTTACCCGCTAGAGGTAGAGTAAGTTATAGCTATAGAGATACTAGATAAGGAATATAACCCTCTCCCGTAACTAAGCACAGATACAAATATCTATAACCTCAGTAGCACTAATGACTATAGTATTATTATTACTAGTCTTCCTCGAGCAGGGAACTACTCTTCATCTACTATTATAGCCTAAACCAGGATGATATTCCTGAACCTTAAATATAGCCCACTAGTCGGGATGAGAAGTAGAGTCCCGAAGCAAACTAAATATAGGATAATCTATCTAGGGTATATAGTGGTTACTGAACTAACAAGTATACACTCTAAAGCACTATAGTACAATTATAAAAAGGTAAAAATGAAATGATTTAAACACAAAGACTACCTTATATCTCTACTAATTACTCTCCTTAATATCATATAAGAAGTAACTATTTAGTATTAATAAATCGATCTTGATCTAATTTAGAAGAATACTAGGAGGATCAACTTACAAACTGCAACTTCATCACCAACAGCGCCAACGCGATGACCTCGATTAGTCAACAGTGTTTCACCCCAGTCGACGAAGGCCGGTAGAGGAGAAAGACTTGGGGTGACTGTCGGACCTTGCGGAAATAGTATGATGCAAACTGAAATGAAACAGACAAGCTACGCCTAGGAAAAACCCTGTTCTAACGAAACTACTTCATGTCCAACGGTAGAGGAATAAGACCGAGCCGACACAATAGCGCGCATATAGCATTGACTTAGGTGTTCCTGCGTATTGCGCGTGAAACATCGCTTGGCAACCTGGATCTGCAATCGCGTGACCTGCCTGGCGTGCATTAAGATCTTGTGGGGGCTATGCGCTGCAGTGGTTTTCTATTGGTATTATTGTTGTATCAACATCCTTACGGCTCATGTATGTGCCAGGTAAGAATTGATCAGCAGTGGACTATTTTCTAATTGACAACGTCGAGAAAAGCATGGAGTTACCGATATTGACAAAGTGCTTTACAAGGGCAGAGCAAAAGAAGAGACAGCTAACAACAGAACAAGATACCAGGAATCAAAGAGCTGGTACAAAACTTAGTATTTTCCGTCAAATATTTATTAATCGCAACCAATTAATCATGAGCTTTATTTCTATGCTCATAGAGAATGGGGAGACAATATTCCCATTTGTACGCACGATATTGATGTAGCCAGAATAGATTGACTTTCGTGAGGAATTAGCGAAAATAGTTGCCATACATCATCTCCACCTTTCCAAATTCAAGCATGTTTGGCTGGAAAGAGCTGCTAAAGCTTGGGACAGTGAAGCCTTTGTGGGTGTTCTCATTCCGACTTCGAGATGTGGATTTGATGCCACTTTTCTTCGCCTCATCTGTTAAACGCCACATTCTTCTAGGAAAGTTGTTACAGCTCTCGATCTGAACCATCTCGAATCCCTATAGGAGAGACAATTAGCATGAATTTTGTATCGGGAAGCTTTGTCTAACCGTATTGAGAAATAGAGGTACTCACTGTGTTCATTGAAAGGTTATAGCGAATACTGTTTTGCCAGCCATTTCCGACAGTCCGAGATGGTTTGTCCGTATTATGCTGGATCCATGCGTAGATATCTCGAAGGGAAAGCTGATTTCCAGGAGCAGCGAGTAGCGCTTGCCAGATGAGATAGGAGTAGGGCGCATCATTCAGCTGGTCATTGAGGGTATTTTGAGCACTAGCTTGGGCTTGAGCTCTTCGGGCGAGTGGGGGAGCTGAGACCAGGCCACTCTTTTCAGTTGAAATGCATGGCTGGTGGTGAAAGTATTTTGGAACTTCTTCCTGCATAATTTCTGAAGAATCGATATATGTAGATTTATCGATAGGATCGAAATCGAGGAGATTTCTGTGGTCACCAGTTGGATTTCCAGGAAAAACATACGATCCCATAGACTGTTCCCATTCCTCGTATCTTGATTCAGTCATAGGCTTGATGTGATTCACGAATGCGGAGCTCTCGCGAGAGGTGTTGTGAAAGGTAGGTAGAGCCAGATCATAAGACAAGTGATCTGGTCGGAGCCAATTCTCTCCAGCTCCATCTATGATCATTCTGCCCGTATCACTTAGGTTCCAGTTTAAAGCATGAAAATTGGCGTATGCGATATGAAGATCAAGTAATGGAATCGAATCGGGACTAGGAGAAAATTTTTCACTCGAAGATACAGCTAGTCCAGTCTGCCGGATATTCATTTGGTCATAGCCCAAAGGCTCGGTACCTAGAACATGGCATGTGATGCTTGGGTCTTTTGTTGGAACCTTCTGAAGGGGTTCGGACCGAATGCAGTTGAACATCTCGTTCACGTGATCTTTGGAAAAGCAATGTCGCAAAGGCAGAGTTGATGCTTGAACTTGGAATATATGAATATCCAAGGTATGAATATCCAAGGTGGTCTTTTAAGGCAGAGTTGCAGGACGCACGAGACCCTATCTTGCCTGTTGGTTTGCGCCACAGACAGAACTAGACGAAGAAAGAAATCGATGCGAGTTGGAATGGAATCAGGCAGGGCCTCATGCATGTTGCCGGGGGTGGAGAACTAGCTGATCAAATCCTGTTCGCCGTGAGTTGAAAGAAGCATGGTCCCTGATCGTCGCTACCCAGCACAGTATCTCACCTGAGAGTAATCTTGCCGTAAGAATCACAGATGTTGGTACTCAATTCAATTCAATTCAATTCAAGATTCTATTAACCTAATGCAGCCTGGCTAGTGAGTGCCGTGGCTATGTAGGCGTTCCCTCCATCGGGAACCAGAACCATCCTAACGCCACGCCCGCAGTAACAACAGACAAAGGAGATACGGCGTATTGCCATAAAACAACAAATAATAACTTCCATACTGACGGTAACGAAACGCTCATAATGACTGTAATCGGCTACTGCCAGCTCACACAGCGCCTATGGCCACCCCCAGTGACCTCACCCTGTATTCTCCCCATCCCCGCCACTACTAACATAACCTCAGTTACGCCCTGTATCCTCCTGCAGTCGTTCCTCATGGGGTAGTAGCTCCTCCGCCTGGAGATGTTGGTACTCATACTTTCCATTTCATTGCATGCAGAGGTGATTTAATGTCCGAGCAACAACCCTGAAAACTGATTGGTCACGGCTAGACAATTGCTCCGAAAAGTATCCAGAAATCAGTTGCCGGGCGAGAGACAACCCACAGCTGTTGTTGACAGATTAGATAATTTTTCCAACAGTATTCCAGAATGCTCATTGGTAAAGTGGATTGAAACATGAGCCAGACACCAATAGGCCACGCAGGCCGATTACCTCACTTCCAAGACGACTATTGGCGTTCCTTCGTTTCGAACCAGACCGCGGAGTGCGCCCGACAACGGCGGCAGCCAACCTGGCCAATGGAAGCCTAGAATGCTTGCTTTTTCGAAAAAAATTGTTGATTTCTTTAAGTCTCCCAAAATTTGGCTTGATGTGGACCACCAAGCGTAGTTATATTTAGTCGTAGCTACTTTGGGAGCGAAGGGTGCTACGGAAAGCAATTTGCCCGGCATTCCAAAAAAAACCACTAAACTATACATAGTTGAATCTGGTTTATGGGACCGAAACCCATGGCTGGCTCTATGGCCACATATAGCTGCAGAAAGTCAGATGAAAGGAGAGATGATCTTTGAACCAGCATGAGATGCCATCATTCTATGTCAATGTCAACTCCGAGAACACTTGAGATGAATGAACGGAGGATGAAGCTACATCTGGGAAAACGGAATGGGCGATCTATACAGGGATCAGGATGCACAGCGCTAGCGCCATTAAAAATTCAATCTAGCTTTTCGACGCCACTCGATTTATGTTGGATTACGATGGCTGCGAGCCGGATTATCGACCAGGCTTCATGATCCAACAGTGGCAATCATGCGCTTGGATCATTACCTCTCAAACCTGTGACAAGGAGCACCCGTGACGTGATTTGAAAAAATCCAGCCAAATATTTCAAATATTTTCTTCTCCCTTCCACTGAAAGTACACGCATGGTGTCGTCAATTCCTGAATCAACATTTTGTTTTTCGGTCTCTCATGATCGGATCGAACGCTCCCGGGCCGCCTTGCGCTCATGTCTCACACGAAAAAGAAAAAAGAACAAAGAAATAAAATTAGCAGACGAGACCCCATAATTTAGCCGTCGAAATGTTGCCCTGCGCCGCGGAAAACCCCTACCAGAGCAGAAAGAGGCTGCAAACAGTTTGAAAACTGCCTGTTTGTCTTCTACGAATGACAGAATCGCCTGTATCTAGAAAAACCTTCTTATTAGGAATATAAAATCACCGTACTCTGCTTTTAAACTCGCTACTTGTGCTTTTTAGTACTCCCAAAACCAGGTCGTTGCGACGGTTGAACGTTCGTCAAGCCGTGTGGTTTTTGATTTCCTTTCATAATTTAACCTTTCCGGTAGGCAGTAATCTAAGGTGTGTTATTGAAATATTTGTCTACTGACATATTCTCTATGAATTAGTTGAAGAGAGCGATGAATCGACGAGATATCGATTACCTTACCGGCGACTGCTTTCCTGGCTATCATGTTGCCGAACAAAATGCGAGCAATTCTTTATCCGGTTGGCAAGAAGACGAAATCCACCATAGCAACACGATGAGGCAAGAATATAAAGTAGTGAAGAGAGACGGATATTCTTCCAAGCCGTATAGTCGTCGTAATGGCCGAGTCAAAGTTGCGGTATGTGTATCGTTTATTTGCCCAGAAAACTTGATACTAATCATAAAAAGTGCACTCGGTGCAGGCTTAAAAAGCAAAAGTGCAGCGGTGATGCTGGAGATGGCGCTCCCTGCTTTCGATGTAAGCAAAAGGGAAATAGAGATTGTCAATTCTTGCGGGTGAGTACCGATCGTTAAAATGCGCACAGGGCGACCGAAAGCTAATATAGTAAATTAGGTACAGTCAATAGACTTTCCATGTGAGACAGTATCATCTGCATCTTTGTCAACTCCCAGTTTATCTACTCAAGGATATGGTATGTGGAGGCCTTTCTTATCAATAAAGCCATGCCTCGAACGATTTCAAGTCTCAAGTAGCTGATACGTTGATCGTTTTCAAGACTTCTTATGGGGTTCGAATACTCCAGGTGCCCCTTTTGTGTCTTCATTGAAATTGGGCTACCATGACCAGAAGGAACGATCAGGTGAAGAAATGAAACGCGAGATCTATCAGCATCACATTGACCTACTCGCTGGATCGCTTTATCAGAGGTTACACATCCCTAGTACGGTCCACTCGAATGAGTTGGTAAGTAATGAATATCGACTGACTAACATGCCTGCGGCGAGTGGAATGAATACCTCGGTGTCCCTACATTCGTTCGGGGGTATGCCCCAATGAATCTTCTTGAATCAAATGGTTTCCCCTGATCCTTTCAGCACCATGAAATCTACATCGAGACCAAGAGATTCTTGGGCTGAGACTACTTCGCACCTGGGTAGGCGACAAGTTTGCCCCAAGGGTATCTCAGAGATTTATATGTGTCACCTATTAGGGGATTGTCAGGCAGATATCATGGTGATTGGCTTATATATCCTGGGACCAGCCCCTTCCAGAGTCAGCATTCCGGATCTGTGATGTTACGCTTAGGCTTGTCTACTTTGTACTGTACGGGTAATCCACACATCTCGCACTAACTCTACGAATCGGCCAACAGCATATCCGATTGGGACTCTAGTAATTTCCGTCATACCCTATCCATAACATCGACATAGAACTATGACACCGGAAACGAGTTCGCAGTATGTAAATGTTCTCACCACCTCCACTACCATTGCGTGACCTGTAGTCCTTCCTTCGGCAGTGGCTTGGGCCAACACATATTTCTTATCGCAGTAAAATAGACACTGAGATATCCCTTTTGTATTTGCATATGCAATATGACTTATCTCATTCTAGGTCGTATATCGTTGCTGCAAATTTTCAACCAATATCCTAAGATGGCGTCTTTGTGCTTGTCGGCAGCCCTTTTTTTCAGGTAATCATACAATTTTCAAAGACTAGTCTGCGAGGTGCTAGGGTTGAATCTGCCACCTAGGGTTGAAGTTTCATTTCGAGTATTTATCAAAAGGTTGCTCATGTTATCTATCTAGCATTTCTAAATATTTGGAAATTGACGAGTCAACACGGCAGCTCTTTCAAAGAGTAGTATTCTCAGAAGTATCCCAGTGCCATGCAAAGTTAATTAATCCCGACTTAAAATCTGACATAGCTAGCGTAGCGGCCTTAGCGGCCTCGCACCAATCAATTGATGATATCGGATGTTGGGCGAGCCGCGTCTGAATCACTTCCTGATAGTTTCCTTTTATCGCCAAAGCTTCCAATGTGTAACGGAAAGATTCGCTTTAATAAGTAAAAATACCGTAAGGGACGCGCAAAAATCCTAGTTTCTCAATATGGATGGTCAACGCTATTATAATAGACGGACATGCGCAAAGCCTACCATATTCAATAATGACGATTTCATGTTCTTACATCTACATAGCCCTCGGTGGGATGATACAGCAAATTCATCCTTGATTTCAAATACCTAATAGATATCGATCAGAACATGATGTCTTTGTTAATCTTAGCAGGTTGGTATTATAATCCGTGAAAGCGTTTTCGGGATCAAGTCTAGGTCATGCGGCAGCTTACAGGCCCCGTCCGTACTTGCCTGCCAACCAACATTCCAAAGCTACACCTTATTGGCGCTCTAAATTTGCAAACTGAGCTAAGCACCCATGCCTGAGTCCTAGGTTGGTAAGTTGAATTGTTTTGGCGGAGTCGTGCAACCCACTTTCCCCCGGGCTAGGTAAATGAATGACCGGCTGAGGCAGGGAAGAATATGCGAGCACTTCGTAACGGATCCTGGACCATTCGGCTTTCTGTTTTCCGTGACTCTTTTGACTTCCAGCACGTCGGCCTTATTGACCTTCAGCTTCTCCAGGAGAGCTGCACTTCACCAATTGCCCTAGTGCTCTAGTTTTTAAAGATATAAGGCGTGAAACCAAAAGTTCGAGGCCTATCGTTGAGAGAACTGTCTATTTAGGGTTTCTGTGAGTACTGTTTCATGTCAGGGAGTCAACAGGTTCCATGGTCAGGAGACTTTCTAAATTACTCTCGACCAGCCCGGCTGAGTCTATTTGGTCCAGACCATTTTTGCTGCCTTTTGCAAGTGATACATACGAAATCCACAACTCACACCATGGAATAACTAGTAAAAGTTCATTAATTTCCAAAGTGGTCTTAATGCATATCTGTTAGACCTCTGTGCTTCACAATATTCGATTCCAGATCCTGACTGGCTCTGGATAGTATGTATCCTGCTACAGATCACGATGAGCTACTAGATTAGGAACGAAATATCAAACATAAGATCCCGGTTTATTGAGAAGCCTTGAAATCTATGCTATTGTATTCTATTTCTTTGGATCTTGGCAAAAGTGACTGATGCATGTGAGGGGATAGATCTGCACATCCACGTACCCACAGAGTCTCTCATCCTTCGGCACCTGAGTGAGTGCTACCTCATGCCCCCTCTCCTGGAGTCGATGGTTTCGGGTGCACGATTTTAGGGAGTAGCTTAAGGAGATTAAAAGTCTCTATTCCCCCCTTAATATATATTGTGAACCTGAAAACCAGATCAGAAACAGATTCTCTTTGTGGATATTCTATGAGTCTTTCTTCAGCCATGAAGCCCCGGCTCAGATGAAGCTTTCCCTGGCACCCGACCGTTCAACCTTTTTGCTCGAAATTTCATCGCCATCATTTCTCGATAAAAACATGGATATCGGATCTCTTTTGAATCAGCCAACTGCCTCAGAGCTACAGTATCACATTCTTTCCTCATATTATCATTCAAAAGCATGACTGACACTGTTGGTAGTGCATTAGGGTCACATCTGTTATCCACTTTGAAGGCTAGTCTGCCTGAACACCTGCCTCAACGGAATTTGGCAGTCGGTACCCTTTCAAATATAGCACCCGTCCAAAAGTCCTACAAAAGAAAACGACCGAAATCCCCAGCGAAGCTATTACCTCGTTCTCAAGATGAGGCCAATGGAAAATATTCATCACTGCCGAGTTCAAGACACCACACTCGCCGTCCAGCTCGTGCAAAATACTGTGCGGAAGAGATTGCTTTTATTCAGCATCATCGTTTAATACTCAAGGAAAGATGGAATGAGATCACGGAAAGATTTGGTCGCAAGTTTCGCAATCGCCCCTACCGCAGCTTAGCAAGCCTGCAGTCTATGTTTTACAGGTCTTGCAAGGAGACTGACACTCCGAAATGGAGATACATCACTCAGCCACTTCCATACGTTGTTGGGAAGAGCCGACTGGTCAAAAATACTCGTATAGACAGATCTTGTGCAAGCGATCTTGAACCAAGTTCAATATGCTGATGGAAGGTGTTGCCAAGAACCGCTTCAAAATATCGAGGAAAGTCTATCGCTTCATACTCAGAGCTTAAGCCGCAATCCATTCAGTATTCTTGCTCGCTAGTCATTGATGTAGTAGTCTCAATGTTTGTGATGTCCCATCGGGGTTGTCAAGAGTCGGCCTTGAATTCTCGTTACTTGGGGTTCCGGAATCGCTAGCGCCACTGTGTCCTGAAAAATAATACCATACTAGTTGCTACTATAATACTTCCTAGGAAAAATTCCTAATGTCTAAGTATCCTTCGTCACTTTAACCCAGCCAATCTTATCATCAGATGAGTGATGAAAAAAATCCTTGAGCTCTTCATCCGTTAGAGTGAGACTTGCATGATGTAGTGGCAACACGTCACGAAGCCTTTCCGTTTTCAGTTTCTTTACATTAGTCCAAGGGTCTGTGTTATAAATCGTTTCAAGCTTTTCGTCCTCGAGATCTTCCGCATTACTCCTTCGTGGGTCAAATTCACACGCCTCCGCGAATGCGCGAGACTGATGCTGCAGATCAAATGATAATGCAAAACAACAAGACGCTCCAATTCGACGAAACCCGCACAATCGCCAAAAGCCAATAGCACCAGATAAAATTCGAGATTTTGTTATTGAGCGTTCTTCAGCGGGTTTGCCCTTGAGCTGCGGCTCGATATTAGTTCGTGAAGAGTCAGTCCATGCTCGCTCGAAAGCCTTGTCGGAACCATAAATGAGATCCGCGTCTTCACCATCTGGTCTTTCATGTTGGAGGAGCTTCTTTGTCTTTTCCAATAGCAAGGACACCACTCTCTGTCCAAATTCTCTCCGACGTGGTGCGAGTGCTGTACACTCGAATTCGAAATTGGCTTCCATATTGTACACAGAAAAACTATCTCGGACCCTAAGACTAGTCCGATACTAGAGGCGACTATGTTCTCTTGAGCGTTAATGTGGAGCCTGACCTCTAGAAAAGGGGGCCTTAAAAGTACTATTAACGCACTCGGTATCACAGAATAGATAGCCCTTTAGGGCATATCCTTTTTGGGTATAGTCTGACTTGGGCTGTGGAAAAGGATTACCACTTACTGATTGGATAAGAACTCCTAGTGAGTAAGCAGTGGCTGAGTGACCACTGAGCCATCACTGAGCACCCACCAATGATCACTGATCCACCGCCATGGGAACACTGAGCAATGATGATTGGTCACTGAGCGATCACATGCCTGCACTGATCAGATCACTGAGCCTGGTCGAAGCACCCTGATTTGCTTAGTGAGCCTACCCTGAGCACCATGATCTAATCACTAAACCTGACCTGATCAATCGTAGGCTTCTTACTAAGTTTTTGTATCTCAGGTAGCCTGAGTAACGATAGAGAATAGACAAAAGCTCATATGATTCAGTGTTGGAAATATTCAAACGGCCCCAATAAGATTTACGTAGATTCGATCGTATGTAAATTGATCTCCAGGTTGAAAGCGCAAGTATGTACATCCGGAAAATGACACCCCGAGGACTCATTGATTTCTCAAAATTCAAAAATCTAGCCGATTCACCTATCCACTTCCTGAGAACTTATGCCAGACCTTCTTGAGTCCACCCAAGTGAAGTGGCTTCTTGGGAATTGGAGGTGCACCACTCGGCTGAGAAATAACATTCTCGGCGACCGCACTTGCAGAGCCACCACCCACAGTAACAGTCAACAACTTCGGGTTCGAATCAAAGACACTACCTGATTGATCGACACCTCCGTTTGGACTGACATCATCATAGGGGAAGGCATATCCGCGACCATTGATCGTAGTTGCATGGCAGATACGCGCGTAGTGATTGGTGACGGTGTTCTGATAATAGTTGGATACAACCTCGCCATTCGGCTGGTTGGTGTTTGTTAACAGAGTAGATCGATTGAAAGCCGCCGCTAGACGCGCCGTGATAGCATCTTTGGTGGCATTACCCGAGACAGCGAATGCCCCTGAGCTGTTGCTGAAGATGTCCCCGGTGGAGGGCTTCGCGTATGAGATGCCCCCACTCGAGAAGTTAAGTGTGCCATTCGAGACAGTGGCAGTTACATCGCCCGCGGCGGCTTGCGTATTGACCGTCAAGGTCGTGCTCGCATACTTGGACCATACTGAATTGACGTAGGCAGTGTAGTATGAGCTGAAAAGAGAGTTGTTGAGGACGATTCCTATATTTGGCGAGACAGCGCGGATATTGGTGCCGTTCTTGGCGATGATCAACTGATCCCAGCCTGCGCCGTCCTTTGCATTCTGCGCCTTGAGTGCATTGCAAACGGTAGTCAGTCCATTTGAGGGAAGGCCCTGTACAGAACTTGTCGTGCCGGAGGTATTCGTCAAAGCGATGGCGATGGGCAGAGACACGAAATCCACGTCGCTGATATTGACATACAACTGCGACGAATTCCAAGTGAATTCACAAAAATCCCAGAACACGTTATAGTTGGCATCTGAGGGGTTTGAGGCCGAGGGCTCCACCAATGCGGGACCGGGGTTGAGATAAAAAGTCAACTTGTTATCGCGAGCGAACCAGATACGCCCGCCTGCGATGTGAGGGATGGTGACCGTCTTGGTACTGCCAGATGCTCCGAGAGGGATGCCACAGTCCTGGCTCAACCCGGTTAGAGTCGCCGAGGGGGATGTGGGGTAATAGGCCGTTTTGCCATCTGCTCCCAAGAGGAAGAGGGAATTGTTATTATCAATGGCGGTTCCGGTGATGTATGCGTAAACCGTGTTCGAGCCCGTATTATTCACCAGGGCAAAGTTCAAAGTCGCCATTCTGCTCGGTAGGGATACAGTCAAATCCAGAGGAGATCAAGAAGAGTTGCCAAAGGCGAGAAGATTGGTGGTTGAGGTGGATGAACTGATGAGCCTTCAAGTAGATAGCATGAACAACCCTGGAAACTTCAAGAGAGAAAAGTGACGGAGAGTTAAAGATATCAGAGTGTGAATTTGAAGAGGTGGGAGATAGGATGAAGTGAAGATTTATCAAGTGAAGTGAAGTGGAGAGCGAATCTGATAGGAAGAGAGATGATCCTGAGGGCCCACCAACATTTGCTCGGCGACCGATAATTTTATACAGCTGGACCTGCCATTTTCTATTCACTTGAAGCGACTCTACATTGAATCGAGTAGGGCAGGATGACGAGGCCCGGTGATAGATTCTTGCGATGACCTTGCGTGGTATCTCACAGCGCAATCAATGGAAGGATACGAATCCGTGATGCCCTCACTCAGACTAGCAGGTCTTAATATGTTGACGTTTGAAGATCCTTGCTACTAGAAGGCTGTTCCCCGCCAAAGAAGGGCTTTCGAATGAATATCCTGTTGCAGGCCTGCCGCCACGCGATCATGCTTTGTGGGCAGATGATCTACCACATGCCCATCACCGCCGGGGCTATTCTGAATTAGGAAATTAACGCCAGTGGGGAGGTATCACCAGAGCAGGATTACCCCTGTAGAATCTGGGGTCGCTGAGTGGCAGCAATCTATGCTTAAATTACGTGGAAGGTCAGGGGACAAGCCTGTGGCTGATTTAAAAAAGCCATGAGATGCTTCCGATCTACATTCCAAGCAGGATAATTCTAGACGTGTCTCGAGACCACCCGTTTGCCGCACAACTTCAAGTTTGAATAATGTATATTCGGAAGGTTGAGTATAACATTGGGAGCCAAATTATTAACTTTCCAAATTACCCCTGGATATTTCATCGTCACTCCCCTTCTGACGTCTCTCCTTCCGCTCATCCAGCAACGTCTTGGGATCAGGAAGGTCTACTTTGGGAAATCGTCCATCTCTACTATAGGGGAGAAAATCACTCGTCTCAACCATCCAGCGGAACATCTGACTCTCCATGAGTCGTGTTTGAGGAACGTATTCCGGGTCTGCTGCCAGGTTGTGTAGTTCGCGCGGGTCGGCATTGCGGTCATACAGCTCCGCCGGTTCGTACAACCGGTAAATGTACGTCCAGTTCTGATCTCGCATAGAGATAGCTTTACCAACGCACCTGGTATCTTCATGCTGAAGCTTGGCTTTCAAGTCATAGGGAAACGGGGCTTGTTCAAGCAACGGCTCTTCGGAGATAAGGAAACCCCCTTCGGAGAAAGCATATTCTCGGTGTGCTTTGTTCTCAAGAATTGATGGAAGTAGGGATATCCCATTGTGAGGAAATGTCTCATCCACTCCGCACAACTGTAATATGGTAGGGACTAAATCCACCATTTCTGCCATACTGTCGCGTACGAGACCGGGAGGAATGCCGCCACCCGCCATGATTAGAGGCTCGCGGACCAGAGTCTCGGATAGCCCGCTGGGCCACTTTTCGATCAGACCATGATCGCCAAGGTACTCTCCATGGTCGGTGAAAAACATGGTGATGGTTTTGGACCAGAGACCTGTGGCGTCGAGTTTATTGACAACTCGCCCAAACTGATCGTCGAGTCGCGATATCATACCGTGATATGTGGCTGCCACTTCGGCCCATATCTCTGGAGTTGCACGGCGAGTACCATGTCGTTGTCGGATCGACTGCATATACCGTGGCTCGTATCCTGTCTGAACAGACGTTAGAAACGCTGTCGCAAGTTTGAAAAGCAGTTGCTTCGTACCTTTTCATCGGCCGATGATGGAATCGGCATATCCTCTCGCTTATACATGGAAAAGTATGGCTCCTCAACAGTGAACGGGCAATGAGGAAAGAAAAGAGGCAAGAACAACACCCATGGCTTGTCATCTGGCGGACAATCGAGCCATTTCTCGGCACTCCGAACAGCCGCTTCATCATAATCGACAGCTTTGCTCATATCTCGCCGACCCTTGTAGAAGAGTCGCTCCCAAATGGTAATATCTTCCTCGGGTCGCTCCTCGCCATGCTGTCCAAGAATCTTCGTTACTTCCGGTGGCTCCAGAAACCCGTATTCATCCAAGCTGAGCTCGGTCACTGTGGGAGCAAATAAGTCACCACGTGGCGCCATGCAAGCAACGTGATACCCATCATCCTTCAACGAGCGGAACAAATTCGGCTCCCATGGCTTAATGAGGTTCTCTAGTGATCGATGGCCGGATACATGTGGGTATAGCCCCGTGAACATGGAGCAACGGGATTGCGAGCACACAGACGCTTGAACATAGCATTCTGAGAAGCGTACTCCACGTGCAGCGAATTTGTCGATATTGGGCGTGTTCACAATCGGATTCATTCCAGTGCAGTGCAAAGCATCGTAGCGCAGCTGGTCTGGCATAAATATAACAATGTTTGGCCGCTTATTGGGCAATCCGCTTGGTTGATGCGGGATTCTGTGGGGAGGCTTGGGAATGCCGGAATTCTGCATTGTGCCTTCAAGTTTCAGGATGCTTGAATAAAACTAGAGAAATTCCTTTTGGAGCTGACGTATTGTGGTCTAGGATTATAGACGCATGCGAAGGAACAGGTTGGTATGGTATGCTGATAGTTTGTGCGTGGCGACTGAAAGGCTAACTAGTTATCTGGCGTCGAAGAACCTGGCCTCGTCAAACCGGCAGTCTGGGACCCATTGGATGTGACTTATATAGGAGCTTCGAACAAACCAACCAGAAACCCCGAAGACCGACATCCGGTAACTAATTTAGTCGCCCCCGCATTCAAAGCCTTGATCTTCTGAACGCGGGGATAGTATTGAGTAGCCACTAGTAACGGCCAATCGTCACGGAACATGGGCATTGAAAAAAAAGACTATTGTCAACTCTATGTTTCTCGTTTCTCCTGCAACCTTCGGTCTAGAAACACCCAACAGCAAAACCTTTGATTTTCTATCGAATGGTTACGTGTTTCCAGATCACTGGCTTGAAATCCGGCTGTCGGCGACCGGTAGCCGTAGCGTGAGTCGCCATCGCCAGGCCGAATGAGCCAAAGACCCACTATTTACTATTTTGACGTGTTGACCGAGGCAAGCTGTTCTGAAAGAGGATTCGATGTGTTGAAGCTTATGTTGTGGTAAGGTAAGAGCTCAAATGCCTATATTGGTTTGGAAGGTGTGAAAATTTTACTATTGCTATGGTTATAGCCACTAACAAAAAGAATTGGCGGAACACTTCATCTCCCGTTGATATTGATACTAGTTACTATCCAAATATTCACGACATCCTTAGCAGCTATCACAATCGTCTTTTGGGGAGATTGAAATTTTCGCAATATCACCGTTGACGCTACTTTGTCCAGACGATTGCCATTCTATTTTTCATCAGCAGAAGAAATACAAAATACAAAAGGATCAAAAACTTACTGCGAAACGCGCGAGCAGGCACACCCTCAGCCCACATCTCTTCCAACTCCTCAAGCGATCGTCCTGCCATATCAGGGAGGCAGAAGTACGCCCAGGTGAGAGCAAGTATGCCACAACTGCCGTAAATAAATCCAACCTTGGAGTGAAGATTTGCATAATCGGTATTTAGAAGATAAGGCAGAGTCAGTGTGACGATGAAATCAAAGACAAATTGAGTACAGTATACCATCAAGGCATTTTTGTCTCGTAGTCGTAGATGGGGGACTTCAGCAGCAGTCACAGCACCACTGGAAGTTGTAATCAGCGACCGAAAAGAATCACACAAAATGCATATAGAACTTACATCCCGCCAAATGACATGACATAGAAAAAGCCGAATAGTGTACAGGTGGCGACAATGCCGGTTTTGTCAGATGCAGAGACCTCACCAGTCCCTAGACCGCCGCAAATGAGGAGAACTGTTGTACAGGCTGTTCCGGAAAGAAGATAAAATGGGCGTCGGCCGATCATGTCGACGAATGTGAAGGTGATAATGGGTCCCAGGCAGGTGATTCCGGATGAGATAGATTGAAATGTAAAAGGACTCAGGGTATCCAGGCTTTTGATGAAGATAGCCCCATATTGACTCATGAAACTCTGCCCTGTAACTTGATTAAAAATAGCGACAGCGATTGCGACCCGGAGTCGTCTCTAGATTTGAATAATCGTTAACGTTGCTCAGGAAAAGCCAAATATAGCAGAGACTTACCCTGTTTGGCCCCTTCAAAAAGTCACCCCATTTCCCTTTAACTTCCCGGTCTCGATCGATGCTCTCTTGTAGCGCATGAACCTCGGCCTGACTCTCTTCCTCCGAAAGGCGAGACCCACGGAGCCATCGTAGGTGTTTCAAGGCGCTCTCATTCCGACCCTTGCGAACAAGCCACCGTGGACTTTCCGGTACAAACCAGGAAAATAACAACACAAATGCGGGGAAAGCGAACATAGAAGCAAGTGGAGTCTGCCAAGAGGCATCGCCTTCGTACTTTGCCGTGACGAGCGTAATGAATGAGCAGATGAGAGAGCCAAAGATATGTGCGAAAACGTAAATTACGACGATTGCACCCCGAAGAGCTGCCGGGCTGATCTCAGCCAGGAACATGGGGACGAGGAAGTTGTCCCATCCAACAAAACATTGCACTAGAATGCGGCCCGCTAGAGCACCACCATAAGACGTTGCACTGTAGCTGACAGCAATGCCGACGAGAACGACAAATTGCATAGATATGTAGGATATTCTTCTGCCAAATCTTTCTGCTACCAAAAGGCCCGTGACTGCACCGACACATTTGGCGGGAAGACCGAAGGAGTTGAGGAATGATAGATGTTGTGTAGTGAATCCCCATGTTTTTGTCTCAGGATCATAGCTGCCGAATCGCTTTTCGTATGCTATTCAAAGTAATTAGGATCTGGGGAAGGTAGTTGTAGGATATGATGATGTAAAAGTACCGTCCATTGCTTGAATCGTAGAGAACACACTGTTGTCAAACCCATAGCTAAAGACGCTGACGCTCATGACGAAGATCGCCAGCACCATGTTGAGCGAGGCCTGTTTAAAGGCTCGCAAATCTTTCCAGTTAGCCATGTCGATAGATTATTGTATCTCCTGAATCTCAAAGGAATACTGTATATCTGGACTAAAGGAGAAGCATCAGTGGAAATCAAGGTCGTCTTTATAGAAAACAAGTTCGGATTTGTCAAAACCCCCAACCATGTCGTGATGACCGCGTAGATCTCCGGAGCAGACACCAGAACGTGTGTTCCCCACAATATTGGCAGCTAAAGCCTCCTAGATCATGGTAAAAAAAAAACATTTTTGAGTGAGAAGGATTCAATGACTATTGACAAAGAGCTAAGCGTTTAGTGTCGTCACGCCATGGCTCCGGAAGTCGGCATTCGTCGCCGATGATTGGACGCCCGAATAAAGACAAGACTATTTATACAATGACACTCCTGGGCATCCATTCACTTCTCCAGCACCGCTTTCTTGGGTTACCTTGCCAGCTCAAAATGGCGACCAACAAAAGACCCAACTTTCTGGTTATTGTTGCCGATGACCTGGGATTTAGCGATCTCTCGGCGTATGGCTCTGAGATCGAAACACCCAACCTGGACAAATTGGCGCAGGAGGGAATCCGAATGTCCGATTTCCACACTGCGGCCTCATGTTCACCAACCCGAGCGATGCTTCTATCCGGGACAGATGCCCATATCGCTGGACTCGGAGGCATGGCGGAGAGGATGAACCGCTTCCCGGAGATTTTCAAAGGAAGAGAAGGATACGAAGGATATTTGAATTTCCGAGTAGCGGCTCTCCCAGAGATTCTGCAAGACAATGACTACTTTACAATCATGTCTGGCAAGTGGCACCTAGGGTTGGAAAAAGAACTAAGCCCATCTGCACGAGGGTTCACCAAAGTCCTCAGTACGTTGCCCGGTGCTGGAAACCACTACAACCATGAGCCACAATTGTACGGCGAGAAAGAGAAACCTCGAGCGATTTTGAAAGAGAATGGGCTGTGGATGGAACATGATCAGTTCATTGACGGGAAGAATGATCTCCCTGAAGACTTTTACTCTTCCAATACGTTCACAGACTACATGTTGAAGTACCTAAGGGAGCGGAATGAAACAGAAAAAGAGCAGCCTTTCTTCGCTTACTTACCTTTCACTGCACCCCACTGGCCCTTACAAGCGCCACCTGATACTGTCCGAAAAATATTGCGGCAAATATGACGATGGACCCCTGGCTCTCCGAGACCGCAGACTGCAAGGCCTCATAGACAAAGGAATTGTCCCAGCCGATGTTGAACCTGCACCTCATCACACCCTCGACACAACACCCTGGGCCGACCTGCCAGAAGATGAACAACGAAAATCCAGCCGGGCGATGGAAATTTTCGCTGCGATGGTCGACCTCATCGACGTCAATGTCGGTCGAGTCCGCTCATACCTCGAGTCTACGGGCGAATGGGAGAATACCTTTGTTGTCTTCATGTCGGACAATGGCGCAGAGGGCCAGCTTCTCGAAGCCATCCCCATTCTCGCAGGGGCTACACTTGAGGATCTTCTGAAGAAGTACTACGACAACTCTCTTGAGAACTTGGGAAATCACAACTCGTTCGTCTGGTATGGTCCACAGTGGGCCTCGGCGGCAACGGCGCCAAACCGCGGAGCTAAATCCTATACCACGGAAGGAGGTATTCGGTGTCCTTGTATTGTTAGATACCCAAAGGGCACCAATCTGCAGCCGGGAAGTGTATCGCATACATTTACAACCGTTATGGATGTGCTTCCAACGGTGTTGGACCTGGCTGGCATTTCACACCCGGGCAACCAATTCCGAGGCCGTGAGGTAGCTCCCGTGCGGGGAAAATCATGGAGACCTCTTCTAGATGCATCTGATGATCAGCATGTCACACTATATGACTCCGAAAACGACATTGTGGGCTGGGAGCAGTTTGGAATCGCCGCTGTTCGGGTGGGAAAGTGGAAGGCGTTGTATCTCCCACCACCACGCGGGCTTGGAAAATGGGAATTATACGATTTGTCGACTGATCAAGGTGAAATTTACGATCTGGCAGAAAGTCACAAAGATAAGCTATTGGAGATGATTGCGCATTATGAGACGTATTTCCAAGAATCCGGCCTGTTTGATTCATATACGATGGTTCAGGAGACGCTGAAGAGGCAGGGAGCGAAGCGATGGTGGTAGATGAGTGATTTACCCAGGTAGCTATGTGAATAGGTGATATTAATAATGAATTTGAGTGGGCTTTGAGGATATAAATTTGAAGTAGATGATATTCAATGTTGTGATCTATAATTAGCATCAGGTGATCTACCGAGGTATCTTCAACTCTACAGCAGTTACTCTGTAGTACCTGGTAGCGACCACCATCCCCGTGAACTTCAATAAATGCCCAAGTGCCTACTACAGTACGGATTACGGAGTAGGTACCCTCAGTTTCACTGCCACTCTAGGGCTGCCACCACTGCCACTGTCTCATTGTTCAACTCCGGAAGATCCCCAAGTAAGGGTGTGCGCTGTCTGTGTCACCAGCCCTTGCCGCCAGCATCTGCAGATGCAGCACCAGAAAGGGTGCGACTCGTGCTCCAATCCGACTCCCCCCCACGAGCGAGACAGTTTCACTTCTACATAAAGTGCACTTCATCTCCTCAAGCTATACCAGCTGCACCTCCAATGATCGCCCTAGGGGCACTCCCAGACAGGATCGTCACCGACTTTGCGGGCCTCAACCTCACTGGTCCACGGCAACCTGTCGTCTCACTTCGCACTCCACTTTGGCCTGATAATAATAGGCATGGCGTCCCTGAGCTTCGGCGGTTGCTCCACTTGTACACGCGCCTAGAACTTGATTACGATTATGCCTGGTGGCTGAATCCTTTGTCCTTCAGCCGCTCTCTCTTTCTCTCCTGGGGAAACTATTCTATGCTGTCTGATGATCTCTCGGGCCCAACGCCCGCTTCTGGTTTGATCTGATCTGGTCTGCTTTGCTTTTGCTCTGCTATGCTCTACCCGCCATGTACATTCCACAGAAACGGGATCTCAGTCGGAAGAATGGCATCTTCATCATTGTACGTTTTATCCTCGGGGGTTCCGGTCGCATCCGTTCACTTTCCTCTCCGATCGCATGTGTTTGCCCTTTGCTTATGCCCTCCTTGCTAACCCTGAATCTTTTTCTGTGAATAGTGTGCCTCCATAATTCTCTTCTTCCTCGCCTCAGCCGCGATCTCCTACTTCTTGGCTCGATGGCTGCGGCAACGGCACTACGAACCAAAGTATATCCCCGGACAATACTTCAAACGCAAATGGAAACAATGGTGCCCCGGTAGCGCCTCCTATGGCCAAGTCTACAATCCAAACGCTGGAACGGCCGAGAATGGAACCTCATATCGCGGCGGAGGGGGCATCAACCCTGAGATGACAACCGCAGATGCTGCCAACACCAATGTTCGCCGAGAGACCTCCATCCGATCCATCATCACTCTACCTCCCTACTCTGCCAGTCCAAAACCGACCGAGCAAGTCGTCGCTCGAGAAGGCGAACGTGGTGGAATGGATATGGTCGTGGAGTTCCCGGAAACCCAAGACGAACAAGAGACACGTCGCGAAGATCAAATGGACGCTCTATACCAGCTGCGTGTACAGAGACGCCAACAAGCCGCCGACCGCGAAACTCGTCGTAATGAGCGACGAGCAGCTCGAGCCCGTGGCGACTCGGTGCGACTCGAAGAACTCGCAGCCGAATCTCGTGCTCGCAACAACCGTGCTCGCGGAGAAAGTAATACCTCACTGAGTGCATCCGCCGTCATTGCTGAGCATCAAGCTCGCGAAAGAGATCGTCGTATCTCCAGCGTCAGCTACGCGGATATCGGCCATGTCAGACACGATGGCTCTCGCCTTCGAGCCGACTCACACGATTCCGATCACCATCCGCTTCTACAAAATGCATCACTCAACACATCGTCGCCTTCCCTGGTCGACCCTTCCATGCACTCGCGAGGGGAATCCATGGCATCATCCATCATCACAACTGACACGACTGCGACTGAAGTTGACCAATGGGCGCTGCGCCCCACGTCAACACGAGGATCAGGCAACCCACCCCCCCCAAACCGACGAACAAGACATCGGAAATTTAAATATTGTTCCCCCGCCACCCGAGTATGATCATCTCGAATGGGGCGATGCACCCGCCTACGAAAGTCCCACCCGGGAACGAGCTGAACAATCCAATCGACCTGCGCCTCTCTTGACACGCCTACCATCAATCCACGTCAACATCGCCAGTCCTATTACCATGTCACCCGTATTTTCGTCCGGGCTGCCGCCCCGAGAGGATAATAACCAAACGCCGACCCCGCCAGACTCCATCCCGGCACGAAGCGAGGTTTCGCATACCCAGGCGGAGCATACTGGATCCACTGACAACCACCCCATTGTTTCACGATGAGCACTCTCGCCGCAGAGATTCTAGTCTATCTGCCACCTTCACCTCATCTAGATGATATCCGGAGGCCACACCTAATGAGCATGATTTACGATTTGTAATAGCATTTTCTTTCCTTTTGACTTTCATCTTGTTTTGTTTTTGCGGAGACTGGTCATTCGTTTGCATCGCGCCTTGTGTCTGGGATGGAATATTTTGTTTCTCGGCTAGCAAGGCGTTTGGGACTGCCGATATTCATTTCTTTTTGATATTCGTTCGGGTTGTTTGTATGATGGTTTGGATGGTATGGGAAAGACCTCGGGGTCGGATTTAGATAGCACAAATCTACAAGTTTTATTACCAAGAAATCTTCCTTGTTATTTCTAGTAACTTGAATGTATCATGATCTTGAATGTAACTTGTCAACTTGAAAACAACTGTTCACAGGGATTTGCAGCCTGAGCTACCTGACTGGCAGGATACTAGGCACTCCAGGCCGTGACACTATCCTAATAGAGCTCCAACCAATTAGTAGGCAGCTTGGATATCTATATTATCATGTTTCTCAATGGAAAAAAAAAAACATTCTGCCAATTAGTCCAGACACCGCGGGATGGTCTTTCTCATCACTACACTGTAGAATCAAAAAGCGAGGTCTTTGAAAAGCAGGATATTGCCAGTGCCAGTGCTAAAGGCATCGTGACTTTGCGCATGTGGTATTAAAGACAATAAATAATAAGAGTCAAAGCATTGACCTCATATACAAGTAACTGGGTATCATAATTCAAGATAGCTCCGATAACACTTTAGGTTGATATTTGTTGCCAGGTAGTTCTTGAACTGGCCGCGGGTCGACGGGCAGGACTTCCTGTGGACTAGCAGCACCATCCAATTCCGAGTGGGGTGCGCTATGATATTCCGGTGGCATATATTGGCCATCTGGTTCAGACTCCGTGTATGGAACTTCATCTTTTGCTGCCGGCGAGGACCGACGACGGCGAAGGAAAAACCATATCAATCCAGGAATCAGCACTGCACCACATACTCCTCCAACGACGCCGCCCGCAATTGCGCCTGTATTTGTGGACGAACCCTTGGATTCTGAGGTTGCCGAGGTCGACATAGATCCTGATGTTGATGTGGGGATCGATGTTTGAGTAGTTAAAGAGGTGGAGGAAGTTGTCGTCACTTTATAGAATTGTGTCAGGTCCCATGGTCTTTCCCATATTGCGGAAGGAATTTTACAATGGGAACTTACTCGGTGTGAGACCTTTCTGAGCTATCCCCGTTATGTTTCCAGCTGCTTCTTCTTCATTGAAATCATCCGGAGTCAAGCAGCCCTTCCAGTTCTCTTTAACTGTAGCGAATCCTTTCAGATTCTCGTCGCAGCAGAACATCCCATAGTCATCATACCAGAGAACCAAGGCTGGATCAGCACACACTTCTGGAATCTTCGCTGGGGCCGCCCCAAAACTGCATCTCGCATTGTTTTCGTAAGTAGTCATGTTCATTCCAGATGGACAGCATTTCTGCCATTTACCCCAGGTTCCCTCTCCGTCCTCGTCCGAATTGCATATGTCGAGACGGCGGGCAGCCCAGCCGTCTCTAAATTCCGAAGACATCTTATCTCTTTGTGATGGGGTTAGAAGTCGCCACAACAAAGAAGATCGAAGATTCAAGTGATCCGGTTTCTGGTCCAATGCCGAGAAAAATGAGACCTAGGGCGAAAGGAAGGGGCGATGATTAAGAAGAGAGGGAAAACGAGGCTCTGGGGCACCTGGGCATGCGAGCAGGCCATTTCAAGTTTGGACTTGGCATACTCCGCAATATGGAGACAGGGCCAGGACAATTAACATACACATCGAGAACTTGGTAGAGTCCCAATTTTATCCGCACTATTATTGGCTTAATGCCTGAATTTGGCCCCTTCTGCCAAGATAAGGATGCAGATCCCTGGGCCTTTAGTGTACCCTAGGGCAGTCTTGCGGCTCACAAGGCGAAGGATATGGGCGAAATATTACTGGATTGAGACATGGTACATTTCAAAAATAACTATCTGTCCACATGGTATACCTAGGTACGTCGTATCCAACCCCTGAACCTGGAAAGCGAGTAAATATAACTTCAAGTTGAGTAACGTTATAACCAAAGAGCAGTAGAGTAGTCCTCATCGCCCGAAATATACGTATTATCTAAGCATCAGTGATAGATCATGATATCTTATAGACTTGGGGTTACTGGGCACGACTCGGGTGTGGCATTCGAAGAATAGTATATCAGAGCAATTGAGATGCACCGTAAGAGTATCATGTCATTTTATTTTCGTTTTAAAGCCGAAAATGACTACTACTTCCCCAAATTATTGAGCCAGTTGGATTCTTGGACCCGCTCTACCGGCATCGCACCCTGGGGAAAGATAACCGGGGCAAAGTATTGTTTTTATCAGTGGCTGCTAGTAGTTCTTGACTTCATGAAAATTGCTGTGGGTCCTAAATAGTGAAAGAAGAAGATGCGGCCAAAGGTAGCGTCCTAGTTATCAAGAGGTCGTATGCTACCTATCCAGTGAGTACAACCTTCCAAGGTTTGGAAGCTTCAATACGCCCAATACGCCCAATACGCCAGTTCTGGGCGTAAATATAGTTCTTGGCACAAACACAGGACTGCCCAGGTGCATAAGGCTGCAGGGATCGGTGGTGCGGTTGGCTCATCTACCCAATGAATTCCCATCTCGTCATCTACCATGCGTCATAACTATCGAACAACACAAGCGACGGCCTGAATGGCCACTTGGCCAGGTGGAGGTGCATAAACGGAAAAAGGCCAGGGCATGCGGAAGGGCTATATCATAATGGATTGTAGGCGAAAATTTCGAACACGGTACTTCGCAACTAGGGGTAAGGTGTTTTGATCGCACCCTTTAGCAGCAAAAGAAGGGTTGACAACTAATCCGTACTAGGCATGGATATTTCAAAGAAATTTCAGCCCTGAATTTAGAAAGTGACATCTATCCACATTTCGTGGGCGAATTCATTGTTGGGAGTTTCAAAATATGTACAAATTTTCAACTCGTCCGAGTTGGGGAACGAAAGGACTATGACATGAAGATGTAAGAATGGGAAAGAAAGAAAGATCTTCTGCCGTCACCTAGTCCGTCTCAACGGTCTGTCTGCGGATGTAAGAGGCCACTTCGTCGGCCTGTGAAAGCCAAGGGAAATGTGACGCTTTGATCTTTTCTGTCGTGATAAGGCCACCCTTACGCTTTGCACGTTCCACCATGACATGCTGTACGGGTAAAGGGAAAGCCTGGTCGTCTTCACATAGAAGGTAAGAAGCTGGAAGCTCTAAGTACGCAGCATTTGTAGCGGGGGCGGTCTTCGTGACCCAGGCATGCGGCCGGAGGGTTTTGACCCATTCTGCCCCATCGGGTACATCGTGGAAGAAGAGCACCTGAGGATCACTAGGCATGACAGTCCCATTCGGCTCCTGTATACATATCAGTCTTAATTTCACTTCCAAGTCGGATTTTCTTATTTTTTCGAAAGTTGAACAAACGGGTTGGAAACACTCACATCTCGCACAAACCACGGCGGCGGAGCCCCACCAAATAACCCGACAAGACTCTCTCCAAGAGCAGGAATGACTGCGGAAATGAAAATTATCCTGACAACACCGCCCTTTTTGCCTGAGGATTCGCGCTCATACTTGGCCACCCCATCCAAGGCACTGTTTACAGGTACCCCGGCCCAGCTATGCGCAACGACGAACACATCTTGGCCGGCATCAGCCGCTTTTTCGACGAGAGAACGGACGGCGGCAATATCTGGCTCCAGGTCTTGGACGGTAGATGGGTCTTGGACTGATGGGAAGGACACAGTGTGACAATCGTAGTCGTCGAGCTTCTCGATCAGAGAATCGAAGATATTCGGGGGACACCACCCGCCGGGCGCAAAGATGAGAGCCGGCTTGGACATGATTGGACAGAATGATGTTAGGAAGGAAAGTGAGATCTGGTTGTATGTATGTATGTATGCGTGTGGGTTTAGGGGCAAGCCAATAGAGAAAGCCCACGGAGTTATCAAGTGGCTGAGTTAATTCGGAGTTCGGTTGTGTTGACGGGGCGGAAAGCGCGGGGCAATTTCAGTCGCGGAAAGTGGAGAGAGAGTCGAGCATGATTCATGCACATTCTCTGTTTTGAAAGAGAAAAATAGGGTTTTTGGTCCGATACTCTAATCAGCCTGAACCTCAGGATCATGGATCAGATTGTACAATTTGCCGCCAACACGCTGGGAAAGAGGCCTGCAAGGCCCATCTTCGACCACGACGCCCTGGTCAAGCACAATAACATTATCCGCAATTTCGATCATTTCCTTGGAATGGGTGATAAGAATCACTGTCAAATTGCTGCGCGTGGCTATGAGTCGACGGATCGTTTCCTGGACGATTCGTGCCCCGGCAGGATCGAGGCTGGAGGTGGCTTCGTCGAGAATCAGGATCTGGGGTTGGCGGAGTAGAGCGCGCGCGATTACGATGCGTTGCTTCTGTCCACCTGAAAGACCCACCCCACCGTCGCCGATCACAGTAGAATATCCCCTCGGGAGCGAAGCGATGAAGTCATCAATGCCGGCAGCTTGGGCGGCTTCGCGAACATGGCCTTCAGAAGCTAAGACCGAGTGACCACTCATGCCGTAGCGGACGTTGTCGTGAATGGTACCTGGGAAAATAGTCGGTTGCTGAGAGACTATTGCGATCTGTGAGCGAAGAGTTGGCACATGAAGTCGCAGGATGTCATGGCCACCAAGTGTCACGGTAGGTCGACCTGATCGATCAAGCGGGGCTTCATACAAGGCCAACAGAAGGGAGGCGATGGTGGATTTGCCGGACCCAGAGCGTCCCACAATGGCAGTGCAGGAGTTCCTGTTGATGTTTATAGAGACATCTTTGAGGACTAGAGTATTCGGTCGAGACGGATATCGAAAATTTGTTGCCGTCAACTTGATCGGCGTTAGATCAGAGGCCTTCAAATGGCCACGGTGTTCGTGAGAATCATCGCGAGGTAAGTTGGCCAGCCGTAGGAGCTGCGAGGCAATTTCTCGAGCTGTATTAATTTGAGGAACTATAAGTAGAAATTTAGTCTCGATGGATTATCTAACCGGGAATGGTCGGTATTATCTCACTCCAGGACAGAATCTGTGCAGCATAGCCAATTCCGAAAAGGAGCAACGAGAAAACCATCATCACTTGATTGACAGTATACTCATAACCCACGAGTACTCCTCCATAGTAAAAGAGTAACCCTAGCAAGGGATTGAGTTATTGATATGCCCGGAAGAGAGTGGATAAACAAAGCAACAGAGATTATCTTACCGTTCGCAAAAATCACAGTGGACTCGACCATACCGAAAAGCATGCCAGTATAAACGGCACGCTTCAGACCGACAGTCAAGGATCGCGACATAGCTTGCGTATGCTTGTGATGAAAGTACCCCTCAAGTGTCAGCGTCCTAACAGTACGAATCTCCGAGAATGTCTCCGTAAAATTGTCGAAAACAACAGTATTTGCTGCATTTGTCCGTCGCTCCCACAGACAATTCGTAGCTTCAAATCCCCGAGTAATCGCATAAATGAAAGGGCCACAAGCAATGGCCACCAACGTTAGCTTCCAACACATCACCAGGCTCCAGATGATCGCCATCACGGTGATTGAAGCAGCCACAATGACATATCCAGCAAAACGGCCGAGAAGGTTACGCATGTCCTCGCCATTTTGATCCAAAAATGCCGTCAGTCTTGAAGCACTATTTCCGTCATTCTCGAACCAATCTCGTGGTTGATCCAGGATCCGCTTGAATGCGCGGTTGCGAATAGTATCCATCCAGGCCTCCCCTGAGAACTCCAGGAAATAGTGCATGAAAAATGAAGCCAAGCCGTCTCCAAAAGATACCCCTAGAACCGCTAGAGACCATACCATGGACAGTCTGGCGCTGTCGCTCCCGGCATCGAATGTGGTAAATAGCTTCGAGAGGCAAAATGAGAAGATTGGTGTCGCACTGGCATGGGTCAATGAAGAAAGGATTCCCAGAATCAGAATGACTCGTTGCTTGCTTGTCAAATTTGGGAACACCGTTCCCATGATATGTGACAGGGTAGTTGACTTCTCTTTTTTCAACGGGCGTGAGGTCCCACGCTCTCGCCGAGACAGTCTGCGAGAAATCCTCGGGCGTTTGGTTTCCTGTGGCTGGTTCGGAACCTGGGAATCATCGTCATTCGATAGTTCACGCACTTTGTTAATGTCCGGGAAATGAATTTGTATTTCGCCCATCTCCACTTCTTCGGGCATTGTCTGTAGTGATTTTATCCAGCCTTGGGATGGAAGCTGGGTTCTTTCGGGCACTGGGGATACCCTTGTGTTACGAGAAAGTCGCTTTTTGCGAGTGTTGGGGCTTGTTGTTGATGATTCATCAGATCGATTGAGAGAGATGCCGTGCTTTCTAGAAGCTATATCTATTGTACTTGACCGGAGACCTGGTGGTAGGTGATGATGCGCCCACGTCTGTCTGTTTTCTTGACGAGCCCGTGGCGGTAAACTCGGCAAGTCACGCAAGCCATCATCCAAATCGTCTTCATAAAAGCTCGAGGCTTCACTTCGGTGTCTTTCGTTTTTCTTTTTGTTCTCCATCTCAATTTTCTCCTTTGGTTGGAAGTACTTTTCCGCTCCTGGTTGCATCTCCAGCTCTTGGCGATAGCCCGAGTGAACAATAGATCCTTGTTCCAGTACGTAAACGAAATCATTTTCAAGAATCTGAGACATATCATGCGTAATGATAATCGTTGTCTTTCCTTTCCTCCATTCTATTATTGCGTTCATTATAGCTAGGCGATTTGTATGGTCGAGCGCACTAGTCGGTTCATCGAGTATCAGAATTGGCGTGTCACGGAGTCTTGCCCTGGCTATGGCCACCCGTTGCCGCTGCCCGCCACTCAGGAAACTTCCACCCGGTCCCACACAAGTATCCAGTTCCTGTGGTAGACTTTCGATGGTACTTTGAAGCATGGCCATGTCAATCGCAACTTCAGCATCGTATCCTGTGATTTCCTGGTGATTCTTGCTGCCGAATGCAATGTTTCGGAGTACAGAGTCATTGAATAAAACGCTTTTTTGTTCGAGAAGCGTGATGTTGTTTCGGGTCCAGCTGACATTGATTTCGTTGAGTGGCTTTCCGTCGATCAGTATTTCTCCTGATGTTGGAAGATAGAAGCGCATCAGGAGTTGGCCAAGTGTGCTTTTCCCCGATCCACTTTTTCCAATGACGAAGGTCGTCTCACCCGCAGGGAAAAAGAAGGTTGATGGCTGGAGGACACATGTTTCGGGCTGGCTTGGGTATGCAAATGACACCTGCAGATATATATCAGAATATGTCGTAGAATCCTGCTCATGATTCGAGAATACTTGCATTGTTGACTTCGACATCTCCCTCGCAATGCATCGGATACAAAGAACCTTTCAACTCACTGTTCCTCCGGTCGATCGCACGAGACTGTATTATCGACTTCAGGAGTTCGCCCGCGATTTTTCCTTTCTCGATAGCAATCATCTGTGGAAGAACTTGCTCGATCGACTGTGCTGCGGTCAGACAAGCCCAAAAAGTCCGCAGCACTTCTCCGGGGGACAGCTTTCCAGCTCGGGCAAGTGAACTCCCGTACCAAAAGCCTTGAACGAACATCCCGAAAACCATCCACCGAATGAATGCAATCTGCAGAGAATTCAATCTCGCTTGTCGGAGGTAGTGGACGGCCGACTTCTGAATTCTGCTCGCAAAATTCCGAACTTCGAATCCCTGGCCATTGAAACATTTCACCATGTCGATTGAAGATATCGCATTGTTCGCGATTTTCGAGGCTTGTGTAAGTTCCGCTTGTTGTGCAACGATGCTGGGATTAATTCTCGTAGACAGAAATGCGACTATCATCGAGAAGACGGGAAACCCTGCGAGTGTCACCAGTGAAAGACTCCATGATGTAAACAATCCTAGCCCAAGGGACGCAAGCGATCGGCATGAATATTGGAGCACAAGTCCGAGTGGTTGTGACGTCGCGATCTTCAAGTCTTGTATCTGGCTACATGATCATCCGTGTTAGTGATTGAGAAAAGAGACTGCGGACTTGAAATGAGAAGAGAAGATCAGCTCACGCTTGGATGCCAGACAGTAGAGCGCCGGATCCTTCCTCTTGGGCCTCAAACCATTCCACATCCCGACTCAACAATTCGACGAAAACGTCTCGACGGACATTCGATGCTTGGAGTTCTCCAAATATAATGAAGGCTGCGTAATAGGCCCCGTTGAGAAACCACCCTGCTGCCCCCAATCCGATCATCCCCAGACAACCAGTCAGTATCTTGCCACGCAGTCCATCGTAATCGATATCTCCTGATCCGAAAGCCGTAAAAGCGTTGAACACGTCGCCCAGGAAAATCGCCAGAGCCGTTGTCGCGCATCCAGCGAGAAGGGCGAATATAGAGCCAACCAGAATACTCGGTAGATGTTTACGAGTCGTGAAATGGAAGAGAGACTTCCAGCCCGGAGCTGAATTTGACTTGGACTTGTCGCCGCTTTTTCCGGCCTCTTGATCGGGGGCATCGTCGTCATGTTCGATGAAATGTGATTTGCGAGCCATGGATCAAGTTTGAGGCACAACTAGCCTGGTGAAATGACGGTAGTGGAAGAAAGTTTAGAGGGGAAGATCATATCCTGACATGATAGAAAAGGAACGGTGCAGGCGTATCATCGCGAAGCGTAGCGTCAAAGAGCAGACATAAGGCTCCGAGTCTTTATATTCATTTCATTATCAATCAGGAACAATATGTACTTGCCTAGATGCGGAAGTATTGATCAGTGAAGGAAGACCGAAGAACTTCGGCAACAAAGCGTGACAGCGGGTTACCTGTTATGGGCCGTCACATGTCCCATACTCCTTACCATTCACATTCTTTGAGAAAAAGGTGTGAATGAAGAGAACGAAAAAATTGAAAGGATTGAGTATAGTATTCGTGAAGTGCAGTTTATTTGCGGGTATATCGCCAGTTGCCCATGAAGTCTCAAGGGCCTCCATGGGAGGTACAGCCTAGTCGGCCCTAGCCAAATCCTATGGAAAAGTTACAAAAACGGGATTTTGTCTATACATCATAACCGTCACCCAGCCCAGTCCATCTATTCGAGGTCCTGGGTCAATAACGCCACGAGACCGCACGCATTCTTTGTGCGACGGCACCAAAGAGAAATCGATTCATGCCGTCGGTGTCGGGGCCGGATGTGGAACCGTGCTTGTTTCAGCTCTAGCACGGGGAAGAAAGAACGCAAGAGATTATGCAATTAGGCATTGGCTTTCTCGTAGACCCAGTCGTTCAGACCTGCGCGGTTACTGTAAAAAGAGGTTAGCATGGCTCTGGCTTTCGATCTCCAACTCTCCCCGGAGAATGGGACTCACCGGGCAATCTCGATGGCGTAGAATTGCATACGCAGACCGAAGATAGTAGTGTCCTGGTCGTATTCGACATCGGGGCGGCTACGAATCATCGTTCCAAAGTTGAAATCCTCGACCTCCTTCTCAAACTGGTTGACCCAGTTGCGCCACTTCTCCTTGCCGGCTTTGCTCTTCATTGCGTCCTCGTCGAGCGGGGCGGCGGGGTTGAAATCTGGGAATTCCTTCATGAAGGAAACGTAGATCAGATCATCCATCTTGGTCAGGCGCAGCTGCGAGCCCTTGACCTTCTCCAGGATAGCCCAGTATGTCATGAGGTGTTCGACGGCTGTTAAAAGAGTGGATAGAGAGTTAGTTGTCGATTCGCTTGGGGGTGTACAAATAGATCGGATCAAAGGTGTGACGAACCCTTCACAGCGAACTGCTTCTCCATCTGTAGAAATTATTCGGTCAGTACTTGAAGATTGAACCTGGTGTTGGGTAGCGGGAACTTGATCGGGCGCAACGTACATCCTCAAAGTTCTCAGCCTCCTCGGGGTTGAATGGCTTAGACATTTTGGCGATATTGTTCTGTCAATACTTCTCCAACAATTGTATAAGTGAAAGAAAAAAGGTGTATCTGAGGAATGCGAATGAGTGAAGTGGGGGAGTCTCCAAAGCCCCGCGAACATTTTTTCCGGGCGGGGAGTGGTTCTGCCGCTTTTTGGCACGACGTCATTGGCCCGTGACCTCGGGAGCCGCTGGCATCGCGTCGGGCTTTCTAGCAGCTTCCCTAGACATACTATAGCTACTATCTAATCACCTGGGGTATTCAACTAGAACTAGAATTTGAATCAAGATCCTTTGAGTTGAAGGTTCATTTCTCTGAAAAGTAGTACCGGGATCCCGGACCCCCGAATACGAACCTGAAATATCATAAAGTACACAGTGTAGCCAAGGCAGACAAGAAAATAACAACGAATCCCATTGCCAAAGCACGATGGATGCTAATGATCGCTGGTTTTTAATAGTAGATATTGAAGATGCAAGTGGGGAATAGGCACAGCGATGAGGGTAGGGTGTAGGGGAAAACGAAAGGTCAAGGGAAAAAAAATAAGAAAAAAGAAGAGAGAGAAAAGTAAATCCATGTAACGCCATCGCTATGCTAACTAAATTCGCCGTGATGCGTCGTGGGCGGCGACTCGGATATTGAAGAGAAGATCGTCTACCTGGCGGAGGGCTTCCGGGTCCAGAGTGGCAATCTTCATTTCATCCAGAACCTTCCGCAAGGTCGAAGTGAGGCCAGTGCTGACATTAGCCGTGTCAGGTATGGGGGATGGTTCGGTCTGGACTTCAGTGGTGAAGACGCTTGTGAGCGGTTGATTCGAAACTACTTGTGCTTCGTCGGAAATCACGTCGATGTCCATGGTTTGAATATCGGTAGTGGTTGTAGGCTGGGTTGAGGCATCCGCGTCCGTCATTTGGGAATCCGTGGCCTCTTTAGTGGAGATGAGAGGAACATCTGGTACTGCAAAGCTTTCTTCGGGAATGATGCTCCCAGGAACCATGTCTTGAGATTCTTGCTGGGCGGGCTGACCCTGAGACGCGGGGCCATTTCGAGTTGACCGTGAATTGCGAGATCGAAGTGACTTAGACCTAGTTGGTGTTGCTTCTGGAACGGTTGTTGGAGGTTGGTCATCCAAACGTAGAGACTTTCGGGATCGCTTTGACGATGCTGGTGCTGGTGCTGATGCTGGTACAGTCTCTTCAACGGGATCTTGAGCAGGCTCTTGGATGGGCTCTTGCGACTCGGAAACTTGTGTGGCGGGAATGAATTCTTCTACGACGGGCTCTTCCTTCCGCTGGGAGCTGCGAGTGGACCGGCGAGGAGTGACCGTATCTTGCTTGGCAGCGGTATCCTCAGACGCAGGATCTGGAATGTAATCCAAAGAGGGAGTCGGCGCAGGTTGTTCGTCGACAAGAGTTTCATCCTTAGTTGCGGTGAGCCTAGTTGATCGACGTCGGTCTTTCACATTATTCGACTGAGATTCAGAGTCCTCCTCGCGCTTCCTCTTCTTTGAAGGCTGTGTGCTAGATTGCTCCATGGGTTGGATATCCTCAACTAGGTTGATTTGTCCACCCAGATCCACAGCATACTCTAGATCTTGCTCTAGCTGGGACGCGATCTGAGTTTCCATTTCCTCACTGGAAGAATCCAAGTTGTGTTCGGGCGGTACCAACATGGCAGAAGCTTCATCGGCAGTCTGCTCGTTCTGGCTCTTTTTCTTTGGAGACCGAGACGCGCTCTTCTTCCTCTTCCTCTTAGAGGCAGACCTGGATCTCGGTGTTTGCGTAGCAGGGGCTTCTCTGGACTTGCCAGGAGTTTCAACAGTCACTGGTGGCACGGGATCCTGGCTGTTGTCTATGCTTTGACCGAGTGCAGCCCGAGTTCGACGACTAGGAGGCCTTTCGTCTACCTGAGATGCATGGGTATTTTCCTTCAAATCATCCTTTTGTTCAACTGGAAGAGGTGCCGAGTCCATCGCGGTATTATTATCGGGTTTGGTAGGGCTGTTGGGGCCACTTTGCTCCCCGGAACAGTTCAGGAACATTGCCTTTCTGATCTTAGCAGATCGGCGGCGCTGGCTCCTAGATTGCCTATTTCGCTTTTGTGGGCTTGGACTTCGTGAACTAACTTCTGGGGGCGATGATGGAAGATCGGATGTATCCATCATTGCCACATCAGGGACTGTTAGAATCGGTGCTTCCTTGTTCGCCGCGGGGGTTGGATCTCTAGTGGCAGGAGTAGGAGATGATCCAATGAAACCTTCTTCATTTTCTGTCGGAGCTAGAGTGGGAGTCAGAGGTATTCCAGTGGCAGTATTGGAAGCATGAAATCGGCGGAGATGGACAGGGGTGTCATATCCCGATTTTGCGGGAGTGTTTGCGGGAGAGGAAGATCGGATGGATTCAATCATCCTGAACATTTCGCGTCTATTGGCCTGTGGTTGAATTGTTGGCACGTCATCCAGGGGTTGTTCTTCAGAGGGCTCTGGTTGCGCGTTTGTCGGCAGTTGAGGCTCATTAGATTCCGTTGTTTCGACAGATGATTGATGTTCAAATCCATTCACGGGGGATGAAGGAATGTCTGCAGCTTGGGAAAGGGGATTTCCAGATGTTTGTGGCTTTTTTATGGGCTGGCTGTCGGTCGTGTCTCGCCTATGAGAGGGCCATAAATCGGAGTTCTATGTTTGCAAAAATTAGGATTCTGACGTCCAGGAAGCAGACACGACACATTACCTGCAAGTTTGTCATCTGTTGTGCAGCATTGATACCCCATTTGGCCATGGTCCTATCCAGAGACTTGGCTATAGGGGTTCCCCTAATAGCGGGTTCTAATGAACTGGCGGTTGTTTCCCAAAATTCAACAAAACGTTTGGATCGTGATTGATGAGCCGACTCAAGGCCGGCACAGATGATGGTCTCGAATTTGCGATAAATCCATACTTCGTCAGGTACGGAACCCAGGACGTTGATCACAGACGATGAAAGTGCTCGGCACTTCACAAAATGTTAGCATGTGTTCAAAGTGCCTAGGAGGGAAATACTTACTGCTGTCAAGGTTCGGTTATCTGCACCCCGCGTCACGTCGATTTTGCAATATTCGTCCTTGATCCACGAAGCCAAAGGAGACTGCAGCAATTCAAGTGTTTGCCCACGAAAAGATGGAATGCCGGAACCAAGAAATGAGGTTAAAGACTCGAGGAAGCTTGGGAGGCCATGGACTTGCGAGGGGTCGAAGGAATCATATGCTGATTGCAAGGTATTCTTGACTAATTCGATGAGTTTGTGAGGAAACGGGTTCACCTCCTGGTCGGTACCATCAATTCCTAGGAATTTGTTCTGCAAGAAAGGGATGGACATGGAGTGATTCAGAACTGCAGTAGCTGGAAGGTAGGTGTCGGCAATGGCAAGTGAAGCAAGGCTTTCGGCAATAGGCTCCACAACCAAAGTGGCCAGAGTACCATTGCCCTTCTCTGTCCGAACGACACGCACGAATGACTCCAACAAGTATGCCCACTCAGAGTAAGCGGCTGGAATCTCTACACCATCTGCCAGGATTGTGGTGACGTTTTGGTAGTCACGGGAGACGGAACCATCGCGTTCACGAGAAGCCTCAATTGGGAAGGACTGCAGAGCATCTGCGGCTGCCCCCGCACTGGTCTTCCATACGACCTCGGAAAGGCTCGAAGAACTGGAGGTTAAATTCACACGGGGTCCAGCTAAATCTGCACATTGCTGCAGCAGTTCGAGACGCGATCCGCGAGAAATTTTAGTCTTGCAAGCAGCTTCAATGGCGCTGTGCACGAGTTGGATATATGAGGGAGTTTGTGTTATAGTGGGGGTATCAGAGCTGATTGCTCGCAGAAGATGGAGGATAGGGCTGTCAGGCGTTGTCCCTGGCGCTGAATCGTGTTGTAATGAGGTGCTACCAGATTCAAAGGTCTCGTCCATAGTCTTGACGAGAAGTTTCTCGGCGAAGTTAATGCCACCAAGCGAAGCAATAGTGGTGGTTGACAGGAAACGAAATCGGTCCAAAAATATATCCGAGCAGTTGTCGCCAACGGCATTGAGAGATGGAGGTCCAAGAGACCAGAGGCGGTTCAGGAGTCCAAAAGCACTGGCGACAGCATGCATGGATTCCCCCCGATGGTGTAATTTCCTTGTTCGAGGCCAGGGCCAGGGCGTTGCAGAAACTGCCCCAGGCAATAGCGATTTTCGACCGTTCAATGGATTCTTCATGCCAGACAGAAAACTTGAGAATTGACTCAAATGCCCGGACAATTGAGGCGGCTCTAGATCGCACCCATCTTTGGTCAACAGAAGGGAGTTCCTCGGCCTCAACCTTGGAGGAGTCATTGATGCGAGTTTCAGTCCAGACCTTGGCCTGTGAAGACGACAAGAGGTTTGCAAGGACACGCGACATGCTGTCACTGAGGGCAGATGAACTGGAAAACACGCTTGTGGCAGGAATCAAGACATACTCTTCCCAGACAAGGTCGAGGTACTGATGCGAGGGCGAAGGGCGGAAGGCGTAGTATAAGAGGTTATGATAGCTAGCCAAGGCAAGTTGACTGGGCGAAACTGCGGACCTGTCCGACTTTTTGCGTTCAAATTGTGAGATGACAGGTTTTCCCAGCATCTTGAGTAGCGATCGGCTGGTCGACTCGTTTGGCCCAATAGCGAAAACAAAGCGATTCCAGCCTAAAATTGCCTGGGCCTTTATGGCGGGTTCGCTGCAGTTAAAGCACTTCTGAAGAACCAGGACCCAGTCTTTGAAATGTTCCCATTGATCGAGACTGCGTGACTTGTTCCTTAGAAGTAGAATGATAATGCTCCAGATCTGGGGAATATGGACACCGCTTTCAACCGTACTGATCATTCGTGACATTCGTTCCCGAACCTCCGTCACAAGCTTTCGGTCTCCTTCAAGCGATCGGTCGAACAGTTCGCGAATGCTCTTAGACAGGGTGATGTTCGGGCCCATTGCCGTTGCAATTTGGAAACCCAGAGATATAGCTTTCAGTCGATTATCTTTGATAGGATTGAGCAGTCCAAAGATAAGCTGTTCAATCCAAAGTGATGCCTGGGAGACAAAAGAGGACTTGGATTGGGCGAACAGCTTCTGGTATATACTGAGTCGGTGCAGAACGATCCCTTTTCCATTAACGTGATTTGAGACCTCCTGTAATGCCGAGAGAAGACGCGTGACCCGGGTGTTGTTCATGATCTTTGTACCGAAGCTTTGAGTAGAGAGGATGGACATGTAGTGGGTCAGAACGGACTTTGGCATATTGGCTTCCTGAAGGCAAGTGATCGCGTGTTCAACAATAAAGACCTTGAATTCTTCCGAAAGCTGGGCAGAGATGTCATTATGCCAGACAAAAGCGGCGGATAGCTTGAGGGCCTGGTTGGCGAGATTTGTATCCAAAGGCGTACCGTTGGTCAAGTCGCGGCTCACATCACGTTGAATAAACCCGGTGATCAATCCCAATTTCTCCGCAACGTCTCTTCCTGCCGGCAGTCCGTCATATGTCCTCAGAGCACCAAAAAATTGCATATATGCGTCGAGACGACAAGTGAGGGATTCTCCAGCCAGCTGCTGGGTGACGGATTCGAGGAGCATGTCGAGGGATTCGGTGGTGAACTTGTCGACGTTCGGCGACCAAACGGGGATAGGCGAGCCGGTCTCTTTGAGAATAGATTTGAATGGCCTTATTCCCGATGGCAGTGGGCTGCCCTGGATGGGACTATCTTTGAAATCGACCGATTTAGCTGTCCAGGGCGAGTGTATTTCGGTTTGCAGCCATGGAGAGAAGGTGACACGTTTGGAGGCGCGACTGGAGGGAGGAGCCCTGGAAGAGTGCGCCGGCTGAGGCGTATCTCCCGGGGTTTGAGCGGCGACTGGGGTGCCTTCAACAGGTTGATGCTGGTCAGTTCGTGAACCTGGCCTCGGAGGTGTTGGTGGACGAGCAGGGAGAGGGCCGAGGGTCTCCACCATGGTTTAATAAGAGGATAAAAGAAAGACGGAAGGGCTTCAAAACCATTTCTGGGGGAGGGATTGAAGTGAAAATCAAGGAAGGCCTTCCATTGAGGACTGTGGAACTGGGGGGGAGGGAGCTGGAACTGGAGCTGGAGCTGGCGATGGGGCTGAGATGAAAACCAGCGGGAAGTAAAGTTCGGACGCGCCGTCGCGGAATCGCGTAAAGTGCCCGCGTGAGGCGTTAAGGCGCTAAGGCATCCACATTTGACACCTGCATCTGCATTTGCATTGACAGTTGCAGTATTGCTTGCAGGGTGTAAGGAAGAAACTAGCATAATAGTGGATATTCCTTAGTCTTTCTTCATAAAACTTTGACTACGAAAAATGGAGTTTTTACTGGCTGTAGGAATGGCGAAATATTGTACACAGTGAATGGGGTGCGATTCATAGAGCATTGCTAATTTAAAATATTAGCAACTAAACTAATTAATTAATTATTACTTCAGGGTATTTCTCCAGTGCACAATGAAGCACTACTAGTATAGTACATTTGCCCATGGTTAACTCGGAGTACCTTTAGAGAGTAGCTCGGGTGGGGTCTTCCCCCCCCCCCGCGCGCTTCTTCTCCTTCCCCTTCTGCTCGAATTCGTGCTTTGCGCTTTTTCATGCCCCGGCTGGAAACACCTACTCACATAAATTTCCAGCATCTGGAGTATTCGCCTCGACCCTCTCGCCTTAAAGATACCCAGCTACCGGAGGTAGTCCAACCAGGCGACTCGGCAACATGATGGCATTCAGCCAGCTGCATGGAGCAGGTGAGCTGGACCAGATCGCCGTCTCTCATGCGATTCAATTGTCTCCTTGGGACTGAGCTAATGATCTACTATAGAGAAAGTCCAGAAAGTGACCCAGCTGCTCGACACCCTCCAAAAGGACCTACAAAATAAGCATCTCACATCGGCGCGTGAGTCCCAGAGCCAAACACCAAAAACACTCCTTCTCATGTGACCTCATGCTAATACCTGCCACTTTACTCCAGAGCGTGTCCAAATCTTGCTAGAAGTGCGCCAACACGGTACAAACCCAGTCGATGCCGGTCCGATATACTGCAGCAATGTACGAGAGTGATCTTGCAAACTACATCATAAAAGGGGGATCTGACGGATGATGCAGGGAATCAACACGCTCATGCGCTATGGTGTCGACGGTGAGACGGTCGACGTTCGCCGAGCGGCCCTGCGCGGCGTTGCAAATGCACTTCTGCTCGACCCAAACATGCGCCAGGTTTTGGTGGACACCGGGTACGCAGGCAGACTCGCCGAGCGCCTCAAGACCGACAGTTCCGACGACGAAATGATCACGAGCCGTATTATTTTCTTAACGACCTATGATACCACATTAGACTTTGAGGTCTTGATCAACAAGCACTCCCTGGCAGACAATGTCAACTATGTGCGTTCATTTTCAATATCCCACAATTCGGAGTTTTGTCCTAACAAACCCAGCAACTCGCCCGACACGCGAAACAATTTCCCAAGTCAGGAAGGGCATCTCTCTCCCAGATGGATGAATTGGGTCTCATTGATACCCTCAAAGTGATCTTTAATGTCTCCAAGATCTACCCCGACCTCGCTGCTTCCTTCTCACCTTCTATCCCCCACATCCTGAAGATCATCAGTCGCATAGAGATTCCAGCAAAGCCCCTTGAAGGTCTCCTAAGCTACCTCATCAATTGTCTCTCGGTCCTCGATCTCGAAGAGAAGAAGGGCAAGGCGTTCGAAAGCAGCCCCCTCTTCCCGACATTCGACAAGAACTGCAACGTGGATAAACTAATCAACATTTTGGACCAAGCCGTCTCACTCTACAGTCCTGAGGAGCTGGAAGAAAAGGCTGTGCCGCTGCTGCACTCTCTTATTGTCGTCCATGAGGTAGCACCCGATGGACCTCGCAAGTACATGCAATGGCTGCTCCTCCCCGAAGACAATGACCGCACCCAACCAATTGGAAAATCTGACACACTATCTTCACGACTTCTCCATCTTTCTACCAGCCCGTATGCCAACTTGAAGACTGGTATATCAGAACTAATGTTCGTCCTTTCTGGGAAGGATGCAGAGAACCTAACTCGCAGAATCGGTTATGGTTTCGCTGCTGGTTTCCTGGCAGCTCGCGGCATGGAGATTCCTCAAAGTGCCGGTGAGGCGTATGCGACAAACACGGACGGGCAGGACTCGGACGTCAACCCAATCACTGGACAGCGCTGGAACGCAGAGCCCGCAGATACGGGCCCTCCCATGACTATGGAAGAAAAGGAGCGAGAGGCCGAAAGGCTGTTTGTGCTCTTTGAAAGGTATGGCAAGTTCAATTGATTGCGTACGGTCTTTATTCTAACGTTGTGATAGGGCGAGAGCGAACGGTCTTCTGGGTGTTGAGAACCCGGTCAGAACGGCTGTTCAGGAAGGAAGATTTGAGGAACTTCCAGACGATGCAGACAGTGATTAAACCACAGATTCGCAACCTACACGGGTACCCCCTGCATGGAAGTTATTGTATTTTCAATTAGGAATGCTTCTCATCTACTTCGCAGGCTTGGCGCTCACAGCATGCATTCTTATGATTTTCCCTATAATCTAACACCCTATATCCGTGTATATTCACAAAATTTGTGCAAAACTGTGTTTCTTGGCTACTAGTATAACATGCCAATCGTCGCATTGGGAATCAACTTGGGACTTTGAATCCCCTACTTGGTGTCGTGAACTCTTCGAAGCCCACAAGTGAAAGGCTCTACTAGTACTCGTTTTTTAGTACCTCCCCGTGCGTCTTGTAAGTTGGCTACCCCACTCAAGTTACTAGTAGCTACTCTTGTCTCGAACGGTCTTACGGCATACTTGCCTACCTAGGTTCCTGCCAAGTTGAACGTAGAGTATTTACTAACGAGTTCCAAATGTAGCCGCAACGCCTCTATCACTCCAATTCGATGGCGTTTCGACTTCGCCATCTAATTGCCACCTTGAATTACCGCGACGACAAATTACAGACCACCATTCAATCATTGGACTGTTACGTGAATTAAGGAATAAGTTAGTACTAGTAAATTCAAGGTCATTGAATTGTGGGTAGGTGGTGGCTCTGTATATCACAATGATGTCTTCAAGTTGTGGCGGATCGCCACTCCAAGTCCAACATGAGATCCGTATAAAGACTGTGACTACATAGGTAGTAACCGTGGAATTGAGCCTCGATATACCGAAGTATACATCTTCAGATCCCTTTATTTAAGTTGAAGCATCAATTAACCTCCAAGGTTTCTACGTTGAATTCGGAGGCTTAGATATAACAAGGTCTTGACAACATGGCCACTCCCGGAACACAGTATATGATGCAAGCTGGTCTTGCAACTGGCATGTCCGCAACTGCGGGCATGCACTCACCGCATCTACGACCTGTAGATCCCAATCTCAGCGACCCAGCCCACGTACTCCCATCCGACCTCGTGCCCAACTCACAGACGCGGATGGCCCTGCACGGCTGCGGTGGACAGGACGTTCTAATCCCGTACCTGAGCATCGGCGCCTGGTCCTGGGGCGACAAAGCAACATTCGGGTATAAGGCGACTCGGGATCTCCCAAAGATCCACGCAGCCTGGCAGAAACTCAAGTCAGTTGGACTCACCTTCGTGGACACAGCGCAAGCTTACGGCGACGGCGAGAGCGAGAGAATCTGCGGGACGCTATTCGAGGGTATGCCTCGTGACTCATTCGTCGTACAGACGAAATGGCACTCCACATCGACGATCAAGAACACAATTATGCAAGCCAGTGGTCCGAAGATGATGCTCCAGGGCTCACTTGATCGGCTGGGCCTGGAGTATGTGGATATATACCTCGTTCATGGACCCATCCACCCGGGCAATATCTCGACAATCGCCAAGGGGTTAGCGGAATGTATGGAGTCTGGACTCACCCGCGCCGTCGGAGTCGCCAACTACAGCACGCAAGAAATGATCAAGATGTCAGACGAGCTGGCCAAACACGGTCATCCGCTCGGCGTGTCGCAATGCGAGTACTCCGTCATCCGTCGTCTTCCGGGGACAAGCGGGATGATCCGCGAGTGCAAGAGGCGGAGTATTTGTTTCCAGGGCTTCGCTTCGTTAGCTGGGGGTCGGTTGTCGGGGAAATATTCGCGTTTCAACCAGCCTGGGCGGACGATGCGGTTCAGTAGTTATCCGATGCACATGCTCGAGCCAACGATTGCCGTCCTCAAGGCTATTGCAGACAAACACCGTGTGCCTGTTCCAGCTGTGGCGTTGAATTACTCAATCAATAAGGGAGTCGTGCCTCTGGTTGGTATTCGGAATCCTGAACAGGCAGATCAGGATATGCAGGCATTGGGATGGCGGTTGACCAAGGAGGAGATCAAGCAGATTGAGGAGGTGAGTCTAGAGGGTCAGACCTCTTCGATGCTGCAACACGGTTAGAATAGAATGTGAGTGATATGGATGAGAATTGAATGATATGTTTCAGATACCAGTTTGTGTAGTTAGAGAAAAGATTACAAAGTGACGGGGAGGAAGAAGGAGGTGGGGCAACTGCGATTCCCCGCCATCCGTCGCTGAAGGCCGACGATCGCAGCTCAACCATCTTCCCTCCATCAGCTACCCATCGAATCACCATGGATCGTTCCAAGAAGCCTGCTGCCATCGGCGTGGGTGCGTCTCTCCCACAGCCTACTATCTCCATCCAGGATAACGCTATCTCGGCCACCCTGCCCTCCGGCGAGTCCGTCACCATCCAACTCTACGGCGCAACAGTCACCTCATGGAAGGCCAATGGCCAGGAACAGCTCTTCGTGAGCCAAAAGGCCCATCTGGATGGCTCTAAGCCTATTCGTGGAGGTATTCCGCTCGTTTTCCCGGTACGTCTACGACCCTTCGTATCCTTAGAAGCTATGTACAAGCTGACACAACCATCGTGATCCGAACTCCAGGTCTTCGGTCCTCCTCCCCAGAACCACGTCACCTCTCCCCTCCCCCAACATGGCTTCGCTCGTAACTCCAACTGGGAGTTCCTTGGAAAGTCTTCCTCCGAATCCGCTGAGACCGCTGGTCAGGCTAAGGCCGATCTGGCCATGAAGCTGGACTTCGGATTGTCGCATACCATGTTGACCGAGGAGTTCCGCAAGGCCTGGCCCTTGGAATTCGGCCTTGTATACAGCGTAACCCTCACCAAGGATACTTTGGAGACATCGCTCCAGGTTCGCAACGAGGGAACTCAAAACTTCGAATTCCAGGTCCTCATGCACACCTACTTTAACATCGAGGTATGTCCCGAGTCAATTGCTACACTATACACACATCCCTTGTTTCGTGGTATCATCTGATCTGACGTGATATCGACAGAATATCTCAAACGTCCGCGTCAAGGGCCTCGACTCCAAGACCTACGTCGACAAGACCCGCAACGCAACCTCGCACACCGAGACATCCGCCGCCCTCGCAATTACCGAAGAAACCGACCGTGTCTACAAAGAGCTTGACCCCGCGGTGCCCGTTATCATTTCATCTGCCGACGATGATAAGCCAATCTTCTCACTCACGCGCAAGGCCCTCACCGACGTCGTTGTCTGGAATCCCTGGATCGAGAAGGCCAAGGGTATGGCGGACTTCGGCCCAGATGAGGCTTATCAGAATATGCTTTGCGTCGAGGCTGGCGCGGTGTCGGAATGGCAAACTCTTGAGGCTGGAGAGGCTTGGGAAGGAGGCCAGACTATTAAGTCGCGCCTGTGAGGGTGGAAGCCGTTCTAGTGATGTCTGATGATTTAAGATGTTTTATTTTTAACTTTTTATCACTTTCAAAATGAGGAAGAGTCGATAGAGTTCGCTCAATGTCATACCCAGCAGGTTTCTGCCAAATTCCTGGATTGTTTCAGTTTGGAAGCAGCCGGCACGAACTTTAGCCTGACAAAGTTGATACTAGATACTGACTCAGAAAGCGCCCTTGATCAACTCACACCCGCAAATAATGGGAGTTTAGCAGACAGATGATTCTGAGACCATACCCACAGCACAGACTTTAGTAAGAATTAGCACTGATCGCACCAACTTGACTTCAAAGTTCCAAGGTTTGATATCATTCATGTACAAAATATTAAACATGAAAGAAATTAAAATAAAAATCGGTAAGAGACTTCCCAAATAGAACACCCAGTCAGACAAATATCCATAGCATCATATCCAACGAGCTTTTCCTCATTTCACATGGCAACCCTCATCAACACATTGCACCGGCGTTTCCCCCATAATATCAATGAAGGATCGCCGACCCTCCTTTCCAGCTTGCAGAGCACTCAACCTCTCCGCAGCCTCAAAGCTATACTGCGGACCCCTGTATACTTCCCGACCCCTGAAAATCCACCACAAACCGACCAGCGCCATCAATCCCACCGTGATAACACTGGTATAATTCATATTCTGCACCGTAGCAGGCATGACAAGCGGGAAGCAGAAGAAAACAACCGTCACCATAATATAAACAAGCGCAACGATATTCACCAGCATACCGAGCTTCTGGCCCATGTAGAACGGTCCCGGCACCATATTACGTCGGCTCGATAGGACGTGTGGGAGAATAGCGCCGAAGTAAGAGAGGGAGCTCAGGACGATGAATGAGGATATTAGAGCTTGGAAGGCTGTCGTGCTGCCTACGTAGATGCAGCCAAGGCATGTGACCAACCCGCTCATCGCGACGGTTGCGCGTACGGGACAGTTTAGTGTTGGATGGATCCGGGCGAAGTAGCTTGCGAATGGCGTGGCATCGTCTCGTGCTAGACTCCACCACATTCGTCCGCCTGTAATGAAGGTGCCAATGAGGGTAGGAAATGTAGCGATGAATAGAACGGCGATTAGTCCGATTGCCCCATTATTCGAGCCAGTGGCCTGTCGGTAGATTTCGGCTGTTGGGAAGAAGTTGATATCGCTCGCGTAAACGCCGTCGAGGTCTTGAATAGAGTAGAAGAGGGCAATTAGGTAGACGAATGCAGTTGTGAATGCGGTAAGCATTTGTAGCATTATTCCTTGGGGAACTTTCACTTCAGGCTTTGGCACTGTAGATAAATGTCAATATGTATAACCTTGAAACAAGTAATATTATGCTCGGTGGTTCCGTACCTTCTTCAGAGAGGTGGCTAATGCAATCTGGTACACCGACGGCAAAAGCTCCATTCAGCAATCCCGTCATGAAGCACACCCCATCTGACCACCCTCCTGTTTTGTTGTGGAATTCCGTCCAAACCTGTGCATTGCTGGCGTGGCTTTTCGGCATCACAGCTAGAACGATGACCGTCACGACAAGACCACACATTGAAACCGTCAAAGCAATCCTATTCAGCATCGGGACAAATCGATTCCCAAAGCAAACGATAGCGCAACACGTCCAATTAACGAGCTGAAAAGCAACGAAAACTTGCCACGAGTGCCATTTCACGCTGGTGTTTTTCAACAAATACATCGCAACACCCTCATTTCCAAGCATCGAGCTCATAGATGACGCGGATAATAACCAAGCGCAGGCGTTGAGATATCCAGTAAAGTATCCTGCTTTACGGCCACGATTTCGACTGAGTACTGCGGACCAGTAGTACACGCCGCCGGCGGAAGGCATGGATGAGGCTAGCTCAGCCAAGGACGCAGAGATGGCCGTGTAAAAAATGCTAACGAGGATAAGACCGTAGAGAACGGCCATCGGACCTCCGTTTTGGAGGGCTGCGACAATGGTACCTCCCGATGATGCCCAGGAACTAGACAAGGTCAAAGGAAATTCCTAAATTGTTGGATAGTGTCAACTTACTTTGCAATCACAATCCCGAGACTAGTAAGGCTCCATAGTCCAAAATGCCTGTTTAATTCTTGCTTGTGGCCGAGGGCAGACTCTAAACGAACTTCGTCAATTTGTCCCTTGGTCTTGAGCGAGTCCATCCCGCTCCGGGGTCTCTGCTGCTCAGCCAGCTCCATGGTGTGCTACTGAGTGCGCGAAGTAAAAGAAGACGGGCATGAAAGAGAAGACGAGACTGGTAGGAGAGTATCGAGAGATGAAAAGTTGGCCGAGTAAAATTAAAAAAGGAGACACTCCGCGGAGGCGAAATGACCCATCCTATTTGTGGTCGTGCCTATGGGGACAATGCGAGTCGACACCCCAGGAATGCTTGATGCGAGGGCTCTTCCATGTGGCAGCCACGTGGAAGTCACAAAAGAGGGAAATACTACGAGATCGACGATATGACCTGTTTGCGATAAGTTCCGGGGAGGGTACCCTAGGGTAGTAATGTCCACAGTTTGACTTCTGTTGTGTGATGGCTTTGCTGGGGGCGCAAGCCAGGTGGGAAACTAGGGTTATCACTATTGGCAATAGGCGGGTTGGGCGGGTTGGGCTGGGGCGCTCACTCCTGCGGCCCTGCTGGTAGCCGCGTAACAAAACGCAAAAAGTAGAGGATAAAATATTCGGGGCCTGAGCAGATTTGTGTATTGCATTTCCATTTGTGCCGAGAGCAAATCAGGGTCTGGTGTCCCCAGGGAGCTGTTCAAGATGGTCGCGGGTATTGGATTCATCGTAATTTCTCTGCAAGGGGGACACGAAAAGTGACTGGTCTAGGAGGAGTTTCCTAAGATCGGAGGTAAATCATGTTCTAGGAGCAGGGCCGCTCCTAGAGGAAATCTTGTTTTAGACGGAGACTGAGAAGATTTACGCGTCTCTTTGACTTTGGTTCTCAGTAGAATTTCGCGTAACATTCGCGCGTTGACTGGTGTCCCTGTGCCACTTCCTTCCGACAACAGCAACATTCTTGTTCATCCTAATCCACATGGTCAGGGCTTTACCGATCGCGTCTGTTCGTAGCCCACATGGTGCTATTTCATACGTTCGATCCAATGCAAGATCGATTTCAATAGTAGTATGTATGTCATTGATGTTGCGGAAGATATTATAGCAAATATAAATACCACCGCATTAGAACGACGTCCATCCAAGTTGCTTTTATCTGATTCCACACCTGCCCCGACCATACAATTCCGATGTTTTATTGATACAACTTTCTCGTGGATTTTTGAATGCTGATTCTTGGGTTACGAAAAGCAACCAAAATTTGAATGGTGTTCTATGCTGCGATGGACTCCCACTACTTAGTTAGTACGAAATACAAATTTCCAGGGCCTTTCATGTCTTGGAAACTTGAGTAAATAGAAGGAGTACCTAGGTTACTATTAGCGCCGCTGCCACCAATTATTTATTAATTGCCTTCAAGAAAAGGATCGGTTCATACTATCCCAAACAGCCCGACCTGGAATCCCCATCGTCGAGTCTCCGAAACAATGCGATCGATCTATCCAAGTTTCAAGCCTACCAAAATCCCAAAACTTCCAAGTTTTAGATTTTGAAATCAATAGAGTTTATCATGATACTCGATATGCACTTAGTGTCTTTCACTATGTACAAAAGTGCTGATGTGAGACTCTGATACCATTCGCCCTGGAAAGCGATCAACCTGACAGACCTCGGGACACGAAGCCGCATACTAGGCTGCAAGGGTAAACATGGCGACTTGGGTGCATAGATCTCAAATAGGCCAAGCCATAGTCCGTATAAATTGTACCATTAGTGGCTCTCGCTCTCAGTATCTGCATTGCTATGATATGTCAGAGAGCCCAGCATGAACGAGGTAGCACAAACCCAAATTTACACAACAGGCTTGCTTTAGGGCAAATCCTCAGCCTTTCATTCGTGCCACTGAATGAAATCTTATTTGTTTTACTGGGAGATTTGCACTACTCAATATACCACCCGAAACTGTAAAAACGAAGAAAGCCGACCGGGAAAGGGTTGGCATATAGCGCTTGGCGAGTACTCGTATTGCATTCAGGGGTGTGTTCGAGAAGACGCGATGAGCCCTGCTGTCGCATTAATAGAAGACAACAATCTAATTGAGGCCATTCTGATGATATGATCTAGGAGCTGTTTGTTCTTGGATCAACTTTAGGCCGTTTTAAATCTCCCTGCCGTCAAGCTTTGGGGAAGGATCGCCTATTTTTTTTTTGGAGAAATAAGAATGATGATTTCCATTATTTCCACCATAGCAAGTACTAATTAATTGTCGATATTGTTGCTGAAAATGGGCAAAGGTATTTCGATAGGAAATATGCTGAACTATCCAAACTCCCGGGTGCCCAGATTCCAGCTAATAATTAAATAACATTCAGGCAATTCGACCATTGGCAGTTTCAAGTTGAGCCCCGAACCTGTGTATCGTCAACTTGACTAGCTAGGTACTCTATACTAACTAGTGCATAGTATGGACGAAGTAGTCTTGTCCCCTGGGCCCGAAATGCCCCGATCGAACGTGGTCACACGGCTTACTATTCGCTTTCACCATGAACACACATAATTAGGATACCTGGTCAAAGGTCGGATTCCAGACCAAATGAGAATGCGAGATTAAAATCTGCAGCCGATGAAGAGCTGCAGAGAGATAACAGTGCTGGAGAAGACATGGCATGAAGTTTATTTTATTTTATTTTTTGGAAGAGACATTGACTGTCCATGTAGAAGACATGTCATCTACTCCGTACTCCGGTATAAGGCCCTCCATCATCATCGGATATCGCGCCAAAGCTCTGTCCGCGAAAATCGCACTGTGAAAATCACCAGCGATCGCTCCCGGGAGCTCTCAAGTTCTCACTAGGGTCGCGTTGCAGATCTAAACCTCGCCAGGGCCAATCAAATGTCGTGTTGCAAAGTTTACGCGCCCACTCTGGAATCTGACCTCTCATCCCATTTGCTTCTGCTGGAGGTGGCGCTACCATTGATCGTCCGGACTATCACCATCGTGCATACAAGTGGCCCCAACTGACCATTCTGCTGGGTTGGAAACTCTTAATGGAGGAGAAAAACCTAATATGCTCCGGGAGGCCCGTTACACTGAGTCTCCCCACTCGCTAAATCGATCCATTCTGGATATGCTGCAGGATAAGTGTGCCACAGCATGCAGAAGCAGCCTGGGAAGCACACTCAAACCGCATCTATTTGCGCCCCTCCGATGCAACCATTGACTTTCCGCTTTTAATAGCACGAAATGAATGGAGGCTTGGGCTGGATAATAGAAGCAACTGCGTAAACGAACGTAGGGATTGGCAGGCACTGAGGTGATGGCAATTTGGTTTTTCGATTACGATCTACATTCCAAAGGCAACTGCCATAGATCTGGTTCGGTGGCTCGAGGCACAATCCCTTGCGTTGGCCCCTCATTCCTCCTTGCTTGTCACTGGATCCTCCAGCCCAGCAGTGACATTTCACTCCCAAGATGCATGATGATGCAGCCCTGCCGTCCGGCCACAGTGTGCTGACTCCTCCAGTGTCCTTGAGCTTATCGCTCTTCACCGACTGCGGCTATGAGATGAATCCTTTTGTTTAGCAGGGACCCCACCGAGCGTTTAGATTTAATGACCTGTTGGTTGTCAGACCTTATGACTGAGTGAATGGTTATCACCTCATAATCTAACCTTCCCAACTACTCTCGCTCTTTTACTTTGGCACCCATGGCATACTCTCCTTTACCTTCGCTTGACAGCTGAGACCATAATTATCATAGCGGAGTGAGCCACGCTACATCAGGCAGTATGGGCGATACGTCACCCACTCCTCATGCTCTTCTTGTGGAGGCGCTGATATTTTGGAACATTGGGCTTGTCCTTTATGGTGGTCGAATGTTTGTCTATTGATTTTCACGGAGATCTGGCCCTACAAGTATGCTGAACATGAGACAGGATCTCGCGCATGATTGCGAATGGGGGAATTAAGCGGTTATTCTGTAAGACCCTCCATCCGTATGATCCTTATGACCAGTGGCTAACGTCGGATATTGTTCTTCAGGGGACGATTATGTTATGTCCGCAACATTTGTGAGATGCATCTCTTGCGGCAAATGATCTTGTTGCGCATTTACTGATATACTTTCTTTCAACTAGTGCATATACACGGCCATGCTAGTATTGATCCAAATATCTTCGCGTTATGCAACAAATCTTATGGACCCGAAGGACTACAAGGAAGTTCTCGCTGATCCGAAGCAAGTCAGCGACAGAATCTATGGCAGTCAAATCGTCATCGGTCTCGAACAATGCATGCTTTTCTCGACTTGGGGTGTGAAGACATGCATGTTGATACTCTATTGGAGAATTACGTTGAATTTGCGCTCCAACCTTTACATCAAGATACTCGCTGCATACGTGGTTTTGGGATTTGTCGTTATCATGGTCACCTACTACGCTGTCTATTGTCGACCATTTCAACAGTACTGGGCGATGCCGGTGGACAATATGCAGTGCGCCACGTACCAGCATTACTCCATTACGCAAGCAGTGTTCAACATCTCCTCGGACGCAGTTCTTTTTGCGATCCCGATTCCACTTATTATCAAGGCTCAGCTCAAGCGTACGCGCAAGTTTCTACTCATCGGAGTCATGAGCCTGGGTCTATTCACCATCATCGCCGCGATCCTCAACAAATACTTCAATTTCGCCTCCCCCCTCACAACAACATACCAAATTTGGTACATCCGGGAAGCCAGTACCGCTATATATGTCGCCAATCTGATGTGCTGGTGGCCCCTCCTTCGCAAACTACTTGGACTCAAAGCATTTTCCTACAACAGCAAAAACCGAGGCAGACCGGGACAAGGTGCCGACCAAAACAAAGATTCTGGGAACTCCCAAGGCTCACGATCACGACCATCCTTCTCGCTCCCATGCAAAATGAGTTTCATGCGACCGAATTTCTACAAAAATGGCAACCACCCTCCTCTGCCAAAGAACGGAGACGCACACCGATCGAGTCAAGAAGCGATTACTCAAGCTTCAAGCGATTTTATGGACGAAACTAATCGGACAGACTCCTATCCACTTGACGCGTGGGAAAGGAAAGGCAGCCATGGAGACATTGAGAATCCTAGGCCTCCTACTCGAGATTCAATTGCGGCATATGAGAACGCAAACCCGAACGGTCCCAAGCCCAGAATGAGACTCGATGTCTAAGTCTCAAATGGTTGATAATAAATTTAAAAGACGGGTGTTCCTTTTGCTCGTTCAATTGTTCTTGCATGTAATTAATTCAGCGTCTGGCGCTGGGGACTTGATTCTCTTTTTTCTGTATAATAACTCGGAGTTATTGTTCTGCCTCGGAGATGCCTCCTGGGGTTACGTTTGGGTATATGCACTGCAAGATACTGCGGAAACATGCGCAAGGTCTGGGTTCAATATACTTCAATACTTTTCCTGTCGATGCTACCATATTCCCACAATACTATAATATTCTTGTTATGTTTGAGGCTCTGATATAGTTGAGTGGCGAGATCGGAGATTCGGAGATAGGCGGTTAATTCGGCAGCTTCACCGACATCGCGCTGGAGTTGAGTGTGGGGGTGGCCAACGATGGTGTCAACGCGGATATTTTTCCAGTCATTTCTTATCACGTCATTTGATTTCTCAACCGTTACAACCTCCGTCTTACGCTACCACTACCGGGGAATTCATGCGCCAAGGAGAAGTTCAAGTTTTCTTTCAGTGATCTTTGTATATCCTCAAGCGCGTTTGTCCGACCTCAAAACGGTCGCGTGCCCACCTTCTACCGAATGGGGGCACATTCTCCCCACTCGCGCCAGTCCTTGGATGGGATCGAGACCAGCATTGGTCTGCCAAGTCATGAACTCAACTCCCCACAGATTGATGCCTCTAGCGAGGACGAAAACGACAGTATAGACACTGCGATAAATGATGGCCGTTCGCCACCACAAGCCCCGGACATTGCTCCGCTCATGACGGGTCATCGCCGGTTTCCTTCAGCGGACGATGATATCCACGCCAGTGATAACGAGACTGAGAATGATCATGTCGAAGTTGAAGCCGAGAAGCCGGTGACATGGAGTTCTTTGCCAAAGAAAGGGCAGCTAGCAATTCTCACCTTTGCACGATTGTCCGAACCCCTCACCCAGACCTCGCTGCAGGCCTATATGTTTTATCAACTTAAATCATTTGACCCTTCTTTGCCTGATTCAGCCATCTCTGCGCAGGCGGGTGTCCTGCAGGGAAGCTTTACTGCAGCGCAATTCCTAACAGCGGTCTTTTGGGGCCGACTGGCAGATGCTCCATGGATGGGTCGGAAAAGAGTACTCCTCATCGGCTTGTTGGGAACAAGCATCTCCTGCGTCGGTTTTGGCTTCTCTCGGTCTTTCATGGCTGCCGCAATTTTTAGAACACTCGGTGGCGTACTGAACAGTAATGTCGGGGTAATGAGGACATTGATTGCCGAAATTATCGCTGAGAAAAAGTTAGTTCATCGGTACCCCAGAAAGTTGATTGTAGCCTGCTAATACATCTAGGTTCCAATCACGAGCATTCTTATTACTCCCGATGTGCTTCAACATTGGCGTCATTATTGGTCCAATATTAGGAGGATCACTCGCAGATCCGGTCAACAGCTTCCCATCATTGTTTGGCCCTGGATCGGCTTTGGGTGGTCAAGACGGAGTATGGTGGATGCAAAGATGGCCATATGCACTTCCAAACGTGCTAAGCGCGATTTTCATCTTCATGTCAGTAATTGCCGTCTTTCTCGGCCTTGATGAGGTGAGTTTTCCCTGTACAAATTTCTATACTATACATGATAAAATGGGCATACTGATGGTTTTTAGACCCACGAGACAGCTCGCTATAGAAGTGACTGGGGCCGAAAGTTAGGGAAGAGAATCACTCGTGCATTCACCAGAACCCCTCAACACTATAGGCCATTGACACGCGCAAATGACGACGACTCTTTGTACCTGGAAGGCAGCGTGGGCCCTTGGTCAGCGCCATCAAGTCCAATTCGCTCCCGCGCACCTCCACTCCCCCGTCCACACAAGCGTCCTGGGCTCAGACAAATATTTACTCGCAATATCATGATTACGTTACTGGCGCACTTCCTGCTCGCCTTCCACACCAGTGCCTTCAATGCTATGACGTTCACTTTCCTACCGACACCCCGGGCCTCTGAATCTTCCCGACAAGGCTGGTTCCACTTTGGTGGAGGCCTTGGCTTGCCTTCTGCACGCGTCGGTCTTGCGACAGCCATTATCGGTTTCATTGGTCTCCCGTTGCAAATTCTTGTATACCCCCGTGTTCAGGCAAAGCTGGGAACACTTGCCTCGTTCCGCATGTTCCTGCCCTTTTCGCCAATTTCCTACCTTCTCATGCCTTTCCTCGTCATTCTTCCTCGCATCCCATGGATTGTGTGGCCCTCCTTCACTCTGGTAGTGTCGTTGCAGGTCATTTCCCGCACATTTGCTCTACCAGCAGCCATTATTCTGGTCAACAATTGTGTTACAGATCCTTCAATCTTGGGAACGGTCCATGGTATTGCACAGAGTATTTCTAGCGGGGCTCGCACATTGGGACCCCTGCTTGGTGGTTGGGGTCTTGGCCTGGGTCTTGCAAATAACATGGTAGGCGCAGTCTGGTGGGCTTTGGCTGTTGAATCTTTGATTGGATGGTTCGTGCTCTGGTCGGTGCACGAAGGTCAAGGAATACAGCCCGTTAAAAAGGCAGTGGGTGAGGAGGATGATTCTTGATTCTCTTTTTACTTTTCTGCTTGGCAGCATACACTGCCGCAGACTTCGTGTCCTCGATAGAGCGTTAGACCAGGTATATAAAACACATGTTTCTTCTAATGCGCCTCGTATCTACCGATGTAGATAGAAGCACCTACTTTTCTTGGCCCACAATTCTTGATATCTCATATGTAATATGACTAGTCATTACTGGTACTGCTAGTATAATCATGTCTAGATCTGGTACTAATAGTAGTATTCGAACATTATCGCCATTGTTTGGAAGGCTCTTTTACAGTAAGCTCTGGATCGCATCCCCTCGGCACCCCTTAAAGTCTATATCTAAAGCTGGGTGCCTTGTCACCCATTTCAACCAATTGCTCAGAAGTGTACTGATAAACACTGTCCGCTTCCGCCTCCCTCTTGGCATTCACCCTCCGACAAATCAGATAATACAAGACCATTGTAGCCAAGCCAATGGCAGCAAATACAAGGACTAATATGTGGCCAAGCCGATATCTTGGGGCATCTTCGGCACGATAGAAATTGGAAGCAGCAGCTCCACCCATGGTTCCAAAGCCCATCTGAATAGCCATTCCAATGGCTCTCTTTGCATTCGGCGCCCAATTGTTTGAAGAGAGCGCGAGAAGACCAGGTATAGCTATAAAATTCGTTAGCTTAGTCACCAGAGCGCGATGGGGAATTTCAATTTACCAGGGTAGATTCCACAAGCGGCAATAAAACACCCGGCGTAAGTCAAACCAGGCATAAATGTCGGGGGCGCTACAGCAATGATATACCCAACGACAATTGCGCCATAACATAAAACAGTAAAGAGACTGCGCTGACCGGTTTTGTCGGCAAGGTATCCGATCAGAATACATGAAACCGTGGCTGCTGCATAAACCGGTATGGTGAGGAGTTGAGCGATGGCTGCCGAGTATCCAAGACCTTTGATGATGGCGGGAAGAAAGAGTGAGAGTGCGTAAACAGCGCATGCCTAGAATTATTAGCAGAGTACATTCCAGCGGAGTGAGTTTGACGTACAACTCCCCAGTAATTCAGGCAGTGAAAAAGTGTCTTTGAGATTATGGTCAGCATTTTATCTTCAACTGAAAACGAGTGATAGATCACACCTGCCAATCAGATAATGCGGCTTTGATATGCACCCATTTCGCAGATTGTTGACTTCCAAGTTGTGGGCTCATGGAAACCTCCGTCTGTATGGGGTTCAATGCCTTGAGAATCACATTTTTCTCCTCTTCCGTAAGAAAGGTCGCAGTCGCCGGCTCATCCCAGACTAATAGGTAAGAGAATGAAGCAGCCACAACTGTAAGAATTCCCTCTAATATGAAACTGTACATTGTCAGTCACATACCAGTTTTCCAAGAAACGGGCAAACAAATGATCATACATCCACCGCCACCCTTCAAGTCCACCTATTCCATCCATCTTGCTAATGAGATATGCCAACAGGCCAGAGAAAGCACCTGCCATTGATGCAGAAGCAAATATAAGGGAAAGTCTGAATTGCGCATTTGCACCAGGATACCTATTTTGTTTAGTATGAGTAAATTTCGAATTCACTAGAACGATAATCATCATACCATAGTGAGATGTAGAAAGCGAGTCCCGGGACTAATTAACATAGTATATGGTTAACTTGAAATCTTCAGGTACCGAGTTAGGGTGGGAATTCATACATAGCCCAGCTTCAGTAAGTCCTGTATTGGCGTAACAGTTAGTTCAGATCCAAGTGCCTCACAGAATACCAAATCACCTACCAAGAAAGAATCTCGCAGCCAATAACCCCGAGTAGTTTTGAACAATTCCAGTCAATGTCATCACAATACCTGTCAAGCTCTTAGCTGCGTGGTTTTTATGAACGAGAGATTGGGTAAAAATACATACCCCAAGCCACCATGATCGACGGCAGCCAAATGCTCGGCTTCAGTCGGACCAGGAGTAAGTTACACAACGGCTCGGTGAATGAGTATGGGAAGAAAAATATTGTCAAACACCTATCGTCGAGTTTGTTAGAGTGTAATTGATGCAGGTGGTAGATAGGTTTCGCGAAGCACCCACCAGTTGTATTGTTGACCGACCAATCCAAGTGACTCAGACATCCCTTGAATATTCGCATTTCCGATGCTCCCTGTAGTCACAATGAAAATTTTATGAGTCAAATGGCCAAACTTGGCAGCGTCTAGGGTAATCTGCCTACCTCTATCCAAAAAGCTGAGCAGGTAAAGAGACGCCAGTATAGGAATAACACGATAGTCGACCTTTCGTAAAATCCTGTTGTACTCCCTATCGGATACTTCGACAAATGACTCATCGGGTATCTTTTGGACTGAGATCCCGTCCTTCGATTCAATATGTGCGGCGAGGCCGTCGTTATCGTGGGCCTTGGTTTCCATTGTCATTAATGGCGGTGAGCTTCGCTTGCGAGGGATGAAATTGATGAGAACGAAATCGAGGGGAAATCGGTTCGGAAAGCTGCATAGCAAGCGGTCGGCCAGGTTCCGAACAACTGCAGCCTCGGCTGTCTTTAGATTCAGAATTTCTGAGATCCCCGCAGATCGAAAGTTGAAATGCTGGGGAATACTTTGCCAAGAGTCGAGAATGCGGAGTTCTCTCCGCACTCCAGCTACGATCAGACTTGATCAAGTCTAGTCTGGTCCGACACCGGCGATCCTTTGCCCCGATGAATCAATAAAGCCTTCTTCGCATATTGAAAGTTAAGATAGGGGGCCTTGCAACTGTGGATTAACTATGGAAACACTGAGGCTATAGATGCTGGAAACCTGAGCCAAGAAGCTGATTCAATCCCCCAGAATCGTCTCATAGGCCTCCAGATTGACGAAGTCTTCCATCTTCTTTCCTTCTCTTGTATCTGAGTGATATCCTATAGATCTCTTCCAAACTGCTACCATGGTACGATCTCAGGCAGCAAGGCAGAATAATTATATAATCCCTTATCGCAGCACAATTCCGGGGTTCTTATCGATGACGTGAGGGGTTCTTGCGTTGGGCTCCAGCGATGAGTTGAACGAAACAAACATAAAAGAGATATCGTCAACAGCAACCCGAATATCAAAGAAACCGATACTCGTGTTCCATCAATCAAAATGTCAGACCCAATCCCATCCGCAACCGAAGCAGCAGACCAACCTCCCCTCCCCGCAAACGCCGAAGACCGCAAAGCCGCCGCTGCTCTCTCCTCCCTCAACACAACAGAGCTAGCCTCCTCCAACGGGAGTCCGGCAAAGGGTCGCTCAAATGCCGAGCAAGAGGCGCTCGACAAAGCGATGAGTCGGCTTGAGATTGCCGCGGGGCAGGGAGGTGCGCCGAAGAAATCATCTCAGCCGTTGAAGGAGGCCGAGGTTAAGAAGACGGTTAAGATTGTAGCCGCTGATGTTTCTTTTTTGGTACGTGTATTAAAAAAAGAAAAAGGAAAAAACAAAGAGATGATATGTGGGGAGAGCTCTGTCTAGTTGATAATTAGCTGACTTGTTGTTTTCTCCTGCAGGCTGAACAGCTAGACGTACATAAATCCAAGGCGACGGAATTGCTTCGCGCTCAAGAGGGTGATGTAACTCGTGCCATGAAGGCATTCATTACGCCGTCGTTTTGAGCATGATGTGATGGTTGCTACGCTCATTATCTACTTGTTTTGCTTATTGTTAGGGTACTTTTCAGACCTTGGGCAACAATAGGTCACCATTGCGGTAGAAGTTTCCAAGAAATGAGAAATCGAAGTCCAGCCACTCGGTGTCATAAGATAGACATCTCTGTAATTGATTGATATTGAAATAATTCGAGGCAGAATAAAGCAAGGCCTCAAGGCACGCCGATCCCATCCAGAATCCTATAACCTATCCCCCATACCCCAATCCACCGAAGAAAACTCCAGAAGTCCCCATATGTACAATGGACGACAGAATGTATTAAATTCAGACAAAAAAGTTCAAGGTAAGACGAAAAAGAAACAAGCATAATATGATCACCGCTTCAAAGGACTGCCAACGGCAGGACGGTAGAACGTACTCTTCCTCCGAGCAGCCTCCATCCGAGCGCGCTGTTGCTGTCTCGCGTCCTCTTCAGATTCCTGCTCCAGACTGAATGAAGGCACTGAAACAGGGAACAAGCCCTTGTTGCTCTGTTTGGGTGGGCAAGACTGCTGAACCAGCTGGTTTCGGTTGGAGAGGAAGTATGGTGTAGCGGGCGACATGCCGATAGCATCGAGGTTGGCAAAGTTGTAGCCAGGTGTTTGTGGGAAGGTATACTGGTCCGAGGAGGATTGATGAGTGGGGGTCGATGGAACATCCTTTTGCGGCGACGGGGGCGTAATCTTGCGGAATCCATCCATTGCGCCGCGGTCGGCTCCGCACCGACGGCCGCTTGCTGAGGGAGATGAAGCTTCTGAAACCTGAACAATGGTTCCGTTGACATTGCTCAGAGCGCGCGGTTCCATACTCTTGCGACGCTTTGCGCCTCCGCGGGGGATGATCGAGCTATCAACTGAGTAGGGGGGCTTCGTCAAGCCACTTGTTTTCTCTCTCGCAACTGGGACACTGTTAGTTCGGGTTCGAACTTGATCTGATGGAGGAAACTTACTCAAGAACCCAGCCAACACCAACACACTTCACCAGGCCCGATGCCTGCTTGACCTTCTCGAGGGTACGGAGGCCGCCATCCTTGTAGACGACATGGGTTATGCCAACGCGTGCATCCTTGGGATCAGCTCCGTCGACAGGAGACAGACTTGATCGGCCATTCCAGGACCAGGACATCACACACCGGGCGCCCATCTGCTGCAATAGCTCGACAAATATTCCAGATGCATCTTCGCCTTCGGTAGTGTGCACATCAACGTGTACAACAGCACCCTTGAGCGCTTGGCTAGTAGGCTTAGACTTGCGCGGGGACTTGGAAGGACTGCGAGCAACAGATTGTGATTTAGAAGCCTCCGATGAGCGCCTGGGGGCGCTGCAACGACGCTTCGGGCTTGGGCTTCTGTCGACTCGTGGCGACTTCCGGGTGGGAGAAAGAGTCGGGACACTGTCCACGAAAGGCCTGAATGCCGGCTTGCGGACACGGGTCGATGAACGGGTAGGCGATGCGCCGGAGAGCGAGTGACCGCGTTTGCGAGGAATCTTCAACGGAGATATTTCACCCTCCCCCTTCAAGGGGACCTTGGAGATGGTGTGGACAGTACGTTGCTCAGGGATAGCTCTGATCGGTGTTGCGGGGATGATAATTGTGTCGCTGTTCTCCTTTTCTTCATCGGAAGGCATGCCTTCTTCTTGGTGATCGATCGGCTCAGGTGTGGACGAAACTTGGCGGGCACGAATTTCTTCGTGTTCTTGCTCCAAAGCAGTATGATCACTGTCTTCGAAGATCTTGTTCTTCGATGGCGAATCCATGATCTCTGAATATTCAGTGGCGGCGGGGGACTTTTCGATTGCCACGGACACCGGTGACCTGGAACCGTCATCGGTCCGCTCCTGAAGTGGCAACTCCGCAAACAAAGACGGTGTGTTTGCAAGAGGAGTGCGTGAAAGGTCAGGGTATGATACATGGTCTGCCTCTGGGGTACTAGGCTCAACTGCTTTCTCCAGAGGACCAACAAGTGAGAAAACTCCTCGTCGGCGCGGTCTTTCAGGGCGATCCTGCGATGGGGTGTTTGTTTCCCAGTGCCCAAATTGTTGCGCCAGTGGAGTGAAGCCCAGATCAAGATTAAAGTTAGACTTCCGGCGGGCCGCGAAAATGGGCGTATCGGCAGCGGTGGGGACTGCCGGCGTAGGAAAATCGGTCTGGGTAGTTTCGAGAAGACTTTCCTCCACATCGTCCATGCGTGGCTCCAGATTGATATTATAGAGTTGGCCTCTGGACTTGGCGCTATCTTGCACGGAAACAGGTGTCGCATGACTGGCTGGGGGTGTAGGAGCTGGTGGGGGGATAGAGGGCATGCGCGCAAAGGGGTGAGTTCTCTGCTCGCTTTCATCCAGTTCATCTGGTAAACCAGCATTAAACATAATCTCCAACGTGGCCTCAGCGGGCACGACCATTGCCTCGTCATTCTCCATCTCCTCAGATTCGTAATCTTCATCCGACTGCTGAAGGCAGTGAACACTGTCTTGATTTTCATTGTCGTAATTGTTCTCTTGGTCACTGTCCGATTCGAGACTTGCTTGGAGTCGTTCAAGAGTGTCAAAGTTGAGCGAACGCTCGGAGTGCAACATTTCAAGATGCTCTTTGTTCGGACTCCGGGCCTCCTGTGGGGTAGGAGGTTGCAAGACTGGAGCTGCGAAATTCTCATCCGCATCTTCGACTTCAGTGACCGACGGAATGTCTTCGTCCTGGTCATCCACCTCCGAGGCATACTCTTGAATAGAAGCAGAATCCTCCAGAATCAGATCGTCTTCGACCACGGCCGATTGCTCGAAGGCCTTGAACGGTGCTTGTAAGGATTCCATGGTATTGAAGCAAATAGTACCAAAGTCTTCTGGTTCGTTCTGGATTTCCTGCTGTAACACCTCGAGCTCGTCGTGGATTTCTGTATCTGAAGCATTTTGTCTAAAGGTTTTTCCAGTGACGCTATGAGCGGCAGTATCGTGCGCTTCGGTCATTTCCACTCCAGGAGTTGGGGCTGGCTCGTAGATGTCTGCATCTGAAGCATTTCCCATGTCCAAATTTTCGGCGTCGCTGTCTTCAGCCCTGTCGCCCACCTCCATGGTTTCGACTCCAGGAACCGAAGTGGGGTCGCGCATCAAAACAGGCTCTGATTCACAGTGTTGTGTCACAGCATCCATCTCGAAGGGCCCATCATTGCCAACGTCGGCTTGCTCGATTTCCATTTCAGCGTCAAATTCGACGTTAGATGATCCCTTCAATAAGGGCGACTCAGACATGGGTCGGTAAGACTGTAGCTCAATTCCAAAAATGTCACGAGCAACTTCTTCCACCATATCGATATCATGGTCTCTTTGGCTCTCTGCCGAATGAGGCATGATGGGAGATTGCTTAGGAAGAGAAGTGGGTGTTGTGCTGATTTCGTCTTCTGGGGAAGCTTGCTCCGTCACCGAAGATTTGGGTGCGAATAGCGAGCTTTTGAAAGGTGATGCTCCCTTCTTAGCAGGGCTCAGGAACAACGACGTTCGGGCAGGGAATGCGGGAGTCGAGGTCGAGTTCTTTTCTGGAGAGTGCATGAAAGAAGCCCCCAGTTGGCCTTTCCGGGGTGACATCTTCAACGGGGAGGCTTGGGCTGGTGTGAAGTTTGGCGCGGAAATGGACTGGGAGAGACGATTCTTGGTAGAATCTGCGTGGCTGAACTTGAATGGAGAGATCTCCGGTCGTCTGGCGGGACTTGACATGAACATTGATTCGCTGAAGTCGATATTCCTTCCGGGTGGAAGCACCAAATGATCGTCATCCCCGTTGGCGTTTTGGCTGCGCTTGGGAGTGAAATTGATTTTGCGGACTGGAGAGCCGAGACCAGTAGATCCATGTTTGGGGGTAGAAGCCTTGGGTTCACCATTCTCATCGATCATACTGGAAGCCTTCTTAGGGGTGAAGTTGATCTTGCGGACGGGAGATGCAAGGCTTGGATTCTCGGCCGCATCCTTCATGGGCGAGTGAACAAGCAACCTGACAGGGCTGTTGACATCATCTTTGGTCGCAGCGAGCTCATCATCTTCGCCGTCGGAGCTGGCATATGCAGACAAGGATTTTGCCATCTGCTTGGCCTTTTTAGGGGAAAGAGGTTGCGCAACATCCTTCTTAGCAGGTTTCCGTCCACGGGTGGCTCCCGCCTTGCGGACAGGAGTACCTCCTAGGCCAGCCTTCCCTGTTGATTTCATAGCAGTCTTATTGGTAGTAGGGGCAGTTGCTGCGATCTCATCATCATCTTCTGATCCCGACTCCATCATCTCTTGGAAAGTGACCGTCTTCTTTTTTGCCGGACCACGCAGGATGTTAGACCGCATGGTGGTCGAGTTTGTCGCAATCACGATGTGCTTCGGCTCGGAGGTATCGCTTGATGGCTCTGGTTCGGGAACTGTGCGTAGGTTCTTCCGTCTTGTTGTTGATGTCGTCGTGGTAGGTTGAGTTGTCTTGTTTGTCGAGCCCTTCGGTCGTCCCCGAGCCTTCGGCGCATTCGTGGCAGGGGCTTCGACAGGGGCCGGTGCTTTCTTCGGCCGTCCAACGCGCTTTTTGGGTTCATTCCTGGCGGTCGGCTCTTCTTCAGTCTCAACCTGGGTTTCCTTCACCGGCGCAATCTTTCTACCACGAGCTGTTGAGGATGTGGTGGCCTTAGTCGCTGTATGGGCAGCAGGCTTTGCGCGAACCCTTGGCTTTTCTGGTTGCTTCGTCAATACGTCAAGCTCATCGTCGGTGTCATCGGAGTCGTAATTGGCGGGCGCCGCCTTGGCGGTTGTTTTCTTCCTGGCGTCCGCAGAAGCCTTGGCTCTCGCTGCAGAGGCGGCAGTGGTCTTCATAGCAGCTCGGGGTACAGTGCGGGACCCCCGTTTGGCGGGGGATTTGGGCAAGACAGCTGCGCGAGCCATGGCGGCGGGCAGGGCTGTGGGTTGTGTTGTTGATAATAGCGTTTGGATTGTTGTTGTTGTTGGTTGTCGTTTAAGAATTTGAAGGGCACGGGGGGGGCTCATGGCGGGGCTGAGCGGGTTGTGGTCGGTGTGTCGTTGAATGTCGTGGATGATGTGATGTGATACATTCAAGTTCAACGCGAATTGGAAGGAGCTGCAGAGTGGAGTGCGTTTGCTTTGTTTGGGCGCCCCTTCCTAAACGGGCTACCCTCTTTGTTTCTATGGCAACTGTCACGTGTTGCTGATTTGCGCCTCGGCAGATCCTCGGATCATCTTGAACTTCTTATTCACGATAGAGCATTCTCACAAAATACAGTATTTTTCTTCCATGAATCTAAGGTTATTACCGTTTTAAAATTCACTATCATTTTGCAATCAGGCTCCAGGCTCTTGCAAGCCTGCTCAGGTCACGGTGGACTCGGAGCTTGGTTCAAGTTCGGGTCACGGGAGTCAATGGATATATATACTACGTGCTTGGGTAGATACTAGGTACTACCAGAAATAGTAGTATAGTTCAAGTTTCAAACTTCAAGTGGAAAGCCTAGAACCTTGGAAGGTTCAAGTTCAACTTGAACCCAACTTGAATTCTCAAGATCGCATGATCTTTACCTGGGTAGCTACTATTCGCAGGGTTTTCAAATTCGATGCCAGGCGGGCTAGACAACCTTCAAGTTGGAAGTAGCCGAGGGCGGAACATGAAATGAAAAGGAACTTGAACTTGAAGACGATATTCGCCACTGGATATCTACTACCTAGTAGGGAATAGGTAATAAGTTCAAATTGTAACGCCTTTTTGAACCCTTTGCTTCCATTTTCCAATTCTTCCCTCGATCGCGTCTATCTGTTCCATTTGGAAGCCCGAAGAACCCTGGAAATTTCCTCTCAATAGTCTTATTCTCCAGTGTACACAAGCATCGATACTGTTAACGGTACAACTCATGCAGGGACGGTCCATGGGGTTTTTTCCTCCAGGGCTTTCTCGGGCCTGATATTGTCATATACTTTAGAGTAAAATTGCGCTTGAAAGTATGTCATTATTTTCAAGTCCTTCATGCCGAAGAGTTTTAACTTGGGTTCCAATTACGTTCAAGCTAGACCCCGGGCGCCCTGTGGACGGAATTGAATGTTAACTTCATCCTAACTATTCAGGGTACTGATTTTATGACTAGGCAGGATAACTCATAGTGTACTCCAGGGCTCTTTTTATCTCTAATATCGACTATCTACAGTACTAGGCCTGACATACCAGAGCCTACTCTGGCCCTGCTTAAGGATCTTCGAAACTTATTCAAAAATACAATACAAAACCCGTGCTCCAAATTCGCACAGCGAACGAATATAAAACAGATAAATAAATATTAAATCCAATTGAATGTGCCCAGATGACGCCATCATTATCAAGTATAACCGAAGTTCATTATGTACGAATTCTTTAAATCTAAGCCAGACTGAAGAGAGCCACACCAGCCGCAACAGCAGCAGAGAGCACGGAAGGAACAATAGCAGCAATGGCAGCGCTATCAGCGTCCTTGATAATGACACTTGGCTCAAAGACTCCGGGGTCCCTCGAGTCAATGGTGCCGTTCCAGCAGTAGTTCTTGAAGCACTGGGTGCAGACATCAGGGAGGGTATCACCAGTACGCTCGAAAGAGCGGCTTAGGATGGCACAGCCGACACAGGTAGTCCAGTTGCCATCACGAGTGCCGTTAGCCATGGTTGCAACTTCGTATCCGTTGTTGATGATGTCATTACGGACGTCGTTATCGCGGCTCAGGGTGAAGGTTGTCTCGTTAGAGAGAGTGGTGTATGGGGTGTTGGGGATGTAGACAACCAGCGGGGTAGGGCCGGTTGTGTTGGAGCTATTGCAACCGAAGAAGGTAGGTCGGGTGTTCAGGCCCAGGTTCACGAATGTGTTCTGGTCCGGCACGGCAGGGAAGGAAGTGCCGTTGCCGATGCCGGTGCTGTTAAGGCTGCGCTCATAAGTGGCAACCATGGCGGTACCGTTGGGCCAGCTGTAGGTGGTGTCGGCGGAGGAGTCGACAGCGAAGATAACATCGACGTGACGCTCGGGCTGGATCAGCGGGTGCAGGGGGATGTTTTGCAGATCCTCACCACCATCAACGACATCCAGAGCGGTTTGCTGGGCATATGGGGAAGAGTGGTTGTTGTAGTGATAGAATGGGTTGGGATCGTAGGAAGCGATATCATCATCAGCCTTGTCCAGCTTGTTAAGAATGTCGTTGAAAATATTCTTCACAAAGGACGGGAGAGAGGTGGTGTTGAGTTGGAGCAGGAACTGGTTGAAAAGAGTGGAGGAGGTTCCAATAATGAAACCAGCATTGTCATAACCCCCAACGCAGCTCTCGTTGCTAGGAAGAGAGCCACCGACAAAACGCGAGCCCAGGTTGTCAAGGGGAACGAAGCCGAAGATGGTCGGATCAAAGGTGCCGAACTCCCAAGGGTTGAATTCGTAGACAGTTGAGTTGCTGCCAACAACCAGCTCACCAGGGTTACGGCCATCAGCCACGACAAGGGGCATGGGGTAGCTGCCATCCTGGAACTCCGAGGTTTTCGCAATGGAGGACCAGGTGTAGTCGATGCCGCCGTTGCTGGCATTGAACATTTGATAGGCGAGAGCACGGCCCCTAAGTTTCATTAGCAAATATCCTCAGAGATGCTTGGGGGTATAATTTACCAAATGTCAGTGAGCGAAGTGTCAAATCCGGCCTTTTTCTTGCCCTCGACAGCTTCAGCAATGTCCTTGTAGTAACTGGCCGAATCCAGGAGCTGGATACCGCCGGTATCAGGACCCTCGAGAATAGAGTTATCGAACTGCCAAACGGAACTATTCTGCAGCTGATCAATGGTGGTGAAGTTGTTAATGTAGATAGAGCCCAGCAGCCAGCTACCACCGCTGAGACCAGCAACATAAGTAGAAGATTGAAGTAGACCACCAAGGTGACCATCGGTGGTAGCATTGTAAGTTCGGCTATCGAATGCCTTGATGGCACCAGCGCCGTTCATCAGCGCACGGTAACCACCACCAGACACGGCGATACCAATATTGGGAATATTTGAGGAATTGCTTTTGTGCTTGTTCAGCCAAGAAGTAACATCATAATCGCCGACCTTCACGTGGCCGAAGAAATCTGTCATAGCAGAAAGGGACTTGTCGCGACGGGTCTTGAGCCAGTCGGTCTCATTGGAGGAGAGCTTCGCGGCGCTGCGCACTGTTGGACGAGTTCCAGGGCAGCTAACTTTGGTCGGGGTGTAGCCATCGGGTGCATCGGGAAGTGCTCGGCCGAATACAGGGACGACATTTGCGGGCTCAAAGCCCGGGGGAGCTGCAATCGCGGCTGGAGAAGGCAATGGCTGTTAGCGGGGTCTGAATTGAGGAATGCTTTTTGGACTTTAACCCGAGGTGAGGTGAGGTGCTTATCACTGCGACCGCTGGGCGATGGGGGGGGGGTGGGACATACCGGGCAACGAGCCCAGGGCTAGAGACGCGATAAGGGCACCGGATTTCATGGTGAATGTGTTGTCGCGATGTCAACTCATTCAAATTCTCTTCGACGCGAGCAGCCAGAGAGAATACCTGGATCTGGGGAGAGAGAGAGAGCCGATCATCGCCAGGGGTGCCTCATAATATTTATGCGCCGGGGCCGCCGGAAGCTTGGCCAAGCCCGCACCGAAATTCAATGTGGTAGCTCACTCCTTCACTGTAGGCAGATTCAAAGAATCACTTCCGTCTCCATCGTACATTAGTGTTCCCGGGGACGACGAATGGTGGTGCAGCGAGTGGATGGTCGTCGTGTGGATCTGGTGATGTCAGGACGAACGAGCCCTTCCGAGCTCCACCAGGCGGTGCATAACTCCAAAACTAGATGAGGCCTGACCTGAGGATCTCGAGTCGTGTGGCGCAGGGCTGAGGTGAGCCAGTACGATGGATTGGCATACCAAAGCAGTATGAGTTTCGCAACCTTGGAAGGAGTATAACGCCCGAAGGAATCGTATGAGGTTGAATTTTGGACATCACGAGGGCATTCTTTGTACGTCATCACTCTGGCATTGCAGTCGCCCTCAATCTACAATGACTAATAAAGATATGGCTGTCGAATAGTCTATTCTAATTGATTCATCACATGAATTCATAAATATTTACACTAGTAATTATACTTCAAACGGTACTCTAATGCATCTGCCTACTCCGTACGGATTATAGATCCATGAAATCGCCCAGCCCGAACAAAAGAACAAGTCAAAACACAGGCATTCCACTAGTGTATCCCAGCATCCCTGAATAATCTTAACAAGCCACCCCCATTCGCCCCCAAATCCCCCCCTAGCCCGAGCCACTGAACCAAACCCTAGGACCCCCCTTCATTATGGGGCCAAATAATCCACCACGCTCCACCCTACTTGAACCATTGAAAATAATCTAAAACATCAATTCCCGGGCCTTCCGAACGGTCCTCCGAGTATCCGAACCTACTATACTAGCAGCCCTCATATTTAGGGAGTGTATTATTTGGCCCGACTGCAACCCCGCCAGGCAGCTATATTTTGTACCCGGACCTTTAGGCACAGACAAGAAGCAGCTCTGCGGCCAACCTGAGGAACGCAAGTAAGCAGACAGGCGTCCCAAGGTGTGTTTTACACCGCAAATTCGGGAGCTAACGGCCGGGGCTAGCGGCTTAGTCGATGGCAGGGTGGGTTTTCAGCTAAACAGGCAGAACAATAATAATAGACTCGTATTCGCGTTGAATTTTTTAGTTTCGGGGGAACACAGAGATCAAGTAAAATTTCCATCTGCGCTGATACTAGAGATTGAATAAGATCAAAATTAGAGGCAGGACGGGTGATGTTCAGGGCCCGTCGATCAGGGTTGGTTTCAGGTTGTGAAGAACTTTCATCGGCAGCCCGCGATCGGCGGTGGGGAAATTGGGTTCTCTTTGAATAGCCCCAGAACCCCCTCTGAGTACTAGGTAGAAGACGTTTAGAATGCTGTCCAAGAGCGATGAAGAAATAACTATGCACTAGATATCAAGGGAAATTAACACTAATAGTAACTCCGGAGGATGACTGATTCATGTGTCTGTATTTATCGTATAACATCATGATGTTAGACTCGTGAGCGAGCCACCCCGAGACACATGCTAGTAGTAGATGTGATAAATAGGTATTTCAACCTAATTATTCAATGAAAGTCAACTTGAATCATGACATGAGTCAAGAACTTGACTCGAAATATACCTAGATGTGAAATTATTGATTATGACAAACAACCTTCAAGTTGTTCCAAGTTGAAGATGGATATACCATGCAGCCAAAAAAGAGGCTACTAAGAAACTCCGGTCCTGGAGTGGAGATGATCTTATACGGGGATGGGCCATTGGCAAGGATTCCGCGTATTAACGTTGATACACAGACTGCGTTAAATTGTATGCTATTTTTTTTTTGAAGCTTGAGTATTCCTGATTACCATGGTCCATGCGAGAAAGCATTCCACACGGGACAGACAATGCGGAAATCACGCCCAGCCTCTCCGTTGGTATTTTTCTTAGGTCCGGTCTTCTTTTAGGTCCAATTTAGCCTACCTCGAGCAAAAGTTGTTAGCTTGTACTCGCTTTCCCGCGCCTCAGCCAAGTCGAGAATTTCAGAAAACCCCTCTTATGTGCTTGAGATGATTCAGACCCTTGAAGTCTGTAGGTGCTTGAATGTGAAGATGAAGTTGATTGCACTTGCGAAACAGCGGCTGCGGAAAGCAGTTGTAGGCTCTGCGGCTGACTTTTTGCCTGTACAGCCGTGAATGCCCGGTCCCATTCGGCGCACCGCTCGTCCTCGATCTTTCGCGCGGCAATCCCCTTGGCTCCTGGAAGTGTAGAGATACGGTCTGCCTCCTCACCGCGGCGAACAAGTTCCAGATACCGTAAATCGACAAGAGAGAAGGAGGTTACATTCACTGAGAAACAACAGTCAGAGAGGAAATCTGCAATATTGCAGTACAGTTGATATCTTACTTTGAGTTCGCTTCTTTCTCCTATCAACGTCAATTGCAAGAAAATAAATCAGCATGTCTTCATCTTCGCAGTCGTCATCATTATCTGTTAAATACTGATGATATTGTGAGAAAGCTTTGGTGTCAAAGAGGAAGGTGTCGTTCAGGATGACATTCGCGGGGGCGTTCTTCAGAATATGAAAGTTGAGAAAATAAGGTGAGCTGAATTCACCATCGCTGCCAAAACGCCATTTGACATTATAGGCCATACCGACCGTGTCTGTGGCCGTATTATCGGCAAACCTCAGCCTCGTTTGATGCTCATGTCCAGTTTGAATGTGCACCCCAATACTTCGTGCATAAGCCTCATCCATAAGTAATACCTTTGAGCCAGAATCAGCGAGAGCAGTCTGCACCTGGCCATTGATGGAACCCTCAAACATTGGAGTAGATGCACCGAGGTATAAAAGATGAAACTGCGAGAAACCTTTGGTAACTCTTTCTTTCACACGGCGAGAGAAGTTGGCGACGTTTGAGAACGTCTTCGTCAGTTTCAAAAATGGCTTCCCCACGATCACATTATGGATGCAGCTGGGGAGAAGCTGGAATTTAAGCCTGTGCACCTCATTTTCGCCGCGGAACCGGAATGGTACAGTTGCAGTCCCCACAGTCGTCGCTTGCTCCCCACTACCGATGGTGACTTTGCAGGAAGTATTCCGGCTTATCGGGAACCCCAAGCGAAGAGCATATGCTTCTTTCATGAAATTTTTCTTTGCCCCATAATCTCCAAGCGCATTGGTAGAATGTTCTGCGAGTTGACAAGGTATTTCGAAGATGCGATCATTGGAACGTGCACTTTCAAATTCCGATTCTTGCTTAACATCTGTTCCTCTCTTCTGATACGTCAATCTCGGGGTATTCGACGACCTCGATGAATGCAAAAATTCATAGTCTCTTACAATTTGCTCTTCTGGCAAAATGTCGGTTTCTTGCCGCATATTTTGCCCACAGACCAGGGCCTTGGTGGAGTAGAAGAGCTGTTGGAGAACGTCCGGGCGAGCTAACATTGCAAGATGGTGTTGAATCCTCCCAACCTCGGGACTGTGATCTGTATCCTGATTGCACCAATAACGCGAGACTCCAGCCCAGATTTCGCGGTCTTTCACATCAGTCTCTTCCACGGCCATGCGATATCGTGCTAAATCTCCCAGACACTCGATCCAAGTTTCACGGAATTCCGAGACAGTTTCAAACATTAATGTTAGCATCGAATAGGACAGATATATCAAGCTAAGCATATGATCCAAAGATTCCGGCAGATTGTGTCGTAATAACTCAAGGAATGAATGAATTGCATATCGCCACATGCGGGCGGGCATCGCGTATTTCCTCGCAAGGCGTTTGAGCATTTGGGTTGCTGATGGATGTTGCGAAGACAAGAAAAAATCGTGATGCTCATGTAAAAGTGTGCGATGTAAAGAGATCAAAGCTTGCCATTGCGACTCTGATATTTCGGCTTTTGATTGCGTCTGTTGCCTGTCGAGCTCGATACACTTTTTCTCCACCATAACTAGTCCGGAATAGATTCCTCGAACTTCGTTGATCAATAGCTCTTCTGTGATGTGATTGGGTTCTTGTTGAAGAAAAAAAAGCCTCGAATACCCATCCTGACCTGCCTTTATCGAGGAGGCCCTCGTTTCTGAATGAGCTGGATAGGTCGAAAGAGGAGTTGAATCGACTGTGGGTGGTTCTGACTCTGCTCTTTGAGCCCTCGTTTCTGAATGAGCTGCAGAGGTCAACATAGAGTTTGAATCGACAGTGGCTGGCTCTGAATCTGTTCTTTCATCATGAATCGACCTTTCGCAATATTCCCTATAGTATGTCAGAATATGAACGAAATACGACTTGCCTGGTTACGAATGACACACCGTGGAGGATCGTCCTCGTCGGCCACCATGCTAGTGGGGTCCTACCGTGATTTAGATATTCTGCGAGGATGAATTAGTTATTGGAGCTGGGGAAAATTGTATCTGAGACGTTGTGCGTAGGCTAGACGGAATGGAGGACTCGGATGCAATGCGAGTGAAGGATGGTTATAGTGTGTAGTAGTCGGTGAGACAACTATATGGAACAGAAGTCATAGATACGTGAGCTGGGCCCGCTGAGGACCGCGCAACTTGAACTCGTCAGGCAGCCTAGCACAGCCACGTTGGGCATCCATGGCTGCTGACCACTGGCTGCCTTCCGCAGGGCGTCTCCAGGGCCGATGGCCACACTGGTACGGGTTCAAAAGAGGAAGCTTTTGCTTGCAGATATCCACCTCGAAACATTATCTGTAATTAAGCAATTTTATGGCAGAAGCTCTAAACCTGGATGGTGCAGGGCTTGGGAATGCGCGCGACGGTTACCCTGCCCTCGCGGCTTGGATAGGACGAGACCCCGATGGCGAAACCCTGGTCTTCCGCAGGTTCAGGCAACTCAGCGCGCGCAATCTTCTTCACTTGCAGAGCCAGCTTATCCAACTGGAGCAAGAAATAGATGAGCTTGATAACGAAGCACGGAGGAGTAACGACCTCGACGCTCGTCAGGCATCGCGACGATGGGAGACACTCACAAAGCTTGCCGCTGATCCGGCAAGGCCAGAGAGGGAACGACTAGAGAAGGTGGCTGAGTTATCGACTAAAATCAAAGAATATGGTGCGTGTTTTACGCCGGCTGATACCTTTTGAACTAATTCTGGAACTCAGAAGAGGCACTGCTGCGACAATCTCGAATCGCCAGATTAAGTGGGCCTAGTGATCGCGTTCTTTTCACTTACCGCGATTATATCGAGGGGAACGCTTGGAAAGGCCCCTATCTTCCATCAGTCCCGATTATAAGTGGAAGAGCCAAGGATATGCTGAAAGAAGCGGACGATCTAGTCGCTCTGCGAAAGCCTCCCGATGAGGACATTCTCTCAAAACTTCTGCAAGATCACTGGGCTTTCCAGAGCCGCAAAACCATTGACCCACTCGATCGCACGACAGTCTACAAGGGTCAGTATATCGCACAGATAGTTGCCGGGATCAGTGTCCTATCTGCCGCAGTCCTGTTGGCTGTTGCCATTATCAGTCTTTACGTTATCAATGACGCGACTACGAAGTTGGGTTTGGTGGTCGCCTATACGTTGGTCTTTGCTCTCAGTATGGCGCTATTGACCAGTGCTAGGAGAGCAGAAATATATGGTGCTGCAGCCGCCTATGCTGCAGTGTTAGTTGTGTTCATTTCAGGAAACTTAGGGGGCAGTACCATCCTGAGCCGTCCATGATACTTAAAAATGAGAGCCTTTCCAAGGAAAAATTTAGCCGAGGAGACACGGTAGCGATTGAGGAGGATGCAGGGATTTCAGGTGAATCATGAATCGGATCATTTCGAGATGGCGTCCGCAACTTCTTGATTATCTACAGGACTAGCGGCTCTATGTTGGCGAACCACATTGTCACTTAGACCTCACAATCCTGTTCCACTACCCCTGGCGCTAAGTCCACCTGGGCACTACACTATATTAAGAGCAGATATAGGGAGTTAGCATGCCCTTGTTATCATCAGTATACGGGATTTCACCACAATTAATAGCACATGCCACCATCATGATGATTTGTTCAAGTTGTTATGTTTCTTTAGCCCAGGGAGTTTCGGGGATCGGCGGAAGCTGATCCCCAAGGCGTGCAATATTACCAACCTTGGAACCAATTAAGCCGGCTCACTAGCGCCTGCTTAGGTACTAGGTAGCAAAACTTGATAATATTACCTAGTAGCTCTTAGTTAGTAGGTACTTATGTTACTCCGCAGAGATAAAAACAAAAAAAGGTGTAGAATCATGAACCGTGCAAAATATCGCACTCATTTTAATACCTAGGCAAAAAAAAAAATGTATTTCTTACTAGTACAGCATATGCACAACCAGATATTTAGAGATTGAATCGCTTGTGCCTACTTATTCTATGCGAACCGGCCAATGTGGAGCGGAATCGAAGCAGGAATAGTACCCTACAAGTACCAATACTGCCAGTGCTTAGCCAGGTCACGCGACGCAAGGGAAAGCAGCCATAGTAGGCGACCCTTGATTCCAGAGACCATGAATTTAGAAATTAGTATTCAAGCGTTTCTGTAGATCCGCGATAGGAATGTTACTTAATAACCTGAAGACAAACTTCGCATCTTCGTATGTACCAATCCACTTTCAGATATTGCTTTAGCTTCAGCACATCGATAATTGAGAATATGATCTGATATTCATGATCAAATGAATGCTCAAAACCTCACCCACCTCGAAGCAAAATTCCTTCTCCGCAATGATATTGCCGTCTTCCAAAGTTTATCCTAGTCCTGTGCAAAGCATATTCGCGATTTGGATATGAAATTACATTCTGGATTATATAAGAAACTTTCAAGTCGTCGAGAGCTCTAGAGGATGGATGGTATTATTGAAAAGAAGCTAGTCGTCACTCTCTACTTACTACTAGTTTTTCTTCCTGTGCGTCAATACCCCGCCCAACCACGGAAGTTATCGCGATCCTTTGAGGCGCATAATGAGCCGGCATGTCACCTCAGTTGGGGAGGAAGTCGATCATTACTAACCTTTCCAAGACTTGCTGTCAGAAGAGGGTGATTTTTATGTCGATCTCTGGGACGCCTTGCAGGAAATTGCAGGTGCCAGTCTTATTGTCGTCCCTGAGAACATGCTATTTCAATGAGTCCGGATGAAAATGATCACCAATGAGGTCCCGAGGTCCAGCGCCCTTCTGTTTGGATATGTTCGGTGGATCTGGATAGTGGCTTCCAAGGTTAGTACTATGCCAGGCCCCACTGGCAGTGCCCAGATGGGCCAAAATATACTAGTAGTACTACCTAGGTACATGACTTGAAGTTGAAAGATCACTAACCTTGGAATAACCTCGGATCAAGTGGGTTCAACCTGTCAAAAGACTGAGCCCAAGGTTCTATGTCTGTTGCGGTAGTATCAAGATTTTACCCGCATAGTCATTGTAAAGCCCACCAGTAAACTCTGTGCTACGGAATTCTGAGGTTTGTACAGGGCCCAGACAAAAGAGACTGAAAGATAATGAATAATGCCGCAATCCAGCCTTGAAAAATAGGGTACCCAATATCTTCCTCCATAAATGATAAATTGAGGCTTATGTTCAGGCCTCCCAATACCCTTCCCCGCAAATTGGAGGCTCAGGGTCACGGTTTCACCTTGATCCCTGCAGGTACCCTTGTTAGACAGTAATCCATAGCCTCCTTCCTCACCTTTTCCCGCACCCCTCTACCTCTACCATACGAGAACTGAATACACTGCTTCCACACTGCTACGTGTACACTTTGTAGAACACTAAAAGTCCTAGTATCAAAGCGGTACCCTCAACCCTCAATTTAGGCGAGTGGGTATGGGGAGCCTTAATTCGAGGCTCGGGAAAGTTTAGGGTGCCCTCCCGTCCCATGCGGGGTTACCGCAGTTAGTGGAGCCTCAAACCCTGTAACTACATCAATCATGCCCGAGTGTGCTTACATGCATAGTCTCAATATTATTGGCGGATTTTAATAGGGGCACTGCAGGAATCTAGATAGTACCACATCGCCAAGAACCCAAGGCTTTTGTAGCTCTGTAACGGGGTCTAGCGGGCTGGTATACCAACCATGATATCAAAGATGGTAGTATCCCGAGTGGAGTGCATTATCCCCTTTCCTAAAATACACTTTGTATTCAATTGCGACGAGGAAATAACCACAAGAAATATCTTAGGCTACTTGAAGTTTGTTCAAGAATCGGCTTTTGTTACCGTTCATACTAGTCAAATCTGAATCCAGTCCGTTCAGTATATTTGATACCTTGCAGAGTCATTCTTTTTAGTCGTTACAAGTAGGGAGTCATTATTAACAACATTGATTTCATCAAAGTTTCCAGATCATAATATTCTTTTTACCGAAGAAGTTTTGTGTTTGTGAACCGTCCGTTTACCTCTGGTAGAGCAACGGCTACATTTAGGCGCCCCGTATCAGATCTAGCCTCATCGATCATTGGCCAAATCTACGAGGCTGAAAACTGCAGTAGCCACAGTCCAGATGCAAATCATTGTGCTAAAAAAAAGCAAAATCTTTCAACTGTTGACCTTTGGTAGAGTAATGGCCATATTTAGGCGCCCTGTATAAGATCCAGCCTCGTTGCTCATTGGCGAATTCTACGAGATGATTGAAAAGAACAGATGCTATTCACCGTATCTGGTACCTAGGTAGCTTGGTGATTCTTCCATTGAAGCGCAATATGATTGCTTGAAATTGCCGGTCCTCTGGTAGTACAGCTTTGTACTAGTCCTAGTGTCAGTGGTAGGCATATATAAACCATGGGCCTTTTCTCGTCGGATTCTACTTCATCAAACATTCAAGTTCAAGTTTCAAATTCTATTGTCAACCTTGGAATCTCCAAATTTCGATCTACATCTATTGTACAGCAGAGAACTTTGTTGAGTCCTCCGAGTCAACATCCCTCAAGATGATGTTCAACAGCTTCTCCTTGAGTACCATCGCGGTACTTCCCTTCCTTCTGGACGCGGTCGCTGCTCATCCTGAGCCTCAGCCTGAGTCTCTCGAGACCCGATCGCTAGATGCCAAAGTAAAGTGGCATAAAGATCACCACTGTGGAGGTGCCGGTGGTCCGAAACGCGACTATTCCGCCGTGCATGCTTGCCTCTGAGCCAATCTACCCTTTCTGTTGAGATCCTTGACCTCAGGGCTGGGTGCATACGTAAGTACCTCTTGCTCCTTTATCGAAGCTGCACACTCCTTTACTTAAATCCATGCCACAAGGCCGTTTCTGTGTTCCGTAGTACGAGAATCGCTCGCACAGCTCCACAAAAGCAACGGCATAGACAGACCAGGGGATAGGAGCTGATACACGACGCAAAGCTGCCGGACCGGTCAGTTCATCGGGATTTGGGCTTTCATCACCCAGTCCAAGGTGATAGGAGGGCGTAAGAAGCCCTTTCTCGGGGTAGGTCACCACGAAGCCTGGCTGAGGGAGGGTCTCTCGGTGGACCGGGAGATCGCCTTTGAGAGAGCCTCGCTCACGCCCAAACTCATCTAGCTCCATTTCGATGGTTAATTGACAAAGGAGAAAGAAAATAATGGGAGGGAAAAGGAGAATGAAAGAGATGAAGTGAAGAATTAGAGACGACAAAGGAGACCAAATAGTAGAGAGAGGAGTGATGAAGATGAAGAGTGGAACACGTGAAGTGAGAGAAGATGTGCAAAGAGGAAGGAGCGAGAGGGAGGTAGTGAATGTCGAGGAAGGAGCGATGAAGTTTTTGGCCCAAAAGGGTAAGATTTCAGCCTCATTTCTCACTCTAATTGAACCGCAAACACTGCACTGCATTGTAGACTTCCACCACTTCCACACGAACATTTTCCAACATACATTCCAATGCTGTACTGGATGTTCTTGGAGTCACGATGGGTCTGGACGAGTCAATTGGCGAATGCGCATATCAAGTTCCCAACCCCAATGCCTAGTGCCTCAGGCTTAACCTATACCTTCAAGTTCCTGCATGGAATGGAGTGCGATAAGAGGCACGACGGAAACGCAAAAGACAAACGACGGAATACATCTCCCCTTCCACAATCCCAGCAATTGACGGAAGGAACTATTGGCCAGTGCCATAGGTCTCGCCAAATGGTAGTCTTGCAAAGGCTTGATATCAATTCCAGCCATGGGACGAGAAAGTCCGACAGGACAATCACACAGGCCGACTGGTGGTTGAAAGCTTGTGTTCGCGTACTGTTGCAATGGCCAAGTCTCATCCGTTGGTCTTATCGAAAGTCCGAGGGACTGCGGCCTAAAGCCCCCTGACAAACATCTCCAACTCATTATACGCATCTGGGCCCATTGGTTCTATCCAGTGAGAAGGTCAGTCGGCAAGAATTATCTAGATGGTAGTCATGCTCGTCTTGAGCTAACATATTATAGCAAATGCTAATTATCTTCCTAGATCGACGATTATACGCATCAGCCTACAAGAAGTTCCTCTCCCAAAGCATCTACGGCCTCAGCAGTGCTGAGGCAATACGTCCACCTGCACAACACAAACCTTCAGACGAACAATCATACTTGCCACGAAATGGCGTTGAATATTCCGGATATCATACAAATCCAATCGCGGGTGTCGTATGCGCCGACCTATTCGCCAAGTCTTCGTCAATTCACCAGGGATGCAATGTTGGGCGGAACCCTAGCTACTTCACAATCCCAGTTCCCTTGGCTATCCATTTACCGTCAAGCAAGAGGGGCCGATGAAGCAATATTTCGAAGAGCCATTATGCAAATTCCGGCAAAAACCCAAAACGGGGATTTGTATACGCGTCGTTCCGCCGCGCTGCGGAGGCTATCAGTCTCGTGGCAACTTGTCTTCAATGGTCGGCAAGCCGGCACTTACAAGTTGAGTTCATTTCGTGGGATCCCAAAATAGGACGGAGGTCCGAAAGCCAAAAACATTACAATCAAACTCACGAGGTGGCTCACGGGATCGCTATGTCTTACGTCAACACTCGACTACGACTGGATTGACCGGGCCGGTGGGACAATCGTCGTACGGTGTGACTTCTCCGTCCGGAAACGAATCAATCTTCCACTTTGAAAACAAACAAACACTGAGAACCTTGTCATGCATTTTGTTGGGGCGTTGAGGTGCTATGTGCCAGCACAAGGTTTGTACCATATCAGGAATACCGAAGGTCATGACTTCAACCTACCGGTTAGAATCTTGAAGCAAGTGACCAAAACCCGTTATTAACCGGGATATACCGACTAAAAACGTCACGGTGCTCAAGCCTAGGTAAAATTGAATGGTGATGGCAAGTGTATCATCAAGGCCAGTCGGGCGACGGATGGCAAAACACCCCCTTGCATGGACAACACGAATCAACCGCACGCCGCGGCGCCCAACGAACAACTGACAGCATATTGTAGCTAAATCTATGACCATTGGATGAACGATACATGTCGCTCCAGACTCGGGGAGGGCCGAGTGTGCCTCAGGCGCGATATGACTGGCGAAAACGCGGGGGTCGCCTCCACTTCCCCAGAGTTAACGATGACAAGATTCTTGGCTTGGCTTTTGTGCGTCCCAGTCCCATGTATCCTTGTCACCACCTGACTTTCACTAAAACCAACCTGGAATACAATGAATTCCACTCGCAGGGGCTCCCCAGGCCCGGCAGGTATCGTGGGCTCGGGGACGGGGTTTCCTCTCTCGTAGATCGGCATAAGGTCACCCGTCTCATTCATGATGTGGTCGGATCCAACTGGACCAGAAATAACGGTGTGAGTCCAATCCAAAAACAATATGAATCGGCTCATATAGCGGGAAGAACAAGGGCACACTTGGAAAGGCCGTGCGTCGCCCGTGACCAGCCCTGCGTTATTCAGTCTACTTGGAATTAACAGCGAGGGACTCCGAGTGGAGGTGGAGCTGATCTGTCAAAAGTCAAAGTGGGTCGGATCATCATTGCATTAACTCGAGCGATCGATATGAGTCTAAACTATGCGCAAAGAATAGAAACGCGAAACAGAATCAATCACGCTGATCATAATCCCTAAGAAAAGGCCAAGAAAGCCACAAACTGCCAATGAAAACCACCGGCTCATCCTATTAATAAGAAAGAGAAAGAAAAGCAAAACGCCATGCCATGAAAGCCCGCCCGCCACGTGTATGCATACAATGTATTCCCCGTCCACCGAGGGACGATGGGAACAGTAGGGTATCACTCCAAGACAACCAGAATGCCTTTACCACGCGGCGTGACCACCGTCCATGCGCAGGTCAGAGCCAGTCATGAACGAAGAGGCATCGGAGAGCAGGAAGACCGCTGCACCACGGTACTCCTCGGGACGAGACAGACGGCCAAGCATATTCTCCTTGGGCCACTGGTCGCGGCGCTCAGGGAACTCAACAAACAGCTTCTCAACCATAGCGGTGACGATGTAACCCGGGGAAATAGTGTTGACACGGATATTGTACTGGCCCCATTCGGCAGCGAGGTTGCGACCAAGTTGGATGACGGCGGCCTTGGAGGCGTTGTAGGCGGGACAGATGAGGCCCTGTTAGAATCCCTGTTAGTCTGAATTCGAACAATGGATGAAAAAGGTAAAAATGCGGGGGAGGCGGCAAAGAAGGTAGGGATCCAATACGAGGCAGGCTGAAAGACAAGCCAGGTAGATACGTATGGATATCATCCGGCTTAACCGGGCACAAGGAGAGAAAGCAAAGGGAAAGACGAGTGGAGGGAGGGGGACTTACCCTATTGGCAATGGTACCACTCATACTGGCGATCATGGCGATGCTGCCACCGTTTCCAAAGCGAATCATCTGCTTCGCAACCGCCTGGGCAGTCATGAAGACACCAGTGACGTTGACCTCGAACATTGTATTGCTGTCCTTAGCAGAGTACTCGAGAGCAGGGGTCTCCTGTTGGATACCAGCGGCAGCAACGAGACCATCCATGCGTCCCTCGACCTGGGCAATGCCCTCAATGACGCTGTTCAGCAACTCGGTGTCACGGACATCGATGCGGCGATACTGAAGCTCAGTGCCAAGCTCTTTGGCGCGTTGCTGTAGCTCGAAGAATTCGGGAGCAGGCTCTTCCAGTCTGTCGAGAGCGTAGACCTTTGCACCAGCTTCGAGGAGGGCTTCACTTTGTGTGAGGCCCAGTCCACGACCAGCGCCGGAAACGAGAACGACCTTGCCGGCAAGACTGAACTCAGGCATGCGTGCCTGTTGGCCCAGAAGGACGGGCTGGCGGGTCATTGGGGCAGTGGGGACCTGGGTGGTTTCAATGGAGACAGACATTGTGAGACGAATTGTTGATTAGGATGAAGTTTGTGTTCGGCGGGAAAAGATGTCCAAGTATAGGAGTCACAGTGTAGTGAAGTATAAAGTCGAAGCTGATGTTTAGCCAAAGGCTTGAGAAGATAGAATTAAGAATTAAGATGGTGAATAAAGAACAACGGAGAGGCATACGACGATGACTTTAAATATTTCTTTTGGAACAGCAAACCCTCGATCCCATCGGCAGCATCTTGCCGAAGGGGGTGTGTCTCGTGGACAGCAGAGTCTGTCTGAAAATGGCAACGCAGAGCCAAGCTCACAAGCTCGCTCGGCCCAGACCCGGGGAATGCGCGTCGTGGGCGGTGCAGTTAGTCTAGTCTAGTCTAGTCTATGTCTATGTCTAGTCCAGATCAGAGCAGAGAAAAGTAGTGGATCCCGGGGAGCGTTTTAACGGCATGGCAAGCAAACAGGTTAAAAAATAAATAAAATAAAAAATAAAAAAGTACAATTTCTCCTGCTCCTCCCCAGGGTCTTGATTAATGATCCACCAAAAAGAGCCGAACTGGATTGAATCCTGCTAAACCACAGGTGTGTAAGATAGGGCCTTGTCGGCGTCCTCGAAATCCACGCAAGCGCGCAGGCATCTGTAAACAATATTCCTAGTCTATGATTTAATGATTTTCTCATGGCAGCCCAATATTGGCTCAGTAATCTTGTTGACCAAGACTGGTTCACCAGTCAAGGAAGAACCAGTCGATCGGATGCCTTATTCGGGCAAGCCGATCTCCCCAGATTCGACGCCACCGTTCACCTCACCTGACACCCCATGTCCCGGGGAACCGTCCCGGGGAGTTGTTGATCGCCCTGCTAATGTAAAATTTTTTCTTAGTAACTTTCTGCTACTCCGTACCCTATAGTTAATAGTAAGGAATTCTTTGTAGTACAAATTCCCTTCGGATCATGTGGGCAATCCGGCTTCCCCGTGCTGAATCCGTCCCTGTCCCTAGCCCCCGGCTGCTGGGAAACTCAATGGCCATTCCTGGGCAGATTTATTTTTTATTATTTTTATCTCTCTATTTCTATTACCAGATAGCGCAGTTAATTCATCACCCTGAACAGTTTCGCCTTCTAACTAGATGGGTTCTTGAATTGATACTAGTATCTACCTAGTAGGGAGTTTTCGCCACTGCCACCAGGACACCCTGAAGTATAGTTACGTCTTGACTGTACAACCCGACCGAGCTGCAAGCCGGCAATTTTTTGAGGCAAGACCATGAAAATAGAAATCAACAAACATTCGAAAATAAAATCCACCCCAGTCCACAATAAATCCGCAATCAAGGGGAAATGCAATTCAGACAGGGGCGCAGTATCAGATATTGCCCGTGTGACCAGCAAATTCTGCTGGGCGCTACGGTGCCTGAGCCTACTATTCTATATCGGGCAAATCCGAGGAAAAAGTCCCCTTGCACCAGCACTTTTGCTCTTCCGTGAACAGTCCCACCACGATCCCGTGAACAGCTAAACTGCAATAAACAATCGGCACTCGCATCGGACCCGCTTCTAGAATTTTCCCATTCCATTCCCCATTTCCAATCCCGGTCCCTTTACATACTGCACCTGCAGGCGCTTAGCGGGACCCCCGGCCGGCCTGGTCGGATCTAGATCTAGAGCAGATCGAGACCTGTCTGTGCTTCTCCGACAGCGTGAAAAAAATCTTAGAATATACCATGTCCAAACTTTGTCAATCCTACATTCTGATGCAGCGGTGTATAACAGCCAGCCATGCAGCCACCGCAGGCTGAATTCTAGTTGATTCTATTCCTTTTCCTACTGCTTTTGGTCCGTGCTCTGTCTGGTTGAGTTCCGGGACCCCGCGCCATCTGCACGGTTCCCCGGCTAGACAGGTCCACGGCCATGTATCACGATAGCGCTGGGAGCTACAGTGGATTCAGGATTCGTCAAGTGACCTCCTGCAGGGCGTGGGGGTGTATTTCGCCCAACCAAATTGCCAGTTCCCTTTTAACATCGACAATTTGTATCTCGTCGTCGATAGCTACTACGGGAGATTCCTTCACTCTCCACCGCATACTCGATTTGATAAAGATCGCCTAACGAAAGCCTTTTAGATACCCAGATACTACCTCGTGGCCCCATTTTAAATCCTTCCAGTCCTTCCACATTAGCCTATTTACAGCCCTCTCGAAAATTGAGAAATTCTGACAAACCGGTCTTTCACAATGCGCCAGCGCCACGAAGCCCAGCTCCTGTCGAGACAATTTTTTGGACGCGGAGTTGCTCCGATTGCATCTTACTATTCACACGGAATTATGACTATTTACCGATTCACCACTTGCTGAGGTCGCCTGAATGAAGGAGGGGGCAGTGGCGTAAGGGTAGAACGTCACTGGCAGCCACGCTGTGGTCAGTCGATTTCTGCTGTTCTCTCAATCATGTACCTCCCGCGCTCATCGATCAACCTCTCGCTTCGTTGATTCGCTAGCAACCTCGACCGATACCACACACACCCTGACCGTAACTATGTGCTCGACTTCCGCATCACACCTAAGCCGTGTGTACGCTCGACCCACCGCACACTCACTGTACTCAACCTTCGCACACCTTCGTTGGGTTCAACCCACACCCACACCCACGTACGGAGTACACATTCACCCTAGTCCTTGACAAGTAGCTCCGCGGGAACTTCAAAGCGACCGAAGTCCTGAGCTGTCTACTGGCGAACGTCCCAAGATGTTTCTTGAGACAGCGATTAATCTGTCTAATAGGCGATTTCGTACGTAAATACGGCATAGTTAGCCAGACATGTCCCGATAACCCAAAGGAGGGAGCTCTAGGAATCAGCTTCCTGATCCCCCTAGGCGTTAAAGAGTATCAACCAACCACCCACCCAGCCTGAATGAAGGAGCTGAGAAGATCATTCAATCTATCGTTCAAACCTTAAGCCCCTTGCAGAATTCGAAATTTTAGGCAAAGAATCGAGATCATTATTGGCAGATCCGTAGATCTCATCTAGGTTTCACAGCAGGGGCGATTATACAAGGGAAAAGCAAGTGTTGCGACCCCGTCCTCCTTATAAAGCTCTACGGTCCATTCCCAGGTTCTTCAATTTCGTCAATCACTTCAAACCATTATAAAGCGATATCTCACAACAACTACCAAAAATGCAGTTGAGATTATGTTCTTTCCTTCTTCTCCTGTTTTCTAGCCTCGCATTCGGCATGCTCCCCCACAAGTTATGCATGGACGCTCTGGGCGACATCGGCCCACAGATTGAGAAGAATATATGGCCAACTTTCAACGAATTGGTTTGCAAGAAGAACCGATGTCCGAATTACAAGAACTATCCATTTTTTGAGAAAGAGGTCATTAAACCTCTCTGGAAAAAGCTCGGCGATAGGGGATTAAAACTACCACCGTACAGCGGTGACGTCGAGAAGCTGTTCGATTCAATTGCGAAGGACTGTTTCCAGAAGAAAGAAACGAATTTCTGCAACATGAAGGAGGTACAAGAGGCCAAGGGTTGTGCGATTGACAAAGGGATGGGTTTCATAATGAAGCACTTGGATATGGGGGCCAAGTATGGAGGCAAAGAAAATTGCGAGATTGCGATCAAGTGTCTCAAAGACCCGAAAATATGGGCTTGGGGGAAATCAATCGTGAAAAAGTTTGCCAAGGAAGTGAAACCAAACCAATGCAAGTAGTTGTGGTGAAAAGGTACCAGCTATTCTTCTTTCAAACTGTTCTCCAGCGCCATGTTGAGCATCCATCAGGACATTGCTCGGTCTTCTTTTAACAGGCTTTGAGCCATTGTGTGGGCATCAGAGGTAAGAGAGCTACCGTGGCTTATGATTTGCCCAGTACAGTTCAGTGCTAATTGATACTGGACCTCCAGTGAGGACTATTGGATGTTCAAGCTGCAACTAAGTAGTCCAGAAAATCATCATGGCCAACATGCGCCATTCGATGCTGCGGCAATTTTGTCACTATATTTCGCTTCATAGCGGGTTTTTAGCAACCGGAACTTCATATAATGCTACAATCTCCGCCTGATTTGTTCTTTCTTTTTTGGTACACTTTTCGTGGCTTAACCGCTCCTGTTACTGGGGGTTTCCGGCCTGCCAGCTGTTGTGCCTCATGTAGTCACTTTTGACCAGTCGGACCACCAGGTCAAGTCTAGCGAGGCTACAGATTTCCGCTATCTCTCAGACTTTTTCGGACCTGGGCCCGTTGAGATGAATGGGTCGGGACTCTCCGCCGGGCTGGCGCTGCTTGCATATAGAGTCTCCGCTATGCGCCGTGACGTGTCGGAGGCTCAATATTCTCCGATATGCTCTGTTTCATTAATTTTTTTCTTTTTAATAGAACTTTGGTCATAAACTATCCTTGTGTATGCGAATAAACCTGTTGGATGGTGCCAATGCGGGCTAGTAAAAATTGCGTTGATCCATGAATAACTTCCAACTTCGTTCCCAGGTGACGGAACCTTGGAAACTTGGAACTTTGAGACTCTCAGACTTCAAGTTAGGACTAGCTTGAATCAGTCTATGATCGGAAATACTAGTACATTTCCAAAATCATGACCGCGGGCCATTTGAAATTTCATACTCACAATCGCAAAACTTGATCGCAAAACTTGATCGCAAAATTTGAAACGCACGAGTCTATTATAATCATTTGATTCTATTTTTTTTTATTTCTTCGTGAGTTGGGAGGAGATCTGCGTACCCGCCTGGAGCGCCTCCGCAGCAGGGCTCTGAACTACAAAAAGGTTGCAGATCCCGAGGTCCCCGCCGAGGTAAATCATGGTATTTCCATACCAGGGATCCAAATTACTAACAATATTCGCGGTTTTATTGGGATTAAATCTCACTTATAGATAGACGGTTAGATACTTTGCAGTATACATACATGCAGATCATTTCGAACATATAGAAATATTGCTAGTTAGGTAGTACTAGTAGCATGGAGACTAACTACTAACTAGTCGTTACCCAACCTTCCATCTAGCGGCTCTATGATCAGTCAACTTGAACCGCAACATTCTCCCTGCCCAGGGGGTCAATACAGATCTTTAGCGTATCCGCCCAGCAGGCCTCCCGTGTCTCGGTACAGTTCGACCATTTAGAGTAGTCTCTTTTGTCGCAAGGGGGCGCATTCTTCAAGCTCTTTCCTACACAACTACGCATTCTTGACAGATCTTCAGTCAGTGGGCTAAGTATAGTAGGCCAACTAGAGCTCTGGTCCTTAAATATACGGCAGTCATTGATTTCTAATCTCGCACCTTTTTGCAAGTCATCAATCGCATTGCGACGGATCGATCACAATCCAGTGCGTTCAGCCATCTCCACCTTCGAACATCCAGTGCTAACAGCCTACTTAGATCAGAATGATAACCACAATTTTCTCACTCCTCGCCCTCGCCCTATCGACAACAGCATGGGATGTAGCTTATTTCCCGACCGCGCATAAAATCGGCCACACATACACGGGGTCCGGATCCCAGCATTGTCGATCTGTATCTTTCCCAAAGGGCGGGTTCGTCATGGCGCGGAAACTAGCCGAATACGAGGATGTCATCACTTTCGATGATGATATGTGTACAGGGAGAAACGTTCCTTTGAACTCTGTGTATAATGATGATCCGCTGCCGGTTGAGGTTAAGAGCTTCGTCGTTGTTGATTTGAGGAGGATGGATGATGAGGCAATATAAACAACGGGGAGCCCTGATTGGAAAGTTTTGTTTAAAATCGCGTCAATTGAGCGGTATTTTTTCTTTTGATTAGCTTGGAGTTGGGTGCATTGGCTGCTTTATTTAGGTTGACTACCAGCGGATAATTTATCATAATATAAGTCATACTGTCTGTTGACATTTGTTCCATCGAGCATCATGATTGAAACTGCCACAGATGGAAGAGAAAATAATGAAAATTGAGATCTACCCCGACTACCTCCCAACGATTCGATTTTGTATCAGACATAAATCACATTTAGGCCATTCAAACGTAACCCTCTACGCCCAATGACTCCAATCCCCATCCCGTCGATACGCATACCCCTCCTGCGGCCCCTCCGACGCCGGAAAATAACCCAACTCACACGCCGAGAAACTAATATCAGGCTGCGCGGCGTAGAATAGATCGTACGTGGGACTGAGCGCTTCAGCGAGACTAGTGACCCTCTTATCCGGATGTAGAACCTGCCAGGGAAGCGTACATTCCGAGCCTTTACAGCTCTTAAGAACGAGCAGGAGGGCGTCTAAGCGAGAGATCACTTTCTTGATATTCCGACCAAGGAGCTTGCCCTTGGTATTGATGAGATTATCCATCTGGTACGGATCATTCTGCAAGATGTTAGCATGAAGGTTGGACAAAGAACGCCAAAAACCCCCAAGAAAAAATAATAACTGACCGTCAAATCGTAAAGTTCATGCTCATTAGTACACCAAACCGAGTAAAAAAGATTATACCCACCCCCAATAACCCGCATAGCCTTGTAAGTATTATTAGAATACACAACGCCCGCGCCCGTCGCCGAAACCCGACCAATATCACCCTCCTGGAGATTCGATCCCCAATACTCAACCGAAACATGCTCCCTGCGTGGATCAGACCTCGCGCCCCGCATTCCCTTCGCTGTCAACGGCATCGGAATTCCGTCAAAATCTTCTCTCAGCGGTATACCCGCCAAATCAAATAACGTCGCTGCAATGTCGGTGTGAGATGTGACGAAATCGACGGTTCGGCCTTTGGGTACCCCCGGTCCACGCACTATCATGGGAATGTTGATGTCTTCTTCGTACGGACAGCCCTTTCCGGGGACCATGCGGTGCTGTCCGACGTGGTAGCCGTTGTCGGATGTGTAGAAGATATAAGTATCTTCGAGCAAATTGTAGGTCTTGAGTTCGTTCACTACGCTCTCGACTAGGTCGTCGACTGCTTGGAGGGATTGGAGTCGGTGCCGGTAATAGCTGTCCATGTAGCTGACATCACTAGCGTTCAGTTGGGGTAGATCCAGGATCCAGCTGGCGCCGCTTTGCTGATATGGTCAGCATGCAACTATTAACCTTTCTGGTGATTGGGGAATTTACCGTGTCTGGATTAAAGTTCCCCCCTCGTGGGACTCTTGCGTTGGGGAATTTATTCGCGTGTCGTGGTGCAGGGACTGGGTCGGTGAAGGCTGGGGTCGACGAGCCCTCTACCTCGGCTGTTTTCGAGTGCGGTGCGATGGGGGTGATTCCGATGAAGAATGGGCGGTCCGAGGCGTGGGCTTCTTTGATGAAGGTCAGGGCATGGGCTGAGATTAGATCGGTTGAGTAGCCATCTGATACAACGGGTTTGTCGTGGTTGTGTTGGAAAGTAGAGTTCCAGTAGCTGTAAGTGGATGGGTCGAGCAGGACTGCAAAAGACTGTCAATTCCAAACCATGCCAAGGCTCCTTGGTGTGAATAGACGTACAGTTCGTTCCGTTCCATCCTTTCGGGTACGGATTGTTGTAGTTGGATGTTGAGTGGGAATTCAAAAACTTTCCCGTGTAGTAAGTGTTATAGCCTGCATCTTGCAGCCAGATGGGCAAGTAATTGTCATTGTGACCTTCGGACACGAACTTGGGATAACCACCTTGACAGAGTATTAGAAATGAAATCTGCAAGTAGATTCAAAGTCTCCGCTTTTCTGTTCTTACCATATGGAGGATACACATCGGTGACGTTGGTATTATGCGCCAGCTTGCCAGTCATTAAGCTCACTCGCGACGGACAGCAGACGGCAATCGTACAAAAATGGCGCTCAAAGACCGTACCTTCGTCACCGACGAGCCGCTGCAGCTTGGGCATATAATTCAGCGAGTCAAGATGCAAGTCTTGATCATCCGTCATGATAAAGACAAAATTGGGCTGTTTGTTTTGCGGAGAGTGACCGGCATTCTGAATTGCCCCATGGCTGGTTGAAGCACCCCCACTAACCAAAGACAGACCGACTGCTAGAAGAATAGCTGAATTGAAACGCCGCATTTTGCAAAGCTCAAACATCTACTACCTAGGTAGTAGAAAGTCGAAGATCACCATGGGTACCGGTATGCTTTTATGTCCACCCATATCCTAGTCTAAATCCCGGCATCGACCCTCAATACCGCCTCGAAATAATCAAAAAATCGACTAGTCTCTTTTCCCCGCGAATCTATACCCCGTGGAGAACCTCGCTTCCATATTCACCTCGAGATTGGCGGCGGCGCGGGAAATTGGTGGTCGGGATATCCGAGAAGCGCAGAGTTATACTTTCGACGACGGCTTCCTTCAACATCCCCTCATCTCATTCGCGTTCAGTATTTGCTCCAAACCCGGGAGATTCCAACAAGTAAGTACATAGCTTTAAAATGTTAAGCCGCATCTCGACCCTGAAGGGGAGTCGGAAAGTCCGCGTCGTTGAAGTTTTTACCTCGGGAGGATGTGCCTCATGCCAAGAATGTCGGAATGTGGGGTAGAAAATGGCGTGCGCAATTAAATCGGCACTAATTGCCAAGCGAGATGGTGATATACAAGGATCGAATTAAGATACAATTCATTAAAAAAGTAAAATACTCCATTCATATGTACCCAGAGTCAAAGAGAGGATATAGAGAAACATTAGATAAAGCCAATGACCGGCCAATACATGCGTAGATATTCATTCAAGCTTCCCTATACCCCCAAATTCGCCTCTGGTCATTAACATACCACTTGCCGACTTTCTCCGCATCTTCAAGCCAGGCAGCCGCTTCGCTGCCGAACTTGGTTTTCACGGTGTCAGCCAGCCGGGACAGAGACCATGACTTCATGGGAGAGAGTTCACCCGGGTCAGTGCCCAGATGAGAGAAGACATATTCCGAGTCCTCTTTGATCGGCAGGATAAGTCTGTACGGGGTGCCTGCTGCTGTGACAGACATCTTAGCACCGCCGGCGTTGATGAGGCCGAAGTTCCAGGCCAGCTTTTTGTTGCCGTCTTCGGCGTCTTCGTTTTCGAGAATCGAGGTGCGGAAGGGTCGGATTAGCGATTGGCCTTGGTACTCTGGTAGAACTGCGGATGCGATTGCCGAGTCCTGCTTGTCCAGGGATTCGGATTGAATCAGCATGTCCAGGATAGTTGGGATGATGGAGAGGGAGGTTGCGTTGGCGGAGATGTGGATTCGGGGCATGTGGGGGTGTCGGAAGACGAGGGGCACGCGGAAATTGCTGATGTGAGGGTTGTTGTAGGTTCCTGTCAGATCCTTGTTGTCCTCGGCGAAGGCTTGGCCGTGATCGCCCACGATGACGACGAGGGTGTTGTTGGCGAGGCCGGACTCGTCGAGCATAGTCATTATTTCGCCGAGCCAGTTGTCGACGAATCGCGCGGCGTTGATGTAGTTGTTCATCGGGTCATGGTTGATTGTTCCTTCGTCGCCCATGTAGGACACCTTTTTGAAATGCTCTGGGGTTCCCCATGGATGGTGGGTTGTGCTGGTGACGTGGGAAAGGAAGAGGCGGGTTTTGTTGATGGCAGCCTCCTGGAAAAGATCGCGGATGTATGGTTTGAGTTCGGTCTCGGCGTAGCCGAAGTAGTTGATCTCTTCGCCCTTGGCGCGGTATTTCGAGTGCGGGTTTTGCAATGTGCTCTTGACGACCTGGTGTTTGAATCCCATGTGGTCATTGAGGACGTTCTGGCGATCATAGTCGTCAGTGATGGATTGCATGAAAACCGATTTCCACGGGTACTCCACAGCCTCCGACTGGTTAGATGCCGCGTCGCGTCTCTCAACCTTCTCGGACTGTCTTGGTTGCACGGGGCTCTTGGCCTTGTTGAATGCATCGAAAAGTTGTGGCAGACAGGGCTGGTAGATTTCGAGACCAGATTCTTCCAACATATCAACGGGAAGGGGATTCACTCCGCAATGACTTCCGATGATACTTTTGAAAGTAAGAGTACTCCCTGTAATGGCCCCTTGGACATTCAGACCTCCCATACCTGCCTCTGTTGGGTCCCGCCAGGTCGAGTTGGCCATATTCACCAGCTTTCCTTGGCTGTCCTTCACATGTTCACCAGTCAGCATCTGCGCGATGCGAGTACTGGCAACTAGGCGGTCAATAGCGTCATTCCGGTCCTCCTCGGAGTGTGAAGCGAGCAATCCGTCGAAACAAGGGGGTCCCCTGCTGCATCGGGAACATCTCCTTGCGACCACTTTCCAGTGTTAGCAGAATTACGTTGTCGATAGCCACCGAGTGTTCCTCGAAAGCCTTCTTCAAGGGTTCGTAGATCCCATCGCCAAGGTTGGAGATCTTTAAAGGGTCCGATTTGGGGTTGAAGAATCCACCGTCGTCGCCACCGCTGCATAGATACCAGGATGGGTTGTCCTCCGACGCGCGCTTATATGGATCCACATCCCAGCGAGAGAATCCATCGGGCGTGTCTTGAGGAAGCCATGAGGGGCGAGACCAGCCTTCTTTCAAAGGAACTGGATTCACATTCGTCCAGATGGGGAATGCTTTCGCGGGATTCCTGCATCCCTCCACCGTGATAGTCTTTTTAGTGAAAGCATCAAGCAGTGACAAAGGTAGGGCGGTAGATAGATGATCGTATGGTACCGCAGGGCGAACAATCTCGATAAACAATAATGACAAACCGGCGGAGACGAGAAGAGCTGTACGGCGTGCCGATCTAATATCGAGCGAGTTGATCCAGGATTTGTTGGGGGCAGCGATCAAGGTGTAACGTGCGTGATAGCCACCTCTGCAGGCGCTATATACACCCAGCATCATGTCTCGGATCGCCTCCAGTCCGTGCCCAGTCCAGTTATAAAGCTTGGAATGAAGCAACCAAGCCAAGAGACCGAGAACAATCCCGGCGGCGGAAACGGTCCAGATTCCGGTGAGGAGGATTTTCATAGCGGCGGGATCGCTAAGGAAGCTGTTGCTGGCGGTCCAGTCGACTTCGGCACCGGTTTGAAGGAAGAATCCGAATTGAATGGCAGCGGCGCCCCAGGTAACAAGACTAAACAAAAAGGACTCAGGTCAGATTCGCATCCTGCGGATGGTGCCAGTCATCATTGTAATAAAGTCACCGGGGGAGGGGGAATGTCACGTACGAAAAGAAGCCTCCGACGCATGTTGACAACCATTGCCAACGAGATTCCGGCGCAGGAAACTGCAACAATACCCGCCCGCAGGTAATGATGAAGAGATCAGGAAGAATAAGAGTTGGCGAATACAAGACGAAGTGGAGAAACGGCAAAGAACGAATGTGGAGGGCGATGTGTAGGATCTTCGAGGCGAGGCCACTCACGACGAGAGCGGAGAAGAGAAATGGCGGAAGCGCCGGGAGATAGGCGAAGATTGACATATCGATGTCATCTCATGAGGTCGTAGTATGTGGGGAGCAATAATACAAAGGGTGTCCACGAGTGTCGCGTGAGAAGGACAACTCGGGAGGCCAGGAGAGAGAGAGAGGGAGAGAGAACAGAGAGTGAAGAGAAAGGAATGGGGAACAAACACCCCGGAATGCGGATGGAGGAGCAGATAAAAAAAAGGCAGTGCAAACCGAGTCAAGAGTAGAAGAAAACAACGGCACAGGAAGACAAATATAGGAACAAGGCTTAATTATCCCTAGAAGTTTGAGGGTCAGCCCCCGGGGCCAAAGGGAGGGTCCAATAAAGGAACCCAAGCACGCGACGTGGAGATCGCCACAGAATTCATAATACAGAGGTCTGTACGGAGTGCATAATACGAGGGCGAAGCAGGTTCAGTCAGACATGGCCAGTACAACCATAGTACATGAGAGACATGTACACATAAATAAATGGAGACGGAAATTGCGGTGCCACCGTGACCGATGCTTGTGCAGTGTAGCCTTATACCAGCACAGTATGGAGTACTCCGTAGTAGTATACAAATAAGTATACAATAGAACCCTAATCCCCTTGGCTTTGGACCCTGCTTTTTTCCCTGCACTTCCTGACGACCTCGGATGTCGGACTCGGAAGTTTATTTATTTCCAATGGGGGCTATTTTCCAGCCCACTTAAGTAGCACGTAAATAGTTTTAAGTGGTTCGTGTCTTTTGCATGTCTCAGCCCACTGGCCTCTTTGGGCCAATCCTCCCCGCTTTAGGCATATGCATTCACACCGGTTTTATTGGTAAAAGGTTTTCTTCCTCTCCAATTTGCGCCCTCCATTAATAGTTCCAAGCATTCTACCAGTGAGCTTAGTTACTTCGATGGGTATGGAGGGCCTTGGGGGCCGCCCCCCCCGGGGCGCCCTTGATGCAGGGCCCCCCCTTGCTACTGCATGTACTCTTTGGGAACTGGTTTCACAGCCCCTCCCATCATTCATGGGGAAATAAAGATGGATACTCGTACGTACCTAGGTAGTTGTGATTTATTTGCATAGTATGGAGACTCCATACTCCTAATAGTTAGTTCAAGGCAGAACTGAAATTTCCAGGGAGTAAAAGTGATATATCAGGCGTCCCATGGTAAACTTTCACCAAGGTACTACCGTTCAAGATGTATTAGAATTTCAGGGTCCATGAGGCTCTCGGGCTTACCCTAGGCTAGCTGTTCAGCCCAGGATTTTCGTAATAAATTTGCAAGGTCCCTGGTCCGAGTCAGGGTGGGCCCGGGAGCATCGGGTGCATCGGCCCTTCTTGCACAGTCTGACCAGTCTGAGTGACTAGTGTGGACTAGTGACATTCTGCAGATTCTGCAGGTCCCCATTGTGTCACACGACAGTGTCTTCACGCGATGACCTTATTATTTAGAGTTGATCCATCCTGTCTATTACTGTTCTATCAGAATCGACATTTGTTTACTCGATCACGTTTCTTACGGTCAAAAGGGGTAGCGGTGGAGACTTCCGATCTCGGATGTTCGGCTATAAGATTCGGGTATAGATGGTCGGTCCCGGAAATATTACATCACATCCATCCAAGTGCGGAGTACATAGGGCTGGGATACCATACTCCAGGCCTTCTGAGGGGTACCTCGGTTTGGCTAATCATACTCCAAGCTCATTACCACTTTCAATAGGTGCCAAAAGATTTGAAAAGCAAACCTTGGTAATGATACTTCAATTCAGATGCGTTGAACCGACTGCCGGAATGGAGCTGCCATAGATCCCACAGACTCTACTCTAGAATACTATCATTTAGAAAACTTGAACTGTCTAGATGGGAGAGAATTTATTCGCGAGACATGTGAGCACAGAAGTATAACGTATTTAAGATTCTGTAGATCTAATTGATAGGTTCAAAGCTTGTTCAACCTCCAAGGCTTTGTCGAGATCGTGTCACACAGCCCAGAAGACTATGATTATGAGTACGCCGTTGTACCTGTCTTGTATTCCAAGGAAGCCCAGCTGTATCGCCAGGTACCCCATAAATACACCTGGGCACCACGGCAAATTGGATCATGAAAGAATGGAGTAAGCTATAAAAAAATAGCCCGCGTCTAGAAATATCGAGAGAAGACCGTGTAACCCCTGCGTCGTACTAATGATTTTATGTAGATTCAGGTATACAGAAAGGAAATACTTCGAGGAGTAATTTCGAGCATAGTAAGCTATTAAACGTCCTCTAGGGTTTCCTATTTCACCCTCTTCGCATAATTTGGAAACATGATCACTGATATCTCTCAACAATCAAAACAATAGAAGGTTATTACAACCCATTGCTCCAATTGTGTCAGTTCCATGTCTTGCCACCGGGATTTCTCAGCATCGCCAGTGCGTCATTGTTCCGAAAAGTCCGGTCACCGTCGCCATATCGTCGTACAACTTCGGTGTCGCATGGAGAAGTCATAACCAGGATCCTTACTAGTTTCAACACTTGTTTGAAAAGAAAAACAAAGACAAAAAAACATACAATCTGAAGTAGCTGCAAGCTTTGCCCACATACAGCTATATTATGATGAGTAGGGATCAATAGAGTCATATAATACACAGAAAAGAAAGACCACACAATGCAAATGCAAGACACCGCAAAACGCCAGCCAAACCCACAACCTCGACAATAAAGACTTGCAAGAAATCCGCTCAACGTACATCAAGCCTCGGCAATAGAAAACAAACCAACGAACAAACCAGCCACGTATAGCAGATCTGCAAGAGGGCACATAGCCCACGCCCCTCAAGTCAAGCTCCAAGCTAACCCTCAAGCTGAGCTAAACACCAATTTTCGAAACAATGCCCTTCTCCCCCAATCTCCCCACAAAACCCGCCTTCAACCCCATGATAGACTCAATCTCACCCGCCGGCATCTTCTGCCCATCACGCATCTGCAACACCTGCTGAATAAGAAACGCATCCGCCAGCGAGCGATCACCATGATGACCCATCCTCATGCGCGCCGACTCCTCGTCCGCGATCTTGGTGGCTCGGTGCCGCGCCGTGTGCACTAGCCATGCGGCAGTCGGGGCGGAGGGAAAGACGGTTTGCATCGAGCCCCGGGTTGCGGTTGGGAATCCTTGTGTTGGGTCGACGGGGCCGATTGAGCGCAGTGAGGCGGCGAAGTCGGGGTCGCGGCCGTCGAGGTCGATTGCTTTTGCTTGGTTAGTGACTTTGTTTGGGGTGAGGTCTGCGGGGGGGCGTACCGGTGGATTTTGTGCGTGAGGCTTTTTCTTTGGAATGGTACTGAGGACCCTGGCCCTGTGGTGCGGAGGGGGGGAGCTGGGGCTTTTGCTGGGCCGGGTTTTGGAGCTGGAGGGGGAGGTGTAGGCTTGGGTGGTTGTGGCGGTTGGGGTTGTTGTTGCGGTGCTTTGGACTCGCGGGGGGCCTTGGGTAGTCTCGGTGGGGGAGTGGCCTTTTTGGGATACTGGCGCTTTGCAGCGCCGGCGGCGGCTTGGACTGGTTTTGAGGCGTTGGAACCCATTTGGTCAGAGGGTGTTGGATGTGTTGGAATTGAGCGGGAATAATTGCGGCGGAGATGGAGAAGGTCGAGAAAACCGCGGAGGAAGGCTTGGCACTGGCTACTCTGACGTCAAATGGTCATCAATAGCTACAATTGTTGCGGAGGATGGGAGGATGGGAGTCGGTCTGTGAGGAATTGAATTATAATGTTATTGCGATAGTCGGAATTGACTCGGTTCGTGTTTAGCACAGATGTGGCCTACTGTTTGACGTGGAAGATTAGTTAGAGGTACTTGTGCTTGTATAGTAACTACCACTAGCAGGTCGCCCGCCAGGAATCGGATGCTCGTAATGGCAGTATATGGGCAGACATAACAGAATTCAATTAAATTCTGTGAGCTTTGGCCATAATAACTGAAAAGTGTTTGCTCGAATGGGTCTGGTATAGATGTTGTATCTGTTTAAAGCCCTAGTAGAACAACTTCTGTGGGGGAGTAGAACAAACCTTGGAACTTGAAAGCGAGACATAGTATCTGTATCTGTCTTCAATTGGAAGCAATGGGGTAGTAGCTACTACTAGTAGTAGACGGACAGATATCTACATGGTTTACAGAATAACAATGTGCATGCAAGATAATATTTATCTAGAACGAGGCAAATATCATGACAGCTAAGGTACAATGCCATTTTGGTTCAGGGTCTCACCCGCGAAGGCTTCACTAATTGCGCCGATGCAAGAAGCAGAGCGCATAGACTGATATGGTTGTGCGAACTTGATTCCCAACATCTAGCGGAGACCAGCAAAGCGACGACCCTGCACTTCACCAAGAGCGCGGCTACCGCTCACAAATGCGACCGCACCCACCACAGCCGCGGCAGGCAGAACCTGGAACAAGTTCCAAGAAGTGTAGTAGAGGAAGAAGATACCCTCGAATCCAGTCAGGGAGGCAAGGAAGATGGCGTGGGGGAGAGGAGCCGACTTGAGTGCGGTGGGGAGGTGGTTGAGGTTGACGCCGAGGAAGAGCCACTGCAATCGATTAGCTGTTGGGTCGCACGCAATAGAGCTAGAATAGAACTTACCAGACCGGCCAGAACGGGGAGAGCAGCAATTACAGCACCGACGAAGGCCAGAGTGATGACAATGGGAGGGTTGGTGGGGTCATTGTTGAAGGTGTGGTGAATCTCCGGCAGCTTTCCGTATCTCGGGGCCTCGGCGGTTGGGATGGGGATGTTGACGTCGCGCTCGATGGCCAGCTTGAAAACGGAGTGGTCATAAGCCTCGGAGCTGCCAAAGCCACCAATGACCACACGGGCGTCAACGGGATTGGGCAGAGTGAGGAATTGGAGGGGGAGTTCCTTCTGGGTCTAGTTGTACGGAATTAGCTCATGCGGAGGAGAGGAGAGCTTCGGAGAGCTTCGGAGGGCGGGCGCAGTACCAATTCCACGCGGGACTTTCCATTCTCCTTGACTGTGAATGGGTAGGAGATGTCCAATCCCGACTGGCTATCCTTCAAAAGCAGGAAAGCCTGGTGTGGGCGTTTGGCAGAGCTATCTTCCTGGGTGGTCAAGGTGATGCGCAAAGTATCGGCACCGGTGAATGCGAGCGGGTTGGCGAGGGGCTTTGAGGAAGAGATTCTAATTGAGTAAGGAGTTAGTCCCGGACACACTCGATGGGAGGGTAATAGGAGCATACTGTTCCTTGAAACCACCGTTGATGCCGGCACCCTTTGGTTGAACTGCCACGGTGGCATCAGTAAATCCCCATGCGGATGCAGCGACAGTCGGTAAGGCAGCGGATGCCAGAAGGCAAAAGGAAGTAGTGGCCTGCCACAGATACATTGTGTAGTAGATGAATACAGTGAAATGTATAAACTTGCGGAGGTTGACAGGTGGACAGTTCCCACGGTTTACCTGAAGGTGCAGAATGAAGGCGGACAGTCGCGATTGCAGATAAGCGCCGATTATCTCGCCCTTCGCAAGTTAGCCCTAATTTCTTTTCTGATTCCCTCCCGTGGCACGGCCATCTCGAGCTGCTGCTATCGTTGGTCTTGGTGATTCTATATGGCATCATATAGCATTTGTGTGTTGGCTGTTCACACTATATTTGAGGCCTTTTCCTATTTTCAGCCTTCATACCCCTCAAAACTGCCCAGGTGTTGCCCTACGACCTGCGGATCTCCCAACGGAACTCCGCATTTCTGGAAACTGCCGAGTGAACGACGACTGCGGGCTACTCACGCATAGCCTTGCATTACTCTAAAAGGTATTCACTACTGCAACCCTTCAATGTCACTGCTGGATGTTAAATACTAACCACTCCCATAACATGAACAGTTCAATCACCGTCAATCTCCATCTGCTTTGTTTCGGATCGACTCAACCCTATTCACTTTTACCACCTTTACCATGCCTCCCAAGAAAGGTTTCCATAAATCGTTACCTGCACCGATCAGTAATTCTACGTTGGCTCCATCTCGTCGATCACCAAGAGTCCCGGCGCCGAGCAAACCCATAATCCAGCCAGCTCCGCCAGCCAAGAGTATCGATCTCACTACTGCCTCTCCTCCTCGCGAGGTTCCAGACGACCCTTACCTCTGTATTTCCTACACACCTTCCTCTACAGCTACCATGAACGGGAAACTACAAAATTCTCCGTCGGAAACTCCTGCGAAGCGGCGCCAGGCTTTCCAGGCGAAGCCGTCCCGACTATCAAATGTTTATACCCCAGCGAAAGAAGCACAACCATCAGTCTTAAATTCAGCAAGTCGGACGACCCGAAGGACAGCAGGACTTGAAACTCCGAAGAAACAAATGACGGATCAAGAATTTCCCGAAAGTATCGACACTACGGGCTGGGTGCAGGATCAACATACGGGGAATGAGTTCGGCTACGACAACTCGATTAGCGACGCATCCCCCACGAGCGCATCTTCTGCTACTCGTCTATCCGCACGATCTCGGAAATTAACTACGCGTGCTATCGAGGCACTCGATTCTAAAAAGAAACCCCGAAAGCAGAGAACCGCGCCTGCGTCGACAATTGCAGAGCCACCTACAGAACAGGTCGATATTAATAGCGGTCCGACGAAAATCAAGCGAAAAGGGATGAAAGGCAAGCGAGCGAGCAAGATCTTCAAGCAGTTGAGAAATAACAGACCCTCTCGTCTGAAGATCCAGCTCCACGCGGACCAAGCCGGCCAAAAGCTGTACGAGCTCGTTGTAGTTGCCTTGAACACCGATTTTACACTACCGTCTGACCCCGAGCTATTCATCGCAAATGCGCGAAAGCAATTTGAGCAGACATCGCTTGTCAAATCGTCCGAGGAAGAGCCTGTCATGTCTGCTGCTGCCTCCCCGAGCGACCGCGACCCCGCGGCTGCGGAGGCAACCGCCTCATCCGGCAATGCGGGGATATCCAGTGTGGAAACCCACGTTGATCCCAACGGTGTCACCAAAAATCAAACCAATGGTGTGATGCAGGACGAAAGGGATAAATTTCCCCTTGGGGTGACCAACGGCAAAACTAGAGGCGAACCTAATGGCGAGCCCATCCCCGAGGTATCAGGAACATCCTCAATCAAAGACCTGAAGAAGATAGCAGAGTCCCAGCTAGAGGCCGATGGATGGACTCGAACAGGCTACGTGAATGACTTGAACGAGGAAATCCTTCTGACACCACCGGGCCAAACTGCGTACCGTGCACCCCACACCTACGGCGACGAGAACCTGCCATTGCCACCAGTGATTTCTCGCCCAGAGCAACAGATCGAGATCGACAATAATCTCGGATTCCCGCCGCTCATGGGCGACCGTAATATTCCCTTCTACGCCCCGTCCGAGTTCTCCACGGAAGATATTACAGAGGAGAAAGCCCGATCCCAAGCCCACAAGAGAAAGCGCTCACAAGCCGAGCTGGAGAAGCGCCCGAGAAAGAAGAAGCGAGACTCAGCAAAAATAACCCAGCCAGGTCCGACGACCGAGGAAAAGCCAAAGATCCAGCGACTGAAACTGAAGCTGAATCCGCCAACGGAGGCAGATAGACAGGCCGGCGCGGTGATTTCCTCTGCTTCTGCCGCTGGTCCGACCCAACGTGGAGCACCGGGTCAAGCTCGCAGTCGAGGTCGAGGCGGCCCTGGAACTCCGCGTGCTAGGGGATCGCCCCGTGGAGTTACTCGCGGTAGAGGCACGCCTCGAGGTGCTGTTCGTGGTGCCCTTCGTGGTACTCAGCGTGGTGGTTCTGCCCGGGGTGGTCCTTCTCGTCCTAGTACCCCCCGCAGTCGAGGACGCGGCCGTGGACGTGGAAAATAAGCTTAATTTTATGAAGACGATGCATAGTTCGAAGCATAGCGAGGAGTTAGTGATATTAGCAATGAACATTATGATATCATAGATGTCATATTTTGGTTTTCCTACAATATTATTCTTTCTACTACATGTGGTCCGGCTTCCGTCTTTTCTTGAGGATCCTGCACTGACCACAACGTCAAATCACCTGGGCATTTAGGCATACGAGTAACTAATGGAAGCGAGTTCACGGATCATTCGATCTTCAAACCCAAGGCATTACTACTAGGCGCTGGGCATTCCTTGTCTTGGACCTGCGTGTTTCGAATTTGAAGTTCAAGTTTAAGTTCACGTATCTTGCATTTATCTTGCAATTATCTTCAATATCCAGACTATACAGTAACAGAAATACTAAGCATCATTCCATAAAGGATGAAGGTTCACCTCCAGACGTTAGTTTAAGCCTTTGGAACATTCGTTGTTGTCGTGGTAACCGTCGCATGCGCCTTAAACAACTTGACCATTTCAGCGGCTCGCAAATTTTCATCGGGGATTTGACGAGCCGCTTCCATCATCTTCTCATAATCGGTCGCCCCCTCAGCAGCGGGCTTCGAGTCGGCTGTGGTCGTCTGCACGGACACTCCTCCCTCTTCTTCGGAGATCCCAACAGGCTCAGATGTGATGAAGACTTCTTCATCTTCCTCTTCAGCCGCTGCCGCTTCCTCTGCCTCCTTCTTTGCGGCTTCCTCCCTGGCCTTTCTTTCGGCTTCGACGTCGACCTTAATTTCGCCAACGATCTCTCCATTCTCACCACGGACATGACGGTAGAGCTCAAGTCCGGTCTCGTTTCCATCTGCATCAAGGATCTGCTTGTAGAAGTCGTCGATGTTTGCCATCGCTCTCTCGGTCTGCTTCAGGGGCTAAATTCCTTGTTAGTCAACTCTCAAGTCGAAGGAATTCAGGTCAGACACTTACGTTGTTGCTGCGGAACATCTGGATCTTGTGGAGTCTGAAGCCCGCTCCTCCAAACGACACGACGAGACTCTGATCGGCCTTCATTCTATTAGCAACCAAATTCCGTAAGTCAGAACAAAAGGGAACGAGATACCTCCTTGGCCTCGAATGTTCGCCAGCCCTTAGATTCGAGCTTCTTCATCGACGAGCCGCTAGCCCCGACTTTCCCAAGGCCAGTGCCTCCAACATCGACACCGGCGCTGGTATCCCGGCTATGGGCACTGTCCATGGTAATAGCACACTCCTGAGTCGACCAGGTAGTATGAATAGCCCAGAGTCCATAATCCTTAATATAACCCCCCATATTTAGACTTAACCAAAGTCTTCGCATTATCCTTCACCCACTGCGCCATGGTGGGACCGGGTGCGTCGACGAATCTCTGATTCTTCACGACTCCCGTGGTAATGAGAGCCGCTTTACCAGTAGACCCGGACTTATTCTTCGCGTTAGCCGAAACGTCGACGGGGGCAGCGGACAACGCGCCGGAGAGACCTCCTTCAAGCCCCCAGCTGATCTCCGCCTCGCTACCAGATGATACGGTGTTCCACATCGAGTCGTCGGGTTCGCCGAGGACGAGATCGTCGTCGATGCCCTTGTAGCCATCTTTCTCGGGTTGCCCTTTCACGGATAGATCGGTGATTTGGGTCCAGTATCCGTATTTGTCAAAGTAGCCCACCGAGCCGGGGTGAACGAGACTGTATTTTTGTGGGGTGTAGAGGAAGTGGCCATGGTCATGCCTTTTCATGAGTTCGGCGTACTCTTCGCGGGCGGATGGGGGTGCCATTTTGATATGTTGTGAGAAGGTAGTAAGTAGTCTTCTTGAACTGAAGAAAGATGGAGGAGGGGGAAATCGCGGCTTCTTTTGAGGGGTAGCTTGTTAAATGAGTTCGTTTGGTGGGTATGGTGGGCTATGTTGTTCCTCTAAGCGATGACGTTCGTGAAGATCCCCTCGTTCGCGAAGAAACACTAGCTGAGCAAAGTGCCAATCATTCTCACCCATCGGCAGAGAAGGAGATATAGCCCCACAGGAATAGGTTCATCGTAGCCCACAGTGTTGCTACGAACGTCATTTAGATCTTCTGTGTGGTCCGTGAAAATGTGGATCGCTGCGCTAAGATCGTTCGTGTGGGCTCAATTTTGGACACGGCAACAAGCTATTCCCAATCTGAAAAGAAAAACTTGCATATTATGTGGCGATTGTGCTGGCTCTCATGCAGATGCCACCTGTCAGGATGCGGCCATCACTTACTCTAAACTCTGATCGTAGAACTCCGTAGCGAGTGTTGTTTACTCGACGAAGATCGGTGGCTGGGTGGACCCGCCGCCATGCATCCGATGACATACTGAGATCCACCAGCTGAACCGACGGGCTGGAGAGCTCCATGCGTGCCCCCGATTCAAGATTCTGGTGGGAATATCATCAAGTTGGTGGCATGAGATCTGGTAAATGGTGAGCCCGTCATACGTCTGCACCTCCATAGCTAATCAAACACGTTGAATGTTTGATTGGCCAACCAAGCCAACCAGGCCTCATTATCCACATCATACCAGTCCATCATCTTACAAAAACTTCCGTTTTCTATCACAAATACTAGTATAAGTTACCAAGCAAAAGAGGGGGGGTGGTTGAATGCCTGAGCCAAAAGATTCTACGCGGGTGATACTACTACGGTTCTCGGACATGCTCTGCAGACGTGCTCATACTAGTACTGAGATACTAGCGAAACAACTTGAGGCAGCTACGGTTCTACCTGACTGCAAAAATACACACTTGACCGAAACTTATTCAGAAAATGCTTGAAACTTCTTCGTCGATGGTTGCTTGTGTCAAAATGATCATGAGTGAGTGATTCATCTTCAACGACCACTAGTAAGCGCTTCCAAAATGAAGGGAAAGTACCATCTTAAAGTCTCTTCCTTCCTCCAGGAGGTCTTTGAAATTCCGAAAAGCACGAAGTTGCGGCAAATTAGCGAATAGCACGCTCTGGTCCAGGTCCCTCGCTACTGAATCACGGCTAGCAAGCTCCTTCTAGAAGTCGGCCTCAATCTTCTTCACATCCCTGAGATTGATGAGATCAGCGTTAGAAGTGGAGCTGGCGGCCGCTTCAGGCTCTGCCATCTGAATATTCCAATATTCATCAACGTATCGGCACTCATAGGCCCCGGGATTGCGAACCCACATGGAGTCCCTTTCCTCTGATAGCTGATCTTGGAAAGTTTGGTGATAGCCGACTTCCTATACAGCCAAGGCGATATACCAGCTCACCATGCGCCTGAAAGGATTCCGTAGTTGGGTGGGGTATTGGCGTACATAAAGTGAGAAAGCTTTGCAATCACGGACAATCAATCCTCGTACCGTTTGAAGAGTTGGAATTCACCAATTAATTGTCAACAACAAATTCGGATAGCAGCTCAATGCAATACTTGTCGGCGAGAGTGTAGAGCCGAGCGTATTCCTCTATTTTGGAGCCCACCTGGAAAGTAAACATAGGGATCTATATCGACGTTAGATACTCAACAGTCGAGCATAACGGTTGTTTTCAGATCACTTACTTCTCGGCAGTCGTCTGTATCTCGAATGCTTTATGATCGGATCAGCAATGGCGCAAGTAAGTGCCGTTTGCGGGAATCGAAGGGCCAGGGAGTATCGAAAAAGGGCAATATGTGAAAAGAAGTGAATGGCTCTTGTCTCTGTGTTCGCCGAGCGAGGAACGTCCCTCCCCCATCCAGAACCCGGAAATCCAGCAAAGAACCCGGAATCCGAAAAGCAAAGGCGAAGCTCGCAAAGCTACAATATATACATTCTGTTAGTACTAGCTGGGCCTCTGGGGTCATGCCTGTAGTCTCAAAAATACTATGCTACCATTTTGAATCGTGTTTACTACTATTTAGAAGCTACCCGCTTAAATTACTACTCGGTACGCTGAAGGCTACTAGTTGTGATGAGAAAGTTGTTGAACTTGAAAGAATTGTAATCTCTTTCATGGTAAAGCAAGTGCCCTAGTTTAAATAGGGAGTCAATAAGGAACTACCACCTGGGTAAGAGAACAGCAGGCAATCAACAAGATACCCTCTAATTCAGAATCAATCCATCAGTGATCAGAGATCCAACCCTCCAGATGGTCATTACCACTGAACTTCATCCGGTTGGTCTGGCAGAAGTCTCCAGATTGGGCTGGCTGGGATCGATGGTCATCGTGATGTCGCCGTCCCACATATCTTCGAGGAATCGACAGCAAATTTACCCTCCTCCTGCAACACGTGTCTGAAAAGAATATGAACCCTTATTTCTCCTCGAATAGAGTTGACATGTTTGGCCACCAATCATCGCAAAGGGCGAGAATTATCCCTGTCGTATTCTAGCGTCTCCGAGTACACGAAACGAACAAGTTCGAGGATGTATTGGATATCATCCACCTTGACGATTTTCAAAGGCTCACTCAGCTTGGCGACAATCATATTGCACAACTCTTTGATATGGTATCTGGCAGCCAGCTCGTATAGCCGAAGATGTCCCATAATAACTGGAGTGAAGTCATCCCCCCAAACACCGTCTGCAGATAGATAGAGATACTTCGTACTCAGGCTTTATGGCTCGAGAAACAGTACTGGCGCCAGAGGTATGAACGGTAGGAGCATGGGCAATAAAAGCGTATGTACCAGCAGTCCCAATAGCAAGGTTGACAATGTCACTTCTGACAGGCTGAGAAACGACATCGTTGCCAGTTATGCTCTCCTCATCTTGTAATCGGACTGGTGATGTGATATCACCCCGATAGGCGAATTCACAGAATCGAATAAAGGTATCCAGGTCCACATGACGCCAGTCCCCCGACGTAGTATCGTCTCCCTCATACACCGGTAGAATGTCAGAGATAAATTTTCTCAGGGACTCGGAAAGATCAGCGAAAGCGCCAGAATAGAGGATGATTTGTCTTTCGTGTTGTCCGATGATCATGGGGATCGATGGGGACTCGAGCCATCTGATATATGTGTTAGACAGCTCAGCGTGTCAAAAGTTGTCCTCGCTTCACTTACCTCCCGAAGGTTGTTTCCATGACGAATATTGAAGGATCATATCGAGGATTGGTAAAATGAGGTATCTTTGCATCAAAATTCTCGGGGTATCGAATGAGTGTGGTGTGTGGAAAGTTCATGGCATCAATGTTCTTTCCATCGAACTAAACAATATAGACACCCGATATTTCAGGCACCAACAAAACCCAAACACAACCTCAATTTTCCCCAGACGACCGATCCCACCCCCATCAATCCTCCACATCACCACTGAGATAATTAAAATGACCCGCGGCACACCCCAAAATCAAACCAGGCTTCGGATCCCGAGCCAGAACCCCAATCTGGGCCCTCGCCCCGTCATCCCACCGCGCCCTGTGCTCCCAAAGAACCCGCAGGAGCTCCGGAAGACGAAGGAGTATAAGGCTGCTGCGCGGCGGTGAGTGGAACTACCCTTGCCCCTTTCCCTCTTTCTACTGCATTTGAATGTGCATAGTGCTCTTGTTAATCTCTAGGCTGCCGCGCTTGCTACCCGGGGCACGGGGGACGTATTTCGGACCGTGCTGATATTGACTTCAGGTGGACTTCTTCGATTGTTGCTTTGCCGATTGTGATGTACACATCGTGGATTCTGTATGAGAGGAGTGAGTTTCGTCCCCTCTGAATTGACGGCGTTCTTTCAAATCAGGCTCGACCACCATTCAACACTAGTGCGGAAAGAACTAATCGTGGCGAATATAGTATACGGCGACAAGGCGCCTAAGAAATTGGTCAATTCGTCGGCGTCTTCTTCATCTTCATAGCCGCTTGGATTTTAGTTGCAGTGGCATGGCAAAAGAACGAGGCTTAAAGCATGCTGCCTGGATGTCATTGACTATCGATTCTAACGGGGACGTTGGACCGGGACCTGGTCCTATTTTTGTACAGTACAGATTATCTATTACCTACGATATAATTCAATTCTAAGAACAGCGAGATTCGCCAAGGCAAGAGAGGGAGATCATGCCGGGGTCCATCGTAGAATATCGTTCCATTTTGATCCAGCCAGCTGGGAATATCGACAAGTAAAAGGAACAGTCCGACTCCGCCCATGCAATCAGCACGATGGAGCAAAACACAAATGAGTATAATGGAAAAGAAAAGGGCAGAGGAAGAGGAAATAAGGAAACACAATTCGTCCCAAGGAAAACCAGGCCTAGCACCACATATGCAAAACCAATCCATCATCACGTCACAGCAAGACCCATCATCCCGCAACACCTTGCATAGGCAACTGATGAACCTCAACAGATCCAGACCCAGCACTCTGCGGCACAGATGTAGATCCACTACTCGTAGAAGGAGGTTTGACCGAACGCTCGCGCATTCTTCGCCCCTCCATCAAGCCTCGCAACCCACGCTTCTGCAACCCAATAACAGAACTCAAATCACCGGTCCAAATCTCCCTCCCAGGCCGAATATCCGTATCACGACGATGATGCGACCTCGACGCAGACCGACTCTCACTATCACTCACAAACTCCGAATCAGACTGCGAGTGACTAGCACTGGACGCAGACGTCGCCGTGCTGGGGTTACTAATCGAGTCATCGCGATCACCGCGCGAGCGACCACGCCGCTGCTGCTGCGACTGCGAGGACTGCGAGATATTCGTGTCGATGCGGAGCGAGGGGATGCCGCGGGCGAAGTTAGCGAGGTCGTTTGTGCTGCTGGAGGCTGAGATGGAATGTGCGCCTCCGCCGTGTTCGGTATCGGATGAGTCTGAGGCGTGTAGGACGCTGTTTTGCGAATGCGTTGTCTCTGATACGGCGATTGAGCCGTTGCGTCCTTGGACGCCGTTTAGGGCTTCCAATGTTCCGCCAAGACCGGAGGTGAAGCCTGTGCCGCGGCCGCCGCCGGCGGCCATGGCTGCGGCATTGAAGACTGCTGCTGCGTTGCGGCCGTCGAGGACTTGGTGGAGGCGTTCGACTGTTGCTTCGAGGAGGCCGTTGATTTGGTAGGGGCGGGCGAGTTGGAGGAGGGAGCAGAGGATTTGGGGGGTGCAGAGGGATGCGCCTGGTGGGGGGATTGCGGAGGTGTAGAGGTATTGGACGAGGACTTGGAGGGTGAGAATTGTGTGTGGGAGATAGAGGACGCGGGGGCGGGATGTAGGAGTCAGGCTGTGGGCGGAGGGGGCTTCGAGGTTTTCCAAAAGTGCTTTGGATGGCACCGACGGGTTGATAAGGGTCGTTGCGTTGGAGTAGCTGCTGTTCTGACCGATAGATGGAGTGATCGTGATGCTCGAGTTGCGGCTTGGGTGCGTCTGGGCTGGGCGGAGGGTGGCTCCGCCTGCAACGTCCTCTTCAGATGACTCGCGCAATAGCTGGATGAAGTAGGGTCCCCATCTTCGGGCGAGAACACGGGAGTTGACGGGGATACGTTCTCCGCCGACAGCTTGGAGTTCCATGTCGGACATTTCGTGGAGAGATAGCGCGATCTTGCCAAGTTCATCGGATGCAGCAGAGAGAGGGCGACTTGTCGTCAGTTGCGCCAGCTTCTGTTGTAGAGAAGCAGGGACCGAGGGCGAGCTGTATGATTTATATCCAGATGTAGGGGCGGTGCGCGATGGGTTGTTGTAAAGGCCAAAAGCTTCCAATTCAACCATGCAAACGTGGGAGAAGTTGATACGACGGTGGTTGTAGTCATCCACCAAGCTGCGCTTGCGATGTCCAAGAATGACAAAAGTGCTGCGACGCGGCCAAAGAATACCGCGGTTCCAACTGCCCTGGCCAAAGACCGACCCTCCAGCATCAATCCGGCCCCATGTCAAAGTCTTCAGGTCCAGAGCCCAGAGCGCATATTCCTGTTTGGAGGATGTGAGATATGTACCACTGACCACGAAATGGCCATTTATGATACCACCATTGGGAAAACGCAGGCCTGGGGGAGACGCCTGACTCTGCATCGGTCGCTCGACAAGACGCCCATCCGGCAGGCGCACCTGCAACTCCAGCTTGACATCGAGGAAGTTATAATTCGAGTAGATCAACATTGGACAGCCAGGCTCGTCACTATTTTCAATCGGCTCATGCGACTCCCTATCTGGGGCAGCGGCTCCAATTTCCGAAACGTCCATGCCGACCAGCGGAGTAACGACACTGCGATAGGCACCACAACTGCGTCCGAGGGGGCTGGTATTGGTCCATTTCAGACTGCGAAGGTTGAAGACGCTAATCTGCTCAATGTAATGGTTAGAGCTGTCTTGGCCACCAACGACCACCATCTCGGCGCCTCCGAAGCCATCGATATCCACACCAAGGGAGCCTTGATGGGGTGTGTTGGATTCTGGGTTGTGGTGAATCGCAGAAAGCGGCGCACTGGCCGAGGTGAAGCTCGCACTAGAAGGCATGATTGTCGCGCAGTGAGCATATCTCCCCTGCGGCGACTCGTGAGCCGCAACGCGAGTCCATCTCCGAGAGGGCACATCGAAGATATGGATATCTGACATGACAACAACTTCCGATTGCGTCTCCGCGCCGGCACCCGGATTGGAAGGGTCGCGAGGGGTTCCCGGGGCCGGAGACATGCCACCATATGCCACCAACTTGTTATCACCCAGAGCACACACGCTGTGGAAATAGCGTGGGGGCGGAATGTCGCCGCCAGCATCGATCTTGGTCCAGTGGCGACGGATGAGATCCAATTCGTAGAGATCGGCCGTCAGCTGAGGGCGACTGCGCGAGAGGACTCGGCCTCCAAAGACATATAACTTGTCGCCGAGAATGGTGGTGGTTGCGCCAACTAGGGGGTGAGGCTCTTTGCCAGTTGTGCGGCGAACATTGCAGACCAGTCCGGAAAGATTGATCGGGCCGGAGGAAGCCTGTTGGCTTTGAGACGGGGACACCCCGGACGCAGATTCGTCGCGGCCCGCATCGAGGAAGCCCCCCCAGGCTTGACTGGCTTCTGGACATCATCGTGGACAGGGATTCCCCACCGCGAGGGGAATTCCGATTGTGAGGAAGTTGGCGGTTGGTATCCCCTCCCCTTTCTGACTAGTCCGTCGCGTAGTAGTTGTATCTATCACTTGCATATGACAGCTGCGTCCTGTCCCCTTTTTTTGGCCTTGCTTCCCCTCTTCCTGTAAAGTTGTTTTGTGGGCGGGTCACGGTCGGGATGTGGGTGGGTCGATCTTAGAGACGACGTGAGGGTGTGCCTTGTAGGATGAAGACCGGAGACCAGGAGTCAAGGAAATATTGCCAGTCGTATCGCCAGAAGAAATAGGGAAGGGCGAAACTGGCATGAATGATCAAGGTAGAGACGGTGTGGCCGTTGGATCGGCATAAAAAAGGCGGTCTCAACGTTTCTCCTTTCCGGGGGGCGGAGTCTGCGACAGGGGGGAATCCTTCTAGAAACCTGCCCCATTTTGATAAATTAATTAATTACCCGGGACACAAAATTATCACTTCTTTTCTCCTGCACACCGGGTCATTTTTTATGCATCGTAGTATGAGGTAACACAGGTACAACTACAACATGCAACTTCGAAGGGGTGATGACAGGCACCTGAGATCGTTGCATTCTACAAGTACTCCGTACGTTGCATTGCATGCGCAACTTATTACTTCTCCACACAGCTCTACAGGAAAGTCGGAACCACCACAACACTAATTAGGAGATTGAATCATTTCATATTGGTATCAAGCGGGACCTTTTAAGCGAACCCGGCTACACATAAGTTTTTTCTTATCACGTCAAATCGTAAGTAGCCATTTACTGCTGGCTGGGGTCCTTGGTGAAGCGGAGGTAACTGCAGCGACATCAGTATTGTTCGTCCAATGCCATTGAGGGCAGCTTGGAGAGGTTAGACTTACGGCTTGACAATGCGAACCTCGCCGAACTTCTTCTGGGCATCCTCGGTGGAGACGGGGGGAGGGATGACAACGTCATCACCGGGGAGCCAGTTGATGGGGGTGGTGACACCCTTCTTGTCGGTGAGCTGGAGAGCGTCAACAACACGGAGGACCTCGGCGGTGTTACGGCCGGTGGAGGCGGGGTAGGTCAAGATGAGGCGGATCTTCTTGGAGGGGTCGATGATGAAGACGGAGCGGATGGTCAGAGCCAGACCCTTGGAGTCGACGTTGGTGGTGTCCTGGTAGTCGACCATGTCGTACTGGTAGGCGACCTTGCGCTCAGGGTCGGAGATGATGGGGAACTTCAGCTGGGAGCCAGAGACCTCATCGATATCCTTGATCCAGCGGTGGTGGGACTCGGTGCCGTTGGCGGAGAGACCGATCAGCTGGACGCCACGAGCAGTGAACTCGGGCTCGAGCTTGGCGAAAGCACCCAGCTCGGTGGTACAGATGGGGGTGAAGTCATCGGGGTGGGAGAAGAGGATGGTCCACTTGTCACCGATGAAGTTGTGGAAGTTGATGGGACCGTTGGAGGTATCGGCATCGAAGTTAGGGGCAACGGAGCCCAGGCGGAGACTGTTGGAGGGGTCAGTATACAGTTGAGACGAGAGGAGAGGAGAGGAGACAATGACAAGCTGGGATAGTACAGCATAGCTCATAGCTCGGGGTGTATAGATGTAACGTACGGAGGAGCACGGTCAGCAGCCATTGTGAATGATTGAGGATAGAGATGGAATGAAGAGAGAAAGAAGAAGAGAAAGCGAAGATGAAGAAGGAGGGGGAAAGGAGCATTCAAATAGGCAGGAACCAACCAGTCTCCAGCAACCCCTCCAAAGGCGCCATCGTACCTTCCCTCTGAACCAACAAGTGATCGACTTACCTCATCCGGCACTTACCATCACGCAATTGCCCACCGCCAATGGCAGAACAGCCACCATTGGCTGAAATCAAGTGGGCTGTTTAGTGCGAACCTTTCTGCCTGAATGCCTGACTAGACCTCCCTGGTCTGCCGTGGCTGGATCAGGGGTCTCCCTTACTCCGTAGAACTTCCAACACTTCTATACTCTCCTCCTCTTCTTCCCTCCCCTCTACTTCCAAGTACCTCTCTATACAATGAGATTCATAAATAGCACCTCTGTAACAATTGCATTTTATCTTCTAACCATTTCCCTTTCACCCTTCCCTATCGGCCGACTATTCCAACCGTCAGCCAAATCGGCCGACAATCGCCCACATGGAGCCAATGGAGACCGGACCAGATGGCGCAATTCCACCCTGCCTCCTCCTCCCGCATTAATCAGCTCCAATGCGAACGTAGATCGGCGGGGTCTCAGCTGCAACATCGTTCTGGTCCAGCCAATCCACAATCGAATTGAAACCAGCCCTCGTCCCAGCTACATTCAACCCCAAGGTGTCCCCCTGGCAGGTCCATGTCCCGGATCGGACGTCTTGATGATGCTGCGAGAGCGGAGACCCACTCGGTGGGGCCTTTCCACGAGCTTCTGCGCTTCCCCGGAGCTGTCCTCAGCGGTTCAACCGGAGAGTTTAAATTCTATACGAGTATTATCCTCCAAGTTGCTAAACTGTTTATCTCGGGTAAATACCAGCACTATAGTATCAATAGAAAAAATTACATTATTGGAGCTTTATTTCACTCGTCATATGAGAGTGAGCACATAAATCTATCATATGTCTGGGGCGCCTGTTTAAGCGTGCCAGCGCATAACTTAGCCTCAGAATACACATTCCTAAACAGGGACATGTATATCCCCACGTTGCGCCTAATCCTCCCGTCGGCCCGCCGGCGCAGCCAGTACTCGCAGGGTAATTTCAAGTTGGTTCAACTATATATAGCTATGCTACCGGCTGATTTATCTTCCAGTACTCCGGAGTCCAATACTATTATCTGATATGGCACCCGGGACCCCCATCTGAAATACTATATCTCCGCCCGGTGCCAGTGCCAGCCCTGGAGTGACTGGGCAGTGTGAACTTGAAATTTTGAGATAATTCAGCTTCCAAGCGCATGCGCATGCATCATGATCAGTAAAGTGACTGAATCGCACTTCTTCCATAAGTAGGAGACAAGGGGTACTTCGGGATGCCGATTCCTCACATTTCAAGGGTCGACTGAATACTCATCACTAATAGTACGGACGGAACGACCTAGGGGGATGCCCACTGGCACTCATGTTACTACCTAATTGCTCACACAGCGTGGATAGCCTCGCTGCTGATTAGTTCTAGTTATATTAGTTAAGCCAACAAGGTTGAACTCCAAGTGGTGAAAACTCCCGATCTCGCCAACACGGCCGGGCTCTATTAATGCAGAACAATTCCGCGAGCGGAGGGTTTAAAATCATCAGAACGAATATTAAAACTTTCCCAGGACTCGCACTATTTAAACGCCCGGATACAACAAACAAAATTTTGAGAAACCGGCAGCCTAGCGCTATCCGTATCGCGATGTCTTCATTTTGGTGCACATTGCGTTTGTCTTGGCCTCCGCCAAGTCGCCCCAAATCTCCCAGTGGCAATGATTGTACTTGGAATCCTAAATGACAAGCCCGGTAAAATATGTTTCTACAAAAGTTTGCGGCTGATCGATTTTGTCCACATTGGTTTTGAATTTTTATTTTTCCTTGTCGCTTGTGAGAAGCCTAAACAACACGGCTTCTCCTATGTACCATTTCCAACCATGAACTTATCAAGCTTCACACACGCCCTCAAGTCGACTTTGGAACAAAAACGCACATGGCCCAGACCCTAGTATAGGCTTATACCGCCAAGCGCGGAGAAAGTTCCAAAAACACTCCAAGCCCTTATCCAACTGGCATACCCCTCTAGCACATCATAGCACATCATGACACCTCGCGCTATCGCCATTCCAAGCGCTGCAGCAAGGGTCCTTTCGACGGACAATAAAAAAACCTTTATAAATGGCGATTTACCAACGCTATTATTTCGTGTTCCCCATGTTTTTCTTTCTGTGGCGAGACAGGCGCAAACTTAACCAACACAATCGCATCACAATCGCGTCTTAGAGAGCGAGATGAGCGCAATCGGAGGAAAAACCACCGCGGTTTCCACGGTTGCCGAGACTTCACCGCAGGAACCAAAGAGAAGTTATGGGACTCTAGAACCAGATGGAGAAAGTTCGGACTCGAATAATCCTTTCTTGGACCCTGACGTTGCGGAGTATTGGAGAACGGTCTATGAGAAGGCGCAGTATGAGTGTCGCCATGTCTTTGATCCTGCACTCACTTGGACGGCCGAGGAAGAGAAAGCCATAGTCAGGAAACTTGACTGGAGAATTTGTTTATGGGCTGTATGTTGCGGCTTGACCTCCTTTCCGTGGAAAAGCAGAAGCTAATCGCCTCTTTGCAGTGTATTATGTTCTTTGCGCTGCAGGTTGATCGGGGAAATCTAGTTCAGGCAGTCTCTGATACTCTTCTGACGGATCTGGGGTTGACTACCAATGGTAAGTTCCACCTATTGACGGAGACTTGGATTCATATATGATGAATTGTATGGCGACTTGATATTTGGACACGCATATAAATTCTAATTGCCAATTTCTAGACTACAACTATGGCAACATCGCTTTTCGACTCTCATTTCTGGCCGCAGAACTCCCTTCGCAACTTGTGTCGAAAAAGCTTGGCCCGGACCGCTGGATTCCTATCCAGATGGTACTATGGTCCATTGTGGCCATCACGCAGTGCCAACTGAGCGGTAAAACATCGTTCTTCGTCACGCGGTGTTTGCTGGGTGCTCTAGAGGTGAGTTCAATGAATATGACTTGGATACCGTTTTCTCATCACATTTATAGGGTGGCTTCATCCCCGACATTGTCCTGTGGCTTTCATATTTCTATACTGCCCGAGAACTTCCAGTCCGACTGAGGTACGCGCGTCATGATCACCGAAATGAACCCCAACTAACAATTGATAGCTTCTTCTGGACATCGCTATCAGTCACCACAATTGTAACATCTCTCCTCGCCTTCGCAGTCTTCCACCTCAGTGGCGTACACGGCATGGCCGGCTGGCAATGGCTCTTCCTGATCGAAGGCGTCATCACCCTATCAATCGGTCTTGCTTCATTCTTCATGATGCCAGCCTCGGTCGTCCAAACAAAGACCTGGTTCCGACCAAACGGCTGGTTCAGCGATCGCGAAGTCGCGATTGTAGCAAATCGAGTCCTACGCGACGATCCGTCCAAGGGTGACATGCACAATCGACAAGCCATCACTCCGACGAGACTCTGGAGCGCGATCAAGGATTACCACATGTGGCCTATTTACCTCATTGGCGTGGTGGCTTATATTCCTCAGTCGCCGGTCAATTCTTATATCACGCTTACGCTCCGCTCGGTTGGGTTTGATAAGTTCCAGACTAATCTTCTGACGATCCCGGCGAGTGTGTTCCACATTATCAATCTGCTGATTATTACTTGGGTGGCTAGCCGTCTTAATTCCTGGTCATTAGTCGCCATGTTTCAAGGTCTTTGGACCCTGCCTTGTTTGATTGCTTTGCGGGTTTGGCCGGATGTTATTTCCAACGCTTGGGGCACTTATGCTGTGGTCACTGTGCTATTGAGCTATCCTTACTGTCATGGTATGTGAAGATCGGCGCTCCTATCTGATCTGTATCAATACTAATTTCTATAGCGATTGTGGTTGCGTGGGCATCCCGAAACTCGAACAACGTCGGCAATCGTTCTGTCTCCGCGGCCCTTTATAATGTATGTACTTATGCCAGATTCAGTTCCCTGAAACCACACATATGCTAATATAATACACCAACTACAGATGGCAGTTCAAGCCGGAGATGTGGCCGCCTACTTCGTCTACCGCGATGACGACAAACCCAAGTATCGGCGAGGAAATACCTCCCTCATCGCAATCAACGTTCTTGCCATTGCGCTTTTCCTCGGAGCAAAGGCGTACTACGTCTTTGAGAACGGAAGAAGGGAGAAAATCTGGAATCAAATGTCGGAGGAGGAACGGAATGAGTATATCAAGAATACCGATATCCAGGGAAGCAAGCGGTTGGACTTTAGATTCGCTCATTGAGTACCGTGACCTAGGTACAATCTGGAATAAGATGGCAGGTGCGATTAAAGTTGTCAACAATCAAAAGTAGATAAACACGTACCTGGGTAGTGTAGCGCGTAACTTCCTTCCCTGTAACCCGGTAGCTACCCGCCGTATATGCGCTTCTGCCCTTGACTTCAACTCTCTCTCCTATTTTCTCTTCCAACACCATCATGTCAAACCTCCTCCACGCCGTGCGCGGTCTGTGGGCCCGCCAGCCCCAACCATCCTCTGCCCCGCCAGCAGCAGCAGGGGCGTGGCCGCTTGGCCCGCCGAGTATGTACTCATTCTGATCATGTTTTTTGAACATGATGTAGGATGTCAGCTAATATATCCCGCATATAGGCACCTCGAGCTTGCCGAGTGTGTGAGGCCGCGGGGTCCGGCAGCCCCAGGGCCGATGGAACGGCTGTGGGAAGGGGAGGAGAAGAGAAGGAGAAGGATACGCGGTATGGAAAAGACAGAAATCTCGCTTCACATACCAAACCACTCATATCCCCTCGTCCACACTACTACGTACACTCCGTCGTGGCTTTTGGATTATTGCTTCAGACCAGAACCCTATTTTATCCTAGGTGTATAACTCGAGGAATGCATGGTTCTACCACTATTTGAAGTTTTGAGCGAGCCGCTGCGATAGGGGAATAGCTTAGATTATCAGAGGTTCCGGCTCTTGTGTTGTATCATGAATTAAATCTTGTCTCCAAATCGAAGGTTTCTGCTACTCCCGGAGCCGTTCTGAGCCACTGGCACCGAATCTGTTGTCTACCTCAACTTCCTGTCCGCTTCGAAATTGCGTTTGACCAGGGACGCAAATTCATCGTCGTTGAGTACCCGAAGTCCTGTAGCCGCCATTCCTTTCCCCACACCCATAGCTACTCTATGGGCTTCGAGAGTTCCCGCTGCATCTCTGAATTCCTCCGTATGAAGTCCAACGCCAGGAGCCGTTGGAATACTGAAATTTCCATGGAAAGAAGGTACTTCATAAGTGACATTCCCTGTGTAGATTCGTTAGCGGTAGTCTCGAAAATTCCTCGAGTAGTGTGATGGGTACCCATATCGGTGCTGAATGCACTGAGAACTTTGTCCTCCAAATTGCAAACAAAGTTCCGCTCCCATTTCCGCATGGCATCGGCGAACTCTGTACAAAGTCCTTCATTCGGTCGAATATCCATATAAGGGGCCATTCTGTGAGACGCGATCAGTATGTATTTCAGTAGGATGAAATTGCTGATGATCGAATCCAGCATTGTGTTCACTCACGCCACGCTCAGCTCCATGGTACATCCCGTCGCTGTAGCTGCTCCCTTGAAACAATTTTCCACGCGAGCCTTGAGGGCATTCATCTGCGCCGCCGTTTCCGATCGCACGTTGCATCGAATCCGACTCCTCTCCGGAATAACATTGTGCGCAGTACCCCCTTCCGGCATAATGACGTTTATACGATCGCTCGGCCTGATATGTTGTCTCAACAGACCGATCGCCGTATAGGACAACGTCGCAGCATCCAGCGCGTTAATCCCTTCCCAAGGCGTCGCCGCAGCATGGGAAGGTTTTCCAATGAACGTGGCATTCACCCCACAGGCCGACAGACAAGTACCGTAGGAAATCCCAGCGATCTCCGGTCGAGAGTGATCAACCGGCGGCGTAGGATGAATCATCAATGCAGCATCAACATTCGAAAAAGCACCTGCCTCAATCAATTTCAATTTCCCACCACCTCCCTCCTCGGCAGGACACCCGAGTAATTGGACTCGACCAGAGGAAGAAGATTCCTTCATCGCGGCAACAGTTCCCAGGAAAGCCGCGATGGATGACACCGCGATCAAATTGTGGCCACAACCATGCCCGATCTGAGGCAAGGCATCGTATTCCGCGCAGAACGTCACGATTCGCCCTCCTTGTCCGTATTCCGCGAGAAATGCGGTCTGCAAGCCGAACGCTTTTTTGGACACTCCAAATCCTCGCTTTTCGAGAAAATCAACAATGACGTCATGGGCTTGGAACTCCTCGTAGCACGTTTCGGGATTACTATGAATCTATCGAGGGTCAGAAATGATTGGAAAAGTGGTTCGCTGACTTCTATTGATTTAGCTTTGATCTTTGAATCGTACCTTTGAGTTGATGACGCGGAGGTCTGCTTCATGCCCGTCCACCGCATCGGATATCTGCTGCGCGGCGGTGCTGAGAGAGCCGAGTTTCGATGTGGTCTCCATGACGAGTTCAATCCGCTTGAATGTTGAAAGCTAAGATTTCCTAGAGTTGGCTCGAGCTCGGTGCGTGAAGTTGGAGTTCTGAGGTAGGGTCGATCGATATTGTAATGGAGCTGGAATCGGCTCTTGTGATTGCGGTCCCTGAACAATGGATCGAGATAAATACCAGGAAACAAGTAACAAGCTTTCAAGTTCACTCAAACAAGGCTTAGAACGCTAAAAAATGGACTCAGAATTCTGGAGTATGAGATAGCTAAGTGTTAATGTATTGAGCTGGGAGAGAAAATCAATGTTGGGTTCAAGTTGATGCGGTGAAGAACGCTGGTCTTCCTTGCCTCATCGGTAGCCGAGCAGGGCCCTGGGCGCCCCCAGCATAAAATGCGGGGCTCAGCGGCAACCTATGAAAAATTCCCCTTGGTATACCCCTTGCGTTGTGGTGAACGATGGGGACAAATTCGGTGAATCTTATATCGAGGAATTTTTGAGGAATCCAAGTCCGCTAGCATCGCATAAGAATATGGACAGCAGGTGCAAAAATTATACAGCCTTGGCGGGAAAATGCAAAGCGACAGTTTCATCCCTCGCAGCTACTATTCGGCAATAGAAATCCATGAATGGCTACCTAGGTACATAGCGGCGAGAACATGAATGCAAATATGAAGCATCGTTGATTGCCACTGCCATTGTAATACAAATATACTGTGGCGAGAATACCATAAAGTCATGTTCAAGAAGTAGAAAAAAAGAGTAAGAATATTCATTGTATTAGATACCAAGACAGCAACCTCCAGCTGTGCGGTCGATGAAATATCAACCAGAATTAGGAAGAGTTACTTTCGAGTGGTAAGTCACAATGTCTCCACCAGGTCTCTATTCCTCGGCGATAGTCTCAGATTTTCGTATACCGATAGATACGTTGTTGCGGAGGGGTGGAGAGGCGGGATTTCGACGCGCCGCCATTGCAGCAGCTTTTCAATAACAAAGAATCGAAGAAAAATAGAAAGCTGAAGGGACTGAAGGAAAAGGATTTGTCGTGCTTGAAGAAGAAGGAGAAGTAAAAGGCAAAGCTTCAAGATATGCTGGTTGGACGGTTTGGTTAATGTTTCGCAACTGTAGAAAATCAAATTGAAAAAAAAATCAAAGGAAAAGAACATTAATCATCGCTTAAGTACAGGAATCAAACAAGGAGATGCTGATAGCAAACTCCTAACGAGATCAGGCACCGCGATTCTGCCGTTGTAGATCTGAGGACCAGAACGGCCACAATGACAGTCACCGCTGAGGATACAGGGGCCATTGTCGCGGATGTAGCCTTAAGAGCAGCAATTGCGTAAGCAGTCACAGCTGGGGCATTGTCCGGAAGGTCAGAGTACCTCCGATTGCTGCCGGGTCTGAAAGTGTTGTGTGGAAAGGAGACGGGCGAAAAGCAGTGCCACCATTGATGGACCGGAAGGCATACCCAAGTCTATTACGACAGCAACTTCGGTGTGCACAACGCTAAACTTGATCGGTGATATGTCCTAATCAAGACATAGAGCAAATAGTATGCACGAGGGTCTTCTTACCGCGCGTCAGGTGCGACGAAGCGCAGGAAACTCCGAGTCGAAGGTTTGACTCAAGGGCATCTTGCCACGATTGTCAGTCTCGAAACTTGAAAATTCTCACGAATAAATGATTGGAGTCTTCATGGCTTGATTGCCATAACGTGAAATGAGGGATGTTTACAGGAGGTGCCTTGGAATGGGAAATCAGCTGCTTATATAGTGTAGATTGGAGATTCACGGCAGGAGCGACCCTACCTGAAGGCATCTAGATCAACCCGTTCCGTTTCGCTGATTGGCGGGTTGATTCCCTGGTTTACCTACCTTCCTAGGTAATCCTCGATGGATTCTAAAGACTGAGTCAGCCAGGCTCATCATACCACCATAGAAGATCCCACAATGTTCACTCCATCTCCCCCAGTAGAATTCACGTTCCCCATAATCACCCCAGTGTTACTCCCAACCGATCCAATTTTAACATCTCCCTGATGAACTGTGTTGCGCTGCGTCATTCACCACTCAATTAGTAATAAATTCGCGAAATACAATCTGAGGTAAGCAAGAAACATCGATCATACCTGTTTCAACCGTTCCCGCCTCACTTTCTTAGCATCAGCAGTCTGCTGACCCCTCTGTTGCACCGGAATAACGCCCAACAACTCCTTCGCATACGCAGCGGCAGTAGCAGCAGCATACGCTTGCCAACGTTTGCTCTTATGCGAATCGGCATAATCGCAAATTCCTCTCACAACTAAGCAAGGAAACTGATCCATCAGCCCCGCAGCTTCCATCTCAAAGCACAGCACGCCCTCTAGCTGACGAGCAATGGAATCCCTCGTTACTGCATCACGCATAACTTGATTTCCCGACGCAATCAGTCCATAATGAACTCGTGGACCGGGAGACCCCCTTTGCGGACGGGGGACATGGCGACTCTTCTCGCACTTAGGATGACATTCTTCCGCGCTTCCTCCAACATGCGGATACAAGGGGTCGAAGAGAAAATCATACTGCGGGCCGGGAGACGCAAAGGCAGGGAATCGCGCTTGCATTTGGGCTAAATGCACGGGGATGGTCGACTGGCCGAGGAGATGGTCGGATTCAAGCGTCGCCAGCGCGGCTAATAGCTCGGCGGGAGGTTTATTTAGACATCCGGTGCGGTGAGAACGACCGCTTGTCAGAGTCTTGCCGTAGTCGTACTGGATCACGCCGCCGTTTGTGCCGGTGGGTTTGCTGACCACTATATCTCCTAGGCGGATATCGGTGGTGCTAGGGTGGGGAACGCCGCCGGCGATGCCGACCATCAGGCTGTAGCGTAGACCTGCGAAGGTGGAGGTGAGATGAGTTGCAACAATAGCGGCAGAGGTGGTGCCGTAAACACCAGCAGGAAGGCAGGCGATGGCGATGTTGTGGCCGCAGATGGCGCCCAGGGTGTAGAGGTTGTGATCGTTGGGGCTGGCGGGGAGTCGGGGATGCAGCTCGTCAAGGGCTGCCTTTGCGGCGGCCATCTCCAGGGGGAGGGCGCAGATCCAACCAATGGTGTAGTCGGAGTGGGTGAAGGTCATGTTGTTGACATCAAGATACTATACTAGCAGTTAGGTGGTGGTGGTGGTCAAGGACTCGTAGAAGACCGGCGGGATGAGGGGAAATATAAGAAGTGGGACCTGAATAAACAGGGTGCTTCTCACAATACTAATCTATGCTATGCAAACTTGGAAGCGGAACTACTGATCTTCAAATTCCTAGATTTATCCATTTTCTTGATATTATTTACATCTTGTAGTTACAGGGTGGGACTTTCCAGATACTCCCTAGCCAATTGTTCCACCAGATCTTCGAAGGAATTCTCCTGCTCCATAATTACAGAATCATTATCCTCTAATTCAACCACCCGGGAAACCCCCCCCTATCCACCAAGTTCTCGACTGTAGATGTGAAGGGAGCTTGTGCCTGTACTTCTACCTTATCGACAGAGGCATCCGCGGAAATAGAGTCCTCGAAGTCCGCGACTTTCAACACAGGAACGATCTGCACCTCTTCCTCTTGCAAGGTGATCTCACTCTGAGTATCCTCGAGTCTACTTGTCCTTGACATTTGCTCGGGATCAGAATGTTGACGCCGAGACTTGGGTTCCTTGGAATTGATATACCCTGGAAAATCCCGATTAGCATATAACCCTGACTCTTTAAGTCACGAAAGTACTGACCAACAACTTTCGCTGTTGTGCTGGTAACATTGCCCATGGCGAGTCCACTGTTCGTATCCATTTTGAGGTCTGTGTGTCCTTGATAAACCACACGGACCTGCTCCTTTTCTCCATTCTGCGAGGGGGATTCCTGTTCTTCCCATATCTTGTGCTCGGAGTATTCACTTCCTGGCTTGGCCCAGAGCTTCTGCGACGGAGCAAGGGGAGATAGAACGTGTTCGGCGGATGCATTGTCTCGGGAAGTTGCGAAATGAGAGTAGCTACTGGGCGAGGTGTTTGATTGATGATCTTGCTCATCACTCGAGACATCATTGTGATCTTCTGATAAATTGTAAGCCTTGGGTTGCACATCTTCCTTCCACATTGGTTACTTACCACTTCCATACTCCACAGTACTATCCAAAGTACCCGCATCATGCTTAGTAGCACTAAATGACCCATTGACGAAATCAGTACCGAGATATCGCTGCATACTGCTATCGTTCTGCAATAGAGAAGTCTTTTATGTTAACATTGAACTCTCTACCCTAGGGGTTAGAAACCTACTACGTGAGTTTCTGGCTGTCTGTAGGCGGAGCCCATTTCATTCCGCGAAAGCTGAACCTCAGCTGGCAGTCTGGCGATTTGCAAAACCGAGGGAACAGAATTCTTTGGGGATTCGCATTTGCCAGAGACACCCGGTGTCTTAGCGCTGATAGTTGGTATTTCATCATGACTCAGGCGAGGAAGAGACATGAGCCGGTGGCCACGATACTTTGTCTTATGCACCTTTTCCTCTTTGGCTCTATGACGATCAGTAAGAAAGCGGCTTTCACCCACCAGGCCGGTCTTCACGGGGTGAATTGATTGCCGTCGTTGATGGTACAAAGCCGAAGTATACGCGGAGAAATTCGAAGTCTGGATTCCACGGAGTGAGGAAACAGATGGCACCGGTATTAACGGCACTTCTAATACCTTTGGGGTAAATTCTTTAGACTTGCCCAAGGTACCGATATGCTCTCTCAGCGATAAAATCGGCATGAAATGATACTGCTTAGAGATCCTCGGTTCTGTATTAGGTCTCCGACTTACCAGCCAATGGTAAATAATACCACTCGGGAAAGCCACTATGGAGAGCAAAAGCTCCACTCTGGGATGATATGCATAAATTGTGGCAATCAATATTAAAACAAACAACGCCATTAAAATCTTGCCCGAGAAGCGATTCAGATTCCACCGGCTTTCAGAGCAGTGCACTGATGATATAGGCTCGCGATGCTGGTCGATGAAACGGTCCAGAAATTTCAGCAAAGTGGTTAAATCTCCATTCTGTGGATCCAGACGCACGGCCTCCTGAGCATGCTCCAAAGCGCAGCTCAAGTCCTGCAGTTGCCCAGTGCGGTGGTATCGCTGGGTCAGGACATACCCGGAGTTGATCAAACAAGTCACCCTTTCGACGGTGTTTTCAGTCGGAAACTTGACGGCCTTGACCAATGTGGAAATCGAGTCATCCAAATCTTCCCTGTGGTCAGTGAGACGATACTGTGTCCACAGGTATACGCCTAGGTTGTTGAAAATGATCACAGGGGCGGTTCGCGCGCACTGGGTCGCGATATCGATCGACCTGCGCGTAATTGATATGGCCTCTTGCAGGTCTTGAAAATCGCCTCGACAATCGTACAGACTGGCACGGATGGCTCCCAGGGTGCCTAACACGTCGGCTAGGTTGGAATCTTCCCACGAAAGCGAGTCGACCGCCTGCAGGCTATAATACAGCGCCTGGTGCAAGTCATCCTCCTGGCTTGCGGATCGGTAGCGTCGCCAAAGACCGTTGCCGAGATTGTTCAGGAGGGTAGTTGTGAGGGGATGGTCGGCGGAGGAGATACTGAGCGCTAGTCGTGTCGCCCAAATCGCCTCGTCCAGATCGGCCTTTCGCTTCGTTTTGTGATATCTCTCGGCGTGGATATCGCCGAGAGAGGCAAATATCAACACCAGGCTAGGCTTGTAACCAGGCTGGAGCGACCCCATACTCAAGAGTGGTCTCCTACATGGTGGAGAATGTGTGGAAGAAGGCGATGGCCCCTCATCTTTGAAGACTTCTTGTCGAATGCTCAGCCCCCACCTGCACTAGCCACTTGATATTTAGCGCCGAGCTGAACTGCAATGAGCGCCCACTCACACGTCACCCCCTCTTGGCCCCTCTCACCGCGAATCATACGGCGGCGTGACGCGCGCGAATGCTTGTCGACCATACAGCGGCCGAATTACCCACATATCTTTTTATCCTCACCAGTCTCCCGTTCTGTCTGCCTTCTCTCGGAGCTTGGGAATCATGGCCCGACTTCGAGGAATTGAAGCCGATCAGTCTACGCTAAGTGCCAACCCCTGGGAAGAAGAACTGCGAGAGCGAGAAGGGGGAGAGGAAGAAGAAGAAGAAAGAAAAGAAGAGAAAGAAAAACAGATTCCAGCAAGCCAGCGGATCCCCTCGTCAAAGCGCAGCACCCTCGATACTCCTAATCCACCGACCCAGAAAGGGCTGGCGCTGATATTCGGCAAAGTCGACCACCAGATCGACCAACTGGACAAGCAGCTCAGCAATGTCCAGACCGAGCTCCTGAAGACGCGAGCTGTATTAATGTCCCTGGGGAATACGTTCTCCAATCTCAATAAGCCCGAGGCTAGCGAGCGTCTTGAAATAGATGCTTTCACGAATTACCTACGCATCAGTGACCGGTTAAAGGCGATTGCCGAAAAGATTTTCCTGATCTTGCCCAAAAATCCACGCCATCCTCTTCCCACTCGAAAGACTTATAATAATGAGGTCGTGTACGGTGGCTCTAATCTGGGGGGACACGATCCAGAGTCACCTCTTGATGATCCTGCGCCGTATTCAGATGATCTGGAACTGAATTCCCGGCATGAGCCTGGACCCTACAGTGAGCAGACAAGGTTCTCCGAACTCGCATTCGACGTGGGCGATGAGGGCGACGTCTATGAACAGAGTGCCCGCGAATCAAGTGCCTATGCCTCAGATAATTTTTTTGCACCGTCACGTCGCGGCCAAAAACCAACTAAACCATTGCATTCCGAGGGACCGAGATTTATACGCCAATCATCGAGCTTAACATATGACAGAAAACGAGGATCAATTTTGCGAAACAGTCGTACGGTGCATTATGCGCCGACATTCCGCAGCAGCAGCAGCAGCATCACGGCTTCTGGTAGCCTCGTCTATGATAATCTGACTGAGTCATCTCAACTGGAGGACTCGCCTAACAGTATGCATGTTGTCAGAAGTGGATCCCTTGAATCAGCTTCGTCTTCAAGGAGAAGATTTCGATCATCATTCGGTCACCCCGATTCCAATGCTACCGAGCTTGGAGAAAGTTTGGCAAGTTTGGCAAGGGAGGAAAGCCAGGTGGCCTCAGATGAGCCTCGGATCGTGTTGGTGGAGCCCAAGGGTGCGCAGGCGCTCAGCCTCGAGGCGACCTTGCAAGAGGAGCGGACCTTTCTCCTTGAAAAGCTTCATGAAGTGCAAGATCAACTACAAGCTGCACAGAGTATACAGGCGATCGAATCCACATTGGGGAATGGAAACGAAGTCGAGAGCGACAGCATTAAGGGTAATTTATGGACCCGATTGAAACGCAAATTCACAGACCACAGCAACAAGCAAGGCGAACATGATATAGCAAAATAGAAAGAATGTCATATAGGGAACAATCGAAACAACTTGTTCTTTTACACGATCCCCCAACAAAAACAGGACCATCAACAATAATGGTCAGATCCACATTGTTAAAATCACACAATCAGTCCCGCTGTGTTTCATCAATTCTGTCCAGGGTCCATTGGGCGTCTTCTATCAGTCTCCGACGCATAGCACGGGTGGTCTCATCCTCTACATCAATGGAATCGGCGCCCAGAAGCACGTGGTTCAGAATGGTCTCGCTTAATTTCGCATGCTCGAGTTTGCGTCTCTTGGGGTCAGCTGGAAGATTGACAAGATAGCTATTACAAACTGGTAATAGGCTATCTTCGAAGTATGATGAGAGCGCGCGAACTTTCTCCAAGGAAGTGGCGAAGTTCTTGAGATTAGGCACCGGAAGGGCTGTGGGATTCCCACCCTTGCTCCCTTCCAATGTTGCAAATGTTCTTTCGTTGGTCCTCATAGGTTTTATTGAAGTCATGTTGTGGTTTCGCGCAGCGGCTTCAAATTCGGCCCGCCTCCGGCCGGAATCTGGAAGGGGATTGGATCCATACTTGTCGGTAGATCGCTTCATCCTAGAATTTGGATGAACTATTAATGACACCTCGCTTGGTGAGTCTAACTTATCGGACGACTCATCCACCCGTGTATTTCGTGATCTGTCGTATTGTGGACCTCTTGCTCGTGGTGGAGGGGGCTCGCGATCATCACGCTTTCTTCGAGCTTTCGAAAGAACAGCGCCTGTACCTGAATGATCAGAATCAACAGTCACCGCAAAAAGAGATGTTCCATCTTCTGCTTGACGGTTCCTGTTAAGCCTTTCTGGCCATACGCGTAAATCTTCGAATCCCTCAAGCCATTCGCTTTCTCTCTGGGTTTCTAGCTCGGCAGAACGACGATCCGATTTAGGACCGAACAGTGACGGTCCAAATCCTGTCCATGACTCCGGCTGAAGGGGTCTAGGTTCATCACGGAAATCGACTTTAGTGGAATCAACCTGCATTTCATCTCTCGCTTCCCTGTCTCTTGGAATTTCTTGCTGTTTCCTGATTCGTTCTCGAACTGCTTGTTTAACCAGGCCAGGATTGAATGGAGGTATGGTTTCTTCCAGTGTATCCTTCGTATTCCAGTTGTCGAGTGCATTTTCTACCGAATTCTGATCCGCATGAGGGCTTTGGCGCCCGCGGAGAATTGCGGAAATGTTCTTGGTTTCTGCATCCGGGTGTCAGTCAGATATCCAGGAAAAGTGAGTAAACATATGTGTACCAAACCTATCGCCATAGTGACGACTTAGATGGCCTACAGGAGCACGTTAGCTGCGTACAGATGTGTTGTTCACTCCAGCTACAAGACTAACCGACAACGTGAGCCTCCTCACTGTAGATGTTCCCCATGGCGTTGCCCTCATTCTTGTTTATGTCGTTCGAAGTATTGCCTTGGGCCACGGAGTCAAATGGTGAGGCCATTTTCGCAAGCTTGCCGTCGGCCGTGCTGCTGTGCATTTTTTGGTCGAAGAGATCTTTCCCTGGGGCCATATGTGTATGCTCGCTGGATTTTGCCTTGAGTGGGCCGAGTGCAGTGGGTGGACATCCGACAGAGATAGGCACTGAATTTGAGATCGTCTCTTGCTTATGCAAAAATTCTGCTCCTTCGGTGGGGTTAGAAATGTCCTGTTCTGTATTAGTCAAGACGAAACTACTAGAAACTTTTCACTGACAGTCTTCTTAACATTCTCGGTCGTAGGTCTTTGATTTGTAGAAGCGGTTGATATAGGTTGTTTTGTTTGAAAAATCTCATTGACACCTCGCCCTTCTTCAGACGCGACAATCAGAGCTGGTAAAAGTCCATCGTCGCTTTGGGAGTCCTTAATATCATCCCAAGCTTTTGAGTCTGTAAGATGTTTGTGGGGGAGTTGCGTCCGGCGCTCAACATCATTCTCATAGTATTTGGTTCTTGAAGATTGTGGAAAAGCTTGGCTTGGGTGACACAGCCGAGCGCGGGGTGATTTATTGAAACCAAGGTGCAAGGCATCGATATCAACCTGAATGCAGTCCTCGTCGTGGGCTGGAGATCGATTTCTGGCACCCACTCTCAGTTGTTGGTCATATCCCGACTCAAATCGCCTATCATGAATTGATCTTCGTCGGCGTAATCTGCCCTCATTGTGCAGGTCCTCTTCCGAGCCTATAAAGGCAATAGTAGAAGGGATCTCAATCCATGAAGTAGAAAAAAGCGTCGTTGGTGCGAACTTGAAAGAGAACTGATCATATGGCGAAGAGAATATCCTTTGAATCCAAACTGGGACCGAGTGGAATAAAACACTCGTTCTTTCGTCCCTGCTGATGGGCTGGTTATATTTCTGAAAGACCCAGTTGGACATAATTCCACCGAAGAATATAACCAATGGGTAAAATGCTCCGGGATAAGTGAGAGAGAGCACGGGTGACAAAAGAAAACAAAAAAACACCGTCAAAATATTCGGGTATCTCGACTGCGACACCTCTATTCTCTCATCCGTTAGCTGCGCCCTCAGCGCGTGCTGTTCTTTCGCCAGGCCACCCAACTGGACAAGAAGAGCGTCGAGCTCTGGAAACTCCGGTTCGACTTCGGTGACTATGCGGAGCTCAAATAATGCGTTGGCCAGGCTATCCAGCTGCCCCGTGGATTCATACTGCCTTGCCAATAGTCCTGCAAGGGTCGAGCCCACCCCGGCCAGCAGGGACGGGCAATTTGAAAATCCCATTTCAGTCGCATCCAGAGCACTAGCAATAGCGTCGTTGAGGTCTTCTCTTCTCCCGCTATTTTCATAACGCCTCCCCATGACACAGGCGAGATTGTTCAACACGACAGCCGGAGGATCGTCATCGTCTGAGGGGCTCTGAGTCCGAGTCGCAATCTGCAAACTTGAGATAGCATCTTCCAGATCTTGGGTTCTCTTAAAACGGTCATACTGGCTGGCCAGTATATTACCAAGGTAGCGAAAAGAACAGGATGATCTGCGTCGCGATCAGACAAACAGTCTAGTGCCCATCTCGCCAATTGCAGGGCCTCATTCAACGTGGTATCTCTTCCTGTCAGTTTGAATTGTTCCAGTAACAACGCAGCTAGATTTCCCAACGCTGGTCCTAGGATGTCTGACTGGGTTCCTTTGACCAGGGCGACCACTTTGCGCATGGTTGATATGGCATCTTCAAGGTTATGGCTGTCCCTGGTTTGGAGATATTGATGTGCGTGGAGCCTCCCACGGCTTACGAACAAGCCCGCCAGATGGTGATCGACTGGAGGTCGCGGTTTTTGGCGCATTTCTCTGGCTGGTAAACATCCCCACGGACTGGAATGGTTTATACAAGAATCCGAGATTCGCGGCCGATGCGGAAGATGTTCGGGGGGGGAGGACTGCGTTATCACGCTGGCCCTCTTGCTGGGGTGGGGGCGGAAGATTGACGAGCTGAAGGTATGCGGGCGCTAACTGGCACGAGAAGTTCATTGGTAGTGCCGGTAGGCTTAGCCCGCCGTTTAGACTAACTTACTATAGTTTAGTCTACAAAACTGTACCATTTGATTCGCCCTTTTCACATCCCTTTTTTCCGCGTAGAGGGTTGACTGCGGCGACACAACAATGCAGCCAAGTGAGAAAAAATGCTGATCTGCTCTACTTTAGTGAAGATGCCCAGGTGGCACTATAATGGTGAAAAGGGAATCATCTGGTAAATTGAACCGCATATCATATCTCACGACGGAAGGACGGAAGGTCGGCCTAGAGGAGCTAGTACTCAAGTGCCGAATAGGTTACGAATCGGTCAGAATCAATAAGAGCGTTTGGTGGTCTATAATATTACTAGTACTACTACTAGTAGTAGTAGTAACATTCTAGGATGTAAGTGTGACGGGGAATCTTTAGAGTGGTTAAGATAAAATATTTCCTAATACTATTGGAATCTATACACGGGAAGAAAGTAGATACTACTAGTACGTGAATATAGTATACGACACCCAGTTCCTGGTATTCCCAGGGGCAATATGCCTGGGCATCTCCATAAATTACTACTAGTACTACTAGTAGTAGTGAACAGGGCTTGACTGGCACTACTATCGTAGATCTTCCGATATTTAGCCTGTCCCTCCGGAAGCCCCGCAGTCCATGGATGCTAAAGCCCGAAACGCTCAGCAATCAAGTTCGAAGAGTTCGGCAGACTGTCTATAGCAGAGCGATTGATCTGTTCGATGGATTGGAACCCAGCTTCCTCCATTAGAATATCAAACTCCGCTAACAAGCTCTTCAAGACGTGGCGAACACCTAAGTGAAATGGGACCATTAGACAATCAACCATTATTTACAGGGTCTGGTGAAACTTACCATGCTCACCGGCAATACTCAACCCCCAAATCCACATTCGACCGATAAAGACGAACTTGGCCCCCAGCGCAATAGCTTTGAAAATATCGGCAGCACTTCGTACACCCGAGTCGAACATAATCTGTGGAGACATTTCTCGTGAGCAAGAAAAGTTTGCAATGGCAATGGCGAATGGAAGAACGTACGTAAATCTTGTCGCCCACGGCATCGACAATTTTCTCGAGGGCATCGAGGCTCGCGATAGCACCATCCACTTGACGACCGGCATGGTTCGTGACAACAATCCCATCGATACCCCTGCAACTCCGTTAGCGACATGGATCAAACAACAACAACCATCCAGATCGAAAGACACTCACATCTCAACACATTTCTGGGCAGCTTCCACGCTCTGAATTCCTTTCAAGCAAAATGGTCTTCCGCCACTAATCCGTTTCCATTGCTGCATCGTCCATTGGACTTTGTCCCAAGTATGAGCGCGCCCATGCCAAATATTCTCATCAATCCATTTGGCACCAGCCTCCTTCGGGTTTTTCTTCGGATCAATCCCCGCTTCTTCCAGCCTTCTCAGAAATACCGGATCATTCAAGGCAATATCTCCAGCTCCGTGGTCGTGGTAGAATGCATAGTTCCCGGTGAAAACGTCATTGTGTCGCCACCCCAACGACCAAGTATCAGTAGTCAACATGCAAGCATCGAACCCCGAATCCCAGGCGCGCTGCAGCATAGAGATACACTGCTCGTCATCGTGACTTTGGTAGAGTTGGAAAAATCGGGGACCGTTGCCGTTGGCTTTTCCCACGTCTTCGATGCTGTAGCTGCCGGCGGAAGAAAGGGAGTATGGTAGGTTCAGCTCCTCGGCGACTTTCGCGACAGACAGTTCACCGGTTGGATGGTAGATCCTGTTGATTCCGATCGGTGCGAACCCTAACGGGGCAGATACTTTGTGTCCGAAGATCTCGGTGGCCGTGTCTCTGATATTGGTGTCCACTAGCGTTCGTGGGATGATTCGGTGGCGGTAGAATGCTTGACGGTTGGCTAGGTGTGTCCAGGAAAGTCCTGCATTGCACGAGGAATAGTACCTAGAGTCGTTGTTAATGAGAGGTTCATTCACATGTCACAAAAGAGGGTTTTTGGGTCATTGAGAAAACTTACCATCCTGCGAGGGAGAGCTTCTCCTTTGCTAGCTTTTCAAGTTCGGCCGGATCTATGAGTCGAGCAACAAGAGTTAGTCTGAAACCTGGTGGTCGAAATCGAAGCCATGGAGTGAAAGTGTATACCTGTGTTGAAAAGAGGATATTCGCCATTATTGGTGTTCCAAAAGGCGTCACGCCGGTAGAGTGACCATTGCGGAGTGGTTCGGGCCTTGATGTTTGGGTTGTTTGGGTCTGACATGTTGATCTGATCTTCAAGTTTCTCTGGCACCTCCCAAAGTTCTCTGCACAGAATCTGACGATATTTATATGAGAAGCGAGCTGTATGAGTTTCGGATTCTCGTCCGAGAAATAGGTCACACTATCCGGAATTGACAGAGGCCGCAATGTTGGTTCGTGATTCACGGCTCCAGTTTTAATGGCCAATAGGGGACCCCAAACTTACCCAGTCGCCACATGTTTGTATGCTTAAACTACAGGTAGAGCTTCTTGACTTCCGTTTGCGGTTTTGAGGCCGGGAAATCAAGTAACGAGAAACATTTGTCTCTAAAATCCAGTTTCTAGAATTCCAAGCTAGTGACGAGAGAATCAGATTTCACCGCTTGTTTCTTTTACTTATGTTCTTCTGACACTAATAGGCAATGAAAGCTTTTTGAATGCGATCTCCTGGTGGGCTTACTTCTCGGCCGACTAAGTGTTATCACATCGAAATGGGAGAGCTGGTGATCACCGTGGGGCACGAAAGTGGACCCGGAGCTTGTATCTTTCAACTTCCAGCTTGTTACACGACTGTCTGATGCCCGATATACTAAGTTTCAGTGAAGCCTCCAAGTGGGAGTGATGCATCTTCATATGCTGCCCAAGTTCCCTTACATCCCTGAGGCTCAAATATCCGTCTCCATGTGGCTAAGCGCCGCGCAATTCCTGACGCGTCTATTGGATGCGAACAAGAATTTGGGGGCCGGGCGGGGTGTCAGAGCTGACCAGATGCTTCGATATGATCTTCGCCTTATCAACAGGCCATCCGAGGGACTTCCTTGGGCAAACTCACCATAATTTGATTGTCAACGATGTCCGACCCCCGGAAATATACCGTGGGCTGGATCTGTGCAGTTGCGACCGAGTATGTCGCCGCTCAGGAGTTTCTGGACGAGGAGCATGATGGCCCAGAGCATCTGCCGCCTCCGGTCAGGAATGACTACGCACTTGGCAAGATGGGGAGGCACAATGTTGTGATCGCTACGCTACCTATGGGAGAATATGGCATTGCCTCTGCGGCACGAGTGGCAGAGGAGATGCAACATGCTTTCCCAAACATCCGCATCGGGCTGATGGTCGGCATCGGTGGTGGTGTTCCAACTAGACATGATATCCGCCTTGGTGATGTCGTGGTTAGTATACCTCTGAATGGATTGGGTGGAGTGCTTCAGTACGATTTCGGGAAGACTGAACAGAATAAGAAGTTTCAGCGCACGGGATTCTTGGATCAGCCACCTACTGTCCTCCGAACTGCGGTTGGTGGGCTTAAGGTCCAATATGAGCGCAAGGGTCATCGTTTGGAGGAGGCGGTCGAGGATGTTCTTATAAGGAACCGAAGGCTACGATCAAAATACAAGCGGCCTGATCCAGTGAACGATCGGCTTTATCGAAGCGACCACACCGGCGAGGATTCATCTTTCTTGATTCGGAGAGAAGAACGCGACGATGATGTTGACAATCCGATGATACACTATGGTCTGATTGCCTCGGCCAATCAGCTTATGAAGGATGCTACTGTTAGAGACAAGTTGGCGGAGGAACTGGATGTTCTATGCTTCGAAATGGAAGCAGCAGGGCTGATGAACAATTTTCCTTGTCTTGTCATCCGTGGAATCTGTGACTATTCCGATTCACACAAGAATAAGGACTGGCAGGGCTATGCAGCAATGGTTGCAGCGGCATATGCGAAAGACCTCCTATCCCGAATCGTCCCATCACAAGTCGAAGCAGAAACAAAGATGTCGGAACTTCAAAGCACTGGTCAGTAAAGACCTCGGGACTTGAGATATAGTACATATGTACTTCGTGGAGACTGATCAGGTAATAGTCAATGCGAATCTGGAAGAAACAAAGGTTATCTCATCTGGTGTCTCAGAGCTGCGTGAAAGTGAAGAAGATCATGCTCTCCGTGCTATTGCCGCGTGGCTTACGCCAATCAACTATGCGGTCCAGCAAAGTGACTTTATCAACCGTCGACAAAAGGAAACCGGAACATGGTTTCTGGCATCGGATGAATTCCAAGCATGGTTGACTCAACCAGAGAAATATCCCACCCTCTTTTGCCCGGGTATCCCAGGTGCAGGCAAGACAATGATTTCATCAATCACGATATCCCATCTTCAAAATCATTTCCATCAGAGCACGCAGGTTGGAATCGCCTACATATTCTGCAATTTCAGTCAACAAGACATTCTTCAGAATCCAACCGCGCTTATTGCGAGTCTCGTCAGGCAGCTTTCCAAAGGAGAGCACGCTGAGCCACTAAGGGAGCTTTTCAAAACTCACGATAAGAAGAACACATATCCATCCCACATGGACCTCTTCCAAGTTCTTGTTACTGTTGTATCTTCGTATTCCAGGGTTTTTATTCTCGTCGATGCACTGGACGAGTTCCACGCTCTTCAAGGCCGTGAGTCGTTCTTGCGGGATCTCTTCGCACTTCAACAGAAGGTTGATATGCATATGAGCATTTTTGCAACATCGCGATACGGCGAAACCATCGAATCATTCTTCAGGGGGTGCTCAAGGCGCGTTATACGTGCAAATGAGGCTGATGTGCGGATGTTTCTGGATGGTAAATTGCATGGATTTCAACCATGGGTATCAAATAACTTTGCTCTCAAGAACGACATCAAAACGAAGCTGTCAGAAGCTGCTGACGGAATGTGAGTAATCTCATTTTGTTGATACGTCATTTTCTCTGCTAAATTAAGCAGGTTTCTTCTTGCCAAGCTATACATCGACGCCTTGCTCTGCGAAACGACTCCAAAGGGTATCAAGACCATTCTCACTGAGTTAGAAAACATCTCAAAGAGCTCAGCGGATGGGGAAGAGAGAAAGAGGCGAGCTCTTGATCATGCTTACGAAGCTGCCATGCGACGAATTCAAAGCCAACCGTCGGGACACTATGAGCTTGCTAAGAGAGTGCTTTCATGGATAGTTTGTGCTAAGCAGGACCTCAGTCCACTGCAGCTCCAACATGCCGTTGCCATCGAAATCAATAGTCGGACGCTGGACGAAGACAACATTGCTGATATTGGTCTCTCTATCTCCGTCTGTGCCGGCCTAATGACTATTCACAAGGAAAGCAACGTTGTCAAGCCGGTACATTACACAACGCAAGAATACTTTGAGCGAACCTGGCAAGATTGGTTCCCGGACTCCTATGTCTACCTGACAAAGGCCTGCATCACATACATATCACTCCAAGTTTTCGATAGCGGGGAGTGTGCTTCAAAGGACGATCTAAGGGATCGATATGAAGATTATCCCTTCTATCAATATTCAGGGCAGCACTGGGGATCTTATGCCAAGGATACATCCATGGAAACAGATCCGCTTGTTTTGGATCTTCTTCAAAGTACGACACGTCTCGCGGCAATCACCCAAGCCTTTCAAGTTGTTTTCTATGAAATGGATTACTCTACTGGATATACAACGGAGATGAATGGACTGCATGTTGCCGCCCACTTTGGCTTATATGAGTCATTGTCAATTCTTCTCGGTGGCACCTTGGATATCGACTCAAAAGATCGAATTCATCACAGGTCTTCACTTTTCTGGGCGGCAAATCACAAGGAAGTCGTGAATTTATTACTTGACAGTGGAGCCGATATCGAGTTTCAAGATCGACGTCAGCTGACACCGTTGATCCACGCTGCCGGAAAGGGACATAAGTCGGTAGTCCAACTACTCATTGATAGGGGAGCGAATATAAACAGCGAAAATAGTTTCCACGATACGCCTTTGACAAGCGCGATAACACAAAGACATGAGGACGTGGCGATGCTTCTTGTCAACTCAGAGGTTGACTTTCAGAGTAAGACGGGTCATGAAAGTTCTCTCAACTCAGCGGTCCGCTATGGTCTGGAAGGGTTAGTACGACTGATTCTCACTAAGGGGGTAGACGTTAACTCAAAAAATGGGTCGGGAGAGACCCCCCTCTTCGCCGCTATACGATACCAACGCAAATCTCTAGTAGAGCTTCTTCTTCACCGTGCGGCAGATGTCAATTCGAAGTCTAATTCTGGATGCACCCCGCTATTCCAGGCAATCATGTACGAGGAGGATCTGAGTGTTCTTAGACTCCTTCTTCAACATGGAGCGGATACCAATCCTGAATATGACGACTCAAATTTATTGGAATTTGCAATTTGGCACGGAAGGACTGACGTGGTACGGCTATTTCTTCATGAGGGGATTTGCCTTGATTCACCGGGACGTGCTTTGGCAAACGCTGCAGAGGCTGGTCATGTTGAGCCGGTGAAACTCCTTCTCGACGCCGGAACTGACATTGAATCACGAAGCACCTATAACAAGACCTGGGATGAAGCTGCCAATATGTTCACTATGAGAACGAGCTTTAACCAAACCGCACTGTCATTAGCCGCCCGGAACGGGCGTCAAGATGTGGTCAGGTTGCTCCTGGATCGAGGCGCTGACATTGAATCAAAGAATACTTATGGGTTCAATCCTCTCTGTCTAGCCGTTCTAAACGGAGATGAAAGTATGGCAAGGCTGCTTCTTAGCGGGGGAGCTCAAATTGAATCAAGGGCTGGTTCTAGTCAGACCCCTTTGCTCCTAGCGGCTTCACAAGGATTCGAAGAAATCGTAGAGTTACTTCTTTCATTGAATGCTCAGGTTGAAGCCCGAGACATTCATGGGTTCACGCCACTCATTCTTGCTGCAACAGAGGGTCATTACTTTGTGGTACAGTTAATTCTTGAGCATGGTGCCAGAGTCAACGCGAGGGCAAACGAGGGACAAACAGCACTACTCCAGGCCATCGCCAGAAGCCACGTGGATGTGGTGGGTTTGCTTTTGAAGAGAGGAGCCAATCTGAAAATGAATGGCCTTCAAAAAAAGAGTTTCCCCTCTCGGATTGGCACTTGAGAAGGGAAAGAAGCCAATTGTATCTTTGATACGGAAGAAACTTTCTGAAATATCTTCGTCAACTGATACCGGCTCTGAGTCAGGGTCGGAGAATCCCGCAAGTACTTCTCTGTTAAAAACTGGCACAAGTTTGGGGTCCTCCTCGAAAAATACTTCACAGACCTCTTTGAGCCGTTCAAGTCAAGGACCGGGAGGTTCAAAGAGCGGCATGGCTTTAGTACTAGCAGATCCAAATTCGGATACTGACTCTTCTGCGGCGTATGAGAAGCGAGGATTAATACAAGCACCAAGGCGACATGCATCGAATTTTTTGGACCCCAATCTGCATGTGAAATCTCCAAGACCAGCTTCATACTCACATTCTAGGCAGGAATCTGCAGGTACACATTCTAGCAGTACAAGACCAAGGCGGCGGCGGCGAAGGCGACATGACAAAGAAACGGGCGTGGGCGAACGGTCCAACTCAATCCATTCAGACGGAGAAGAAACCTCGCAAACCTTGGAAGGCAAATCCACAGGCACAGACGGTTCAAAAAGAGTGCGCGATGCCCAGACTCGGCCTCAACGTAAACTGTTTGGAATATTTCGTGTTAAATGAAATTTCAAGTTCCAAGGTTGGGACTCGGAGACCATTTTTGATCTTCAAACTTGAAGTACTAGAATATATTACTCTAGGACTGTCTAATAGACCAAGTATTTCAACCAGTGCAGGTTGAAGTATACCAAGTACCCAATTAGTTAGCATACTCCGATATCACGTGGAGCTGACCCACCCGTCGCGTCGAGCTTCAAAGTAAAGCAAGTTCAGTCACGTCTAAGTCGCAACTGAGTGAGAGTCAACACCAATCGCATTCAACTTGCTCATTCCTCTCGAGGCTACTTCCTTTGCAATTGCAAGGTTCTCTGAACTTTCTTTTCAATTTCATTATACCCCCAACAGCGCGTCGCCTTTCATCCAAAGATGCCGTTCAAACGCAAGTCCGAAGCTGCCTCAACAACACCCGTGAAAAAGCGCGGTCGTCCTTCGCTCGCAGCGACTGCCAAGTCTGCTCAGGCTACTCCTAAAGTAAGCAATTACTTTCGAAGGAGAGGAAACGGGGGATCGGGCGCAATTGTGCCAATCTGAAGATTATCGTCTCATCAATCCACCCGCGGGTTTCACCTGCAAGGCCGTTGTCACTAACATCCCGAAACGCAGGCTGCTTCCCCTCAGACCGGTGAGAAGAGGAAGCGCGGTCGCCCAAGCAAGAGCACTGAGGAGGTTACAGTGACACCCAAGGCCAAGTCCAAGGCCAAAGTCACCCCGAAGGCCACCCCGCAGGCCACCCCAAGTGATGGTGCCAAGCGCGGTCGCGGTCGTCCAAAGAAGATTCTCACTGCGGCACAGACTGCGGCTGCAGAAAAGGCCGCAGCTAACGCGCCCCCTAAGAAAGGTCGTGGTAGACCTCGCAAGGAGCCTGGTAAGTTTTATCGCTCTTCTGTGACATCCACTTAAGCTAATTGTGAGCTTCACTCTAGGTACCGAGACAACCCCCGCCACAGAGAAGAAGAAGAATGGTCGTGGCCGCCCGCGCAAGAGCCTCCCAGCAATTGTTGATGAGCCCAGTATCTTCGATGCGAAGGCTGATGCGGACGAAGAGCCCCTGGCCGATGTGCCCAAGGACAGCACTGGTCGTTCATACTGGTTGATGAAGGCGGAGCCCGAGTCGCGAATGGAGAAAGGTGTCGACGTGAAATTTTCTATTGATGATCTGGCTGCGGCTGATACGCCAGAGCCCTGGGATGGCGAGTTTGTACATGAACAAAAGATGTCCGACATTTACTAATGCCTTCTGGCAGGTGTTCGAAACCCCGTTGGTAAGGCCCGAAATCAAGACAACCACAGCGGCACGAGCCAATGAGTCGCATGCTGATGATTTTATAGCCCGCAACCTGATGCGCGACATGAAGAAGGGAGATTACGCGTTCTTCTACCACTCAAACTGCAAGACACCTGCTGTCGTCGGAGGGATGGAAATTGTGCAGGAGCACTCACCTGATGGTTCGAGCTTGAGACCCGTGATCTACTTGGAGAAGAACCCCACTCTAACTAACACTGTTTCTTTCTACCAGAGGCCGCATTCGACCCGAAGCACCCTTACTACGATCCGAAGTCGGAGCGCGACGTACCCAAGTGGGTAGTGGTTCATGTTGAGTTTCGTCGTAAGTTCAAGAACCAGGTTACGCTGCATGAGCTCAAGGCGCAGGCGGAGACCGGCAAGCCTCTGGAGAATCTTCAAATGATCAAGCAGTCACGACTGAGCGTCTCGTCGGTGACCCCGGCACAATGGCGGTACATTCTTAGGCTGGCAGGCGAGGACCCCAATATCGACATGGTGGCTGAGGAGAGCCAGGATAGCGAGAAGAAGATTGATGAAGCCGTGGACACTGAGATGAAGGATTCCGAGGACATTGACGCCGGTGATAAGGACGCCGAGGCGGACCAGGACAGTGAGCTTGAGCTGTAAGGCATCCGATACCAGCTAGCCTGGGCGATGGCAGTCCGGCAAAATACTGAAGTCCGCGCAGGACCAGGGCCTGGATCGGATCAGAGTTGATTTGTAATATTTCCTCCAAAATATTTAGGCGTTGACGGATCGGCATGATATTGACATTAGAGTAGCGAATATCCGAGGACTGGCGCTTCCAGTAATTGAATACTCTATTATGGTAGTTTCAAGCCAATGTATTCAATGTAACGCATAGTTTTACCTTCTGAGTATACAAGTACAAATAGTATGCTATACTAGACTAATTTCTAATCATCCCAAAAAGGCAAGTCATCAGGCCGAGGTCAACCGACTTACCGAGAATGCTTGCTCTCCTCCAACTTCCCCTCACAAACGCTCTGGAAATGGCCCGCCGGCGAATTTAACCAACCAGGATCCACACAGCGCCAGCCTATGGCCCCGATGGATCCAATGATTCACTCTGTCTTTGGTTGCCCCCGAAGAGTAACTCTACCCGAGTGTTCCACTCTTCTATCGTTATCGCAGAGCGGGGGCTTGGTCGAATCGAAGCTCTTCTTAAGACCTTCCACCCCCCCTCGACCCTCGAGGAGCATGTTGAATTGCTCCTATACCTTCCGACCTCTGCGGTTCTTGTTCTCGACTTCACTGTCTCGTCCACGCCGTTTCCATTCATCCATCATGTCTAACCTTTCCGTGCAATTGACTGCCCCGAACGGGCGCTCCTATGCCCAGCCCATCGGTCTCTTCATCAACAACGAGTTTGTTGCTTCCAAGTCCGGGGATAAGATCGCCTCTATCAACCCTTCGTACGTCTCCAGCTTGATTGGATTGTATTCGTGATCTACGCGAGATTCGCAACCGCTTCATCCCGAACTGAATAGCTGACCCGTGTAGTGACGAAGCGGAGATCACCTCCGTCTATGCCGCCGGCGAGGAGGATGTCGATACTGCCGTAAAGGCCGCGCGCAAGGCCCTCAAGGACCCTTCCTGGAAGCTGATGTCCGCTACCGAGCGCGGTGCTCTCATGCTGAAGCTCGCCGACCTGATCGAGCAGCACAAGGAAACTTTGGCCACCATTGAGACCTGGGATAACGGTGAGTGGTTTTAGCGTGGAACAGACGATCGGGAAAGAGATACATCGTCAAGATATCAAAATACTGACAGTAAGCAGGTAAGCCTTACCAGGTTTCGCTGAATGACGATCTTGGCGAGGTCACCTCTTGCCTGCGCTACTACGCCGGCTGGGCCGACAAGGTCACTGGCCAGACCATCGGCACCACCCATCAAAAGTTCGCCTACACTCTCCGCCAGCCCATCGGTGTCGTTGGCCAGATCATCCCCTGGAACTTCCCCCTGGCTATGGCCGCCTGGAAGCTCGGCCCTGCCCTGGCTTGCGGTAACACCATTGTCATGAAGGCCGCTGAGCAGACCCCGCTCAGCATTCTTTACCTGGGCAACCTTATCAAGGAGGCTGGTTTCCCTCCTGGTGTCATTAACATTCTGAACGGCCACGGCCGTGTCGCTGGTGCTGCGCTCGTCCAGCATAACGACGTCGACAAGGTTGCCTTCACCGGTTCCACCGCCACCGGTCGTGAGATCATGAAGATGGCCGCCGGTACCCTGAAGAACATCACTCTCGAGACTGGTGGCAAGTCCCCTCTGATTGTCTTCGAGGACGCCGACATCGAGCAGGCCGCCAAGTGGGCTCACATCGGTATCATGTACAACCAGGGCCAAGTCTGCACCTCTACCTCGCGTCTTCTGGTCCACGAGTCCGTGTATGATAAGTTCGTTTCTGTCTTCAAGGAGGTTGTCGCTTCCACCAGCAAGGTCGGTGACCCCTTCGACGACGAGACCTTCCAGGGTCCCCAGGTCACCAAGGCTCAGTACGACCGCGTCCTCTCCTACATCGAGGCCGGTAAGTCCGAGGGCGCAACTCTCGTCTCTGGTGGCGAGCCATACAAGAACGTCGGCGCCGGCAAGGGCTTCTTCATCGCCCCTACTATCTTCACTGGCGTCAAGGACAACATGCGCATCTACCGCGAGGAAGTCTTCGGCCCCTTCGTCGTCATCGCCAGCTTCAAGGGCGAGGAGGAAGCTGTCACCCGCGCCAACGACACCACCTACGGTCTCGGCGCGGCCGTTTTCACCAAGGACATCGAGCGTGCGCACCGCGTCGCCTCAGACATCGAGGCCGGTATGGTCTGGATCAACAGCAGCAACGACAGCGACTTCCGCGTGCCGTTCGGCGGTGTCAAGCAGAGCGGTATTGGTCGGGAACTGGGCGAGGCTGGTATGGAGGCGTACTCGCAGACCAAGGCTGTTCATGTTAACATGGGTAGCCGGCTGTAAGTGTCGGGTTTTCTGTGCTTTGGGAAATAGTGATTAGCGGCTTCTTTCTTGTATCTAGATGATAATTACGTTTATGAAGGATGAAAATTCATACTCCGAGATTCAACCCACTGGGATCCAATGCCTTTTGTATCCGATGAGAGGTTGTCGATGCTGTTGATTGACTTCACTCCGATGCGCTTTACTTGCAACAGCAAAGCTTCAGCGCCAGCACCTATGGTTTTCCCAATCCATCTTCGCCCCATCTACCTGGAGCCTCGCAGATAGCAACAGTGTCTAACCAAAATAGCTATGGGAATGTCCACCTCGGCTGGGCGGTGCTTTCAACAGAGAAGTTTTCCAACAGGAATGGCTAATACCATGTGGTCTAAACCCACGAATCCCGCCAAAGCATTACACAAATGCATCCCATGCAAAGACATAGCCAATTATCTACTGCCCTCGTCCTAGGGCATGATTTACCAGGAAATACGACTTATTCGAACCCCACCATTCGCTACCATTACAAGGCAAGTAGCGACTACGCGACTACAATGCAGAAATGCCTGAAATCTGTCCACACAGGCATCCGGATCTGCATGAAACACAGAGCGCAACTACAGCAAGCTGAAACAAGACCCTGATAAACTTTCCTTATACATTCGAATGTTCAATTCAATTGAAACCCTCTCGCGCCCGAATACAATTTGCATCCTCGGTACTCGGTACTCCATACACAGCAGAAAAATCCCGCAGTCGCCCTGACAAGGCAAACGAAACAAGCAAGAAGTGATATCCCTTCTTCCCACGAGGGCAGATGAAAATCAAAAGAAAAAGAAAAAGTGAAAAACCCCCGAAAAAAAGAGGGACTCACCGCGTTGAATTTCCATCGATCGTCAATTCGACGGCTGAAGATCCCGCCGCCAATCTATACATACAGTTCGCCTGCTGCACCGGACACGACACAACACGACGGAACCGATTCGCGACCCACATTAAGAGGCGTCCTTTAGAAGAAAGAAAGGGCAGTGCTGGATCGTGCCTACTGGGAAGTACATATGAAGTATCAGGCGCCGAGATCGCGCGAAACAAAACGACCCAAGGCCCCGGGATCGGTCCGGGCCCAGTTTTGATGCCCAATCCTGCAGGAATCTTAGCTGCAGCAGGTTAGTTGAGTATTTACCGCTGGTTCGAGGAGCCATGAAAAATTGAAAATTGACGAACAAAACGCCACATGCGCATGCAGAGCTTTCTCAATGCTGATTGAAAAAAAAAAGAAAAGAAAGAAAAGAAAGAGAAATCTCAGCGACGAGAAAAAATGGCTGGAATGAGAGTTGGCAAGGCGTGGGTGGGCTTTAGCATTTGCCTTGCCTTACCTCGCATAATATAACATTGCGTCTGCATTACATTAGTTTTCCATACTGCCCTAACACAGGTTACCACGTTCCATGCTCTTGGGTATGAGTACATATGGGCGGCTCACTGGTTACCTGCCAGTGTGCATGTATGTACATTCATAGAGATGCGTGCACACAATCCGGGAAAATATCGACGCCGCTGGGCACTGGCAAGACTGTTTGGTTCGAGGGGAGACCAATCAAGAATAGCGCCGCGCATGTTTTGCTGTGAGAGGAATATACGCATCAATTCTCAATTGCATCTGCATATTTCGTACTCCGCACATAAGCAAATTCAGGGCCGCAGGTTGAGATTACCTCGGACTTGTGGACTCGTAACGAGACAAGATTACCCTAGGTACTCCGTACCAGGAACGAATCCCGAACTCAAGTTCCATCACCAATCAGCGGCAGTGATTCTCGGCTCAGGATTCGAGATATAGATAAGTTGCCGGGCTGTGCTGTACCTAGGTAGCTATTACCTACTACGCAGTATTAAGTAGGGGTCTGACTGAACTAGTACTAGAACATATCTCCGCACATATTACCTAGGTAGTACGTACGTACTTTTCTGTGTCCTCTTCCAACCTTAGAAGGCTCCTCGTCCTGATTTTCCCATCTGGGTAACAGGTCCGTACCAAAGCGAGGCTGACGCAGCACAATTCAATTCGAGGACCGGAACAGTCGCGCTGCATGCAAGTCTACCTGGCAAAAAACCCGAGCGGGAGTGAGACGGGTGATGAGCTGCATGAGAACGCCATGCCATTACGAAGGGCTCGTTTCAGGTGAAAGTGCAGGGTTGTTTACGCTTTGGACGCCTCGTTCTCCCGAATAGTATTCGAGATTCTTGTTGGCTCTACGACATGGTCAAACTTAACTTGACTTGACGCGAAGGAATGAACGCAATGCGCACACATCAGCAGCCAATGCTAGTCAATCAATCAATGGTGGTGATGAGACCGGGTCAAGTCAAGACGCCGAGACCGGATTCTTTGATGACGTGATTATTTAGTGAATGATCGGTGTAGCTCGCTGGCTGGCTGGCGTCCATGGGTGTTGAACTACGATTTGAAATTTGATGTGTGCTGATCGGTCCTGGTCATGGCGTCGCGTGGCGTGGCTCCCGGTTGGTGTCGAGGCCTACAAATCCGTACGCAGTGGAAGAACAAAGCATAAGCAGAATAAATTGAGGTGTGACGATTGTCTGGGTCGGAATGATCCATTCCATTCGTTCATTGCCTTAAGTTCATTCCCACACTCACC